TCTACTAGAACTGGCAGAATCACTAGATAAACTTCTTCCAGCTTCAACCTTTAAAAATTCTCTCTTTGGCCACGACATCTTGCTGCCAGTAATGTTTCTCCCGCTAGTAGAATACAACTTACATAGAAACTTTGATATACCTTCATCGTCTCCTAAGCATGTCTCCAGAATTTTCAAGCATTCGCGTATCAACCATATGGCTGAAGAAGGAAGCACGGCATGGAAAGGGTCAATCCTGTGGACTTCAGAAGCCATCGGGGAGCTGCAGCTTACCATCGCAGTACATACCGAATCTTCATGAGACAATCTCCCAACTTTTGCATACCTTTCTCCATCTCCATCACACTTATCAAGTGCTGCCTTTGTGGTTCTTTCATTTTCTATTTCTTCATCAGTGGCAGCAGAATATGTACCATTAACCAACAGAGAGTGAATAACAGCTATTGAATGACCCAAAACAAAAAACAAATGCATGTATTCATTTTCTTCTTCAATATGGATTCCAGTCTCTCTTTTTACAGGGTTCATTCCTTGAGCAAAGGTCAGGAGTATCAACCATGATCTTGATAACTCCCGATGTTCATGTGTCGCATACTTAGTAACTACAGCATGGCTCGTAACAAATTTCAAGTCTCCAATGACACGGTCACTTGTCTCACACAACCGTTCCCACTTTGTAGCCTACAAAAGAAACCCGTCAGATACATCTCACTGCGAACATAATCAAAGCAGACATAAACTCATCACCACTGAAGTATACCAAACAAATGAGACAAGTTATATGTTTACCTGTAGGACACCATCCTCACCAGAACAAGAAAGAAAAATATCACCGAGGCATCCGAAAAGCATAGCTAGCAAATTCATCTCCTTCACCAGAAAAGGTGTTAGAGTTGGCACCGTGAGGATTTGCACAGAAAATGAGGACAGTAGTGGATATTTCTTGAATGCACTATCACTACCCTGCTTAACCGCTTCACTGATGACCACTGGATAGTAACTCACAAATGCTTTTGCAAATTCAGACTTAAAGACTGGATCCCCTATTAATTTGAGGAACAGGTCATGTAGTCTCTTCATAACATCTTGGTCCAAGAACCTCTCCGCCTTTACGAGGATATTCAATAGACCACATGAAGAGATAATCCTTCTAGAAACGAAACTGAGCAAACTCTCACTGGACTTGCAAAACTCCAGAAGCATTTCAACCACAACAAATGTCAGCTCGTTTGACATCTTTTGGAGTACTACAAGAGTATCGTTGGATCTAGCGTCTTTCTGACCGATACTTTCAGCAGATAAGAGCTTGACATTCCAACAAGCGAAAAGGGCATCAAGTACAGGCCCAACTGAATTTGCTAGATTTTCTGGGAGGGGTTGAATCTGTTCAGAACCTTTATGCTTTGAACAGAAACCTTCCCGTTTCCATGCTGTCTCATCCCCACAATCACAACAACCACCACCTGTGTAGATAATCGAATAATCATGGTCGTTGTGGTTCCCATTCTGGAAACAAGGCACGCAAATTGCACAAGTTGGATCGTTCTCACATGTCCTACACCTATATGCGATGTCGTTGTGTCCCCAGACGGAGCCACAAACACCTCGCTGATCAACACTCAGCTTTGCTAGCTTCCTCAAAGACACACCAGGTTCATCCTGGAACATCAACCACTGCAGCCAGTTCATGCTCTCCCTGAACCTCTTTTTCATGCTAGGACTGACCGCAGACTTTCGAGACCGTTCCCTTGCATCCTTCAATCCTACTTTAACATCCTCGTCTGTAGGTACGAGAGCAGAGACTAGCTCTGAGATCGTGGACCGGTTAGCTCTGACGAATTCCACTAGGCCACGTTTGGAGCAGCATTCTTTAGGAACCCCAGCACAGGCAAGCCTCTGCAAAATAAACGTAAAGGCGAACTTTAAACCAAAGAAGCAGTGTCACAGTACAAACCAACCACAACTACATCACCACACATTCAAGAGTTACGAAACACAGTCACTGCTGCTACTATAACAAAGTCCATATGAATCAGAAACAGTTCAGGGAGCACATGCTAAAACAATACCTCGACGAGCAAATCATGTGAGCTGGGAGGAAATGAACCGAAAAGAGGCGTGTCGGTCTCCATCTCCCTGGTTAACGAGCGGCGGATACACGATACCACCACAGACACAACGCTGCAGAAACACCTGCTTAACCCTGACACGGAACTGTGACTCTCCAGGGTTTGATCCTCCGGGCAAGGGAAAGTTCCGAGTCAAACGACGACGATGAGACTCGGATAGAAGCAACAAGTGATCCTCTTCACACCCGAGGCAGACAAACTCCGCACAGAACCTGAATCGTTCGACAAAACTGCAAATTCGAGCGATTACACAATCATCAACGCTGGATAAAATGAACAATCGAATCGGGTCTGGTTCCAAAATCAAAGAAGAAATACCACCAATCGCCTGATAGAAAAACCCTAAATTCTCCGATTGCAGCAAAAACCCCAATTCGAAAGAGTTTTTATAGGTGGAGATTGGTTATGCCATGGCGGTTCGCGGAGCTATGGAAGTCTTACAATGAGATACGAACGAAGAGAATGAAGGGAAATATTGAGATTTTTTATCTTAATGATTGAAAAATTGTTGCTTCCTTTTTTCGGTTTAGTAGTTGAAATTTTCAATTGCTAGTAAATTACTTTTTATCAATTCACTAGCTCCATAAAATCTTTATCCCTAAATTAAAAAGTCCAACATTTAATTTTTAACACTATTAACAAATCAGCAATGAAGAAAATGAAAGGTAAATAAATTGGCCATTGGGTCACGGATTAAAAACAAGAAAAGCAATTCAAATAATTATATATTCATAAAGAAAATATATAAAACTGATTGTTTAAATGAAATTATGCATTTGACAGTTTTTAAAAGTTAATTCTATTATATAAAAATCAATTCTTTGATTAAATGAAATTATGCATTTGATTAAAACTGTCCCAATAATTTTTTGTTTTAAACAATACTAATTGGCCCATAACAGTTTATGGTTTAGCGATGGCCACACAAAGCGTAGAGCCCATAATAATCTATGGTTTACAATATTGGGCTAGCCCAATAGCTATGTAGCCAATTTTTTGATTATCACATTTAATTACATTACCGGTAATGAAAAAACAACGTTTCTTATTGAAAGTAGTCGTATTCATTTCTTCATCTTTTGTTTAATTAGTGTTTTTTTTTAATTATCTGGAAGTTTTGCCAGATCTTAGAATTAACTTTTAAAAATGTTCTCCAATGGGAACTGAACTCGTGTCCTCTTAAGTGTTTAGATTTTCAGTTTATCTAGATTCAACTACTAGCCCAATCCCACATTTGATGTGTTTTCAGTTTATTTGTATTCAACCACTAGTCCAACTCTATATATTAATACGTTTTTAGTTGTTCAATTAGTTAGTTGCTACAAATATTTTCAGAAATTCATATATTATTTCTATCCATTACTATGTTTTTTTTTACTACAAAGCAACATAATATCACTCAGTGATTCATTTTTTATATATATATTAGTTTTAAACCAAAATGCATAATAGTTTCTCAGGTTCATAAGTAACTGTTGATAAAAAAAAAACTTTGAATTACAAAAATAAGATCAATTTGTAGATCACTTAGATCGATTTTTCATTGAATCTTAATGATTTTCTATATTTTTCAACAAAACATAGTCAGATAAGTATATACTTATAGTTTATATTTACTTCTAAAAAAATAAGAAATTTTAAGCTAAATTTCATAATAATTTTAAAATTCATAAGTAATTGTTGATAATAATTTTATTGGACATACAACATTGCTTCTCCAAACTTTCCAAAACTGAATGACAAAAATAAACCAAATTTGTGGATCACTTATGTTGGTTTTTTATTTGATAAAAATATATGATATTTATATTCTCTTTGAACTAAAACGGTCATTAATACAGATTTTGTATGGCTTCTTATAGATTTTCCATCTCCTTTTTAACAAATCGATCAAAACCAAATAAAGCTATGCTTATTTTGGTATCACATCAAATAAGATATACTTATCTAGCCCACGAGGGTGGTAGACTCAAAAGTCTTATGAAGAAAGTCAATAAGTCAGCGATGAACAGAGGAAGGTGAGGAAGAAGACAAAGTCCAATAGGGCGTACCCATCACAATGAGGGAGGAAAGAGCTTAAAAAAAGCCAACTTTCACAGTTCACACTTCTTTTTCATCTCAATTAATATCATTATTATCACAAAAGACTTTTCCGAGAGAACAAATGTTAGGAGATTATTGACAAAAAAGTTAGGACTTTCATAATTAGCCAGCCTAAAACCTTTTTTCCTTTTCTTTCTTTGTCTCTCTCGGAATCTTCGTTTTTCTTTCTCCAATTTTGGAGTTTTCTTGAGTCTTTTTAATTTTCGCTCCATTTCGTACGCCGTCTGGGTTTGTGTTTACACACAGAAATCTCTTTTGCTTTGATCGAAGAACAGAGCTGAGTTAGTTATTGGTTTCCACTTTCTTGAGTTTAAATGGGAGCTTGTTTCAGCAATCAGATCAAAACAGATATTGCTTCCAGTACATGTGAGTCTTTGGTCAATTTCTTGCCTTTCTCTTATTATTATTACTAAATTTGAAGAAGGTGATCGGTATCTTGTGGAGGTTTGAGTGACCGTGGTTCTTTCACACTTGGTTTTTCCTGAATTAGAAAGGTTTAGATTCAATGAAGTTAGTGTTCAGAGTAGAAAGATAATATGTTTCCATTATTAGTAAGAAGAATTGATTCTGCGAAAATCTCAGTGTCGGTCGGCTAAGTGGAAATGACTGTCACTTTAAGTCTCTAAAAGACAAAAAGTGGCTTTAGTTCTAGCCAGATTTGGAGAACCCTAAAAGGTTAAAACCAGATTTATTAACCTTTCTAGGATTGAGAATCTAAATGCAATAGCTTGTGAAAATTTATGTGTTTGGACTGTTCTGACAAAAGTAATTATTGTAGGGCTAAGTTCGAAATTCTTGAGTAGAGATGGGAGCAAGGGCTCGTCGACTACTTCCTTCTCTCACATGCCTCGAACAGAAGGCGAGATCTTGCAAAATGCTAATCTCAAGAACTTTAGCCTCAGCGAACTAAAGTCCGCAACGAGGAGTTTCCGGCCTGATAGTATGGTTGGTGAAGGTGGATTCGGTTGCGTTTTCAAAGGATGGATCGATGTGACTTCCTTCGCTCCTACTAGACCCGGAACAGGCATTGTCATTGCAGTGAAAAGACTTAACCAAGAAGGGTTTCAAGGTCATCGAGAGTGGCTGGTTAGTCACATTTCTTACTCAAGATTCAAACTCTGTTTCAAGATTGTCAAGTACTGAGTTCTTGAACCGTATTTTTTTTCTTGGTTAGGCTGAGATCAATTATTTAGGTCAGCTGGATCATCCTAACCTTGTGAAACTGATTGGATACTGCTTAGAAGAAGAGCACAGGCTTCTTGTGTACGAGTTCATGCCTCGTGGTAGTCTTGAGAATCACTTATTCAGGAGTAAGTTTCAGATATCTTCAAAGAGAAAGAAGCTCATGTGACAATCTGTTTTTCACATAATGATTCATCTTTTTCTGATTCCCTCTAAACAGGAGGAACATTTTTTCAGCCACTTTCATGGAACACAAGGATTCGAGTGGCTCTTGGTGCAGCTCGAGGACTCGCTTTTCTTCATAATGCTCAACCGCAAGTTATATACCGAGACTTCAAAGCATCCAACATTTTGCTAGACTCGGTATGACACATCATGATTGATACTTTGTGTAGCTTTGGTTTTGGATGCAGCCAGAGAAGTTTATCTTGACTATTTCTCTGTATCTGCAGAACTACAACGCAAAGCTTTCGGATTTCGGTTTGGCTAGAGATGGTCCAATGGGTGACAATAGCCATGTATCTACCAGAGTCATGGGAACTAAGGGATACGCCGCTCCAGAGTATCTAGCCACAGGTATGTCTTTATACATGTGCATCTTCCATTGCTGTTTTCTGTCAACTGTGATCTATCGTTGAAGAGAACTGGAATACTGATGTTTCTGTTGAATTTGAAAGGTCATTTATCGACAAAGAGCGACGTGTACAGTTTCGGGGTTGTGTTACTGGAGTTGTTATCTGGGAGACGAGCAATCGACAAGAACCAACCAGTAGGAGAACACAACCTAGTGGACTGGGCAAGACCTTACTTAACAAACAAAAGAAGGCTTCTCCGTGTGATGGATCCTCGTCTCCAAGGTCAATACTCGCTAACCCGAGCTTTGAAAATTGCGGTTGTTGCACTCGATTGCATATCCATAGATGCCAAGATTAGACCGACCATGAACGATATCGTTAAGACACTTGAAGAACTCCATGTCCAAAAGGAAGCACCAAAAGAGCAGCAGAATCTTCAAACCAGCAGTGACAACAGTATGAACAACAAATCTCCACAAGCGAAAAAATCTCCACAAGCTGTGAATTATCCTAGGCCTTCGATTATGTAACGCAGGCGGGAGATGTGATGTATAGACTCTTAAAACTTTTCTCTGTTTAGGTATTATGCCGTTTTCAGTAGAAGCTAGAAACTAAAGGGTCTCTTCCTTTTTTTTTTCACTTTCTTGGCAAAAATGTAAGAGAGGGAAACAAACTTAGTAAAACTTAGGTTTTCTCAGAATGATCATTTGTTATATCACATACAAAATGTTATCGGCAAAAAAAAACAGCAGAAGAAAATTCCAAAGCAGTGAGATTCCAGCAGACGATCAGTCTCTTGCTCATCGTCCTAACAATGCAACGCGGTCTGACTGTACTGCTTGAGTAAGGTTGATGTCGAAAAGCTCGCAACGAATAGGCATCTCAATCTCATAGAAAGGATTCTTCAAGACATAGTCAGTGTAGAGTTCATAAATGTATCTAAGGAGGCTCTCCATGTGGGGAGTTCCAGGTTCACAAACCACAAAGAACTTTGTTCCTGAGGTATAAGAGAAAAAGGAAAAATCAACAATCTAAGAGAAGCTGACATAAACCGAAGGAACTGTGAATGATTATCTTGCAAATGAATATTATTTTACCTGGGAGAGACTGGAAGCAGTGGAGATCAAAAGTGTCGGCTTCGAGAAGCTCAATTCCAGAACAGCCATTTACAGGTGAAAGCTGCTGGGAAATGGCGTGCATTGAATGCCATAGACTCGCTACTCTCAAGCTATCATTCGTATCCATCCTTCCCTTTGTTCCACAATCCTGAACTTTCCCAAATCCAAACATAAACAGATCTCTCTAGTTGTAGACAGAACAGGGCAAATCCAACCATTTCAGATTTTAATCTCCACCTCAAGGCAAAATAAATTGGACTACTTTCTGTTCTTAAATGTTCTCGGAAGCCAAATCAAAGCCAACAAATTAAATAAGGGGTTCAATTAGCTATTCACAAACCCTAGAGCAATACCTAAATCATCTCAAGTTCTTAGCTTTTTCTAAACCTAGTGATCTCCAAAATTTTGTTTTTTAGTCTTTCCCTCTAACTAAATGGATGAAACCGGCGAAATTAACATCAATTAGATCGTCATTCACTAGACATAGAAAGTCGTAAGCTTCTACACAGCTGCGAGATGGAAGAACATGGGAAGAGTATTCGAGATCGTACCTTGTAAAATATTAAACCACCGGATTTGTTGATTATGTAAAGACTATAAATCGCTGCCATGTTTGCGAATTCACTCAAAGATCCAAACCGAGAAATCTGCGAGACGATGATGAAGAACGTCTGATCACACTACAGATCTCCTGATGAAAGGAAATCAAAATGAAAAATTTCCACTTTTCTTGAAACTACGTCGTTTTCGTACCTCCCGTCTCTAATTGAGCCACGTCGGCTTTCTTCCTTTGTTCCAATTTAAAACGGTGTCGTGGGGTAAAGTACTATTGTTAACTAGCGTCTCTTAAAGCGCCACGTGGGCTATCGGGTCAAGTCTTCACCAATACGGTGTCGGTTTATTACTCTCCTCACCAACTACCAAACGTCTGAAGAAAAAGTATAAGTAAGGCAGAGAAGAGTAAGGGAAGAAAGTACTAAAAATGGCGGTGAAGGAAGAGGAGAAGCGTAATTCAACGGTGGAGATCTCCGGATTGCGTTTCACGTATCCTGGGATCGACGGTCATCCACCTCCGGGATCGAAACCACTTATCGAAGATTTCTCTCTGAAGCTCAATTCGAGCGATCGGTGTCTCCTCGTCGGATCTAATGGCGCGGGTACGTGAAATTCGTTACCTATCTAGCTTGAAATGTGTTTGTATATTGATCTGAATTTGATTAAAAAGTGATTGAAATCAGGGAAAACGACGATTCTGAAGATACTGGGAGGGAAACACATGGTGGAGCCGCACATGGTTAGGGTTCTGGGTCGATCGGCGTTTCACGACACCGGATTGACATCTTCTGGTGACCTCTGTTATCTCGGTGGCGAGGTTCGTGATGAATTTTCAATCTTTTCTTTTTCCCCTGTGAATGTGATTGGATGACAATAGAAACCGAGTCCTGATTTGGAAATTATCTGTGATTTCAATGCTTTTCGTCCTCTTGTTTCCAGTGGAGGCGTGATGTCGCATTTGCAGGATTCGAAGTTCCGATACAAATGGACATTTCAGCAGAGAAAATGATATTTGGAGTGGCGGGTATTGATCCTCAGAGAAGAGATGAATTGATCAAGGTGGGTCTAAATTTCAAAATCTGACTTTGATGAGATGATTAAGGTTCTCTGTTAGTGATTATTTGATATTTGAGGAAAGATTCAAATATCAAGAATAGAAGTATTTTTCCACAGATTTAAACTCTTGTGTGTCTTCGTGAATCCCACCGTTGAAAATGAAATTAGCTGGAGTATGGTCTGAATTTTGATCTGTGTGTCACACTCACATCCAAACTTACTAGTATATTTTACAACCTGGAATGAAGTTGCTTGCTTTTACATCAAATGCTACCTTTCTCTTTCGTTCTAATTGCGGTTGGCTCAGGTGTTGGATATCGATATCTCATGGAGATTGCACAAGGTTTCGGATGGCCAAAGAAGACGCGTCCAGATTTGTATGGGACTCCTGAGGCCGTTCAAGGTAACCCTAAACACTATTGAAGTTTAAGAAAGGATTCTTCAACAGAAAAACGAAGGATGAAGGTCGTAATAGGATCTCGGGTTCTGAAATCACACTTTCTTGGATCATCTACAGGTTCTCCTTTTGGATGAAATTACTGTTGATCTTGACGTTCTTGCAAGAGCCGACCTTTTGAAGTTCCTGAGGAAGGAATGCGAAGAACGAGGAGCAACAATCATCTATGCGACTCATATATTTGATGGCCTAGAGGATTGGCCAACACACATTGTAATACAAACCACAATCTCTTTCCTCTGCTTTTTTTTTGTTCCTAAACCAAAGAACAACACATTGAACAACGATATCTGCCATTGTAGGTGTATGTAGCAAACGGGAAGTTGCAGTTAGCACTGCCAATGGAGAAAGTGAAGGAGACAAGCAAGTTGTCATTGATGAGAACAGTTGAGAGTTGGCTGAGGAAAGAAAGAGACGAAGAGAGGAAGAGAAGGAAAGAGAGGAAAGCCAAGGGGCTTCCGGAATTTGAATCACGTGCTGAAGAAAGCCGTGTCACCGGTGATCCTGCTCGGATGCTCAACAATGGCTGGGCCGCCGGGAGACTTCACTCTACCATTGCAGGCGGTGAGGATAATTTCGTTCTTAGCTCAAACAGAGTCCTCAGATAAGCAAGGGATAGACTCTTCCTTGGAGCAAAAGGGTATAATAATCATATTTTATGTTTTCTCCTTAACCACGTATCATTTTTTTACCAAAAGCTTGTTTGTTAATTGTTATTCTTAAACACGAATTTATGTTATTTTCTAGTTATATTTAAGTTTGGTAAAAGTTTCTCTGTATTACTGTGTTTCTTATCTAAAAAATTTACATTGTAATGTCTCTTTGTCGCAGAATTTTGCAATATAAAAAAATTAATTTATACTAGGTATTTATCCGCGCTATGTTGCGAGATATTTTTCTAAATTTGTATATATTTTAAATATAATAAAATTATTTATATATTTTAAATGAGTATTATATTTATTTTTTATTAGCTTAAGTTATGTATTTATATGTTTTAAATCTGAATAAACATTATATATCATTAATTTTTTTATTTTTTAAAATTATAATCTACTATCAAATTTGTTTAGTTAACTATCTATAAATATATATGTAAGATAAAACAATACATTTTTAAGTACTTTCAAGCTAATGGTAAATGTAATTTATTTTATCTACTAAATTGCTACCTGATCCTCTTTTGAAACTATATAAAACAAATTGCCATTTAAAAAAAATATTAATTAATATGATTATTTTAAATTATAAAATTTATTTATTTATCAAATATTTTTTATAGACATATGTTTTTAAAACTATCAAACTATAATCAATAACATTCATATCAAAATCATTACTATTAATAGAACTAAATAGAAAGTTCTATTTGAACTGTTGAAATATCAATGTAGTTGAAGTTAAATAATTCAATTTTGGTTAATATAAACATATTATAACTTGAAAATTTAGCACATAAATTTTTTATCTTTTTACAAAAACCGAGAAAATACATTTTCCGCCAAAACCAAAAAAATTCATTTTCTCGTCAACCCTGAAATTTCATTTTCCTACCAAAACAAAGAAATTGTATTTTCCCTCAAAAACCAAAAAATCACACTTTCCCGCGAGAACTTGTGTTTTTTCGTCAAAACAGAGAAATCAAGTTTTTCACCAAAACCAAAAAATTTAATCTTCCTGCAAAAATAAAAAAATAGTATTTTTCCTTCAAAACCAAAAAATTACTTTCCCGTAAAAATCGAGAAATCGTCTATTCCCACCAAAACAAGAAAAAGTTATTTTTCTCGTCAAATCAAGAATCACGTCTTCCTACCAAAACCGATAAACTATAATTTTCCGCAAAAACCAAAAATTGCATCATCTCCTGAGAAATCGCGTTTCCCACGAAAATTAAGAAATCATATTTTTTCTCGAAAACCAAAAATCAAATTATATGTCAAAAACTGAAAATTTGCATTTCCCATCAAAACCAAGAAATTGTTTATTCCCGCAAAAATCGAGAGATTTTGCTTTTCTATCAACCCGAGAAATTGTATTTTTTGCCAGAATTGTCTAATTACAATTTTCCGCAAAAATTAAGAAATTACATTATCCATCAAAAGCCGAAAAATTGCATTTTCTATCAAAACCGATAAATATTTTTCGTCAAAATTGAAAAGTTGCATTTCCCTCGCATTTTCTCGTAAAAATCAAATTTTTTATTTCTCACTAAAACCAAAAATTCACATTTTGCCGCCAAACCCGAGAATTTGCTTTTTTCCGCCATAACCGAGAAACTATGTTTTCCTACCAAAACTGAAAATCACATTTTTCTACCAAAACCAAGAAATTCTCTATTTCCACCAAACTCAAGAAAATTTGTTCTCGGTAACCAGTGGAAATGCGAATCTAGCTTGTCTGAGTTTCTCTTCATTTGCTTTCGCCTTCTATTTTTTTTTTTTGTAAACTTTGGGCTTTGTAATGGGTCAGCAAAATAGTAAATTGATTTTATTAGTGTGTTAATAATATGTATTATTGTTATATTTTTATTGGTTCAAATTTTTGCTGATGTGTGAGCTTCTTATAACATAACGCTTTTTGCATTGTTGTTATGGAAGCATAGTTGATGATGAGTCTACATTTTCTTCAATCATATACATCTCTATCAAGCAAACACATAGTTAGAAATTTTAATTTTTTTTGCTGGTATTTATTATTTGAGTTTCGGTTTGGCAAAAATACAAAACAAAGATTTAATTTTATTATTTGTTGTTATTTATTATTTGGGTTTGTTAAAAAAATAAAAGAATTTTTTTTTATTTGCTGTTATTTATTATTTGGGCTTGAGCTTGACCAAAAAAATAAACTAAAATTAATAATAAAAAATATTTGAGTTTTTAATGGGTTTAAATTTAAAAGTTAAAATAAATTGATGACTTGTATTAATGAAATGTTTTTATTGGTGTTTTTTTGCTGAAATGTCATCTCCTAAAAGCTTGAAAATGCTGATGTGTCAAGCCATAAAGAGACTTATGGTTTATTGTTGTGTTGATTCATTGATATTTAATATGTACATATTGGCGATCAAAAATATTGAAATTTTTTTTTAAAAAAAACTAAAAAGCTAATTCCATAGAAATGGTGATGAACCCATACCAAATTTAAACTTTGATTTATCAAAAAAAAAAAAAAAAAAAAAAAAAACTTTGGGAATGAGCTCTTAGCAAGTTATCATGTTGCCAAATCAAACTGATCTTAGTTGTTTCTCACCGTTGGTCTATGAATTGAGAAACATTTAAATGTTGAAAGCCACTGAAATTGGCGGTGCATGGTTTAATTGCGAAGATTGTCGCAAGACCGAAACACTTCTATATTTTCCCAACTAAATCGTAACTAAAACAAAAAAAAATGAATTGGGATAATAATATAGGACTTATGCTCTATAATTTTCTTACGTTCGTCTATTGTCTTTGTTCTTTTGTGCCGAAAAAAAAAAGTGATGCTTTTACGATGAGATAATATAGGACTTATGCTCTCCACCATCTTTACATTTTTCTTTTTGCAAAGATGCCTTAATGTCGTCTTCTTTTTTTTTACATTCATTCAGATAAACCGACCATATAGCCACCCCAACCCATATATACATATGCGATAATGATATCAAAGAAAAATGACAAAAAGGTCGAAAAAATAAAAGTAAGATGAAGATCACTGAGAAAGACTTTGTAACAATCATTCATAGGTAACTAACAAATACCTCATATCTTCGTTATTAGTTATTACATCATGGACTGATGCTATCTAAATAGGATGCATCTAGATGTTAGTTAGCATATGAAATATTGTCATGGGTTTACAGATAAACAATGTATAAATATTATAGTACATTGGTTGGTCCAGCAACTAAATCATCAGAATATAAGATAAGATTCTGAAAATCTTATTTTAATATCTTATATTTACTTTTTTGTTATTTTTCTCTGATAAATTGTGATCGCAGATATTGCACATGATGATGGTGTAATGCATTTACATCACATCACATGAATTCTATTATCCTTGATACATCACCTCTCACATGACATAAGTACACACTACAACAATATACGTATAGTACACCGTATATCCCGGAATTCTGGACCGTACATATAGATTCCGTGCGTATAGGGTTGAATAATCTAAGTATAGTGACGCACTGACGTTTATGTTAGTACGTCAACGTGCATCCATTAAGCTTTAGTTATAGGAACGATTTTAGTTACTGAGACAAATCATCAAATAAATTCAAGTTTCTTTATATTATATATACTTAATACAAACAGAGCGTAAAGGAGAGCTGCGGGCTACATTGATCTTTATCCCAACCCTTTCTTTTTGCAGCCGCTTCAGCCTCTCTACATTCCAAGCAAAGACACAAACACACACCAAAAGCAAAACACAAGCCCTAAACTTTAAAACAAAACCCTAACTTCCGAACCAAGCAACCCCAATACTTTCCCTGAGAAAATAAGGGAAAAATGGTAAAACCCCAATTCCAAATCGTAACTAAGCTTAAAGACACGTAAATATATATGTATTTTATATTATATAAAAAAAAGATTCGGTATCTTCCGCCGATTTTTTCCTTTATTTGTCTAGAAATGATCAGACGCGGAAATTCTTGCCGGAGAAAGTCTGCCCGAATTGCCAGTTACTCGGAACGATGTTGTTGGAGGTGGAGCTTCGGCGGTCGGAGGTTTGGACTCGGAAAGAAAGAGATTGGCCGACGAGAATTGCGTTGGATTGCCAATTTTGTCCCCAATTCCGGCTAAGACTTAACCACGCTGTGTTGGTTCCTTTCACACTCACCTTCACGACGTCTCCCGCTCCGGCTACGTTAGTGATGAGCACCAAGTTGAAGTAATGCGATCCATTGATCGTGAATCTCATACCTCCCTTCTTCCTACATGGGATCCTGCAACACCCAAATAAAATATTATGTACAGTAGTATATTATTAGTTAATATGGATGAGAGACAGCAAATGTATGGGGTTGAGTGAGGAACTGTCGGGGCTTTAGCTGACTTCAATGCAAACAAAAAAAAAAAAAAAAAAATGTTTCTGAATCTTTGGTAGATGTCCCTCGACTTGTGTAAATGACCTAATCACCCTGCAGAGCCGGTGTTAATGGGTTTTTCGGTAATTTTCCGATGGGAAGGTTTAAGGCTAGGTTCGTTTGGCTTAAAGGTTATGTATGGCTTTCATAGACTCAACTAAAACAGTACGTTAATAGAAAAGGCAGAAAAGGTGATTGCATAGACTCAACTAAAACAGTACGTTAATGGAAAAACTTTTCTGTTTGGTTCTTCCCGATAAAAATAAATGAAAAGCGAGCAACTTTCTCGGGAAAATAAGAAAATAAATTGAATAAAGAATAGAGTGAACATGCCAAGGCTCTGAAAATCTTCAAGCTCACAGATTCTTTTTTTTTTTTTTTACATCAATCTCACAGATTCTTAGATTCGGGATCCTATATTTCTTTTTTAAAAAAGGTGACCTCTCTGAAGCAAAAGATAGATCTTTTACATCTTTGACTGAGCAACATTAGGCGGTTTGCAACTTCAAGAATGGATAAAAAACAGAGTATAGAGAGAGAGAAAAATCATAGTAAAAACAGAGAAGTATGTATAGAAATAAAACAGAGCATTAGAAGGCAGGAAACAGAGTATAGAGAGAGAAAAATCATAGTAAAAACAGAGAAGTATGTATAGAGATAAAACAGAGCATTAGAAGGTAGGAAACAGAGTATTGAGAGAGAAGAAAACAGAGTGGAGAGAGAGAGAGAGGGGATGAGAATAACCTGCGGTAAGAGACGGGGACGATACCAGCCTTATACTTAGCGATGGAAAGAAACATTGGCATGGCGAGATCAAAGTGCTCACGAGGAGGGTTACACCAACCGCCATTGTCGCTAGCTTGATTGAAGTTAGGAGGGCAGAAATTAGTGGCGGTGATTAGGATTGATGGGTTTCCGGGAAGACACCAGCCTGGATCGTTCACACATTTTAGCTCAAAGCAAGATCCACAGCTCAAGCCATTGTTGAACAAGGCCGTGCTTAAAGCTGCCGTGTTCACTCCGTATCCTTGACTATACAAATTCCCGTAACCACACGCACCGCCTACAAATCAGTTATTCACAACCAAACCGTTAGTTAAAGGTCTTTTCAGTTAAAAAGAGAGAGAAAAAATGTGTTTAAAAAAGGTTTCTTTTAGTGAAAAATGTTCGTACTTTGAGATCTTTACAGAATATTAAAGATGCTAAAGTTAAAACCTTTGTTACAATATTAAACATTTAACACAACAAATAATCTCTTTTCTGACCCAAAAAGACTGTGTGTGAAGATGTAGACATGAGAAAACAGGATGAAATTGATAAACATAAACTGAAAACTTTAGGGGTCTAGAATGAAAAACAAAGAAGGTGTACCCATAGTGCCGGAAGCGTCAGCCTCGCCGTAGAAGGTGGCGTGAGCGTCAACCCAAGGACCTCCGGTGTAAACTCCGGGGATCTTGGCGTTCACTGTGGTTGCCGTCAGAGCAACAACCACCATAACCGCCATTACTATCGTTACTTTCGCCGCCATTTTTTCTTCAGTACGGAAAAAAATTTAGTTTTGGAAGAGAGAGAGAGAGGAGAATTTGTGTGAGGGAGGAGGAAGGTAGGAAGGGTACTTATGGAGGGAGAGAAGAGGCTTCAAAAAGAGTTTACGGCATTTTTAATTTTTCGGAATTTAAGTCAATTTTAAAAGTATTTGTAAATAAAATTTGTAATCCCCTTTCTTTTTCCTCGTCGATCTAACCAAATATTTATATTATATTCCACCGAACTCACGAGAATGCCTATCAAAGTGTTCTCAATCATTCCGAAACTGAACATTCAATTTTATACGTTCCTGTATACACGATCATAAGTCATTCTTTATATTTTTTTTACTTCATTTACTTTATTTTTTAATAATTATATTTTCTCCGTTTCAAATTATAAGATGTTTCAATACTTTTTGTTTTCAAAAATCAAATAATTAATATTTATAATTATAAGCAATTGATAGAATTATAACTGCGTACTATTAATTTTGTGTGGAAATCCTAAAACATCTAATAATTGTGTATTCTTTAGGAGTTAGAAAAGATACATTGTGGAAAAACATCCAACGGTAATATATAAACGTTTATCTGAAAGGTCTTTTAAATATTCGATGAAATACTGGAAATTATATGTATTATAAAATTATAAATATCCCATCTTTGGTACTTATTCTTCCAAAAAAATGCAAAAGAACAATTGAACACTTGTTTCTTACTTTCTGTAAAGCAATAAGAAAATCTTCTGAGTTTTTTTTCCGTCATCAAAAGTTGTTGTATACTAAAGTTTTTTTTTAAACAACTAAGATACTGACACCGGATAATCATTGTTATAATTTTTTGGTGTCTACCGGCTAACAATGCTAGAAATTAAAAAAAAAAAATACATGAAAATGCAAAATATTTTTATTCACTGTTAGTCAGTTAATAATAATCTTATATATATAATATAAGCCAAAAAGATAGCAAACGCACGTGATCCGCACATGGGCACCTCATGCATTTTTCTCTGGTCAATTTGCGAGTTGTGAGACCCAATTGGAAATCCCACATGAACTAAAACCCTCCGATCCGATCGATACAATTCATTTTATTTATATATTGCATTGAATTATAGTAACAAAAAATGTAAGCTACGATCAAACGTTTGATTATTTAAACAAGTTTTGTATAATATAAATGAGACTAGAGTTCCCGCATAAGTACACGGAAGATACGGTATCGCATTTAACAGGGCCGTGCGTCGATGCAGTTGGGCCTCATCTGATTGAGGGGCCCATCCTCACGTCTTACCACACGCATCATAATTAAGCGATCTTCAGAAGTGAACGCATCTAATGTATAGACCTAATTTTTTTTTTTTTTTTTTGAAAATTATATATAGACCTAACTTAATCGGGTAAAAAACCACATGAGTTAATGTGTTTGATCGATCGTAAATAAAAGGGTATCATTCGTTCATAGATCGAGCTTCATTCATTATGGTGTGATGTTGATCACTATTTATTCTTAAAATTACAAGATCATCCTTATTCCTATAAGTCTCGAGACTAATCTGAGTTTAATCCCCAAAATTTATCCGTTCATAAAACGTAGTTTATGTATCAAATTTTTAATTCCGTAATGTTCGGTGACGAGACTTGTATATATGAATTTTTAAAATCATTTGTATTTCTGTTACATATATATATTTTAGTAAAATGTCGATTAATCAACGTCCAAATTCTCCATATTGTGTATATATAATATATATATATATATATATCAATATATCATGATCATTTACAGAAAATTTTAAAATATTCGACCACACTATATCCATGTGGCTTCATTTATTGCCACTATTTTACATTTGTTTAGTACTATAAATAATTGATCTCAAGGTACGTAAGCCATTTCCCTTAGGGCTATAGTATATGTTTCTTGTAACTACGTAACGTACACCTTAAATGTTTTCACATTTTTGTTGGTTTTTTGTCGATTTTACAAATTGCATTCAAATGACATACTGTAGTTACATTTTTTTTAAAGCATTCAAATTACATTGTTACACATAGGTCGTATGTAATTAGTGTAACTAAACAAGAAGTAAAAAAAGTCAGAGACTTCTTTCATATAAAATTTCAAAGAAGCACATGTGATTGTTTCCAAGAATGTTCACCTAGAACTAATCATTTATGGCATTAGACGACAATTTATAAATTGTTACTACTACATGTGAGATAATATTTTAGTCAATATTGTTAAGTAATTATCGATCCGTTTTACCTACCTAATAGTTTATGAGCAATTAGTAAAGATAAATGCATTGTGCATGTGCAGTTAATAAAATTGTTAGGGTGGTTTTCGAAGCAAACAAATCCTTAGATCTCACTTCGTCCGTACCACTTGACACCGAACACAAGTGTAGTGTTTCCCAATGTATAATCGAAACCGTCAAATTAACTTTTCATCTTATAATAAGATATTAAAAAAATGTAAGATCTTATAATGACAACAAATTTTAAATAAATGGAAGAAGATACTAAAAAGAGATGAAGCTAAAAATTTCAACAATTGAAAATTCAAGTTTTATTATCACTAAAAAAAATCAACAATTAGTTATGGTGTTGACAAACAAACAAAAAAAAAAAATCAACAATCAACTAGTCGGTGACATCGTAAAAAAAATTGTTTATAAGTTAATATATGTATAAACTGTTCTTACGTATATAACAAACTATCAACTAGTCGGTGACATCGTAAAAAAAATCAACTAGTCGGTGACCGGTATTAATGGTTAGAAAACATAATGCAAGGAACATAGTAACATGAAAATATTCATTTAATTGTTTGTTACTTCATATTTAATTTTAATTGATACGCTTATCAACTACTACTACTAGTACGACGACGTACACTTTCAGCATTTGACTTTTTCATCTTTTTTTTTTCCATCGCAACTAAACTCTCGGAAAGATGTTAAACTTTGTAAGTTTGTAAACAACGTACGAATTCTTGTACTCAGATCTATTATAACTAAATATAAAAATCCAATTTTGTATTATCTTACAAGTAAACCCGCTGCCTCAGCTGAATTCATAAATGTAAAATAGATTTTAGACGTGGCGAAAGAGAAGCTACCATTCATTTGGTTCAATCATTTGCATATAAAATCGAGAGATTCGAGAAAAGTGTTTGCACAGGGTCATTGCAAGTTTGACTTATCAACGGTTTTATAATCTACGCCAAATGTTATATTACTCAAGTGATTTTGTTTTAGATCTAGACAGCCACATGATGATTGGTGATATATATTCACATCTAATTATGGTTTTGAGTCTCTTTTCTAGAGCTAAAGTGTGTCAATAATGTGAAGTCCATATGATTAGATCCGACCTATCTTGAACTCCAAGCTACACAACTGGAATTTGGAAGAAACAAACAATCTTCAAATCCTAATATCAAATTGATACTTTTTTTCTCAAGGCTTTCAACCTCTTTCGGACTTTAGATCAATCAAATCCAACATTAGAATAGTATATATTCACATTCCCTTTTTTCGGTTGCTCTATAGAACAAAAGCACGTTTCCTATATTGAGTTACAACATGTAAAATTGTATGAACCCTATAACCGCGTACCATGTGCTCAACTCTTAGAGCAGATCATAGCTCGAGCCACCACGGGCAAGCTTCCTTATCAACAAAAGAGCAAAGTATTGTATTAGGCTCAGAAACCTCTCTGTATTCAAGAATCAAAGTTAGAATACGAGCGGAGATGATGATTTTACCTCTTTCGCAGACACAAGCTCTCTATCAGTTTCAGTCAACTCTATGTTTAGAGAAACCGAGCTTTGACGAATTTATCTGGGAACTAACTGTTTGTCAAAACTCTAGAGGACTTCTTTGAGAAGTATAAGATCGTCGCGGGGATGAGCTTCTTCCACTCGAACCTCGACTTCATCTCCCACTTGTTTTCCTTCTGATACCCAAGCGGTTGCTTGAAAACCCACCTGCAAACATTTTAAGGGTGATTTAATTTGCCTCGGTTTTATAATATACACAGCGCTTATCCTCAGAATTTTTCTTGCTTATATCAAACAATTACCTCAACCAACAAAAGTGACGCGATCCGGTCTTTAACAAATCTCAAGATTAACGCGGTGTATTTTTTACCCTTTTGTTGTCTTCTGAGAAACTCTATAACCCAATAACGGAGACCGCTGTTGCAGAGTTTTCGCACCACTCGGTTTTGCATGTTTACGGATGCGGCAATACCTTCTAGCTCACCAGCTGAGAATGGAAAATTGTCGCCTCCTCGAAGAAAAGCCTTAATCTGCAATTCAAACAGCATGCTTTATCGAACTGGTTAATGTTCAAACGAATGTTCAGGCAGAAGTCACAGGTACGTTTACTGGATTCACCACCCCCATAGATATCCAAATAGATCAATCAACAAGACATTGTCAAGGAGAATCAAATCTAATATAATCACATGATGGTGTAAAAGGTTTTACCTGGTAGTGTGCGGTAAGATCCATGTATCTACGGATGGGAGATGTGAACTGGACGTAACCAGGAATGCCGAGCACTCCATGTCGAACAGGACACCTAAAATTCATTTCTGCAGCACGCATTACTTTAACGATGGATGAGGACCGTACGGGTCCTTCTGGAAGATGCGCAAACGCAGATACATCAATATTTGACTGCGGCTGTCCTCTATATGGCAATGGGATATTGTGCTGAGACCCAAACGTTGCTACAACCTCTCCACAAAGAATCATCATTTCAAAGACAAGTCTCATTGCCGGTTCTGCCTGATTTTCCACATAAAGATTAATCAAAGGTTCTGGATCTTCAGGATTCACCACTTTGATTCGAGTTTCTAGTGTAGTTGTGTCCACTGCACCCTGTGTAACCCAAGAAAGAGGGCAAGTGTTACACAAAAACAGTATCCAATAAAAAAACTTAATGCCCAGAGAAGTTCTCTACCGAACATCTTTGCGTTGAAAATTCTAGACAAGATAAACCATTTAGCAAAACTATGTTGTTGTTTTTTTCCTATGATAAGGTTTTCATGACAAGCCAACCTGCTCACGGCGCCATTGAGAGCGGAGGAAAGCTGCCTCAGAGAGCAATCTCAGTTCGGCCTCTTCTTCCAGGTTCAAGTGAAGCAGCTCGGCAGCACTTTCATATGTCAACATATAGGTCGGTCTGATGATCGAGTTTTCTACCGAATATTCTGCAATGCTGTAGCAAAAAGTTGTAAGGTATTCTTTTAAGTACTGGGTATTCTGTAGATAAGAAATCGAGAGAAGAGCAATGATAATATCTTTAGTTTTACCTGCCATCAGAACGCAGGACAACAGACACAGAGACAGCATTGCATATTTCTCCTTGTCTCAAACTCATTCCTTCCATGGCAAGTTTCTCTGGAAACATTGGATATGTAGCCGTAGGCAGAAAGACAGAAGTTCCCCTTCTCCTTGCCTCTCTAGACCAAATTCTAATAAATCAGAGTGACCAAAAAACTCATTCTTATAGTTATCGGAGATATGCATCGTACTTACCTATCCACTTTGCTCCCAGGAGTAACATATCTAGCAGGATCAGCAACATGTATCCAGATCTTAATACGTCCATCCTGCAGTCTCGTTGCACTCAGGGCATCGTCAAGCTGCAGAAATTCCAAGAACCCAGAAAGATAACTGGCAGTTAAAGGAGAAGGCACCAATATAGAGTTTGCAGAACGAATATAGGAGACTCAAAAAGAATTTACCTCATCAGCCTCATCAACATCAATAGCATAAACCTTCAAATGTGTGAGATCAATCCTCCTAGCCTACATAAGGTCTGAGCAAGTAAGAATTTTGAATCTTGAAGAATGATTATGTCTCCACACTTTCTAAATAACCAAAAACAAACACGACAACTTTGGCACGAGGATTAACCACAAACACAAGAATATACATTTTCATGTAACACATATATCAACAAGAAGGTAAAGCTGCTCACTGCATCAACATCAGATGACTCTGAAAGAAGAACCTCGGCAGCTTGAACGATTGCGTCTGAGTGGTGGGTCGGAAGATTCAATTTAAGCAGATCAAGATTGACATGTACAGGAAAATACCCAACATCTATGAGAAGGTTTAGTGCCGAGACAGCCGTTTTCTGTAACCCCATGGATTTTAAGATCTGCCATGAAGCAACCACAAAAGTACATTTGATTACAAAAAAAAAAACAAAATTGACAGTTTGGGAGATGTAGCTTCCCATATCTAGAGTAACAGCTAAAGAGATGCTACCAAATAATAAATGTGGTTGACTCACCATTCCAGCCAACTTCCGCTGGTCAGTGCTTGCCCATGCATCAATAGCATAAGCTTCAAGTGAACCAATATTATCTTGGACTTTATCATCAGCTAACCATGAAGATTTGGGGGGCTTGGCGTGACTAGGTGCCTTCTTGGCAGACTTCAGCAATCGAATAAACTCCTGAAACTCTCTCTCTTCTGCCTCCTTCACACGTTGCCTGCGTAAAAGCTCTTCCACCTATCAAAAAAAATCAAATGGAGATTCAGAGAATAGAAGGGCTTTCAGGCAAATTTAGGTCAATAACAAAGAGTCCAAACATATGAATACAGGAAGAAAAAATGCACAAGAAATACCTGTTCAGTACGGCGAGGGCTATAGATTGATCGAGAACCTTTTGACTCCAAGACAGAAAAGTATATCTCGTCTTTTGATAGCAAAAAATGAGCACAGTAGCTTTCGAGAGGATCTGAGCGACCATAAATCATCTGCAAAGTTAGAAGCATTGATCAAACCACGGGCTCGAACGCTGCAGTACTCAAAAAAAAATATATATATATATATATATATATATATATGGTACCTCTGCTAGCTCTTCTGGAGTCACGGGTTTGTTCTTCTCAAGCAACTCGATCCAAGCAAACTCAAGCAGTTGGGGATCCTGCATCGAAACAACAACAAGAAGCTCAATTATATGGGTAACATGACAACCTCCTTTACACAAAGTCATAACCATACCAAGTTTTCCTGAGCTCTCTGGAGAAAATCAGTAAGTTCTGTATGGTCAAAATTATAAACACCCGGGACGATGTACGTGATTTGTTGCGGTTTGATGGAACAGGTAACACCATTCTGCAACATTAAAGTTTCATCTATAAGTCTAACAATCTGCAAGTAATGCACCGACGGCTAGAGCCATTGTATATGAGTAAAACTGTATTCAAGTGAAACCTGATCAAAGACCATCCAGTTCTTCTTGCCATCACGTCGATGAGTAACTGCCAACAAAACCCTCTCTGGGTCCTTCTTAAACTCCAGAAGCAACCCTGCCTCCAGTTCCTGGTTCACTAGCTTATCCTCCAGAACCTCTCCGTAGCTTGTTAATTTCACCCTGCAGATTCAACTAATTCTCTTTTAATCTTCAACGTCTCAAGTGATCGAAAAGAGTCCAATTCCAGCAATTTTGTGTTTGCTAATATAATTAGTAGATATATGACAAGAAGGGTAGTGAAACGTACTTCACACTGGCGCGAACTCTGATTCGGCTTCCCTTTCGCCTTCTGATGGATTCGAACTCTTCGGAAACACTTTCGACCAGGCTGTGAATGCAATACGAGCAGCTCGGAGCATCGCCACCGCTATTTTGTCCGAAAACCCGCCTATTCGACCGGAGTAGCGGAAAACCCAGCCCTAATTTGGAGAATTCACGTAAATGAGACGCCCTGAGGCGCTGAATACGGTGGCGAAATAGGGAGACGGGAGGATTGCCGCCGGTAGTCACGGTGCGAATGATGGAGCAACCGTTGATTGCCCTCACCGTCATCATCGTAGCTTCAGTTGAAGACGCTACCCAACGCTAGGGTTCGATAAGGAGTAACGGAAGAAGGATACTCCGAACGATATCGGAAGTGAAGAAATCGCTCTCTCTCTCTGGTTCATGTGGCGATAGAAAGACAAATGAAGCGGGTGATGGAAACAAGATACTCTAATTTAGCCCCGTCTTCTTTACTAATTCACAAATGTTCCCCATATTTAATTTATTTACAATTCTGGCACTGACGATTTTCTTTGAAATCACAAGACGATACCTGATTTTATGCTCTTTTCATATTAGACCCGGATATTTATTTTAAAGATACATTACAACATCCCAAATTATTCTCAGTCTCATCATCGTAGCTTCACTTGAAGACTCTACCCAACGCCAGGATTCGATAAGGAGTAACGGAAGAAGAAAACTCCAAACGATATCGGAAGTGAACAAATCGCTCTCTCTCTCTCTGGTTCATGTGGCGATAGAAAGGCAAATGAAGCGGGTGATAGAAACAAGAAACTCTAATTTTGCCCCGTATTTTTCACTAATTCACAAATGTTCCCCAAATATAAACTTTTTATAATTCTGGCCCAAACGAATTTCTTTGAAATCAATATCAGGTATGTACTTAATTTTATGGACTCTTTTCAAACTGAAACCTGGAGATTTTATTTTTTAAAGAGGTTCGATACGTTACAACATCCCAAATTATTCTCAGTCTCATTATTCATTCGCAACAATGATAAAGATTTAAAAACGAGCAGTGACTTGAGAGAAGAGAGCCTTAAAGTCTTTGGTCGGAGCACTAGTTCCCTCCGGTTTTGAGCCGAGATCGAAAGCTTTAAACTTGGCTTCCTCGAACAGCAATGCCTGTATTTGTAAAATAGAAGAAAGATTGGATCATAAGACAAATGATTAAAGAAGTCAAGGAAAGAAATGTGGTGATTTGATAATAGAAAAAAAAATAAAAAATTAGTGAGCAAACCTGAATGCAGACTTCTGCAACATCAGCCCTAGGGACGGTTTTAGTGTCAGTCTGAAGAAGCTCGTCATCTTTGCCGACTAACAGCTCTCGTACACCGCCTTCCTTATCTAAAAGTCCTCCAGCCCTAAGTTCATCAACAGAAAAAGTTTGTGGGGGAACAAGAACAGAGTTAATCGAGTAAGAGAAGGCACAAGAAGATCGAGAACAACTTTCATTGATACACTAGATGAAAAGCTTCATCAATTACCTGATTATTGTGTAAGGAGTTCCAGAATCAGCAAGGTACTGTTCAGCTTTTCTCTTCCAAACCTAAACCCATAGGAGCCCGAAGTTGCTCACCGTGTAAGAAACCAAACTCACTTTGGAAATCAAGAAAGAATGAACAGAGAAATTTTAACAAACCAGAATGTTTCCATTTCCCAGTTTGTTCAGAGGATGATCCGGGTTTGTTCCACCCATGGACCCAACCAAGACAATATGCTTCACACCAGCAACCTTGGCTGTTCATGGAAGCTCACAAAATAAGGCACTTTAACTTTTAACAAGACAAGAAACAAGAGAAGATGAAATGGAAAGAAAAGCAAACCCTACCAGCATCAATTTGGTTCTTCTGCCCAATCCAATCAACCTACCGCCAAAAAACACAATGTGTGTTACGCTGCAATGAACACAAAATCAAGCTGAAATTTTGAAGGAGGAATTACATGTTATTGGTAATTTACCTGTTCAGGGTATTGTCCATCGTCGAACATGAACTCGGGCCTGCCACCTTTTGTGGGATCAAACCCAGGTTTCATTTTGGGCACAGCGCTAGTGAGAATCACGAGTGCGTCGATCCCTTGAATTGCAGGGATAATGCTATGAGCATCCGTTATATCCCCAATGAAAACATCAGCTTCTCCTCCAATTTTCTCTTTTCCTTCTGGAGTCCTCACTAGACCCTTTGCCACAAACTTGTCTGACCTCTCCTTCAGCTTCTTGTAAACAATCTGGCCTATCGATTACCATTAAAAAAACCCACAATTTTCATCAAGTGAAGCTAAACAAGACCATCGAAAGAGTGAACCAACCTCACGAAAACAAAAAACGTTCTAAAACAAACAATAAGACTCCAAACTGGTAAATTTGATCACATCACATGCATAAACTCAACATTCAGACGAGAATTTTGGCTTTTGAATCCCAACGAACAGCTAACAAAAAGTGTTATCGGTTTGGATCGCAGGCCTTGATTATATATTCACCAATAAATTCACAAACCCTAGAACCCTGCAGAATTTGCTATGGATTGCGATCATTTTCGCTGTAAACCTGAGAGGACGAAGGAGAACTAAAAGCAAGTACCTGTTCTGCCACTGGCACCGGTTACGAGAACGGTGGGAAGATTCGCCATTGAAGAAGCTTGCGAAGGTCTAGAAAATTCGGTAAACTAAATACACTCGCTAATGCCATTTAAGAGACGATGAAGAGGAGAAGAAGAATCAGGGGGCATTAATGACCGTCTGATCTGATGGAAAGACTGTTTGTTCGTGAATATGACACGTGCTGTACTGGTAGTGGTGCAGATGACTGACACTCTTATTAATCCTCTTAATTACATTTTGGGCCCGTCCCAGAGACCAGTGCTATGGGCCAGATATTTTCTTTGATGGTAATCGACTTTGAAGATGTTAACTACGTGCCGTTTACACGGCCTCGTCGCCTCCTAAACGACAAGTTGTTGTTTGGGTGAAAGGTTTATTCTTTCTTTTTTTTCATAATTAAACCATGAAATTATTTAGTTCTGTTCATATTTCGAAACAACTGTAGTTGAACTGTCAAGTCTGTCATGAGCACCTTTTTTTTCTTTCCCAATATATGTCATGATTATATTTGTTAGATTAAAAAATATATTATCATAGAAAAATCAAATCAAATCAAACTCTCACTTAAATAAAGTTTACTTCAGCCAGTTTCAACTGATGACATTGTAGACTAAAAAATCCAATATTCAGCAATATATAATAATTATATTAGATACGACCGTCTCCAAATTTTATACTATATGGTGAAAAATATATAACATATATGTATCTGTAATTAAGCAAAGGAAAAAAAATGTCGGATCTCATGTTAATTAAATAAAGTTAAAAAAATATTTTTCTTTTGTCAACAACATATAGTATATATGTTCAAAAAACACGTATAGTATAAACGACGAATTTCAATTATGGTGATGCAATGATTATTGCATTGGTACACATCACAAAGCTAGATGTACCATCGAAGAAATTTCTCCTGCAAACATTTAATTATTCACTACTAGTAAATAAATAATATGGTGAGATCTTATTGATTTTCTATGAGGTTGTTTTCGTTTTTAACGTACTGTTAGTCTTTTAATTATAACCGATCGGAGGAAATTGTTATGTAATTATGTTTCTCCTAAAAACTACGTAGATGGTAATTATTAACTTCCTCAATTTTTATTTAAACTTATAGACAAAAGTCGAAAAACAAAAATGACATTACATCATTTAAAAAAGGGAAATGAAAATGCAGTGGTGGAAAATTAGGTACAGTGGCGAAACATTCCTAAGCTGTAACAGATGTCTCAACGGCGACCTTGCCGGAATATCCAACATCCGACGATTTCCTGTCGGATTCCCATAATTCCGGTAACGCCTCTTTCATGTTGTGAATACTTTCCAAAGCGTAATCTGCTCCTTTGACTTTGTTCGATGTACCAATCTGAAAACAACAAACTCAATAGTCAATTCCAAACCCGTTTGATTATATTTGATCCCGGTTAGGCTAAGTTAAACCAAAGTAATCGTACCAGAACTGTGTGAAGACCAACGCGTTTTCCAGCTTGTACGTTTCGGACACTGTCCTCAAAGAACAGCTGCGATGAGGAATAAAGTAAAATTTAATGTTGTCGTCCATGTTTTTTTTTCAAAAATAGAGAAAACAATTAAAAAAAGAACCGGTTTGCTGTACCGTTCGGCTAGGATCAATACTGGCGATTTCCAGCGCTTTCTCGATAGCAGATTCAGACGGTTTACACACAATAGGGGTTTTGGGAAGTGAATCGACTGGTTCAGACCGGTCAAAATGTCCCACGATGTCAAAAATCTCGAAATCGTCAGACACAGCGTTTTTGTGCGTCGGGTTCAGCGTTTCGAAACATATGATCCCTTCAAAACAGTCCTCTAGTCCCAGTTTCTTCAACGCCTTGACCGCGTGAACTCTGTCCGCGTTGGTGAATATCTAATCACGGGATATGAGAAAAATGTTGTTATTTTAAGCTATAGTTTGGTATAAATTAAATAAAAATGTGAATGTGACACGTACGACTTTGCGGAGAGGAAGGCTAAGCAAGAGGCTGCGAAGAACAGGGTCGGGTTTGATGTTGTCGTACGGTAAACGACCGTGGACGAAGCTGTGGTACTCATCGTAATCAAAGTCATATCCGATTGCCTATAGAACGATCGAGAAAATGATTACAAAAGATATCTATAATTTCTTTTAAAAAGAATGAAACTTTGGAATGATATTTGATCACATACTCTAAGACCAGCCATTGTCGTTCCATAGTTCTTGTAGAGAAGATTAGACAATTCGACGATTTTGTCCTCCGGTATACCGAGTTTCTCGATCATGTAATCTATTAAGAAAGAAACAACATCCATATTCAGAAATGAGTTATATTAATCGATGAGTCGGTATAGTGTAAAAAAACAATAGTATTACCTTTGATGTTTTTCCCACATGCTCTAGCGATTCCGGTGCTGAGAGGATAAAGGGTATCATCCAAATCTATATCGCAAATTTGATAAACCGGTCAGTAAAACTATTCGCGTGATTAAGTAAAACTGATTAATTTATGTCGGTTAAGGACGTACCGAACAAGAGACAGTCGTACTTCTGCGTCGTTGCAAGTCCGTACCGGTTTTCGAACTCCATTTTCTGGAATAATTGATTGGATCAGAGACGAAAATCTTTAATATTTGGTCATTTAAATAGGGCTTTAATTCTGAATCATAGAGACTTTTCATGGATAATAATGATCCAAACGGGTTTTCTTTTTTTTCAGATTAGGTTTGCTTTTAATGATAGAGGGAGAATAAACCCCTGAAATAGTGGGGATAAAAAAAAAACAGAAATAGTTTTGTGTAAATGAATGGACGAAGTTGCTTGTGTCTCAAGAATTTAGGGATAGGATTTTTTTAAAACTGAATGGTTCAGCGAATTGCAACCACTAATTGGCTCCAACCAAATCATTTATTGGGATCACACATACAGACAAAGATACATATGTATGTTTGTATGCATAATTACACAGTTAACCAAATTGTTCAAGGAATAGAGAAAAATATATTGTAGTATTACTGAAAGGACTGAATAACCGGTTTTTGACCAAATATTTGACCGTTTGACTTAAAGAGGAGACCGATTTAAAAAACGGAAGATGTGATGGATCCGGTTAAAAATGCTTGGCCTGAGAACTTTCGTTTTCAACTTTGCAGCCACTCTCTATAACCCCGGCTTAGTTTTGTTTTAACGGATTTTAACAAAGAGCTATATACAGTAGTTGGTTTTCAATAAATAATCACATAACAAAAGGATGATTTATATGATTAAATTCATACTATGATGGATTAAAATTATATACTTATTTTTAGCAGAGTTTTTTAGAAGTAAACTTAGATAAATGTACGGGAAATAGGTAAATTTGGCGACGCTCAAACGATCGACGGGATAAATTTTGTTTTGCGTTCCCCGAGAAAAAAAAAAAACAAATACTAATAAACACAATTTGGAGAAAACAGGATACGGCAGGGAGTTTGCAAGCAAAACACAGAACCGACGAAATGTTCGTAAACGCAAGAAAGAAACAGGAAGGCGTTGAAGAAGATTCTAGAAGTTTTTTTTATACCTTAGCCTTCAACAGAACTGGTAGAGAAAAAAAACGGCGAGAGTAGAGAGAGAAAGAGCAGACTGTATGTGTATGTTAAGAGAGAGAAAGGTGTAGGGGAGGGATATAGCGAGGCGGAGAAGAGGTTTAAATAGGGAACTCTTTCCTGGCTCTTTTCGATCATTAAAAGCTATTTGCAACCAAAAATATTAATTATATTTTTCCTCCTAACTACTTTTAATTAAAACCGTGTGTTTTCTAAGTTCTAACGTACAAGTCAAATTAAGAAGATGGCCACGCCATTCTTCTTTCTAATTACGTGCTACATATTAAAAAAAAAATATGATATGATTCTTTCATAGAAAGAAAGAACTACAAGAGATGAAAAATCATAAATTTATGAGAAACTTCAACGATTTTTTTTTTGCTATAAGGATGATTAACTTCAAATTTCTATGGGTTTATGCTATATATGGTATATAATTACCCAAGTTTCCCCTCTGTCTTGCCAATAGTTCAAGACAAAATATTGTACTGGTCGAAATTATGCATTATTTTACTGGATTTGTACTAATCTTGGTTTATACTAATCTTGATGCACCGCCAGACCTGTAAAAAGTGATAGAAAGAGAACGATTAGCTTCTTTTTTTTTTCATTGTGGGTTGTTTTATTTATAAGCTTGTGTTTCTAGATGAATCGAGAATATACGGACTCTGGAACTAATAATAGCATTCTCTATATCTCTTGTATTCCTAAGAATTTCTTGAGCCAACTAGCTTCTTCTATCGTATTTTGTAATATAATTTACTGTGATTGTAAATTAGTATTGGAATTTTCTTCTGTTTTTTGGTCCAACAATTTGGCCGCATGAGTAATAATACTTTCAACTTTTGATATTTGGATCGTGTAATAGGAATTCAATATCGGTTGCCAATATAAAAGCCGTAAGACACCAAGTTGATCAACATCATTAATTATCTAAGATAAACTTGCAGAAAGTTGAAGGGTCTGATGAATTTAAAATATATAAATATATGCAGCTACTATTTGTTTGGGTTGAAATTGTGGAATTTAATATATAAAATCAAAATATGTAATAATATGTATCTCTAAAATACGATGATTATATTGTTGAAAGCTATAGTTATTTCAAATTTTGTTTTCTTTTGGTTTCAATCAATAATTGTTTGATTGGGTTTAATTATTTAAGCCAGAAGATAGGATCAAAAGCCGATCCTATCTCTTTGGTTCCAATTATTGAGGAACTAAAAACCATTTAAACTTTTTGTTTTATGACTTTGTGGTGCGTCTGGTTCCTAGACCCAAGGACGTCAAATAATCTGGAACTTAAGCACATGCGTTGAGACTCAGAATTTGGAACTATGGGACTCACTAAATAATTATTTCTGGATCTTAATACTTGTGACAAAATAAACGGAAAATCGTTTTGACTGTTTCTTCGGTAGATCCATACATTAATTAATGATTAGATATTCTTGGCTCTATATCGCATATGATTCGTACATCAATTAAATAAGCTATTTCGATTTTTTTTTTCCTAACCATTTCGAAAATTCTTTTAAAGCAATTATTTTGTGAATGGTATCAAACTGAATACTAAGTTATGTGAATGGTCATTAGGTTAAATGGTCATTAGGAAATTAGTTTAAGAATGGTAATAGCTCTACACACGGCCGGTTAAATGGTCATTAGGAAATTAGTTTTATATTCTGAATTGTCTTCGCTTATTTATGATTGTTAAATAACAACACTGAGGCATAAAGGTTGTTATCAACAACACTGAGGAATAAAGGGTTGCATGCATGCAAGCTTCAACTTTTCTCTCTTTGGCCTTAATTAGTCCTCCACTTAGGAACACGAACTCCTTGATGATGGCCACGCGAAACACGAGTATAATCAAGTTTTTCTCTATTGTTTATCATCTCAATTATTTTTATTTTGTAATTTTTATAATATTTACCTTGATTAGCAATCAATCATCACTAGTTATATTCGAACAGAAGAAAGTGAAATAGATCGTTGACAAATGAATGTGAACATGTGGTATATAGTATTTAATGACATGTGCATCATGCATGCATTTCCATATTAAAAGTTGTTTATTTAAAATATGCCGTCCATACCGGTAAACATTGAGTAATTTACGTTTAGAGTAAAAACTTGGAGTAGAATTGCTATTGTTAACGAGTACAAGCCATATACTATAATAAGTAACTCAGCTGTTCGCGGACGACGTGGAAAAGACTAATTAGCCTTGTTCTAGATATTACAGATCTAAGTTTGTAACTTCTTCTTCTTGTTAAAACAAAAATTAGTACAATCCGTGTTTGCTTTGAAACCGACTCGGGTTGATGATTATCTTTTTATTTTGGCTTAGTTTCGTATGTGCGTCTCATTATCTATTTCGTGTATTCGTTTTACAAAGTTGCAACTTGCACGATTATTCTCAAAGCAATTCGAACGAGATTAATTCCTTAATGGGTTCGATTCGGAATCAGTTAAAAACAAACAATCATTTAGAAAAAAATATAGACACACTGATCTCCATATCTTTATTTTATATTGTTTAATACCAACGAATAAATATACTTAGTTACAAAAATATATATATACTGATGGGGAATTATTCAATGGTGTGAACCCAAAGATTCACATGTATCATTTCATCACAAGGTATTCACCCTGTGAAGATGAAGTCAATAACTAATTCAAATATTTGGAGTTCGTGCTGACCATCGGAAGTGAGATACTTTCAAAATTCTACTGTTAACCACTTTAGCTTGACTGTACGTGACTAGTTCTTTTGTACTGTAGTTACTGTCTTTTAAAAGTTGCTACATTTAAAGCACTTGTAAAACTCCTTTTTCATTTATATGATATTTACAGTTAAGCAAAAAAAAAGTTGCTACATTTTATAAATTTATTCTTCGTTTTGCTAACTACTGATGAGAGTGAGGTTGCTGTTGATTTATATCTATGAAATGAAAGATTTTTAACTTTAACTTGGTGATACGTATATAACTTTGTACCAAATAAGCTAAAACGTGAATATAAGATACTAAAGTGCGAATCTGTCTGAATATATTTATGTCATAATTTATTTATTTTTCCCTAAAGAAATTAAAAGAAGAAAAGATGGGTAGAGTACATACTGGCCATATATAATTGGTACTTTCGAAAAAGACAGTCGAAATTTAGGAGGAAACAACAGCTGTTTGCAATTCAGCTTTTTCTAACATAAAATATTTGTTTTCTGATATATTAAAATGGCAAATTATTGGACTCGTGAGTCGTGAAGAAATACGAACAAGAAACAATAAACGCAAAGTGTCATAATTAGAAACTTTGGTATACCTTTAAAAATGAATGTTAGATATTTGTATGAAATTCCCTTTAATTTAATCACCTTACTAGCTAGAATTTGGAATTACGTGTACAAAATGTCACATTTGATTATTATGATTTAATTTGTAATTGGTTTTCTGATTCTGACTAATTCTAACTCTTATTTTCTTCGAACTAGTACTTGCATTTATATCGAAAGCAGCTAGTTGGCATTGATATTGACATCTTTGCTCTCTTTTGTTTGTTTGCCAATCTGTTTTAGTTCCTTTAAAATCATTTTCCGGGCTTTCTATTAAATTTTAAAGAACTGATAGCTTCTGGTTTTATGTAAGTGTAAGTTTCAACTTTCAACTATTAATATAATCTACGAGCTAGATGACAAAGCAAAAAAAGAATAATCCAGGATGCTTTAGTTTCAAGTTTCAACTTTCACCAGAGGAGATAAAATTAATTTTGAATATATATTTTTGGAAAACATAGCTCATGAAAATAATTATACAGATCCGACCTCTCAGTACGACGATTTCACGTTAAAAGAAAAGTAAATCAAATCGGGGTACTTGTAACAAATTTAAATAGAACGACGGACTCGTAAAAAAATTGAAAGTCATTGGTAAAAGAGACAAAAACTAAACGTAAACCACTGATAATATTTTCAAGAAATATTTATTCATTATTGGTCAAAATTTAATTGATATTATAGAAAGACATCAACATGAACCATGAACCATGACATGCAAACCCTAATACAATTTGATTGATAATGAACTTATTTATGAAAGTGGACCAGCAAGAAATATTGGTTTATCAAGTGTTTATTTAATTGTAAATCCCACAAATATAATTAATTCCTGATAATCCTAGCCATCACCCGAGAGTGTGATAGGCCCTCCCTCCATGTTCACATATAAGTTGACATTTTCTGGGAAACTAGAAATTGCAAGAAATTTTCGCTGACAACAAAGACCTGCAAACAACTCTATTTCCACATAAAATTTGTTGTTTTTATTTAAATCAGCTACACAAACGTTTTTAAAAATAGAATCAAACCGAGGTTGAAACTAGAAGACCGAGTCCAGTGAAAAGGAATAGTAAGAAAAGTAGACGACGACAATTAACTTAAGAACAAGAAACTGAGGAAATGTCATCTTTAATTCATTCAGCGCCGGAGTGACCATATATATATTCTAGGAGCTCTTGTCGCCACCAGTAATGTTCAGAAGGGGAAAAACCTCTTCCGGTTTAATTTAATGGGCTTTATGGGCTGGAACGGTTATATTAGGTTGTTGATCCAACTAGGCTACTGTTCAGATTGTTGATTGGTTGATTTTCGGGCCTTACGTTAAGTTATATTGGGCTTTAGTAGCAGCCCCAATAATAGTGGCGCTACTAACCAATTTAAACCATAATTGATCAAATCATAAATGTCACGTGCTTCAATTCTTTGGTCAAAATGACACCGGTTTAAGAGTTACCAAACCAATTGGTACGTATCTAAAGTTTCCGGCTTTTCGCTGCAAAAAAGGAAGAAGGACTCTTTTATTTCCCGCGCAAAGGGACTTGTTGTGCAAGTTGGCGCCGCCACAAATGGAATTAAAATAATGCGATTAAATATTAGTATATTAAAAGTGGAAAATATATAGTATTAAAATTTAATGTTTAGCAAATAATGATGGTGGAGAGCGTCTGAAGCGGTGGAGTGGGGTCACGCGTAACATAAATTTGGTGCTATCAACCACTTATGCTTACCCACGTCATCAATTCCAGCTCACAGTAAGCTGTTCGAATCAATCTCCACCGTCCGATTAATCAGGAAAGAGACGAAAATCAACATCGTGGGGAAGATTCCCGTTTTCATTTCTTTCTCCCTCCCAAAATTTCGATTTTTTTTTAAAGGAAACTAATCTGGAAAATTTTCGAGGTTTTATTTATTTAATTGATATATAAAATAAACATCTAACCGCCTCTTCTCAGACTTCAAAATTGTTCTGCCGTACGATTTTCAAATTGAGAGAAGAGATTGAAAGAGAGAAGTATGGAGGTGGTGGAGAGGAAGACGGAGATGGCGGAAGAAGGGTGTACAACGCCTAGAAGCATGAAGTATAGGATTCCGGTGGCTTCTGTTTGTCCTCCGCCGCCGAGGAAGAAATCAATGGTGGTGAGGAAACGAGATCCACCGAGGAACGGTTACTTTCAGCCGCCGGATCTGGAAACTCTGTTCTATGCACAGCCTCGACGAGAAGCTTGCGCTTAAATTTGATTTGATTTTTTTTCTTCTAGGGTTTGCTTTCCTCTGTAGATAATTGTTTCTATTCAGTGTAGGATTGTTCTAGAGATTATATTCTATCTGTGTCTTCCCCTTTCAGCGACGACGACGTGTTTCTGTGTATCGAATTGAATTTTTTTAATGAAACAAAATTGAGATTTGTTTTTCTCAGAATTCTTTCTTTATCTTTCCGTTATATCTCGAATTCAGATTTGCGATTTGATTCTTGGCTTGTGTTTTCATTTGTTGTTACATATTGGAGAGATTTGAATCTTAGTAAGTGTTATGAGATTGGAGATTGAACGAAACTCTGTGTCTTGTGTTTATTGATTTAAAAGTTAAATGTGTGACTTCAATTACAGTCTTGTGAGAAAGTGAAGAGAATCATAAACACTGAACAATACAACATCAAAGATTACAAAAAATTTGCAGATGACCATTGCAATGCCCTTGAGCCTAATTGTTCTGTTCTGGTTTTATGTGTTTCTAAAACAAGGTGAAATATTGACATAAACATTGCAGTAATAATTGATACACATGTAGTGGTAGCTTCCTGTTACATCATGAGTGTTGAAAAGTACTCCTCAAACTCTTGATCAATGATGGACATGAAGAATCAGAGAGGGAAGCCTGTTCCAGACAAAAAGTGTTTCGGTATGGGTGGTGACAAGTCTGATGCTTCAGCTCGCAGTTTCCTCTTTTTGCTTAAGTGAAATCATTCCTCAGCAACTATCACCGTACCGTTTGTTTCGCTGAGAGCACGTAATCGAATAGTAAAGGTCGTAAATTTCAACTGCATAAAGGAATTATAAGTTTTCTTCCCATATACTTCACTCATACCATAAGGGTTCCTATCAAAATTGCAATTTACAGCTCCAAGAACACCGCAGCCACCGCTAATTGCAAGTGGAAACAAAACAGAAGAAAATATAAAAATCTTTCGACACTGAGATGAAAGGAACTTTTAAAGCACGAAACCGGTTGGTCCAGAATCTATAAACCCTACAAGTAATATTTGTACATAAGAGTAAAGAGAAGCTTTGTTTAAGATTCCAGTGTTGAGTAGAAATACAAATCCCAAACACTAAACGCATTTAACCTTTAGACACTGTGTAGAAAAACCATCGAACACCACGATACTTTATTGCTCAGGAAGTTACTATTCACAACAAAAGATGAAAACTTTCTGGAATCATACAAAAGCAGAACACAAGAGAGTATTCCGATTTCAAACGGATAATCAGAGAAACTTGGAGTTGATCTAACGCGCGTCTTAAGCATCAAGCACTTGTCCTGGTGGTGCGCATTTAGGATGGACTAAGAGATCACTGTTACTTGCGTTTCACAAATTAATGGTGCATACAAAGTACTTCTTTGTGTCTTTCCAAGATTATTATCAAACTAAAAACATGGATTTTCTTAACGAAACATTTTGAGATGTTTAGTTTTTGCGGAAGAATTACATTACAAACCAAACTTTCGTTCCTTCCTACCCGGCCCAACTCAATAAATAATGGATTCTTTAATCGACATACAAACTAATACTACTATATTGGGCTATATAATTGGGTATAAGTATTTAATTAGACTAGCGTGAGATGTTTATCATAATATTAGTATTAGGTTAAAAGAGTAGATCTCCTTTGCTCTCTCTCTCTAAAGGGTTAGCCGCGCTTTTCGTAAACCTAACCGAAGTCCCATATGGCGGTCGTTTTCGCCGTTACTCAGTCCGGCTCAGTTATGTATATTCTTGTCTCTAAGCGAGTAAAGGTAATGGAACGGTCACACTACTTGGGCATGTGCTTTTTTTTTCTTTTCTATAAGAAATGCATTTCATGATTTAAAAGATGGATCTTGGTTCATGTTTTTTTTTTTTCTGGGTTTAATTTGGAATTCGGATTCAATAGTAACCGAAGTAGAAACGTTATTTGAGTCTATGTGATATTTGGTTTTCGATTGCGAATATATTCTTCCTTTGCGAATTTCTGATTTGGACGCTGCTATAACAAATGAAACAGGCTCCTCCAACCAAAGAATCGCCGACTGTCCGTACTCTTTGGACTTTATCAGCCAGCCCTTTTTCTTTATGAATTACTAAATTACCCTCAGAAAGGGATAGGACCGAAATTCCCGAACCCTAGTCTCTACCGTCCCCGGAGCTATAAAAACAAAACCTTTCTACTTTCTACGATTAGTCGCAGCCACAGATTTTTTTTCACCAAAACATTTTGTAGTCGCCGTCGTCAAAACCATGACGTCTTTCATAGGCGCGCTTCCTTTCCCCGGCAACTACGCCAGTAAGATCACTCTCTGTAGCTCAAATGATGTGTTTATTACTCTGCGTTTCGTAATGGCTCTTATGCATTTTCGTTGCAGCCGCTGCGATGGGCGTATTCTGGGATATCCAGGAATGCGGGATGGTTGAGTTTTATGATATTCCGGCCGAGGAACGCAATGCTGCGGTGGTTGTGCAGAGGATCAGAAAGACTATTGCGGATTCTGGCCATAGTGGTCCGCTCTTTATCAGCGCTTACGGTGATATGACTCCTCACGACTTCTCCTCCTCGGGAATCAAGCTCAATCACTTTCCTGCAGGTCTAAAACATACCTCTCTTTGATTTATCATGATGTCTTGTGATAAGATTCAATCTTATTTAATTATCCTAGGAAGTTGAGCTATTTGTTGCAACCTTGTACAAATATATCTTCCTCTCTTTGATTGATCACGCATGTAGCTTGTGATAAGATTCATTCGTATCCTAGTATTATTATGTAGGAAGTTGAGTTATTTGTTTCACTCTGATTCGGTGATTGTTATGTAGGAAGTTGAGTTATTTATTTCTTACTTTCTAGGACTAGTTGTTTCACCTTCTGCAAATTTGTTTCCTCCAATGCTCAGTTTCCATAATCGTTCTCTAAAGTTAGCAGCTTGATCTTGGATGCCTCTCTAATACTGTATGTATTTTGTTTCAGGAGAGAAATATGCGAGAGAGACGAAGATTTTGGAGGACATTGTATCGTGGGCAGCTGAGAATCCCGAACCATCAACTTTGATGCTCATCGCCGGAGACGTCGTCCCCAATGACATTCTGATGGCGGTTAAACTTTTGCAAACGAAGAAGAAATACAAGCTGATGTATATACACCCACACCACCCAACGGTTGTGGTTCTGGTTGCTTCAACCTCTGGTAGAGACTAATGTAACGGGGCTATTATAAGTGGAAACTAATGTAACGGGGCTATTATAAGTGGAAACTAATGTATCGGGGGAGTAGCATTAGCACTAGTATTAGTATTAGTAGTAGCCGTAGTAAGTGTTATGCTATTGGAGATTGAACGAAACTCTGAGTCTTGTGTTTATTGATTTGAAAGTTAAATGTTTCTTCAATTACAGTTCGGTCAGAATGTGAGAATATCACTCTGTTTCTTCAAGTTAACTATTCACAAAAGATGAAAACTTTGTGAAATAAATACAAAAACAGAACACAAAAGAGTGTTTCGACTTCAAACGAATGATCAGAGAAACTTGGAGTGATACATTCAGATTCAAGATACGAGTTTTGAGCATCCAATTTCCAATTTCCTTGTATAAAAAGAAGAGGTTTCAAATTGCAACAGAATAATCAAATAAGTAGAAAAGATGACATATATATTTTATGTTCATGACATGTGAGGGGAAAAAAAACCTATGATCCAGCGATGGAATACTACTAGTCTCACACCTAAAAATTCCCAGAAATCAGCTGTGTTCCTGATGATTACAAACTAAACTTTCGTTCGTACCCGGCCCAAATAAATAAATAATACTATATTGGGCTATAGTTGGGTATATTTAACTAGCCTAGCGTGATCATAATAGTATTAGGTTAAAGAGTAGATCTCCTTTGCTCTGTCTCTCTAAAGGGCTAGCCGCGCTTTTTCCTATATTCCTCTCCTAAGTCCCATATGGCGGTCTTTTACTTAGTCCGGCTCGGTTATGCTCTGTGCGAATAAAGGTAAAGTAACTGGTCGTTCACACTCACTTGGGCATGTGCTTTCTTTTTTTTTCTATAAGAAATGCATTTCATGATTTAACAGATTCATGTTTGGTTTTTAGAGTGGCTTTTTTTTTTCCGGTGGGATATTTCCGGTGGAATTCAGGTTCAATAGTAACCCAAGTGGAAACATTTAATTTGATCATGTGATTGGTTTTCGATTGCGAAACCAAAGAATCGCTGACTGTCCGTACTCTTGAACCATCCCTTTTCATAATGATTGCAGCCCAACAATTACTAAATTACCCTCAGAAAGGGATATTAGCTGAACCCTAGTATCTCCCGTCCCCGCAGCTATAAAAGCCAAAACATTTCTGGTTTCCACCACTAGTCGCAGCCACAGAAGATTCTAGTCTCTCTTGAAGCCCGTATTGTAGTCGCCGTCGTCGAAACCATGACCTCTTTCATCGGCCCGCTTCCTTTCCACGGCAGATTCGCCAGTAAGTTCTCTCTCTCTCTCTGATTTTGTCTCTGCGTTTGGTAATGGCTCTTATGGATTTTCCTTGGATCTAAAACCTTGCAGCCGCTGCGATGGGCGTTTTCTGGGATATCCAGGAGTGCGGGATGAATGAGTTCTGGGATATTCCGCCTGGGGAACGCAATGCTGCGGTGGTTGTGCAGAAAATCCGAAAGACTATTTCCGATTCTGGTCATCGTGGTCCGCTCTTCATCAGCGCTTATGGCGATATGACTCCTCACGACTTTTCCTCCTCCGGAATCAAGACCACTCACTTTTTCCCAGGTCTAAACCAAAATATCCCTTCCCCTCTTTGATTAGATGAACTTGAGTTATTTGTTTCAGTGTGCAAATTGTTTCCTCCATTGTTTTCTCTTTCATCTTGTTCTCTTTCTAATTTGTGTTTTGTTGCAGAAGAGAAATACGCGAGAGAGCAGAGGATGGTGGAGGACATTAAATCGTGGTCGGCTGAGAATCCAAAACCATCTTCGTTTATGCTCATCGCCGGCGACGTCGTCTCAAACGACATTCTTAGGGCTGTTCGACTTTTGAAAATTAGGAAGAAATTCAAGTTGATGTACATTCACCCTCACCACTCTGAGCCCGAGGTTCTGGTTGCTTCTACCTCTGGTCGAGCCTAATGCGTCGGGGAAAATAAAAGTCGAAACTAATGTATCTCGGACTAGTACTACTCTTTAGTATTTTCTTTTCTTGCTTGTATCGGATCATCCTCTTTTGTATAAACTGTCGAAGCAGAAATCAAAATCCTATTAATTTAACATATACTGATAACCATCTTCTTGGATTTCCTAGACAGATTTGCGATCTGATTCTTGGATTAAGTGTCATGATTGGAGATTGAATGAAACTCTGAGTCTTCTGCTTATTGATCTAAAAGTTAAAATGTTTTTTCAATTACAGTTCAGTCAGAAACTGAGTATATCATAAACACTGTTGAACAAGACAACATCAAGGCTTACAGAAAAAAAATGCAGATGACAATTGCAATGCCTTTGAGCTTATTTTGTTCTGTTCTGGTTTTATGTGTTTCTAACCCAAAAAAAAACACGGTAAAATATTTACATAAACAGAGATACACATGCAGTAGCTTCCTGTTACATCATAAGTGTTGAAAAGTAGTCCTCAAACTCTTGATCAATGGTTGGTTTCGTGGTAGTTTCTTCAGAATCTGTAATCCAAATGGTGATGATATCAAAACGAATCCCATAAAACGTGACACTAAAAACCAACTCTTTTAGCATTTTCTTTTTTAGTTACCTTGGTTGCTCACACTCCACCTTGCAGAAGAAAGAGTGTAGTAAGAACCTTCTAGATTCGAATCTTGAGAGTGGAGAAGCTCTGGAAGATTTTCGACCCCAAACTCGGGGTAAATGAACTCCATCTCACTAAGCTCATCAACATATTCTTGTGCTTTGTCATTACCTTTGGAACAGCATTGGTCTATGCTTGATCTTGCATAACCAGAACTCGAATTTGAACTTCCCGCGGTTGAGTAAGAAGAGTCTTTAAACGTGTACAAAGAAGCCCCTCCTGTGACAGATGCAGAAGAAGAAGAAGAAGTCTCATCGCTGGTCTTTGTGTCTTCCATAGCATGAGAACATTCTGCACATTCTATATCTGATGATGGACATGAAGAATCAGGAAGGGAAGCCTGCTCCAGACAAAAGTGTTTCGGTAAGGGTGACAACAAGTCTGATTCTTCAGCTCGCTGTTTCCTCTTTTTGCTTGAGTCAAGACATTCCTCAGCAACTACCATCATATCGTTTGTATCGCTGAGAGCACATATCAAATAGTAAAGGTCGTAAATTTCAACTGCATAAAGCAATCATAAGTTCTCCTCTTACAAGACACGACTAAATACTTAAATTCATACCATAAAGGATCCTATTCAGGTTGCAATTTACAGCTTTAAGAACACAGTGACCCACACTAATGACATCAATTGAAAGTGAAAACAATATAGAACAAAATATCAAAATCATTAGATACTGATACCACTGAGATGAAATGACCTTTTTAAAGCACGAAACGGGTTGGTCCAGAATCTCTAAACCCTACAAGTAATATTTGTGTATAAGAGTAAAGAGAACTTAAGATCCAAGTGTTGAGTACCTCTTTAACCCATCAACAAGTTGCAGTAAATACAAATCCTAAACTCTAAACACATTTCACCTATAAACACACTGAGAAAAACCATCGAACACCTTACAAGTACGATACTTTATAGCTCAGGAAGTTACTGATCACTGAAGATGAAAACTTCTGGAAACATACGAAAGCAGAGCACAAGAGCGAATTTCAACTTCATACGGATAATCAGAGAAACTGTGAGTGATTTTTCAAATTCAAGATACGAGTTAAAATTTTAATCTATACCAAGAAGATGTTTCAAATTGGCAACAGTACGAACATGAGCAGAATAAAGAAATAAGTAGAAAAGAAGATATATTTTTATGTTCATGAGATGTAACAGAAAAAAAACCTATGATCCAGCGATGTAATACTACTCTCATCTGCATCCATGGTGTTGAAAAAAATTCTTCCTCGAAACCCAGAAATCAGAGTTGTTGTTGTTTGATAGTTGATGATGGTGATGAAGTGATTATGATGTCTTGTCTCCGAAGGAGAAAAGCAAACCCAAGTTCTCAGCCAAAAGCGACTGCAGATCACGGCCTGAGCTGGCGAGCAACCGTTGGATCATGGGTGAGGCCTCACGTGTAACGGCGCGTGATCTAAGAATATTTACAGTAAAAGACAGTAAACCGCGTGCCGTTCCCACGTGGGAGCGAGACTTCGGTAGGCCCGGACGCTAAAGAACACGTCAGCCTTTGGGCTTTAAGGCTTTTGGGCTTTTCTCCTGCCAACTTTGTTTAACGAATCACATGTTTTGGTTATGTTCTTCTTCCTAGTTTTTCACCTTTTACATTACAGTAGCAATTCAAATATGTTTTGGTTATGTTCTTCTTCCTAATTATACACATTTGTTTTTAAGTAAATTATTTAATATTTTTTCCCTACCGATTAGCAAAAGAAAAAGAAAAGTAAATAAATTCCGTTTCTTTTCCTGTTTTTGTTGTTGTTAACATAAACCGGTTTGATTAATAATCGGTTTTGTAAAAAATCTGCTTCTATTAACCCAGTCAGATACAACGGCTTCTTTTCCTGTTTTCCAACAAGAAGAAGAGACATAAATCCCAAAATTTGCTGATCCCATAATCATAATTCACAAAGTCCCATCAATCGATCTCTTTAAAAATAAATTTCGCAACTCTCTGATCAATTTTCAGCAATCACCATTTCAAACCAACCTGAATCTCCCGACTGTAAGTATCCAGAACTCTGATTTTCGTTTTCCGATCATAAAGTTTCGATCTTTTACCCTGTGCTTTTGAGGTTCGGATCAGGGTTTTAAAGTTGATTTCTTTTTTAATCTGCTGAGTTTTGTTTGTTCTCTCTTGTTTGTTTCAGCAAATCGAATAAAGATTTCAGTACTGCTATTCTCGGGAGGAACAAGTCTCCGAACCGACTTGTTGTCGACGAAGCCATTACCGATGACAACTCTGTCTTCTCTCTCCATCCCACCGCCATGGAAAAACTTCATCAAGTTTTCCGTGGCGATACGATTCACAACAAGGTTTGGTTTTTACAAATTTAAAAACCTGTATTGCTGGAATCGAAACTTTTTCTGGTTTCTTGATTGACGATTGTTACCAAATTAGGGTTTTTTTCTTGCTTGGCCGATGGATTCTTACGTGATTGTATTTGTTCTCTCTTATTTGTTGTGATCTTATAAACGCATTGAGTCATGGACTCATTGGTCGAAATCTAAACTTGTTCTGTTTTTAAAAGTGATCTTTTATATCTTGGTGATTTCTTACTTGATTCCGCTTCTGCCTTTACAGAGTAAGAAAAGGAAGGACATTGTGTGCATTGACCTTGCTGATGAATCATGCGAGGAGCCTAAGATAAGAATGAACAGATCGTTAGATAATTAGGGAACCTGTTGAACTTCCATTGAGGCATCCACAACTGTTCAAGTCACCAAAGCGTATTCTTATTGCTCGCTCCGTGGCCAACGAAACCGGAGCGTTTTTCTTCTGTATCATTGGACCTGAGATCATGTCGAAACTGGCCGGTGAGAGTGAAAGCAACCTCAAGAATGCATTTGAGGAGACTGAGAAGAAGACTATGGGAGAAGACTGATGGAGAGGTTGAGAGGAGGATTGTCTCTCAGCTCCTTACGCTTATGGATGGACTGAAATCGGTGTTCCTGATGAAATCGGACGTCTTGAAGTTCTTAGTATCCACACGAAGAACATGAAGCTAGCTGAAGATGTAAGTAAAATTTCTTTAATCTATAGCATCTCTACATGTTTTGTTGATGGTTCTCTGGTTGCAATGTTTAATAAAGATCTGTTTTTTAAACAGGTGGATCTAGAAAGAATCTCCAAAGACAGACATGGATATGTTGGTGCCGATCTTGCAGCTTTATGCACTGAAGCTGCCCTTTAATGTATCAGAGAGAAGATGGATGTGATTGACTTGGAAGATGACGAAATTGACGCCGAGACTTCAACTTCCAGACTGCTCTTGGAAACAGCAACCCATCTGCACTTCGTGAAACCGTAAGTGTTGTTTCTCTGCTTGTATATGAATCAGAAGCTATTTATTCACATTGTTTCGATTCTAATCATTTCATTTCATTTAACAGGTTGTGGAGGTTCCAAATGTCTCATGGGAGGATATCAGATGTCTTGAGAATGTTAAGAGAGAGCTACGAGAGGTAAAATTGTTTCTACATCTTTTGCTTTCGATCTAAATTGTTTCTGTATCTTAGAACTAATCCATGATCTATTGTTTTGGTTGCAATGCAGACTGTTCAATACCCTGTGAAGCATTCAGAGAAATTCGAAAAGTTTGGAGACAAACCCTTTTAGCCAAAGTTATAGGAAACAAGTGCCAAGCAAACGTCATAAGTGTCAAGGGACCCGAACTCCTCACAATGTGGTTTGGAGAAAGTGAAGCCAATGTTCGTGAAATCTTTGACAAGACTCGTTAATCTGCTCCTTGTGTTCTGTTCTCCGACGAGCTCAACTCCATTGCTACTCAGAGAGGAAGCCGCGCGGGTGATGCAGGCGGTGCAGCTGATAGACTTTTGAATCAGCTTCTGACGGAAATGGATGCGAAGAAGACGGTCTTCATTATTGGATCAACTAACAGGCCTGACATTATTGATCCGACTCTTCTTCTTCCTGGAAGACTCGACCTGCATTCCCGTCTCAACATCTTCAAGGCTTGCCTGAGGAAACCTCCTGTTGCTAAAGATGTCGATGTAACTGCACTCGCTAAGTACACTCAGGAATTCAGTGGTGCTGATATCACTGAGATTTGCCAGAGAGCTTGCAAGTACCCCATCAGATAAAACATTGAAAAGGTTAGATATTTATCTTCTCTTTAGTTCCTGAAGTGAGATTGATGTAAACTGTAAATGCTAATTCAGCCATTTTTTTGGTGTTTTTGTTAGAGATGTCACTCGCTAAGTACACTCAGGGATTCAGTGGCGCTGATATCATTGAGATTTGCCAGAGAGCTTGCAAGTACCCCCATGAGTGAAAACATTGAAAAGGTTAGATATTTCTCTTTTTTTAGCTCTTGAATTGAGATTGATGTAAATTGTAAATTTTAATTCGGCTATTTTTTGGTGTTTTTGTTAAAGATATCGACGTGACTGCACTCGCTAAGTATACTCATGGATTCAATGGCGCTGATATCACTGAGATTTGCCAGAGAGCTTGCAAGTACGCCATTAGAGAAAATATCTTGAATTGAGATTAATGTAAATTGTGAATGTTAATTTGGCTATTTTTTGGTGTTTTTGTTCCTTACGATATGGGAAAACCCTTTTAGCCAAAGCTATAGCAAACGAGTGAAAAACAAACAACTGTCAAGGGACCCGGACCCGAACTCCTCACAATGTAGTTTGGAGAAGAAAAACTAAGGGAGAAAGATAAGTGTTTTTTCTCTCTTTATTTATTTATTTATTTATTTATCCACATTAAAATCTGAATTAGTTTAATATTGATTAAATTGATATTAGTTGAAACTAACCGGTATCCAGTCATTTGAATTCATTTGGTCGTTAGAGATTGCCTATGTTCAATTTGTATCATAACTAATATAGATCAATCGGTTTTTATTAGGAAAAAAAAATTATTATTATAATATTAAATAAAACTTAACATAGAATCTCATATTGTTTATTGTATTGTTTCAGGTTAAAAAAAAATTAACTAAATGAAATTTAGAAAGCAAGAGATGCCGAGAAAAAGAAACTAAAAAAAGATAAGTATTCTATTCTTTTTTTTATTTATTCGCATTAAAATTTAGATTAATTTAAAATCGATTAGATTTACATTAGACGTGATACTAACCGGACATGGTATCTAGCCATTTGAATTCATTTGGTCGTTAGAGATTACCTATGTTCAATTTGTATTATAACTAATGTAGATCAATCGGTTTTATTAGGAAAAAATGATTATAATAATTATAATATTAAATGAAAGTTGAATCTAATCCAAATATGGAATTTCATATTGTTTTTGTATTGTTTCAGGTTAATTTTTTTTTTTCTCAAAATATAATTCAGAAAGCAAATAATGCTGACAGAAAGAAACTTAAAAATAAAGATAAGTTTTTTTTTTTAATTAATTCATTCTTATTAAAATATAGATTGGTTTAAATTTGATTAGATTTACATTAGATGTGATACTAATCAGACATGGTATCCAGACATTTGAATTCATTTGGTCATTAGAGATTGTCTATGTTCAATTTGTGTCACAACCAATGCAAATCTATCGATTTTTTATTAGAAAATAATAATAATAATTTGCAACATTAAATGAAATTTTAATCTAGTCCAAACATGCAATTTGGTGTTATTTTTGTATTGTTTAGGTTAAAACTGTTGCAATAAAGACATCACAAAAAAAAACTTATAACTGTATTTATTTTATGATATTTTATTTTGGTTATCATTGCAATTTTCAGATATATCATTTAAATATAACGTCAACAAAAATGATGTTTTGTGGGCAATATAATTTTATAATTTTGCGGCTATGATAAAAAATTGCAATTTTATTATTTTGCAGAAAATATGGTTTTACTGTTTTGGCAAAAAATAAGATTTTATGGTTTTGGCAAAAAATACATAATAAACAGTTTTGGCAAAAAATTATGTTTAGCGGAAAAACGTGATTCTACAGTTTTGATGGAAAAAGACGGGAAAACTTAATTTTGCGGATTTGGCAATAAATACTTTTTGCAATTTTAACGGGAACACATGATTTTGCTGAGAAAAATCTAATTTTACGATTTTGGTTGATAACTCAGTTTTACTGTTTTGGCGAAAAACACGATTTATGTTTTATAGTAAAAAAACATAATTTTACAGTTTTAGCGGAAGAATGAAATTTTGTAGTTTTTACAGAAAATTAAATTTACTGTTTTTAATCATAATTTTTGTTTTGACTATTTTGTCAAAAATATATATTAAATATATGCTAAGTTGCTTTTTATATCATATTAAATGATATTTTAATCTTTTGATTTTTGAAATATAAATATTGCATTTATACTATACTTTTTTAACAACTTAAATATTTAAATTTTTAAAACTAGATAATAGATAACTGAGGCTCTATTCGTTTTTGTATGTAGATATTGTATCTTGGTGCAAATACTTAAATATTATTTGTTTGAACATTGAGAAAGTTTATATTTTGTGACCTGACCTGATTTACTAAAGTAATACATTTTTGTCAAACTATCTTTGTCATAAAAAATATATTTTTTAAAACCCACAACTATCTATTACATATAATTATTAATGATATTCTAGTTTAACAATGACGGAAATTCATAATGGTTAATTTTCAGCATCCAAAACCTTAGGATAATATATATCATCTTGAGAAATCTAGAGCGAAATTTGTATGCACTTTGAAGGATTAAATACTATTTTACATCTCGTATATTACACAAAGGTTCAATTGTAGTAGTATCAAGAAATTTTGAATCCCTAAAATCATATATAAGGTATGAAAAACACGCAAATGGAATCTACTAGTGCGATCTTTGTGAGGAAACAATAGCTCCAACTCCAAACACCGGACTCTATAGATGAATGTGAGAAGTCACGCTCCATATTGAATGTTTACTTGGAGAGGATCTATTTACGAATCCACCTGCAGGTTCAAGAATAGAGTTGGTTATTGTTCAGAAAAAGTGTTACGAATCCACCAGGTTCAATATGTATACATGTTTTACTTCAAAATCATAGAATCAACTGATTAAGCAATTGTGTAAAACTGTAAATTCATAAGTAATACATATAAACAGGTTTTAGAATCGCTGTTTTTAGTTTAAGCTTTTAGTTATTACCAAAGAGGCCGCAACGTCTACCAAATTGTCTTTTGAGTATACTATATATATTTGTATAAATCATCTATTCGACAATCCATCGGGTTCCTTGATGTTAACAGGTCCCAGAAACTCGTATTTGGTTTGACCAGTTGGATTCAAAGGTCAAATTTTTGGAATGAATAGAACAAGGATATATAGTGCATTTTGACTCTTGGGAGGTATTTAGAGTTGGAAGTTGTTCAATTTGGTTGTGTGTTTGCTAGTCTGATCAAGTAATTTGTTTATCCTCTCTCACTAGCTTTAGCTTGCAGGATAATTGTTTGATTAAATGCTCACTTTAATGAAGTTTTTTGTGCATCATCTCTGTGTGATTCAGTGGAGAAGCGTGGGTGTTTTCATTTCTTGGGGGAAAATGAAGTGCTTCTTATTCCCTCTTGGGGACAAGAAAGATGAACAGAGAAGCCCTAAACCGGTTTCACCCACGTCTCACTACACGGACAAATATACTCTAAATCCATTTTGGATACACAACATTGAGCGAAACAATTTTTAAAAATAGACTTTTCTTCTACCCCAAAATTTCATCAACACAGTAAAGTGGTAAATGACTAAGCCGTTGAAAGAAGAAATAAAATACAAGAAAACCTAAAAGGGAAAAATTAATCACGCAACGAAAGTAGCGTGTTAAATACGAAACAACATAGACAACTACTAACAACTCGGAAGTTATTACCCATACGCACGTGTTGGCAAACGAGTCTCACTCACTCTAGCCACGTGGAGGAGCATCCACCTTCTTCTACCAGATAACCATTTCTAATTCTACGTACCGCAAAAAAAAAATCTATAATTTACACAGATAAACGAGTTACCGGGTTGGTTATATACGGGGTTTACGATCCGATTCCGAGTCTCTGACCGGATACATCACATTGTACCGGAGCTAAACCGATTCGGGATCCCTGTAAATCGAATTCGATCCACATGTTCTGCTGATGGTGATGTCCAATCACGTATGCTTCCATTCCCATTAGATCGGAGTTTCCAAATGTGAAACAATAAACCGAATCGTTCCCGACCGTGAGATGCGGCACTCTGTATAATAGCGGCTGACCAGAAACCGCAATCTCAGCTCCTTCGAAAACTAAAGAAACCGTTGGTAATCGGTGGACTATCCCCGCCCGAATCCGAACCGGCGAAATCCGGTAACACAGATCCATGGTTCCTTGGAAAACGAAATCCGGTTCTTCGTAAACCGTCAGGATCCCGTTTGTTCGGTTTAAGAATTCGGTTCGAAGCGCTGTGTAAACCGGTCCGAGCAAGAAAGTAAACTGAGTACCAGAATCAACCATGGTTTGACCAGCACCGGTATGATCCGGTACGAGAACCGATTTAGGGATGGGCAATAGCTTACCGTTAACTTTAATCCCCGTGAGCTGGACGGTGTAAGCGACACGGTCGAAGTAAGGTAACGGCGTGGAGATCCGGATTAACGGCGTGTAATTTAACGGCGTTAGCCACGTGAAATTGGAGTCGCCGAGGAGAAGAAAACCCGGGAAATCGTCGGTGCCGGAGATGCAATAGGAGAATTTGGGGAAACCCATCTGAGAGATGAAGGAGAGCGATCCACGGTTCATGCCCAATAGCCCGGTTGTTTTGTTATCCTCTTCCGGGTCGGATCCGGATATGGATCCCATACACCCGAAAATCAGACTCGAGTTGTTGGTGGAGTTTCCGATGTGGAAAATATCGGCGGCGAGGTTTCCTTCGGAGGAGGAGGCGTCGGCGTAGGAAAGGGTTGCGTGGCATAGTTTGTCGGAATCACAGGAAGCGGGTATGAGGAAATCTCGGGTCCGGGTCCGGCAAGTGGGTGAGGAACAGGGGATTGGAGAGTAAGAGGAAGAACGGGTCGGGTCGAAGTTATTAATCGGGTTAGGGTTTGAGGTACGGTTGCAGCGAAGCCAAGAGAGTTCGCTGCCAGTGTCGATGACCATGGAGATGTTTTGGGGAGGAGTACCGACGGTGAGTGTGACGGTGAGAGTAACGTTGTGGTGGAAATGGAGTTTGTCGGTGGGTCGACGACCCGAACTATCCGTTGGGGTCATTCGGGTCTTTAGAGGCAGAACAAGAGTTTGAGAAGAAGAGAAACATCTATGGCACCTAATGAAAAGAAGAAGAATAAGAAGAAGAGAAAACGTAGGATAAAATCTTGGAAACATGATGAGAAAATTTTGCTTATGAATTCGAGAAAAGTTTGTGTGTATTGCAAAAAAAAGAAAAGAAAAAAAAAAGACTGAGTTTGTGTAAGCGAAGAAGAAGAAGAAGAAGAAGTACAGAAGAAGTGAAGTGAAGTGAGTTTGGTGCAAGTTCGCTGAACAGCTGGAAAATATCTGTTTTGTTTTATTTTGCTCCAATGTAAATATAAGGACTTTCTGATTAATTTAGAAAAAATAGTTTTACGATATTATTCTGCATGTATGTATTATCTCTATCAGTGTCATAGTTTTCTTTTATCAGATTAGTGTTTTGACTTCCGAATTTATTATTCGTGTTATAATACTGTTTGAGTAATAATTAATAAATAGAACCAATAAATTTTGGTTGCGCGATATGTTTTTTCATTAAGGTTTTTTCTTGCATATATTTAAAATAAATAATGTAAGAGTACAAGACGCTAAACACATATGACATGAAGTAATTAACAAATAATAACTTTAGAATAGCTTAACTTAGTCAGATGATTAGTAATGTATGCACTGAACATAACAAACGGCTCCAAAATCAAGAAAATATAATTAAGAGAATGATTTTAATATTATTATATCTCTTCATCAGACTAAATTTGTTATAAAATTGAAAATGTTAACTTACACTTCTGTTTTTCAAAAAACACCACAAGTCGATCAGCATGTGTGTTTGCCTTGGTTTCTTCATTGTATTTGACATGGGAGTTTGGACGGTGCGCATATATTTAAATAAAGACGGATTCACTTGTCTCTGTTTTCAGTTCTAAACTTCATCAAAGAACACAAGATTTGCCAACACTTGCAAACTTTGCGACTATATTTATACAGTGTTTATATATGTTAGGGATTTGGATCCCATATTTAGATGTAAAAACTCTATTTTTAGCTAATCATTATATTAAAGAATATATTCCTCACATTTCCTATGTTAAACAAGCTGTAAGATGATGAACAATGTTGGCTTTTGACAGAATGAATAAAATATAGTCCAAAAGAAAAAAAAAAGAGTTCGAAGATGTGACGTTCACATGGAAAGAGACTTTAGAAAATAGAGAGGATGGTTGCACATGTTGTTTGCCTTGCTGTATTTAGGACAAAGCCCCATCATTTATTAGTTGGGTCCATTTTCCTCGAATCCTGCTCCAAATCAAGACACCTTCACTTACCAATCAGTCTTCTCACTTGACACTTGCCCACTAGGTCCGCTCGTGTGACACATTAATTTGAATTCACTATACTGTTTAACTTCTAAATTCAAATATTTTAGGATGAAATGTTTGAATAAAGTTCAGTTTCAAACTATATAGAGTCTATGGTTACAACCTACGTTGCTCTGAATTAAGGATGAATGTTTGATAACTTTTGCGACTAAACTAATCTGTTACATTTTTCTGTTATCATTTAGATTTAATATTATTTAGACAGATTTTTATCAGAAAACTTAGATAAATTTCACCAGAGTTCGCATTCAGAATCACGATGTTATCATTTATATCTATCAAAGAGAGATTTTGTATGGCATTCTTTGGATTTTCTGTTTGTGTCGCTATGCTTTTGGCTTTACAGTTGCCACTTTACAACCAAGGAGAATAAATGGTAATCTCTTTAGGTGCCGACATGGCGGCGTTAATATATCGTCGATAGTAATCAAAGATTAGCCGAGTTTCAAAAACTCACAATCGTAAAATATCTGACTCACCAATTTGATTACTGAACAACATTCTATTTTGAAACAAAAAAATATTATATTTTGGTATACTTGCATATCAGTTTTTATGTCTGTTAAACATATATGCATTACTACATATGTCAATCAAATTCATGTAATTTATGTCTAACGACCAGAGAACTTGTTACCATATATTATTATACTATGTTCGATTTGTTTTCGCAATGATGTATTCTATAAGTTAAACTTCCACAGGCTAATTAATTTGATAATCTAAAATCCCACAACGTTTGGATATGTGAAAAAGAGGAGAGCATTTCTACTACCAAATTAATTAGTAATTAAGGTTATTTTTACGCTGCAGTGAAAACGAATTTGAACTTTTCTATGATTAGACCAGAACATTCACTTGACAATGAAATAGCATGCCTATACTTCCCCCGAACATGAATATATCAAAGTATGCAAAATAAGACGTTTGACTTCTTAAAAATCCAATCCAAATTTAGATAACGCCAAAAAACAAATATGCTAACAAAGACTAGACGAATAGACTACAATCACAACAAGATCACGAATCATTTTACCCTAAGATTTTAAAACATTTCATTTCATATGCATTAAGAATAAGAACCCGAATACAAGAAATAAACACTGAGTTTTTTTTTTTTTTTGAAATTGACAACGTTTTGAAATATAAATATAAACACTGAATTTAATTTCAAGCTTACTTGTAAAAACATGCATTATGGAAATCCCAAAAGTCCCTAGCTTTTCTGTTTCCACCGTCTGTGACAAAAAGCTTCCACATATTTCCGGCGGTTGGCAAATCGAAGAGCAACCCCAAAATCTGTAATCGCAACAGAAAAAAATATATTCAGATTAGTAAGAGATTTCAAATATAAATCCAGAAAACTGAATCAAACCACACAAAAAAAGGTCAGAGAATAATTAGGATGAAATCATAGAAGTCGTTGAAGAAAATTTGAGGGTATTTAGCAAAAAATAGAAGAAGAGGATTTGAGTGTGTATTTAGCCCAAAAAAAAAAGAGAAGAAGAGGATTTGAGTGTATTTAGCAAAAAACGAAGAAGAGGATTTGAGTGTATTTATAGCCAAAAACTCAGAAATTCATCCGTTTAAACTTTAAAGCTTAGGTTACCGTTACAACGGCTACTCCACAACGGGCTGCTTCCAACGGACTACTCTCCACAACGGCTAGTCGCTTTTAGATTATCTTTTTAATTTCTCTGATTAATAAGACATCGCTTAATGACGCGGAATGTTGACTCAAACGGCGTAGTTTAAACATCGAAGATGGTAGAAAACTCAAACGGAGTCGTTTAGCTAAGGTTCAAATAAGTCCTTTTCTGTTATAAATGGGCGTTACATTTGGTTACAATTAATATTAAAAAAACACATACTCGACTAGATTTGGTTTCAACTCGGCTTGTTTTCTATATAAAAAAAAAACTGAATAGATAGAAAACTAGAACAAATATATAAACATTACATTAACCTAATTCAAAACACCATAATTTTTTTGAAGCCAGTCAATTCATTTGGACGGCTAATCTTGAGATAGCCGAGTATGTACCACAACAACCACTCACCACCCCGAAGATTATAATGAACATGCATAATCCGATCTGAACAAATTTACACACACAAAGAAGATCGGGTCAAGAATAACACAATTCTCCACGAGAATCAAAACATTAATTATTACTATTTTATATAAAAGTAAACTAGATATGTTCTTACTTGTGTGTTAGTTAATTTACCCTTGAGGATGCTGAGATAACATAGACACGGAAATATAAGAGCCTGCAACCAAAAGAAACATATTTTTTTCCGTGGGTTCAATCAATTTATTTTTAAATTTTATCCTTTCAAGATCGAAGAACTTACCACAAGCATTGCAAGGAATGATCCGATTAGTGCGGCCACAATCGCTGTAAATGAGAGAATTCGATCAGAGAAGGTATGAGGAGATGGGTTTCTTGCGTAGGAAGTTAGAGAAATTAGCTTGGTATTAGGTTAATTGCTTAGAATATTAGATATTACCAAAGAAAGGAACTGAAAGAGCAACGACCAAAGTAGAGGTAACTAGGATTGTTCTGAAGAATATCGATACACCATACGATCTCATCTTAGCCTTTGGAATCAGTTCTTCGAGGCTCATAACGATTGGGGTGATTGTTAACGCGTATTTTGTCATCGGTGTAACGACCTAAAAGATTTCAAGAAAGTTCATTTTCTGGTTAAGTATATGTATAGTATACATAGAACAGATGAGAGAAAGTTTATCTTACCGCCGTCCAAACCGCAATTTTAGATGGAAGGAAGTGTTTAGGCATGTTTAATGTGAACTGTGATTCGATAGCTTCACCAAACATAGTGTAACCGCAGACAGCAACAGCTATGTACAAGACCGTACAAAAACTAAAGCTGCATGAGAAAGAAGGAAAATTTAGCCTATTAGGTTTTCTTGAAAAACAAGTAAAGAAAGAGGTTTCTTGGACTTACCAGATGACTAAGACAAGAGGAAACTTTGAAGGATCTTTCATGGAAGAGTAGATGTTGGGAAAGACAGAATGACCTGAGTACCCAAACCCGAAAATCCCTATGGTAACAGGCAAGTTACTGAGATCAAAAACTCTTCCTGTTTCATGAAACCCGATTCCATCGACCAAACCGACCCAAAAGAGGCAGAGACCGAGCAAGATTGACGCCAAGACTCCTCCAACTAGATTAGAGGGTTTCAAAACATCAAGAACGGTCCATTAGAACCAAGCGAATGAAATCGATATGAAACAGAGAGATTTCAGAGGGGAAATCAAACCTGAAAGGTAAGAAAGCAAGCTAAGATCTTTAAGCCAGACGGTTGGAAGAACAAGAAGAGTGGTTAAGATTGCAAAGATCTGAGCAGAATCTAGAGATATCCCTGGAGTAATGCTCAATGAAATGTCTGGGAATAGTCCTGATAAGTTATCGCTCATCATGATTATGTATTCCACACAAGCTGCCTATTTTTTGAAAAACAAAAAAAATTGTCAGAAATTAATGGAAAGAAAAAACGAAAAATATTCAAAAATAGCTACGTTGAAACTTACGTACAACTCCACATACAGAAGAATCTGCGATTCAAAAAAACAGAACAAGAACAAGAACCAAAGTTTCAGTCTCAAGAAACAGAATCTTTGAAAGGATCTTTTAGGTATTGGGTTGGATAAACCGGAAACTTACGGAGATGATGAAGCGACCGGTGATTCCAAAGGCGGCTTCGCCTATGTCGGGGTAAGTGTGAAGTCCAGGAGAACTTTCTAGACATCTCTTCATGAGAACACCTGTGTAGCAAGTGATGACTCCGAAGAACATGAGTATGGGCAAACCAAGCCAACCACTTTCTTTTATTGCATAGGGCATTGTTATCAATCCTAAGCCACACAGAACATTTGTTCCTGCAAAAAAGTACAAAATGACGCTGGAATGATATATACTATTTTTCAATGTGAAAGAAAACATGATCTTTTGATTTATCAAAAAAATTTATTCAAAATAATTCTGTAGAATTATCCTGTAGACTATTAATTTAGCTCTAGTGTTTCTGCTCTTCCATCATTGCACTAACTCATTTATGAGATATAACAGTCATCATTGGAGATTCTTAATCATAAGAGCTGTGTTAAATTGATGGTTTTATTTTACCGTTGAGGATGGATTGAGAGAAGGAGCAGAGTTTAGATTCTGGTAATGGAAGATCGGTGACGGAGAGCTTGAGCTGAGATGGATAATGGGGAGGTTTTACAGGTAAAATCGTTTCTTCCTTGTCGGGATCTGGTTGAGAGAGAAGAGGCTTGCTTGAGGAAGAAGAAAATGAATCGAAAAACGAAGATTGTTGTCTCTTGTGGAAGGAAGAGACTAATCTCCGGGAACCGCTTCGAGGCATGATACTCACCGAAGGTGGAGTCATTCCGGTCAACAAATCCATTGATTGTCTGAAAAACCAAAAAAAAATTGAATTAGGAATCGTCTGAAATTTTGTTATTTGAGAGAAATCAAAAAGGAAAAAACAGAGGAAAATGATGATTTTTACCGATAGCTCTGTGGCCATGGAGGATTTGAGACATCAGAGAGATTGTTGTCGGAACGGTTTCGAGATAGCGGGGAGGAGGAATCGGAGTTTGCTCCGTCTTTCTGACCGTCACCGTCTCCGTCGTGTTCATCGTCGGAACAAGCGAGCTCTGCTTGATTTTCCTCGTCATCTGTCAGAAACGAATGGTCTCTGTCGTGTAAGAATTCTTCGTCGAGTTTCATCTTCTTCTGTTTTCTCAATCTCAAAGAAATGCAGAAGAAATGTGCAGAGAGAGAGAGAGAGAGACGGAGAACGGATTTTAGTTTCCGGCGAGTCAAAGAGATTTCTTCTATATATGGAAACATATCAATGGAGAATACAACATTTAATATTTTAATATTTGTTTCTTTTTTCTTTTCTTGCGGTGTAGATTTGATTCTGACGATATTCTTAGGATTTGTATTCTACGAAAATATTTTTCTTTTCGTTTGACTAACTTCCAAAACTGTATCAACAGTCCCATTTCTCAAAATATTCTTTATTATTGGTTTTTAAAAAATGAAAATACGACACAAAACTGATATTTTATCACTCAACCGGCTTCTAATAGAGTTTGTCAGGTCATTTCTCCGATTAATCTGGCGATAGCGGAATACGTCCCGCAACAACCGCTCACAACACCGATGATGACGATGAAAATACAAATTCCAATCTGAAAATCAAGTCCAAACAAATCAAAATTTTCTTGTGAAGCATTGACTATAAAAAAATTCCTTGTGAAGCATTGACTAAACTCATAAATCAAATTCAGTTATATTCATACCTGAACGTTAGTTACTCTACCCTTCATAATGCTGAGATAGCATAGACACGGGAATATTAACGCCTAAGAAGACAAAAACCGAAAATCGTCATCAAAACTTGATTCAATCGTTAATTTTTGAATCAGTGCATGCTATGGTAGTAATGGAGACTTACAATCAACATTGCGATGAAAGATCCAATGAGAGCCGCGACAGTTGCTGCAGTAAACGTAATTACATTTAATGAGTTTGGTCATACTCATACACATGTTATTGTTTTCTGGAAAGGAATTTCTTGAGCGAAAAGTTAGGGTAATTATGGGAAAGTGTGTGTGAGGAAGATTTACCGAAGAACGGAACAGTGAGTGCAACGACCAAAGTAGAGAGAACTAAGATGGTTCTGAAAACCATAGAGGCTCCTTTGGATCTCAACTTTCTTGACGAAGACGGTATAAGTTCTTCTAGGCTAAGAACAACTGGAGTGATCGTTAAAGCGTATTTCGTCATTGGTGTAACCACCTAATTATCAAAACGCGAAAGGAATTGAGAAAAAAATATATAATTGGGAAGAAGAGATGAGTGAAATGTTGGTTCAAAAGGCTTACTAACCGCTGTCCAGACTGCAATTTTGGATGAGGTGAAATGTTGAGGCATGTTCAATGTGAATTGGGACTGAATCGCGTCACCAAACATGGTGTATCCACAAACCGCTACAAAGATGTAAAATAGCGTGCAAAACGCGAAACTGCATAACACAAATACGGGTCTGACTTGGTATGTCAGATGAATAACAGAATAGCAGAATAACTGAAAAATTACTAGCGGAATGAACTGAACTGAATAATATTTTAGCTGAATAATTGTGAAACGCTGAAAAGCTATTTTAGTAGATTAATCACGTTTTATTTTTTTTAGTTATATTTTTAACACGCTAGCGGAATCACGTTTTAAAAACATAAAAAAACGTGAAAACGTGAAAACGTGATGAATAACATGAATGGTAAAAAATAACAGAATCAAGTTTCCAAAACGTGAAAACGTGAAAAAACTGCATACCATTCAAACCCTACATATATTTCATAAGATTAATAGAAGGGATGGAAAGTGAAACCAACCCTAGAGGTTTCTTGCAAAACAATCAAAGGTTTTTTTACCTGACAAGAAGCACCGTAGGAAACTTGGAAGGTTCTTTCATGGATGAGTAAATGTTGGGGAAAACAGAGTGACTCCCAAAACCGAACCCGTAGATTCCGATAGCGACGGGTAAATTAGTTAAATCGAGAGCTTTTCCGGTCAGGTGAAATCCAACCTTGTCGACTGATCCAGCCCAAAAGAGGCAAAGCGCAAGCAGTATTGAAGAGAAGACACCTCCGGCTAACACAAAAAAAAATGATTATATAAAAATGCATCTCTTAGAAATAAAAGAGATTAGATGTCAGATATATTTGTGCGAATTACGGATGAACCTGAGAGATAGGACAATAAGCTAAGGTCTCTGAGCCAGACAGTCGGAAGAACAATAAGAGTCGTGGTAATGGCGAAAACTTGATTAGAGTCGAGTGATATTCCGGTGATGTATAAGGAGGTGTTTGGGAACATCCCTGATAAATTATCACTCATCATGATTATGTATTCAACACAAGATGCCTACAAAAAGAAACACAAACAAAATACCACAATAACGATACTGTGATGGGCTTAACTAGCCCAATTCGGCCCTAATAGGGCTCAGTATTATATAGTTGAACTGGCCCAAGGCATGTCAATGAAGAAAATATTTGATATGAAACATGAAGAAGAGTATGGTACGTACATATAACTCCACATATAGAAGTATCTGAAATGTAATTTGAAACCCAGAGTTAGAATCACGCAGAATCGAAGTTATGAGAATATATTAGAAGATTGATTGAAAAAACTTACAGAGACGAGGATGCGACCAGTGGTGCCGAATGCAGCTTGACCGATGTCCGGGTAAGTGTGGATTCCGGGCGAATTCTCGAGACATCTCTTGAGGAGAACACCTGTGTAGCAAGTTATGATTCCGAAGGAGACGAGTATGAGAAGCCCTAGCCATCCTCCTTCTTTCACTGCGTAAGGCATTGTAAGTAAAGCTACTCCACAAAGAACATTGATTCCTGCAACAAAAGACAAGTTGTAAACTTGTAATGAAATTATATCGGAACAAAATCTATAAATAATTAAAACACTGAAAAAACCAAACCAAAAGTCAGACTGAAATACCCCTAATTACAATTATTATAATATTACCGTTGAGAACGGATTGAGAGAACGTGCAACTGCGGTTTTCTTGGGGAATCGAAAGATCCTCCGGGGCTGATAGCTTGAGATGAGAAGCAATAAATGATTTGATCGATGTTACAACAGAGTTTTGGGTCTCATCTTTGTCGATGAGAAGTTGTTGTTTGCTTGGTGAAGAAGTAAATGAACCGAAAACAGAGCTTTGTCGTCTCTTGTGAAATGAAGAGACAAAACTCGTCCTAATCGGAGGTGTAAGTCCGGTCAACAAATCCATAGATTGTCTGAAAATAATCCCAAGAAAATAAATAAGTTGGTCTTTAAAGAATGTACTTTCTTCAGATCTCTTACAAAAAAACAGAGCAATTGTTATGATTTACCGATAACTTCGAGGCCACGGGACCGGATCGTTATTGGATCCGTTACGAGATAACGGAGTTGACGGAACGGAGCTCTCGGCGTGGCTTTCTTCGTCATCGTTGTCTGTCTCTGTCTGATACAAGTCTTCCCTTTCTTGCTCGACTGTCTCGTCTTGCTTCATCTTCTTTGTATTATATTGGCTCTGTTTCGATAACCAGTACAGAGTTGGAAAAGAAGAAGAAATTGAGGGATAGAGAATAGAGGACGCAAGGATACGTGTTCTGACAAACCCTTTAACAAAAAAATGATACGTGTTCTGCTTTCTAGTTCCAATTTAAAGTCACGTCTCTTAATCTTACATACACTAAAAAATTCCAAATATTATTAACTCTACTTCCAGAATTCAATTTTCTCATTTATAAATTTCAAATATTATATGACAGCGTTAATAGAAATAATCTAAATTTGCATGTACAAACTTATATAGGATTAATGAAATAGTAATTTAATGAAAATATAAAAAAGTCAATTTCATTTCATAGTTAGATTCTTTTTATTTTTAGTTTTGTCAACAAATTCTTTTTATTTAAGAATATAATCTACCACTTCACCTGTATCCCACCAATAAAATATATTTAATATTATCTTATTAATAATTCAGTTACAATCAAATAATTGCATAATTCTATTTTTTTTTGTCGAAAATAATTCTAATTTTTTTAAAACTAATTTTTAAAAGTAATTGAAAATCATAAAAATTACGAAAAATATGAGTTATGATTATATAGCAAAAAAAAAACTTTTTAACTTTTTCATGGTTATAGAATTGTAACTAATTTTTTCGATGGCTATATAAACATTTTCATAGCTTTTTGATGATTTTTTCATGGCTAATTCGTTGTTATACACATTATTTTGACTAGTATATAATGTTCATCTGATCAGACAATATTTTTTTTTGTTTATTACAAACGTTTCTCGCGAGAATATACACGTAGTGGGAAAAGAGAGGTAAGCGTAACTACATGTACGCATGTGATGTAAGAAGTCAACGACAGTTTGTCATTAAATGTTTTTAAAGTAAAATATTTATCTGTCAGTGTCAGGACTCAGGACTAGGATTTGCCAGCACTAAATTAATGTTAGTCTAGGATTTAACAGTGTCTAATTGCTATGTTTAACCCTAATTATGAAGTACTAGAGATTTTAAGACGCTGTATTTTGATGCGTTCGAATTCAGTTCAACCTTAAGAGCAAAACTGAAAATCGTAAAAAGTGTCAACTTGCAAATGGTAGAATAGAAATTTGTAAACTGAAACTATTTCAGTAAAAAAACTCTATTTCCAATTTAATTTTGATACCATCTTTAAAAAATATATATACTGTATTCACAAAACGATGCAACACGACTTAAGGTGGTAATGTGGTAATACCCAACATGCAACATGTATCTCAATTCAACGTGTATCTTAACAGAAAGTCTAGAAACTTTTCTCTTCACGTCTAGTAATGATTGATCTGATCTCAAGAAAATGTTCACGTTAAAAACAAATTATAAATAATAATTTCAGTGTAATGCGGCGTCAATCAAGCGATTTCGTGGATTAATCTGGCGATGGCCGAGTAAGTACCGCAGCAACCGCTCACAACACCGATGATTATGATGAAAATGCAAACTGCTATCTGGAAAAACAATACTGTTCGTTATTGAAACGAAGTTTTTCTCTAAACTATCAACTAAAAGTGAAACGAAAATTGAGCTTTATATCTTACGTCAGTGTTCGTTAATTGATCCTTAGAGATTCTGAGATAACAGAGGCACGGGAATATAAAAGCCTAGCAAAATATATTAAAGACGAGAAAAACGAATTTAAGTTTTGATTATTTAAGTTTCGAATTAAGGATAGGGAAATAAATAAGCTTATTCTTGGAGACTTACGATAAGCATTGCAATGAAAGATCCGATCAGAGCCGCAACAGTCGCTGTGAGGTAATTACAATAACAAGTTAGGTCACATCTCCGTTTGTATGAGAAGGAGATTTCTTGAGAAAGAAGTTAAGGTTAAAACAGATGAGGCGAGACATATTACCGAAGAATGGAAATGCGAGTGCAACAACCAAAGTAGAGAGAACTAAAATGGTTCTAAAAATCAAAGAGACGCCTTTGGATCTCATATTTTTCGAAGACGGCATGAGTTCTTCCAAGCTTAGCACGACCGGAGTAATTGTTAATGCGTATTTCATCATCGGTGTAACAACCTAAAATGATTAAAAAAAGAAAAGAAAATGATTCCAAAAAAGAATCCAACATGTAGGATATCTATGCAGAGAGAAAGGAGTGACGAGTTTAAAACAATTGTCTTACTGCTGTCCATATTGCGATTTTAGATGACGTAAATTCTTGAGGCAAGTTCAGTGTAAACTGGGATTGAATCTCGTCACCAAACATGGTGTAACCACAAACCGCTAAACCAATGTAAAACAGTGTGCAGAAACCGAAACTGCATAACATATAGAAAAACAGAATTCTCATTAGATGAAGAAAAAGCCCTAGAGATTTCTTGCTGTAGAAGAAAATGTGGTATACCTGGTGAGAAGCACCATAGGAAACTGAGAAGGCTCTTTCATGGATGAGTAAATGTTAGGGAACACCGAGTGAGCCGTAAACCCAAACCCAAAGATCCCCACCGCTACAGGTAAACTCGACAAATCAAGAATTTGTCCGCTATGGCGAAATCCAACTCCATCAACCGATCCTACCCAAAAGAGGCAAACCGCAAGCAAGATAGAAGACAAGACACCTCCCGCTGGGTAAGTAAATATACAACATATATTATTAAAACAAGAGCTTGTGTAGTGTTAGAAATATTGGAAGCAAGATGATTCTCACACTTGTATATACTTGAAGCATTGCAATTTTTTTTTTTTTTTTTTGAGTAGAGACATGTGAGAAAAAATTGACAGATAATCAAACCTGAGAGGTAGGACAATAAGCTAAGGTCTCTGAGCCAGACTGTGGGAAGAACAATAAAAGTTGTCACAATGGCAAAAATCTGAGTAGAATCTAGAGAAACTCCGATGATATTCAATGAGGTCATAGGGAACAACCCTGACAAGTTATCACTCATCATGATTATGTATTCCACGCAACATCCCTATAAAAAAGGCCAAGAAACTAGGTTAGACAGATTTCGTAACGACCAAACTATAAAACCTTAATGGGAGCTTTGTACCGGTACGAGTACTTACATATAACTCCAAGCACAGGAGTATCTGCAGATGGACCGATGGAGACAAGGGCCAAGTATCAGTTTCCAGATTGTTATAAAAAAAAAACTAACTTAATATATGTGTCACGCTAATTTTTCACATTTGTGGCTTATATAAATATATTAGAAAACTTACGGAGATTAGGATGCGTCCAGTAGTTCCAAACGCAGCTTGACCAATGTCCAAGTAAGTGTGGAGCCCATGAGAACTCTCGAGACATCTCTGAAGGAGAATACCTGTGTAGCAAGTGATGATGCCAAAGCAGAAGAGAACGAAAAGCCCGAGCCATCCTCCTTCTTTTACTGCGTAAGGGATCGTAAGTATCGCTACTCCACAAAGTATATTGATTCCTGTAACATTTAGGAAGAACATAAAACACTTTTCTTGTTCTTGAAGAAGCCAAGTTTTAGAGTACCCATTTTAGGTCAGGTTTTAGGCAGGTTATGTGTTCACGGTTAACAAATTTAGGAGTATTATTACCGTTGAGAACAGATTGAAAGAACGTCGCTGTTCGATTTTCTTCTACAAATGAAAGATCCGGGACCGATATGACTGCAGAGTTATTATGAACATCATAATCTTTGTCTAGAAGTAGTTGTTTACTTCCGTATGAAGAAAACGAACCGAAAACAGAGCTTTGTTGCTTCTTGTTAAAGAAAGAGACGAGACTCGTTGTTGTCGGAGGTGTAATTCCGGTCAACATATCCATTGACTTTCTGAAACTCCCACACAAAATAAGAAAAAGCTATCAATTCTATTCGAAGCTTGGAATAGAACAATTGATAGACAAAAACAGGGGATTTTTAGGATTTACCTATAACTCCGTGGCCATTGATCGGAATGTGAGTTGCTTCGGGATAGCGGAGGCGATGATGAGGAATCAGTAAAGCTCTCATCGCCCGAAAGCTCTGTTTGTCTCTCCTCCTCATCTGTCTGAAACAAAATTTCCCTTTCTTGCTCAAATATATCGCCTTGCCTCATTTTTCTCGGTAATACAGAGCAAGTGGCGTTTCAAGGAAACTCAGAAGAAAAAAAAGACAAGAAACGATAAAGAAAAGAGTACGAAATGTTTTATGAGTTTCTACTTTCGGTCATGTCAGCTATATATATAGTAATAGAATTTACATATAGATTGTGTTTCTGCTTTGAGAAAATGTTCTATAAAAGCGTACAGTCTAATGTAATCGTCCAAATAATATATACAAATAGCATGTTGCTTTTGTTTTCATACTGTTTTGACACCGTCACTTTATTCATTCTTTTATGCATAATGAGATTCTCGCTGATAAGAATGTTTAGTTTAATAATGTTCTCCTTTAAACAATATGTTCTTTACAATGCGCATGGAATGCAAGTAATAACCTTCTATACGTTCAAAGGGACAACGAGATATATAAGTCAGCAAGAATTATTTGAATATAATGCACAGCTAAAACCAATTTTTCCACCCGCGCGACTCACACATTGAATTTTATATATATTGGTGATAAAAAATAGAACAAATTGTTCAAAAAATATCAAGAACGTTTCTAGCGATACCATATAGGAAATCATTAAACTAATCACATAAACAAACTAAACAAATATATGCATGTGATGTGAGATGAGAATGACAGATGGTCATCATTGTTACTCTTAAAATATTATAGTAGCTAATGTTTGTAGTTGTCGTAAGACTAACAAAGAATTTTACGACAGCTACAAACAATTGTATCACCACGCATTAACCGTTCACAAGCTGTCGCGAATATATACTCTTACGGTTTCAGGAGGAAGAATTACAGAGTATTATTACAGAGAAGAAGAAAGAAAGTGGATTTTGTTGTTTACATATCGGTGGAGGAAGATAAATAAAAGAGTTATTTATCAATCTGGTTAAGTTTTCCGAGTCCATTGCAGTTTGCGCAAACGATCTGAGGAAGATCCTTCCGTGCCGCGTTCGCCCTCAAAGTCGCTCCCTGCTTCCTCACAAATCCTGCTCCGTCACATTCCGGACACCTAAACCACAAACACCTTTTCAGATAGGAATTTTCTTTTGGTTTACCGGTTTACTATATCGGTTAAGAGACATGTTTCTAATCTACTCAGGCTTTGTTGAAAATTATCTCCAGTCTGGTTTTAGAATCATTATGGTGAAAGGTAAACTCTGGGAACAGTTTTCTGATCATTGATGAATCACAGAAGCAGTATCCAATTTGATTGGGTTTAACGAGTGCATTCGAAACCGGTTTAATCCAACGGGAACCAAAATAAAACGATTCAATACATAAAGATTAGAGTGGTTACGTGTCGGTGCGTTTGAAGAGGATCGGAAAAGCCGTCCCGACGAGCGCGACTGCGGCAGCTCCGGCTATCAGGTAGATGGTTCCGTCGGAAGAGACATCACCGACAGCTGCAACAATTACGGAGGAAGAAGAGGAAGAAGATCTCTTGTTTTTGGGAAAAATCACATTGCTCGGTGAGGATCCCCACGAAGAAGAAGAAGAAGGTCTCGATTGTTTCAGAAAGTTCGTAGATGACACGAACGTCGTCTGCATTGCCGGTGCGATCGCCATGATTTAGGGTTTTTCTAAGTGATTCTGATTTGGGGGAAGTAATAAGATGTGATTTGATTTATTGGCGCTTTCGAAACTGGATTTGCTTCGCGACGTGTCACTCTCTGAAAGTGGATAACGTTTTGGGTTCTTCAGTTTTCTTTTTGTGTGTGGATAAGGTGGGCCCCTTTCCAGATATTTCGAGCTGACGATTCGGCCCATTTAAGCCCATTGTAACCTTTCAAGGCCCAAGCTAGTTGTTCTTGGGACAGTCATTGTCTCCGACCTTTTCAGCGTCTTTGTTTCTTCTCTTTCGTTGGCTTCAATGGCCAAAGACGGACCTAACTGGGACGGACTGCTTAAATGGAGTCTCTCTCACGCCGATGGTACTCGGCCTACTCGCCAGTTGAGGTACGAAGAAGTTCTGATTTTAGTGGCCATTTAACTGAGTTTCTTTTTTCCATTGAACGTTTGTTTGTGCTGTAGAAATTTGTGTTGTAGTGAGTTCGGTTTCTGATGGGGAAACGAACCGTTTAATGGAATTTGAGTCTTTGGGTTTGTGTAAATATGGATTTTGGGAGTTTCCTGTGCAAATTGTCGTCGATTTTAAGCATTATGCAAAGAAAAGTATCTTTTTTATGGTCTTTCCCAGTACCCAATATGCTCATAATCTTATGCAAATGAACTGTTCTTGGTCGGGGAATACAAAATGTTTACACTTTGAGTCAGTTATCACATTATGAGATGAATCATTTGGGTTGCTTAAATGAGCCTCATTTATGTTTGTGGTGGGTGGCTTTGTTGATTTGAATTGTTTGGTGAGGCAGCGAGGAGGATCGACAATGGTTTGCGGAAGCTATGCAATCTCAGACCGTAGATGTAGTCAAGCGGATGAAGGAGATTACACAGGTGATGCAGACACCTCAACAAGTTTTGGAGGCTCATGAAGTAACCCCTCAAGATATCCAAGGTTGAATATCCATTTCATAATTGTCTTCGTAGCTTTCTTCCTCTTATTGATTGGTTAACTAAAATTTGAGTTATGGTGTTTTGGTAGATTTGCTGGATGAGTTGAAGGAACATGTTGAATCGATCGATTACGCTAATGGTGAATCCTTTTCTTTTCATGCTTAGAATTCTTTTTTGATATCTGTCTTTTCATGGCTTGGCTTAATATGGACCTCTTCGAATGTATGAGCAGATCTTCATTCCATTGGAGGCTTGGTTCCTCTTCTTGGCTACCTCAAAAACTCCAATGCTAATATCCGGGCAAAGTCTGCTGATGTCGTAAGCACAATGGTTGAGAACAATCCTCGAAGTCAACAATTTGTTATGGAGGCCAATGGTTTGGAGTCATTGCTTCTTAACTTTACTTCAGACGCAGATATGCATTCTCGAACACAGGCGCTCGGTGCAATATCATGTAAGCTCCTCCGAGTCCTGACAAATTTAGATGATCAAATGCCTTCTTTTTCCACTCTGTTTATGGTAAATCTGATGTTTTGTATGGAGTACAGCTTTGATTCGCCACAATAAACCCGGGATCACTGGGTTCCGGCTTGCAAATGGTTACACTGGTTTAAGAGATGCATTGGAATCTGATAGTGTGAGATTTCAAAGGTAATACTCCTCATTTCTCTTCATACTATGAATTTCCTTTGAACTTTCAAAGAAGATAATGTCGCAAAACAGAGTAAATTTCAAAACTTTCTGTCATTGCTTTCTCAATTCTTCAGGAAAGCTCTGAACTTGTTGCATTATCTGCTACAAGAGAATGACTCAGACTGCGATATTGCTATAGAACTTGGGTTTCACCGTTTGATGATGCGCCTCGTGTCTAGCTCCGATGCTGATATAAGAGAAGCTGCTCTTCGAGGACTGCTCGAGCTAGCCAAAGATGGAAAATACTGTATTTGTGGTTCTAGCATAGAGAAAGACGGTGAGAAACTGAGACGGTTTCTAGAAGAACGGATCAAAGGAATCAGCTTGATGTCACAAGAGGAGCTGTCAGCGGCTGAAGATGAGAGACAGCTCTTAAATTCACTGTGGATCACATTCTATAATGAACCTTCTTCTCTTTAGAAACAAGGCCTCTTTGTTCTTCCTTGTGAAAACGCACCAGCTAAAGATTAAAGATTGTATCTTTAGATCACTTGTTGTTCCTTTTAATGATTTCAATTCCAAGAATGAGAATGTGGATCTAAATTTTCATTCAATAACCTAAAACCAGACGTTTACAATATCAAATCAAGCAACTGCATAAACAAGACGACAATAGGAGTAAGAAAAACAGACACAAATCAATGATAATCCTCACTTTGGAGGACAGAAAGTGATAACATAACGAGAAGCCCTACATTTATTCAAACTACTCGAATCATCAAACGCATAACTATAAGCTTTCGGACAAATCGCTTTAAACAGATTGGCGAAAAGCGTCGGCTTACAAGCCTTGGGGTTCGCATATTCTCCGGTACAACAGTATTTCGCCGACTGCATCGCCAAGCAAGCGCTTTTACACCCAACGACTTTACCATCTCTCTTAACTTCCAAAGCCGAAGGACAGCAAACATTCAAATCGACTTCACAAGCCGCCACGCCGCATCCGACTCCTCCTCCGATGGGTTTCATCGACACCGGAAGGTTGAACCCGTCGACGAGGCTCACGTCGTAGAAATGGAGCGGCGAGGAAGATGAGCCTAATGTCATTTCCACGACGGTCGCTGGTGGAACACCGCCGGTTCCTTGGCAATTGATGGAACCGGCGTTGCAATCTCCGGTTTGGCATGAGCCTTTGCCGTTTTGGTCGAAGATGCAGCCTTGTCGACCCCAAATTCGACCGGACCATTTATCCGGTACGTCTATGATGGTTTCTTCGCCGCTTCCCATGTGGAAACCGCCGTTTCTCGGCGTGACTTGACCTCCGCCGCCGAGAATTCCAGGCCATATGCTCTCCTGGCAGTTATTCACTAGTATAAGCTGAGCTCCATCTGCAAGAATAAATAAAAAACACAATTTTTACGAAAAGTTGCAAACAACCCATTTAAAGGAAAACTGAAAACAACAAATGAAGACGCCTATTTTGAAGTGAACCCACTTGAGAGGAAGCCAAAGGAAATAAAACCCAATTCTTATGTTTTCGGGGGAGTAGAAGAGGTATCGTACCAATGAAGGAGGATAGGAAGGTTGAGATAGTGAGAAAGAGAAGGAGGAGAGTCGCAGAATTCGACATTGTTGGTCTGTGTGTGGGGATCATTCACTCTAAAGTTTGCTTTTAGTGTGTTGACAAGAGAATATTAATAAAGGAAGTGGAGAACGACGTGGTTGAGAAAGAAGTGGAAACTTGAGTTGCAAGGCTAATTGGTGTGTTGTGGTGAAGTGGATTTGTTGTATAGGGAAGGGAACTGCCAAGTGCTAACCTTTTATAAACCGAGTCTTTGATGATGGGATTCGTGGGAAAGAGAATGATAGAGAGAGGCTTGTTTGTGAGCCTTCTCTAAAGATATATTAATAATACCTTTTTTCATTTAAAGAATGGTTAAAGAAGGATTTTTTTTCAAAAAGAAGGGTAAGAGTGGGTTATAGAAGGATTAAAAGAAAAAGGAAAGAAGGTTCATGTTAATCTTTATCGGAAGAAGATTCATAAATTTCATCCTTGCTAGTATTATTACTTAATCATTCCTTTATATTATAAAGTCGAAGGCAAATTAGTTCTATTTTACAATTCCTTATCAAATCACTAGACCTGAAATTTCATTATCAATATTTTAGTTAGTTTAAAAGATTATGTAATATGTTTATGCGCATAAACTTCACCACCTGCTAGTATTTCCTGACATTTCTTACTACCATTTTAATTTTGTAGAGCAAATCAGCAGAGAGCATATATGCATTGCTTCAATGTGGGGATTTGCTTTCTTTTAGACAAAAGTTGCACAAAACAAATGATTACTCTCTCTTTTTCATCTTCTTATAAAATTTTGTTGTTTTTTAAAGGTAACAAGCGCGATTGAAGCAATGTCACTAGACTCTAAACTTTGATCTTTATAACAAGTGGGGAGGTTGAAGTTTTTGGTAGATAAGGAATATAACAGAGTAAATAAGTAGATATAATAGACTGAAACAAACTTGTATCGAACATGATTAGTTGATTACTAACGAAAATATACAAAAATGAACATATACAATAATACTCCCTCTGTATTATATTATTAATTGGTTTAGTTAAAAGCTTAAATATTAAGAAAAATACATTTTAAAAAAATTATTGTTAATATATTAATTAAAAACTAAATTAATCTTGAAAAATATTAACTGATCACATAACATCCAATAAATATAAATTTGAATAAAATATATGAAAACAACTTATGTGTTGAAACAAAACAAAACTTGTAAATGAGAGGGAGTAGTAGTTTATTGGTTATCACAGGACCAAATCAAACCCAATCTAACCGTTAAAATTCATTAGGCAAACCGATTCGAATTGGCCACCGCTAGTGACGGCGAGGAAGAGCTCCAAAGCTTCCTGAGTTTTCCATAGAAGAACCCTTCTTCTTCTGAACAAGAGAAAGAGTAAATCGAGCGATAATGTTTAACGCGGCTGCCAAGTGTTCAAGAGCAGTAGCGGCAACGATTCGTGGACGCGCCAGCTCTGCTAGAAGCAGCCTTGTTCGATACTCGATTCAGCTGAGATCGATTCACGGTGAAATCAGCGTTCCAAACGCGAACCATGTTGCTATTCAGATGGTCAATTACGCTCTTTCCCACGCTAGGTCACAAAAATCAGGTCTTTACGTTTTATCGGATTTCAGAAGCTTAAACTCTAGTTTTCTGACCGGAGACTGTGAAAGAATATCTAAAATGGGTCTCCCTGAAATTTGAAAATTGCAGATGAATCTTATGCGCAAGGGATGCTAGTGCTTGAACAGTGCCTTGGGAATCAACCGAACGATGATCAGGTTTCTCAAGATTCTAAAGCAACAGTCTTGCTTGCTATGTCTGATCTATCATACGAAAGGTTTCATCTTTATACCCTTTTCTCTCCCATTTTTGTTTGTTTTTATATATATAAAATCTATAAACGTCTAGTGTTTGGTTTTCTATGTTTACAGTGGGAACAGTAGTGAGGCCATTGAACGCCTCAAGCAAGTCCTGGCTCTGACACAGTCTTCATTGGCTATTAGAGGTTTCTCAAAACCTTGTTTTTTCGATATGTGCTTTTTGAGGTTGTTGAGTCTGAAACTGTCTTTTGTTGTGCAGCTGCTGCTGTGGAAGCGCTTGTTGGTCTTCTGATTCAGTCAGGACAGGTTCAAATCCTGACACTGCTACTATGTTAGTTTGTCCACAATTCTGAACTTGTGTAGAAATTTGATTATGTTTCTCTTCGTTTAGGACGATGCTTCATTGGCTGTTGCTGATGAATTTCTAGAACTGGTAAAAGAGGGAGGTCATGAGAATCTTCCGGATGTGGTTGCTACAGCTAAAGCGATCAAAGGCCTCGTTGAGCTTGTGAAAGGAAGTGTTGAATCCGGTTAGAGAAACAAGCCTTAACCTTTCTTCTCCGTGTTGTTTTATTCCATCCTCCCTAGTTTTATGTATTGCTTGATGATAAGTGTTTTTTGTTGTTGTTGTGCAGCCGAATCTTTATTTCGAGGACTTGAGAATCATGAGATCTGCAAAGGTAAAACACTAATTTTTCTCTGTTAATCTGGAGCTAGAAGGTCTTTTCTTGTGGTGAAACCTGATTTTTTGGAACGTCTAAATAACAACATAAAAATAGGTAACATTGCACTTTCTTATGGTGAATTCTTGCATGCCACCGGAAACTTTGAAATGGCGAAGGAGATGTATCAAAAGGCAATTCAAGGAGTGACAGACACCAAAGAATCGATGTGTTCTTGCAACATGAATCTGAAGGCAGTCTCATTAGCAGCCACATTTGCTCTTGGGCAGCTCGAGTCACACATTGGGTAGGCTTTGAGTTTGTGCATACGGGTCCTCGCTAATTTCTGGTTATATCATTAGTCCATGTTTGTGTTTTGCTTTTTGCTAGAAACTTTGGTGATGCGGAGGAGACACTGACAAGTGCATTGACAAACGCTGAGGAACATTACGGTACCCGTTTCGTTTTTCTCATTTCCATCAATTCAATGATTTAAGGCAAGAACTCACGGATTCTGTGCTTCTTCGGATCAGGGCACAATCATCCTAAGGTTGGTGTGATTTTAACTGGAGTAGCTCTGATGTACCGAAACAAAGCCAAGCAAGAACGCTCGAGTTCTATCATGATTCAAGAGGTCAGAAGCAAGTTGCTTTAGGGCTCAAAGAAAAAAACGTTGAAATTTCCTCATCTTACACCTATTCTTTTTCCATGTCAGGGACTCTTCAGAAGAGCATTGGAGCTCACGAAAGCACCTCCGTTGGATTCAGAAGGTACTTACAAATAGTTACTTCATGGGCGATTTTGGAACCCAATTTACATAAGTGTCCTCACAATCTTTTCTGTAAACCAATAGGGATAAAGAACGTGGAAACTCAAGAAGTAATGGCACTAGCAAGAGGTAAACTTTAGCTTGTTTTCTTTCAAACATAAACAGTTGCTAAAAATATCTATTAAAGCTTGTTTGGATCTTTGACTGTGCAGGCGGGTATGCAGAGCTACTACTGATTCAAGAGAACAGAAAAAGCGAAGGAGGGAAGATGAAGTTATGGGCTGAATCTGCGTGGAGAAACAGACGTATCTCTCTTTCAGATGCATTAACTCTCTCAGAGCCATTAGGTAAAGTAGCCATCATAGATGCTCGTACAACTCGTGTCCTCTAAAGCTTAAAATCTCGAAAGATATAAACTTTCACGACAAGTTTTACATGTTTCACAAGATGTGTGTACGCACAGAGAAATTGGCAATAATAAAAACGTATTACAGAGGAAGATCAAGCCCTTTTTCGATCTCTACACCAATCAGCTCAAGTATTCCTTTGTTCAGAATCTGGAAACGAAAATGATATTACAGTTCTGATTTTAACTTCATTATCACGAAAGCATATTCGGAAGAAAAAACAAATCTCACCAATTCGACAATGAAAGTTCCGATGAGACCAATCATGCAAGCTCTCGAGTTCCATATCTCAGCTGTTTGTGTGAAACCCACAAACGCAGGTTGAGATTTGGGTTCAACTTTTGGCACTATCACCTACGAATGTATTTTGAATTACCATCCAGGAAAATTTCTTATTCTACGATCAATTCTGGGAAAAAGGAACGAATTTTTACCCCCTCTGGCAGTTTTGCGGCTCGAACACGGAAACACTGTTGTTTCCGACTGGAACACATGTTCAGGTTTCGACCATGGCCATGAGACGACAAGGTCGGAAGAGGTGAAAAGATAGATTCTTTGGTGTCTGTTTATGTCATGTTTCTCATTCTTTCTAGATTTAGATATTTTCCTCCAGTCTGATAATTTCATCTTCTTTTTGTGTAATTCTGATATCTCTTTGATGGTTTGCAGTATCAACTCCAGAAAGCTTCCATAGCCGAGAACGATGCCTTTACTTTTCTTGGGGCAAACAATCACAGTGATTCACTAACCTACCCTGCCTTTTGCCAAGCACTTCAAAAGGTAAAAACTGTGACCAACTCGAGATTTCACTAATTAACATTATGGTGAGATTTCTCACGAAGAATCGGGTGGGGTAGAAACTTTGAGAGTAGACTTTGAGTTTCTTCACTTATAGATTCAAACTTATTTTGTGGCAGGTAAATCTGACGGGTATTCCACATGGACTAAGCTTCCAAGAAACAAAAGAGCTATGGGTTCGAGCTGATCTTGATGGAAATGGTGTGTTCGACTATGAAGAACTCAGGGTAAATTAATATAAACCAAGTTGATGCGGGAATCACAAACTGATAAAATGATTCGATAAGATTGCTTTGTTTAAAAACGTCAATCAAGACTCTGATGCGTGTCTGTGTATGTATAATGTCAGAAAATTTGGAACATGACGATGATGAATCAATCTGGAAACTGCAAAGAGAGTGTGATGGAGAGTAGGAAAGAAGAAGGAGAAGATAAGGAGGAAGAAGAAGAAGAAGAAGCGATTGGATTGAAAGTGAAGAAAGCGGTTCTGTTTCCGGAAGAAGCAGAGAAAGGATTGTGGCCAGAGAATTACAGCCTCTCGGATCATGCTTGTCTCACCCTACACTTCTCTCCTGTCAAAATGCTCTGTAGCCAAGTTTTTATTGTAAACCTTTGCTCATGTAAAAATGTAAAAGAGAGATTGAGATTTGCAGCGACAAGTTTTGAAATTTGTATAGCTTTTGAGATAAGATACTGAACCTGTGTAATAGCATCACTGTTTCTGATAAATTAAAGATTTTGCTTTTTCCATTTATACGTTTTGTCATGAAGCCAGAGACTCAGTTTTACAACGGTAAGAAAATAGAGAGATCGTTAAAAAATAGCCGTTATAAAACAAATTCAAGTTGCTTATAAAAGACCCATGCCACAAACAACAAGTTCACAAATCTTCTCTTCTTCTGCGTCTATCAATTCCTTTTTTTTTCTCTCCCAGATTCTCTAGAATTAAATCAAAGGGGTTTATCCAATGAATTTCCTTTTCTTTTTCTTGTTTGTTTTGGTTTACTTGCTCTGTTTTCGTCGAAGTGGCTGAAATGAAGAACGAAATTTTCCGTGAATCATCCCTCTTCGCCTTCTGATTCTGGTAATTTACTCAGCGATCTCTCTAGGGTTTATTCGTCACAAATCTTTGATTTTTCGCTCTATTGGATCTGGTTTCTCCGATTATGGATCGCAAAAAAACCCTGACTTTGTTGTGTAGTTACTTGAACTTATCTGTTGCGTACCTTAGGAGAAGATAAAGATCCTTGAATTTTGTTTCTCCGATTGTTTTTTAAGTTTTAACTGGTAATTGCTTTAGCCTCTAAACCTTTTATAACCTACAAATTATGCAATTACAGGTTGATTGATCTTGACCCACCGGATGTACAAGACGCACTGAACAGAACTCTAAAGGATCTGCAGCATAGTTACGTCGATCTGTATCTCGTAAGCAAGAGACTATATTCACACATTTTTCAACATGTGTTCGTTTATATCTTGATCTTTTCAATGCTTGCTTATACTTCAACTGGGTTTCATTTGTCAAGATGCACTGGCCTGTGCGGTTGAAGAAAGGCACTGTCGAGTTCAAGCCCGAGAACATTATGCCTATCGATATTCCTAGCACATGGAACGCGATGGAAGCACTGTATGATTCAGGCAAGGCACGAGCCATTGGCGTAAGCAATTTCTCTACAAAGAAACTCTCGGATCTCGTGGAGGTTGCTCGGGTCCCTCCAGCTGTAAACCAGGTTGAATGTCATCCTTCGTGGCAACAACATAAGCTACATGAGTTCTGCAAGTCCAAAGGAATCCACTTGTCCGTAAGTTTCAAAACAGACTCAAGAAAACAGATGATGATACGTTTCATGTTTATACACTTGTGTGACTGTTTTTTTTTATCGTGGCAGGGATATTCGCCATTGGGTTCTCCAGGGACAACGTGGGTGAAGGCAGATGTTCTAAAGAGCCCAGTTCTGGAGAGAGAACTTCGAGGTGTTGGGATGGTCAATTCCAGAAGAAATGTTTGGCAAGTTTTCGGAGATACAACAGGCAAGTTAAAGTTAGACCACAGCCACATCTGCTGCAAATTGCTTATCTTTGAACAGCTAATCATAATCTTCTTCACTGTGCAGGCTAGGTTGGTCCAAGGTACATCGTTTGTTCATGAGACGTTGAGTCCGTATAAGACTATGTTTGTTCATTAGAGGTCAAATCCGAGTCTCACAATTTCTTTTTTCTTGGTTTTTTTTGTTTGATTTGGATTGTTTACTCTGTTTTTCCAAACAAGATCACACGAATCTGAATAAGGATATTGATTAGTTTCTGGGCATCTCGATGCTATGTTATCTTGAAATGTGCAGCTTCATATCCAACAAGAAATGGCTGCTTCAAGTGCTCTACCCGCAAACTACTTCCTCAAGCGGTCAAGCCACCTCCACACTCTCTGGTATGATTTTCCTTTATTTGTTTCTTCAACTTCAACTCAATTGGAGTTGTCTTGGCAAAAATGTCATTTTTTTTTGTTGGATTATTCATTTTTGCTTCTTATTTTAGGTGATATGATAATAATTTTTTTTTTTCACTAAAAATAATAGTGTTTTAATAAAGGCATTAAAAAATTAGAATAATGGTCATACAGATTTTTTTAAAAATTAGTATTTTAGTGTTTAAACAAATTTCTTTATTATCACCATTTTTATTATTAGTGAATTAAAGAAATTGCTAGTTTGCATATTTTGTGAAAATACACCGAACATTGCATCCAGTCATTTGATGGTTAGAGGTGTCATATGTTCAACATATTTTCACATTATATTGTAAATTTTAGTAATCAAATTTTTATTAATTTTCTAATAAAAATATTTTCTCTTTTTAATAATCAAAAATAACTTTTTAGTATTATTTAAATAAGAATTATTAGAACTTTTTTAAAAATTAATATTTTTAGATTTTTGTTTCTTATCACCGTTTAAATTATTAGATAAATTAAAGAAATTTGATTACTAGATCACATATTCTCTGAAAACACACCGAACATTGCATCCATTCATTTGACCGTTAGATGTGTCATATGTTCAACATGTTTTCACACCATATTGTAAATTTTAGTAATCAAATTTCTATTATTTTGCTAATAAAAATATTTTCTCTTTTTTACTAATCAAAAATAGTTTTTTTAATATTACTTGAATAATAATCATTAGAGCTTTTTTTAAAAAAAGTAGATTTTTAAATTTTTTTGTTTCTTATCACTGTTTAAATTATTAGATAAATTAAAGAAATTTAATTGCTAGATTACATATTCTGTGAAAACACACCGAACATTGCATCCAGTCATTTGACCGTTAGAAGTGTCATATGTTTAATATGTTTTCACACCATATTGTAAATTTTAGTAATCAAGTTTCTATATTTGCTAATAAAAATATTTTCCCTTTTTTACTAATCAAAAATAGCTTTTAATATTACTTGAATAATAACCATTAGAATTTTTTTTAAATAGATTTTAATTTTTTTTTGTTTCTTACCATTGTTTAAATTATTAGATAAATTAAAGAAATTTGATTGCTAGATTGCATATTTTGTAAAAATACATCGAACATTGCATTCAATCAAAAATAGGTTTTAATATTACTTGAATAATAACCATTAGAATTTTTTTTTTAAATAGATTTTAAAATTTTTTTGTTTCTTACCATTGTTTAAATTATTAGATAAGTTAAAGAAATTTGATTGCTAAAGCATATTTTGTGAAAATACACCGAACATTGCATCCAGTCATTTGATGGTTAGAGGTGTCATATGTTTAACATGTTTTCACATTATATTGTAAATTTTAGTAATCAAGTTTGTATTGATTTGCTAATAAAAATATTTTCTTTTTTTTACTAATAAAAAATAACTTTTTAATATTACTTAAATAATATTCATTAAAAATTTTGTTTTTTTATCACCGTTTAAATTATTAGATGAATTAAAAAAATCTGATTGCTAGATTGCATATTCTGTGAAAATACACCGAACATTGCATCCAGTCATTTGACGGTTAGAGGTGTCATATGTTCAACATGTTTTTACACCATATTGTAAATTTTAGTAACCAAAATTTCTATTAATTTGCTAATAAAAATAATTTCTCTTTTTTTACTAATTTAAAAAATAACTTTTTAATATTATTTGAATAATAATCATTAGAACTTTTAAAAAAAATAGAATTTTTAAATTTTGTTTCTTATCACCGTTTAAATTATTAGATGAATTAAAGAAATTTGATTGCTAGATTGCATATTTTGTGAACATTACATCGAGTTATTTGATGGTTAGAGGTGTCATTTGTTCAACATGTTTTCACACCATATTGTAAATTTTAGTAATCAATTTTCTATTAATTTGCTAATAAAATATTTTCTCTTTTCTTTATTAATAAAAAATAACTTTTTAATATTACTTAAATAATATTCATTAGAAATTTTGTTTCTTTTCACCGTTTAGATTATTAGTTGAATTAAAAATTTGATTGTTAGATTGCATATTCTGTGAAAACACATCCAACATTACATCCAGTTATTTAACAGTTATATGTGTCATATGTTCAATATATTTTTACACCATATTGTAAATTTTAGTAATCAATTTTTTTTTTAATTTGCTAATAAAAATAGTTTCTCTTTTTTACTAATCAAAATAGCTTTTTAATATTACTTGAATAATAATTGTTAGAATTCTTAAAATAATTAGTATTTTTAATTATTTGTTTCTTGCTACCATTTAAATTAGTATTAGATTAGTTGAAAAAAACATATCAAACATTACATCCATACATCATATGCTGCACTGAAAATCATCGAAAAGGCAATTGAAGGAGAGGAGTGACAGACACCAAAGAATCGATGTGTTCTTGCAACATGATTGTGAAGGCAGTCTCATTGGCAGCCACATTTGCTCTTGGGCAGATCGAGTCACACATTGGGTAGGCTTTGAGTTTGTGCATACGGGTCCTCGCTAATTTCTGGTTATATCATTAGTCCTTGTTTGTGTTTTGCTTTTTGTTAAAAACTTTGGTGATGCGGAGGAGACACTGACAAGTGCATTAAAAAAGCACTGAGGAACATTACGGTACCATTTGGATTTTCTCATTTCCATCAATTCAATGATCTAAGGCAAGAACTCACGGATTCTGTGCTTCTTCGGATCAGGACACAATCATCCTATGGTTGGTGTGATTTTAACTGGAGTAGCTCTGATGTACCGAAACAAAGCCAAGCAAGAACGCTCGAGTTCTATCATGATTCAAGAGGTCAGAAGCAAGTTTCTTTAGGGTTTAAAAAACCGTTGAAATTTCCTCATCTTACAACTTTTCCCTTCCCATCTCAGGGTCTCTTCAGAAGAGCATTGGAGCTCATGAAAGCACCTCCGTTGGATTCTTAAGGTACTTACAAATAGTTACTTCACGGGCGATTCTGGAACCCAATTTACATAAGTGTCCTCAACATCTTTTCTGTAATCCAATAGGGATAATGAAGCTGGAAACTCAAGAAGTAATGGCACTTGTAATCATCATCGAGCTACTTTGGATCTTTGACTGTGCAGGCGGGTATGCAGAGCTACTACTGATTCAAGAGAACAGAAAAAGCGAAGGAGAGAAGATGAAGTCATGGGCTGAATCTGCCTGGAGAAACAGACGTATCTCTCTGTCAGAGTCGTTAACTCTCTCAGAGCCATTAGGTAAAGTAGCCATCATAGATGCTCGTACAACTCGTGTCCTGTAAAGCTTAGAACCTCGAAAGATATAAACTTTCACAACAAGTTTTACATGTTTGATGTGTAACTAACTCAGTAGTTTACATTTCACAAGATGTGTGTACGCACAGAGAAATTGGCAATAATAAAAAACGTATTACAGAGGAAGATCAAGCCCTTTTCCGATCTCTACACCAATAAGCTCAAGAATTCCTTTGTTCAGAATCTGGAAACGAAAATGATATTACAGTTTTCAATTTTAACTTCATTATCGCGAAAGCATATTCGGAAGAAAAAAAAAAAAACTCACCAATTCGACAATGAAAGTTCCGATGAGACCAATCATGCAAGCTCTTGAGTTCCATATCTCAGCTGTTTGTGTGAAACCCAGAAACGCAGGTTGAGATTTGGGTTCAACTTTCGGCACTATCACCTACGAAAGTACTTTGATTACCACCCAGGGGAAATTTCTTATTCTACGATCAATTCTGGGAAAAAGGAACGAATTTTTACCCCTTCTGGCAGTTTTGCGGCTCGTACACGGAAACTCTGTTGTTTCCGACTGGAGCAGATGTTGAGGTTTCGACCATGGCCATGGGACGACCAGGTCGGGAGAGGTGAAAAGATTGATGACGATAGCGGCAAGGTGCTCATTTGTAATCTTATCTCTTTGTCTACACTCTTGCCTTCTTATCTTCAAAAGGCAGACAGAAGCTGCGTTTATGGATATTCTGTTCTGTTTCTCAGATCCAATCATTTTGCGCCATTTGTCTGCTCCACAACGTATTATGTGTTTGGGATTACTTCAGTTTAGGATGTACTATATTTTCTATTCCACTTTTTTTTTTTTTTTTTTGCCATTTTGCAACATTTATCGAAATATATTTTAGATTCATAATATGTAAGTTATATCAAACGTAGATCATAGAACAATAAGACAATTAAAAAACGTATTGTTATTAATTGTTATACATTTGTCTACAATACATACTGTATCAATTGTGTAAGAATAATTTTTTTTCTTTTAATTAAGAAAAAAAGAGAAAAATGTAGTTTACGTTCTTCTCATAAATGCTAAAATTAAATTGTCATCACAAATGTCATTTTTTTTGCAGGTCGAAATTTGTCTTCGTAATTATCTCTCCCTCTCTTCTTATTGGATCCTTCGGATCGTAAAATCTGGAAAATGGCAGATAAGTCTCCTACGTAGTTATCCACATTTGTATTCTTCATTTCCCCTCTCTGCAACATACTCGCAAATCTCTTCACTTCTCCACCGGCATTTCTTCTCCAACCCTTTTCCACGTTACGATATTTCATAACATTGACACATTTCGCAATTTTCTCCTGCAAACAATAATTCATATCATAATCGAAACGTATTCGCCCAGTTGAGATATTACAAAAACGCCACCTCACAACAGTATATGTACCTTGTGCTCTTGTCCAAAAAGATTCATAATTTTATCTTCTAGAGCTGCTTTTTCTTCTACGACACTCCACACAGCCGCAACCGCCACGACACTTGGTAAATATTCAGCCATCTTCAAATCTACATCAATATTCAAGATTCAAATTCAATCAACCAATTCTACAGTGCTTTCTTCCGCGACAAGCAGCATATTCAAAATAGAGACACATCATGGTCTTCTTACCGCATAGGTCATTTAGCAAATGATCTGTGATTCGACTCATTATCATATCTTCCCCTAACAACCCGATTTTTGCCATCAGATGTTGCGAAAAAGAGTAACTCGTGACTGAGTTAACACGCCAGTCTAGAGCTTTCAACAGAATGAGTTCCATCTCAAGAACGGTCTTGTGGTGAAACAGATGATTTAGCCCTTCCATCTGAAGTTCTTGAAGTGAAGGGGAAGTAACCTCGCTGAATTTTGATGCGATAGATAGTGCTGTTACTGCAACTAGTTCCACCATCCACTTACTCCATTCCTACATTTATTTGTAAGATTCATCATTTTCAACCATCATCTTAAGTATACAAAGTTAATGAATGTAAAACACCATATACTTACGTTGCAGCTAGTCATATAGACGAATCGATCAAAACAATTTGCGGCGGAAAAAATCGTTTCAAATGAAAGATTTAGCCGATTCCGGGTCTGATAGAACAACAAACACAAAAATAAACTTACCGTTTATAAAAAAACATGCAAAATTTGAAAAAACCATACTATACACGTAAATTGCCATTGAAATGGTTTGCAATAACATATATATATGTTATGTATTTGTAAAAATGGGCCTAGTGACCAACCAACTCGAAGCTATTTAAATATTATATTGCAACGCAAAATAGTGTGCAGATAAAACTACAAATGTACAAAAACATATTTGCATCTTGACACATCCGGTATAGGCTGAATTGTCACACTAATATCAATGGTTAAATTGTGATTAAGAAAAAAAAATCAAAAACCACATGGGTGTTAAGTATCAATGATATTTAGAGGTATTCTCTCGAATCTCATATGTAGATTTTCAAAAGATGCGAACTAATTTTTTTTTTTTCTGAAGAACAAAGGAAAAAACCTAAAAGGTGTAATAAGAATTAAGTTACCTGGATTAACCATTGAACCGATTGAAACCTAGCATCGGTTAACTTCTTAGAAACGAGAAACTCGATAAACTTGTCTCCATGATTACTGAAACATAATTCTTTCTCTAAATCCGTAGAAATGGCTTCATCCACCGTCGCTGCGTCCATGGCCGGAGTCATCGCCACGTCATCGTCGTAAGTATTTAAACGGAAGTTTGGTAAAGGCTCCGGAGTTAGAGGACCCGAGAGCCATGATTCGTCGCAGAGTAGATTATCCATTTAAACCGATTTCGTTAAACCGGTTTTAAGGTATTCAGATTTACACTCTACGAACAGTACTACGAGATCAGAGAGAAAGTGACGTATATATATGGAGAGAGACGGATAAAGAGAGAGAGTCGTGGAGAAGAAATTGGGAAGTTATGAAAGACAGTTGAAAGTTACAAAAAAAAATTAAGACACGTCGGTTAAATCAGAAGAAGATGCGTCGGTTTATTGGTGTTTTTGTAAGAGATTGCGCGTAATACATGCTACGCTTTTGTTGAACCGGGTTAAACCGGATACCGGTAATTAGCTAATTGCCATCGGTCTTTAGCTAAGAAAACACGGAAGAAAGAAATAAATAAAAATCAACGAGTGAGAAAATTCTGTGAGCATTTAAATCTTTACAATTTATTCAACTATGTATTTCTTGACATTTCAAATGTGAGTTTTTTTATTATTAGTTATTTAAAATTGTGTGAATAATATATCAAATCCACGTTAATAATTGTTTGTAATTAAAAGTATTACTATATTAAATCTAAATTGTTACCATATGGGACACAGATCAATGCACTTATTAGTAAATTATTACCATATGGGGCACAGATCAATGCACTTATGACCCATTGATTTTTACTGAAAATCCGTAAAATTTAATATTATGTGATTCAGTATTGCATGTCAAAAAAATCTATGTATAATGAACTTTTTAATTACTATAGTATTTTGATCGTAATTCTTTGGTAGCTGAGGAGAAAAGCGTAAAATGAAATAAGTTGAAACAGCTAATTAAAGCCAGAAAAATATGGAAGAAAATAACTACAAGTTTAGGGAATTTTTATTCAAAACTATGAAAAAGGAAAATATTAGGCTAATGAACTAGTCAATAAAAAGATATGCTAAGTTAAAAGGTGAATCAGAAAGTGTTGGTGAACGCATAACTAACCATGAAATGCTAATGAAACTCTTTCATAATTAGATTTAGATGTTCTTTAATTTTACCCTTTTGAAAATGGAGTTTGAAGAATTATATAAATCGTATTGCAATCTATAGAAAACCATGATTTTATAGATAACTTGGATTTGGAGAGTAGATTTTTTTGTTGGTGTTGTTGAATAATATCATTTAGTCTACATGTTTCCCAGTGGATAAGAGTTTATATATCTGTATATACTATTTTTTTCCTTCAAATTTGAAGAAATTATCATTTTTATTTTTATTTTCATTGAGTGGAGATAGTTGCAAAGGATATAATAAGAAGAGGTCGTCCCACATGAAACGCGGTAAATGCTTTCTACCCAATTGGTTAACTGATTATCTTCATAGAGATTTCATGTTACAAAAACGTGTAAAAAAATAAATGTATAGAACAAATTAATTTTAACCAACCTCGTGAGTCCACGACCTTTGCGTAATTACCTCTTCCATGACAGCAAATAAAATACTCTTTTTTAATTTGTTTCTGTTTTTTTTTTTTGTGCGGCACCACCAACTTCCTTATTTTTGTAACCAACCAAGATAATATTTTTGATGTTCGTGTGATTTCAATTTATCTTTTAGTTTGTGAAATGACAAAAAAAAAGGATTGAAGAAAACAAATTATGTCTTGTGTCTGCTTTGACGACGTCGTTGCTTATCCATCAAGAAACATCTCAAGTTGCTTCTTTTAGGTTGTTCTGTCCTTTGTGTCTACTTTAACGACGTCGGTTCAAGTATACCTCTTGCTTCGATCTTCCTCTGGATCAGCAGCGACAAAGAAGACGATAAGAAAGATCTTTGTGCTGGTCTTCATTGGCAGTTCTTCGATTTTCATGTTAAAAAGCCACAAATTGTTCTTTTTGAAAAAATGGAAACCGTACCAAACCGAGCTCATAAACTATAATCGATTTCTTGATTATTCGTACCGGTAAAAACGATTATAGGTACCATCAGCTTAAAATGCTCGTGTTCTTTCGGCCCATAAAAATTAGCTCACTTTCTACTATAATTTGGGCTTAAGATGTATAACGGCCCAGAGTATAACTCACGCGAGATATGCAACTAAGGAAGGACTAGGCTTAACTCTTAAGATGTGTGTTGTTCTTATCCTCCTCACCTAACACGATCCTGAAAACTAAGAAAGTTTAGCCATCCGTATTTCAGTGAAAGAGGCAATTATATCTGCTTTGAACGAAAATGTATATTTGAAAACCATTTAACTTTTAAAGAATAAAGAAATGGATAAAATATAGAATAATGACAATGGGATTAGACTTTCCCGATCTATGATGCAAACTATGACTTCATTCAAGATTGTGAGGCTAGTGGGGTGGGTAATTTGATCCGAATTTAATTAATCTAAATCATTTGTTGACAAAAAAAAGACTAGTTGTTTAATACTTTAGATAACTAGCATGTTGTTTGACTAAAAAAAGAAAACTCCAGCTAACGAGAATTTCTTTTTAAAAAATAGAATATGTTTTTCAGAAAAATTAGAAATTTGATCAATAAGAAGAACATTCTCTTACGAAACTCAGGAATAACAAACTATGATAAAACTTTGAATATATTGTTGGCCGTGTGTTTATCAATTGCTAATTGACAATTAGTTTATTAACAAACTACAGTATAATGAAACTTTCATTAATCTAAAGATGGTAATTTTAAGATTGCTTGAGAAGCTCCAGGTTTCTTGATTTTTAAGTTGAGACTTTCCTTTCACATATTTCTTTTTCGTCTCACAAAATTATAGTTATTCTATTTTACTCTTCTATATATCTTAAAAAATCATCTACCGTGACGCCTAAGCATACGTGGCGACATACCCATCACGCCACGTCACTATCTCTACCCTCCTCCCCTTTTATATTATTTATACACCAAAGGTCCAAAGCCCTCGCATCGATCACAAACCCATAGAAGAAAATCCCATCATAAACAAAATTTCTGAAGGACTTGATTAGAAGATAATCAAATGGAAGGTTTGATTCCGTTTTTGTACAAAGCCGTTGTTACGTATAAAAGAGAAGGAAGCTTTTCGTCGGCTTTGCTCAGCGATCATCAGTACTCTCCTTCTACCTCCGGTTACTACATGAGACTTCCCGGCGACTCTTCCGGTAGATTTCGAGCGTCGGATCTCCGGCGATTTGGGACGGACCGTCTTGGATTACTCGAAACGACGAAGACGTCCTCACCATCTCGTGTTCCCACTAGGAACATCGCCAAACGTACGTAGGGACAGATGATCATTTATGTAATCTGTTGTTAAAAATTATTATACTGGCAAGTAAAACAAACGTGTTGTTAAATCGTCAAAAGTATGGTAAAACTGTAAATATGTGTTGTAAGGATGTCCATAATTTTGACGATGAAATTTAATTAATGAAGATGTAATCTACTTGACTTTCAAATTTGTACGTATAATTTGTTTTAGTGGGGTTTCTTTGATAACTGTGGAATTGTAAAAATTTTAGAATTTTGATGATGACATTCAAGTGTGACTATCGTTTCTTTTTCTTGTATAGCATAAAATTATAGTATTTTGAAATGTTAAACTCTAGACACACACACATAATGAAAGGCCGATCTAACCCTAATATAGCGAGAAAGTCTGCAATTCTCTCCGTCGAACCATGGCCGAATCCACGATCGAATACTTCCCCATTTCCGGTAAGATCTCTCTCCATCTCTTACCCGAAATTGTTTGTTGGGTTTCATCCGATCGATTTGTCATAGTAAAATAATGAACCTATTTCGGCTTGTCGTCCTTTTTTGTCAAGACCATGTTACAAACGTCTTCTGGAACTTGGAGGAGTACCCAATCCCTGATGGTGCGGATCCTAATTTGATTCGTGATAATATCGAAGGAGCTCTTGTTGAAATTGGGTTTCTTGGGTATAAGCAATTCCATGGGCATGGTGACACACTGCATCACGAGCGTGACGAGATGCGGGAGGCCAGAATCTTTGCCTATCAAGGAATCGGAATCGGAATCGGAGGGGTTAAAATGTCGCCTGATTTCAAAATACCCCTGGAGATGATTAGCTGGGCAGGATCGGCCGGTGATGATCCAGTAAAGTTTTTGGTAATCGCAAAGCAAAAGCCAGGAAGCGAGCTGCTTAGGGTTCTTGAGTGTTTGAAATCGAGAAAATGCACTCTTCTCGTCCTAGTTGATGACACCGCAAAAGGAGAAAGTCTCTTTGGTTCTGAAGAATCAGTACTTGAATGTATACAAGTTTTCGGTGGAGCAAAGCCTATGAGGAAAGGTCCACCATTTTATGATTCTGATTATGACTCTGATACTGATCCTTACTTTAGTGTTGCTGGGGTGACCCCGACCAAATCAAGTTGTGATTCTGATGATGGTGGCAGCTCCCAATTCGATATCTTCAAGATGGAAGACTTCTCGGAGCCTATCAGAGCCGCCAAAGGGGACAAGACAGCCGTCTTCTGGGACGTCGAGGATTGCCCATTCCCTCCTCTTTGTTCCCATCCTGACGAGGTCTATGGCAGAATCGAGGAAGCTCTTCGTGAAAGGGGTTGTTTGGGTGAGATATCAATCTGGGCTTATGTTGATGAGAAGAAAGGGTCTTGGAGTGGTGAGCAGCATCTGCTTAGGAACAAGACGTGGGATTCAAGAATCTACTTTCTTCCCGGAGGTGAGAATTCCAAAGAAACACTTCTTTTCCTCTTATATATGTGTGTATGTATGCTAAATCTCACTTAGCTCCATTGGTGTATACTGTTTCGCAGGGGATAAAGAGTCGGGATTTAATAGAATGTTGAATGACGTTCTTTTATGGAAAATGGACTCTCCCGTGGAAAATACTCGTCCACCAAGTGTGATGGTATTGGCAGATCAAGTCGGTGAGGACACGCTATTCTACATTAGGCTTAAATGTATGTGTCTGAGGTTTTACGATGTTTTCTTAGTAACTCCGACTCGGGACACCAACAAACCACAAGACCCTGAATGGCCAAGATTGCCATTAGATGAAGCACATTTTTTCCCAAACCATAGGGAAGACTCAATTCATGGGTTCCGCATCAAGCAGCGAAGCTCAGAACCTAATCCCAAAAAGCATAAGTCGGAAGAACACATACAAAAAGCACAAGTCGGAAGAACTCAAACTTTTTCTTGATTTGGAAGCAATTGTAAAATCTAAGTGTGAGATTCTTTGATGTATGCCGAATGTCGATCCACGATGAGACGAATGAGATTATCTTCGACGATAGATTCAGGCTTCTCGCGATCGCATCGAACCACAACATTACTGTTGCTTGAAACAACCACAACTTCCTCCTTGCGTGTTGATAGCTCATTGGCTACAACCGCGTGCACTTTGTACTTTCGTAGAGCCTTTGTAGCTTTCTCTATCAGAATCTTTGAGTCTGTCTCAAGCTGGATTCAAAATTGCTTTATGAGTTAATTGAATTTTGGAGAAATGATATGTAAAGAGAAAGAGAGAGAGATTTGACCTTGAATGATATGCAGAAAGCCTCTGGAGCCCAATTTGTTCTCAAGATTGAAAGCATTTTAGGGACTTGAGCTAGTCTTATGTCCAAAGGACCGGATCCTGATTCTATTTTGTGCTCTGTCTGGTTGTTTCACCAAATATTTATTCAGACAAGAGAATTGTGTAGCCAGGGTGATAAGGGACATGATGAGACTCTTACCATGCTCTTCCATGGCACATAAAAGTCAGACACAGCAGCAGCAAGATAAAACATTGAACACGGACCGACATCTTTCAGTGCCGTTGCAATCAACCGCAGCATCTGTAACCCACAAACATTCACAAGAGAGAGATTGATTTCAGCTGTAGCTCCGCTAAACACAAAATTTTATATTGCCTAACGGAGGATTCTTGTGCTGTCAATTATACGGATCAAAACAAACATAGCTAAAACAGCATGTGTAAGATTCAAGAACCTGAAGATACTCATATATGGTTGAGAACGGGAGCTTTATTAAGCGAGCTTCTGCAACGGCCTGCGATGTTTAATTGAAAAGGTTGATAACACAAACAAAAAGCAAGATAAAAACAAAAGCAGTAGAGAGAAACAAAGTACATACTTCTTGCTGGTCCATAACAGCCATTTTCACAGCTTCCAGATGTGATGCATTAACTGAAAACAAACAAAATGGATGAATAAAGACACATGATTTGTTACCGTACCAGACTGAAACACTCACTTAATATCCATCTATTGTATCAGTTGGACCAAAAAAAAAGAGAAAAAATATCCATCTATTGTATATAGATTGCGAAAGAAGTTCTAATATATATAAAAAAAAACCTTGAATGTTTGTCTTATCTGGAAACTCAAAACATTCAAGGAATGGATCATCCGGAAGAGACCGGCAATATGGCTGGCAAGTTCCCCTGAAGATCACATACAACCAATATAAAGCCAATATAAAGCATCAATCTTTAACACATCAACAAAAAAGTTCACTTTTTTTCTTTTCAACTACACACAATTCAGAAACACAGAACGGAATTAATGTACCTCCTATACAGAAATATCACAGCATATCCAGCTTTCACGAAGTTCCTTTGCACCAAATCAAACAGATTTAGACCAAGAATGATCACAGAACAGGATTTGCAAGTTATGTAAGATTAATTGAAAAGAAAAAAAACTAAACTTACTCAGTAGATGCAGCACCTCTGTTTCCTGAGCTGAAATTATCGATATATCTTACGCATCGTTGCTCCAATGGAACTGTGGTTCCTCCTGAAGTCACACATACAATCCTCCTCCCTCCTGAAAATTGGAAATCATCTAAATCAGTTCATACATGGAAGCAACAAAATATACAAATCGAAATGTCACATTTTATATATATAATGATTTTGATCTCGCCTTGCAACGAAGAATTTAGCTCCATGAACCCATTAATCTTCTCGACTATCTCTTCCATGTTCTTGAGAGGTGGAGACGATTCGAAAAACGAAGTAATTTCATCTTCCCCCAACCCAGAGATCGTCGAACTCATTCCAATTCTCTACACAGAACCAGATGATGGAGATCGAAGGAGGAGTGTGAGCGCGATGAGGAAGAAGAGCAACGAATCGGGTTTTTTCATATGAGGCTCAAACAATCAAATTCTACATATTGGGCCCTCGAATCAGCCCATGTGATTACACGCCAAATATTTGCAAATAAGGATATCTATTTCTGTGCTTTGAGGTTTATTTACCGAATATTTTTACTTTGCACTTTTGCGTCTAACTCTTTTGTGAAGCTTAAGAGATTGCTTGCGAAGTTCAACCTCAAAGTTTGCTTCATGGAAGTTAAGACTTTCCTTTCACATCTTTGCTTTCGATCTCATAAATTTCTTTTCTTTTTTGTTTCCCCTCAGTGCAAAGTGCAAACATATCCTCTAAGCCTCTCTAACAACATAATTTACCGTCACGATTAACACATCACGTCACGTCAACATTATCTAAAGCCTCTCTTAACTCTTTTCTCTCTTATAATTATAAACATTCCCTTCACATTAGTCACAAAACCATCAAAAGTTCTAAACGAAAAAATTCTTTTGCAGATTGCGAGAAAAAAAAAAGGTTTATAGAATTTGTTTTTGTATAAAATAAATGGAAGGCTTGATTCCATTTCTGTACAAAGTCATTGTTATGTATAGAAGAGAAAGAAGGTTATCGTTGGTTTTGTTCAGCGATCATCACTCTCCTACTACCGCCGGTTATTATATGCGACTTCAAGAAGATTCCTTAGATGAGTCTCCACCGTCGGATCTCAGGCGATTTGGATCGGACCGTTTTGGAATGTTCGAAACGACATCGTCTCCTACTTTTTCCGACTAGGGTCGACTCCAAGTTTCTGCCTAGGGACTGTGATTAATATGATATATCATATATTATGCATATGTACATATCAATGGTCTGCATGTGATGTGATTGTGGTAATTGTATATTATTAGGTATTATTACATTTGCAAGTGATAATATTAAATCCTTCAAAATCATGGTAAACTGTAAGGATGTCCATTATAACAATTTAACATATATGTCATGCTTTTTATTTTTACTAATGTAAATCATATAAAGGCTGTTGATCCGAGTGGCTTCCAGTTATGTGGGAAATGGGAACGGTATCTCAAACTTGGATACATAACTCCGTAATGAAACCGGACACGATCATGTTAAAGTTTTAATCAGAAAATAACAAAAACAAAATACGTGAAAAAAGTAAAGTCTTTGCATGTGCAAAGCTTTGGATCTTGCATCTTTCCTTATTTCTCTACATACACACACAGTAGATTTATAGAAGATCGATCCACATAGGATTACGAGGAAGACATACTTATAAAAGATTCCGTCAATACAATTTAAGGAAATGGTATGTTGTTAACACTTTGAGCTTGAAAGATAAAGTGGTTCAAAGAAGTACGTAAATGATTAATATGATAACTCATAGAGCCAAGATCCAAAAAAAAAAATAGAGATTTTTCGTTGGAATTCGAATTAAGAACACTAAATCAATCCGGATGAACACTAAAATATACAGTATGCTGTTTATTCCTTTTGTTTTTGAACAATCAATACCTATATATAAAGAGAAGAATCATAAGTATATTTGTGTCGAATAGTATACAAAACTTAGGAAACATGAAAAATGTTGGGATGATCATGACAGACACTGAATCTGCACAATCTTCCTTAGAAAATACAAACATGATTTTGAGCAAACCCAAATCAATCCTCATATTTTTTGTTCTCGTTTTACAACAACTCGGGAACTGCTTTTTCAACTTTATTACTAAGAAATACGTAACAATTGCATAACCACAATAACAACATTGTTAACAATGACCTTACATTAGTACATAACCTAAACCTTTCTTCACATCTTTTGATGATTAATTCTCCACACTCTAATCAACTTACCAAGATGGAGAAGAAGCGATCATACGCCGTACTGATACCGACTCTCTTGACCGTATGGCTAGCATGCGCTGACCATTCTTATGCCCGCCATGCTAAGACAAACCATCCCATGGCCGGACCACCACGGTGTCCGAATTGTGGACCCATGGCTATACCTTACCCGCTAAGCACGGCTCCGAATTGCGGCGATCAAGCCTACAAGATAAATTGTGTCGCCGGTAAGCTCTATTTTGGCGCTCTTCATGGATCATCGTATATCATCACGTCCATTAACCCGGTGACCCAACGGATCGTTCTCCGGCCTCCCGGTTTTGTTAGCTCTGGATCTTGTCTCTCGGCTGATTTCTCTAAAGCGGGCCTCGAGCTCGACCCACATCTCCCTTTCAGCATCACTAGCAGTAACACTATCTTACTGCTTAGTTGCCCTGAAGCTATGCTACAGGTGAAACATTTATCTTTTATTTCTGATTTTAAATGTTTAACTGGTCTGGACCGGTTTTTGAATTAACCTGTTTTATTAAGAGTGGCGCTTACATTATTCAGTTCGGACTGATTTGGTTATTTTTGGTATTCGAGTTAATTCGTTAATTCAGTGTAATTCAAATGTCTGATCCTACTCTTTAAGCTTAAAAGAGAAACTAGATGATTCGGTTAAAATGTGCTGAAACCCGGTTTTCAGGCCTGACCAAGAGATTTTGGGGTCTGCAGGCGCCAATAGATTGTACCGGGACCAGCTTATGCCACAGCTACATCAAGAACAACGCATCAGCTTGTTCCAAGGCTCCCTTTTGTTGCACCTTCAGAACCGACGGCTCACAAACGGCTTACACGATCAGGATCAACGGTGGAGGATGTCTCGCGTACCAGAGCTTTGTGGGGTTGAATCCAAACAAAGAGATTCCGCCTACCGGAAAAAAATGGCCCGACCCGGGGCTAGAGCTGCAATGGGCATTGCCTAAGGAACCGGTCTGCAAAACGGATGTAGACTGTAGCCTCTTGCTGGGCAAATCAAAGTGTTTGCCTGACCCGACGAGTCTCGGCTTAAAACGTTGCTTCTGCAAGAAGGGTTTGGAATGGGATCCGGTTAACGCAATATGTAAGTGAACCACTGAATCAAAATCTCTTGAATCTTATGTAACTGTGTTTGATTAGTTCTTGACATAAATACCCTGTTTTAGGTGGTAAATGTCGCCATGGGAAACACTGCAAGAAAAAGAAGAAGACCGTTGTTTTCGCAGGTATAAAAAGGATCAACATTTAAACCGAGTCTTAATTTGTTTAGCAACATAAACAGAAACCAATTGTTTTACACTGAACTAAACCCAAAGAAAAAAAAACAAAAATTTGAAGGTGCGGCGGTTGCGGTTGTGGGAGTTACATTCGCGATTGCGGTAGCGGTTCTTGCAAACAAGCATAGCCACAAAAATGTTAAAAAAGAGATCCATAAGAACATCGTTAAGGAGCGAGAAGAGATGCTCAGCGCAAAATCCACGGGAAAATCATCAAGAATCTTCACCGGCAGAGAAATCACAAAGGCAACCAACAACTTCTCAAAAGACAATCTCATAGGCACCGGAGGTTTCGGTGAAGTCTTCAAAGCCGTTCTTGACGACGGAACCATAACCGCGATCAAACGAGCAAAGCTTAACAACACCAAAGGCACTGATCAGATCCTAAACGAAGTTAGGATCCTCTGCCAAGTCAACCACAGAAGCTTAGTTAGGCTTCTTGGCTGCTGCGTCGATCTCGAGTTGCCTCTCTTGATCTACGAATACATTCCCAACGGAACGCTGTTCGAACATCTCCATGGCAATCCAGACCGCAACTGGAAACCGCTGACTTGGCGGCGAAGACTGCAGATCGCATACCAAACCGCTGAAGGCTTAGCTTATCTTCATTCCGCAGCAATGCCGCCCATTTACCACCGCGATGTAAAGTCGAGCAATATCTTGCTCGACGAGAAGTTAAACGCCAAAGTTTCAGACTTTGGGCTCTCTAGGCTCGTGGATTTGACGGAAACTGCTAATAACGAGAGCCATATCTTCACAGGCGCACAAGGTACGCTGGGTTATCTCGATCCAGAGTACTACCGGAACTTCCAGCTAACCGATAAGAGCGACGTGTATAGCTTCGGAGTTGTGCTTCTGGAGATGGTTACGTCAAAAAAGGCGATAGATTTCAGCAGAGAAGAGGAAGATGTGAACCTGGTGATGTATATAAACAAGATGATGGACCAAGAGAGGTTGATTGAATGCATCGATCCGCTGCTCAAGAAGACGGCTAACAAGCTTGACCTGGAGACGATGCAACAGCTCGGGAATTTAGCATCAGCGTGCCTCAACGAGCGGAGACAGAACCGGCCTTCCATGAAAGAGGTTGCTGACGAGATCGAATACATCCTTAACATTCTATCACAAGAGGTTACTGAGACACAGTTGTCTTAGGATTCACTTAAAATGACCTTTGCTCTATACCCTTGCTCTGTTTCCGGTTATGAATTTAGATGAAAGAAAAGAGACAAAACGATTCGTGGAAATGGATCTTTGTATAATCTAAGGAGATGGGTTTGTTCGATGTCATATCAAGATCCAAAACATCGCATGAGACGATACAGCAGCCAAAACCCAATTGAAGAAAGCTAGACCGACCGAAATCTGAAACCTGTCACAGGAGAGAGAGGTCTGCCTGCAAAATGCAGTATCTTTTGTGAATAAAACCGTAACTCCTGCAGATGAACACGCGGCTGCAAGAGAGAGAAGTGCAGTGACCTGCATGAATTCAAAAAAAGAAATCTATCAAAAACCACAGCCTTTATAACAAAAGAAACATCTAAAAATGCGTAACACAGCCTTTTTCTGATACCAAAGCGAGTGCAAATGAAATTCTGTTTTTGGTAAAATGAGATGGGAGATAGAATTAGTACCCAATCACCAACAGTGAACAGGCTCAATAAGATGGGGCTTTGTAGATCGCTTTTTCGCCTGATAGCATAAACATCGAGACACGCAAGTCCAAAGCTCCAAATCATTTGAAGACCCATAGATGCAACTAAGAAGCTGAAAACATAAGCAAAAAGTAGCAACATTTTGAGCCATTATCCAGCAATCGAAGTATACAACAATCTGCATTTCACATAACAGGACAAACTTGTCAAAGATTCAGGTAAAATTTCAACTGATACATTGAGACTCAGTTTGAAATGGTCAATCCAAGCACACATACAACCTAAGAGATCGATTCCGACAAAAACAGATACACCAATCATACTCGCAAGAAATGAGCAAACCCATCTCACTATCTCAGATACAGTTTTCAGATAGCAGAATGTCGAGAGTTACCAGAAAGCAGTGTAACGAGAGAAGCCGGGAGCAGAAACCATAACACCGATCGAAGCAGCAGCAGTAGCACATTGCCCTATTCTTAATATCAGCCCAGTCATTGTTCCAGGACCCCCAATCATCTTCTTCATTGACCACGACCAACCCAGAATCTAGAACAATGAAAACAAAAAGAGCTCCACTTTCTATCTCTCTTCTCACCAAAATAGCTACTTTCCACAAAATTGATCATAAAACCCAAAAACCCGTCATCTTGTCAGGAAATTTCACAAACCCAAATCCTCAGATTCGAATACCTCTCACTATTCTTCAAGAAATTATCACTCAAAGATCATAAACCCTACCGGGAAGAAAAAGCTTGTGGGTAATTAATAAAAGCTTTGAATGCTAAAAGAAGTAAATCTACCACAAATTATAAACTCAACGTTCTGCTAATGGGAGGAACAATTATGTTTCCCTTAACTTCACGCCAACGAAAATTGTGGAAACAGTGACGGAAAGTGACGCAATTCTGACGCCGGCGAGCTATTTGTTCTCTCTCCTCTTGTTTGCCTTTTGGCACGTGTCTACACAGAGACATTCCCCTGTTCGAAAATATTCTAGTTTATACGTTTAATCTCTTTTTCTTTTCTCCAACATGTGTTTTTTTCCTTTTTGTCGTCTTCTCCAATTTGTTTTTGGTACAGATTCCACCTCCAATCCTAACCATTAATCCTTACATTATCTTACTTTTTTTCCTTTTATGGAATTTTGTTTGACTACAAGGAAAAATTTATATTTTCGTCAAACAATTATTTTGACGAATGTAGCAGACAAAAATATGTATACAATAATTTTGCATTTCGACGAATTCTTATATCACAGAGCCAGCAACATGTAGGCTTGTAATGGCCCATTAAATAATTGGGCATTAACTAATAGAGACAATTCAGTTACTACAAGCCCATTAAATAATTGGGCCTTAACTAATAGAGATAAGCCAGTTACTACAAAAGCTAAAACCTCTTGCGTCACTAAAACCCTCATTACGATCTTCTCTTAGGCATCCCCATTTCTTCCACTTGAGAAAAACCCTAGAAATCTCGAGAAATGGCGTTAAACACTATCCTTCGTCGAGCCTCGTCGACAGTGGCCACTCTTGCATTCCGCGCGGCTAGATCTCCGTTGAGCGTCCGCAGTAGCGCCGTCTCCGCCGAGAGACTGATTCTTGGTAGCCAGCAGCTCAGCCGTGGATCGTTTATCTCATTCTCGAGATTTTCAACGGAAAGTGCGGTCACTAAAACAACCGCCGACGAGAACCTTGTTAGCGTTCTCGAATCTGAAATCGAATGCGCCGTGAACGAGGAGGCGCCTGATGAAAACGTTGTAAGTTCTCCTCTGCTTCTCAATATGTATCTGCCTGATTCTCTCAGTGATAAGACATTTGTATCGAATCTTTTCATGATTTCGCTCGAATTCCAGATGTATTCTGGTGATTTACATGAAGTTTAGATTTCGTAGGTTGCAGAATTGTTTGGTTTTTCAACAGTTGTATCTGAATTTGAGTAACAATATCATTAGAAATTTTGTAATCGGAGTTTGATTCTCATAAACTAAAAAATGTTTTGAAACAGTTGGAAGATAAGCCAGAAGGGTTTCCTTTTGAAATCATTGATGTTCCGGGGGAAAGAACTGTGTTGCTACAGAGAAAATTTGAGGATGAAACCATCCAAGTAGAAGTTGACTCTGGTGCAACTTATGATAGTGAAGAAGAAAAAGAAGAAGAAGAAGCAGAAGCAAACGGTGATGAAGAGGAAGAAAGCTCGGTTAGTATCCGGATTCCGATGGTTGTGAGTGTGGCGAAAGGTGACGGTGTCTGTCTTGAGTTTGGAGTCAGCGCATACCCCGATGAGATTGTGATTGATAGTTTATCGATCAAACAACCCGAAGGATCTGACAATGGCCTTGCTTACGAAGGACCTGACTTTGAGTAAGTTGGATTCAATCTTTGTGCCCTGTTTGCAATGTACTGTATATATATGAGATTGTGTGATTGAATCTTTCGAATTTGTGCAGTGATTTGGATGAGAATTTGCAGAAGGCTTTCCATAGGTTCTTGGAGATCAGGGGGATCAAGCCGAGCTTCACTGACTTTTTGGCAGATTATATTGCCAACAAAGATAGCAGGGAGTATCTTCAATGGCTCAAGGATGTTAAGGCTTTTGTTGAGAAGTGAAACTGATATCTTTTTTTTCTCAGAGAATAAGAGTGAAACTATTAGAGGAGATATTTTTACTTAAATTACTGTTTGAGATTTGTCTTAGTTGAACTTTTGATATCACCATGTTCCATGATGATACATAAATCGTTGAAAGGAGTTGTTGCCCTTTGAGATTATTGCTACATGTACCTCCTGAGTTTTCAGTTTACAAAATAAAAATAATACTACAACTTTTCCACTTACATACTCGACATTTTGCACAAGAATATTTCTTATTTTGCAAAACACTTGAGAGTGCTTTCGAGAAAGAGAGATGCAATGCAAGCTTTTAAAAGACTCTGAAGTAGGATTTGTACAGTAGTAGTACATCACAAAGGGGTTTGGGAAAACAAAAACAGAAAAAAAAAGCTGGCTTTACAAGTTCTTTTAACAACGAAAAACAACGACTTTGCTACACAAAGCAAAACCCAGATCAAGAAACAGAATATCCGAGTCATGGAGCAACAAATCCGGATCAAAAACCCCAGAGAACAGCAAACCAGTTCCATCTTGAAGAAATGCTGTCAGTTTGGTCTTCACCGCGTTAGGTTCCTGAGACAAGAACATGGTTAACATTTCAAATAAATAGTCGCCGTCCAATTAAGCACAAATATGTTGTTTCACTTTCTTCAAGAAAAAAGTGATTCTGGCAGATCACTGTGGCATCACATAGTTCCATAAACTCTATTGGTTGAGACCAATGGATTTAAGTTCGAACCAGAGGAGTTTTTTTTAACTTACAGTACACTAAATCTCACTGTAGTTGCGCCATACTGCTCGAAATTCCTCCCTGAATGTGTTAAGACGTGCCTTCAAGTTCGGTGTTCTCAAGGTTGCATGAAGAACTGTAGCTGTAGCACAATTAACAAAAAGGTTATAAACGGTTGTGACAAATGAAGTAGAGTGAGAGAAGGTAAGTTATGACAATTTTGTGTAGATGGCATACCAAGAAGCCCAATGAGTAGCGCCAAAGAGACTGTGAACAAACCACAGGAAATATACCAAAGGGCAAAACTCACTGTGAAACAAGAAGAAGAAAAATTCCAAATGGTTTCAGAATATATCTCATTAAGGTTCTCTTAAAAATGAAAAAGGGATACAGCCCACATACCAAGCGAGAATATCAAGACAAAGACCCAACGAGGTTGACCACAGATATGGATTGCTCTCTTCGCTGACGGGCGTCCACGAGTGACAGGACTATAAAACACACATAATATAGATGGTTAACAAGTAACAAAGAGCATGAAACGTGATAACGGGGAAGGGTAAGCAAGAAACGTACGTCAATGGGGGTCTCATTTTAGCAGCTAACTGTGGAGAGAATCTTCTGATGGTTCGTGTCGCCTTCTCACTAAAGGAACCTGCAAAGCTGTAGATAAGAATCCACATTACGGATTGATTCCGATAAGGATCCCAATTCAAGCATATCCAGCAGTTGAAAGGTGTGAGATTGGTAACAATAGGAGGAAGAAGAGAGAAACCTGTCATTTAGAAATGCCACACTTAGTGCTGTCAAAAGGGCAGAGAGAATCGCGAGAGGCCTCGTAAGAAATCCCAATCCTGAGAGGTAAAATTTGATATTTTATTAAGTAGTAATGTCAAAACACAGATACTATGTGACTTGCCACTTTATCAACATCACTTACCAAGTATGACGATGATCATGATGAAATAGTTTGTTCGGTAGCTGCAAAAATACATCATCATTCACAGGTCAATATTATCCGAAACTACTACTACTCTCTTATGATGCACTACGATGTGTAAAATTCTCATCGAATTGTTAAGAGATTGATCGCACCAGCAGATCCGAATAAATATTGTGAAACCATGACTCGTTCCAGCCACTAAATTGAACAATTGAACAATCAAATATGCTAAACCAGAGACCTAGCTACCGAATGAGAGAGACAAGTAGAGAGAGAGCGATCGTACTAGTAGAGATTGCACTTGAGGCGGCTATCCCATTTCGCGAAGGATTTAGGAACGGTGAACCTAGAGAAGAACTCTGAGAGCGGACGCGGCGGAGACGACCAGTCAACTTCTCGGAGAGCATCGACGAGATCCTCAACCGTCACATTTCCCCAATCCATGACCTCCAAAAATCTCCGATCACAAACTCAGCTCTCCAATTCCCAGAATCCCTAGAATTCAACCCTAAACAAAAGTACTATCCTCACAGAATTGACCGATTGTGATTCAGATCAAGGCTCGTCGAAGAGAAATCGCGAGAGAATATCTAGAGAAAACTGGGAAGATGAACAAAAACCCGGTTTCGTGCAGGGGTCGTATTATATCGATATGGAAAATAGAAAGAACATTAAATTAATTGTTACGCCACGCGTCTCCTCTTTTAGTCAAATGACATTTACGCCCTTTAGACTGGTTTTCCTTATCCGAATACCACATTTTATGTGATCCGATGCTTACCCGGTTCAACTACGTAACCAATTTTTTCTATGCCTCTACTATAAATATTAAATGTGGATAACCAGCACTGATATCGTCGTTACTAATTGAAAATCTGATTTAAAGTTTTAGTCTAGTTTGATAAAAATGGTTTTAAGTTTTCCATATCCAAAACCAAAATATCGGTTTGTCACTCTAACCGGCAGCCAAAACCCTTTGATATTTGATAAAATGCGGTAATTACATGGATAGAGATTATTTACGCATTCACGTATATTTTCAATAGTTGATATAAGATTCTAAATTAGAAGTCGATGATAGTTCAGAATTTGCAAGATGTAAAGCGAGAGATCGTATTAGACCATTAGTCGGTTCTAGTAATTAAAACTTTGGAATCTAGTGTTGTGAAATGGTAACATTAGGATAGGAGCAAATAATAATATTACTGGCATAAAATCAGACTACATATGGAGGATTATCTATCAAATCATATTCCACTTCTTGTGTGACTAGACCAAATGATTGATGAATATATTCTTCAATTAAATAACTACATCATCAACTGTGGATCATCAATGAAAAAGCATAGTAGTAAAATGCTAATTAAAATGTACGTATATACCCAATCAATTGATAAGTGAATATGGTTTTGTGTCTAATCAAACCATATTTATTTGGCATCATTTACCTAAGAGCTACACAAATATCAAACTGAAACATAGTTTTGCATTTTGGCAATTAGAAAGTAAAAAAAAAAATTTGCAAGTTTACTGTTTACTAATTTTTTTCTCTTGATATCTCGAAACTAACCAATTTCTTGAGTTTATAAATTATAAAGTGATTAAACTTAGGCATAACGTCGTTAATTCATATATCATTTGTAATTGTATATCGTGTTTGCTAACCTTCAACTCAGGAACTCTTGTTACAAAGTAGGAGGGAAAGAGTAAAATGTAAAAAGTTGGGATTATCTTTGAGCTAACCATGTGATAACGTGATTGCTTCTTCTTACTCCGAACATGTTATCGCTATAAGTCTTTTCTTGACTTAGGTGTTTCATTGTACTTCGAGTAAGGAAGAGGTAATCTGTATCCCGAGGATTAAAACGACACATGCGCATATATATATATATTAGCTTAACAACCCTAGTTTTAAACCTCAGGATGCAGATTACCCGTTCATCACCAAGTACCTTCTTCTTCATCTTTTTCTTCTTCTTCGTGTTGTTCCTTGCTTTTGTTGTTGTTGACGGTGAGCATATATATAGAGAGATGGTGAAGCTTATATAAATAGCAACGGTGCAAAAGAATAATCCTTATTCCAAAGGTTTAATGCTTCTGGAACAAATACTCATACAGAATGACAACATCCTTTTTCTTGTCCATGGTTTCTTATCTATTCCTACATTTATCTCGAGTTCAGCATAATACAAAGATCAAATATTAAATTAATAATATAATATGTACGCTTAATGTGTCTAAATGATGTTTAAGGTTGCCTATGTATGTACATAGCTTTGCTTACAAAAACGAAAAGGTGCATTAATTAGGGTTTATGTGTTGAAATGAACTCCATCCTTTAAACGAAATTGAATTGCATGAAAGCTATTTGGTAGTTATAAAAGTTTCTTATAAGTTTTCATTGAGACCTAAAAACGCACACGTTAGGTCCTATATGGTTCTTGTGCCATCTTCTATGAGAAATGTGTGAGAATTCGTTTACACAAAATCCTACATTTTTCCTGCTGTATTCGCGCGTCTCTCTTAATTCATTTTTCATCAAAGGCCTTTTTTGTGGTGTGACGTTTACGTCCACGTCTAGAAAAATCATCCGGTTCCGTATCTCTACCGTATACTTCTACACTTTTCTCCAACAAGCTAAGGTTTTCTCAAATGATTATCCAAATATCTTATGAAGTTATAGTTGAAGAGAATTCTATATGTAATATACACAAGATTATGTTGAAAGTTATCAAGAATAAATTGAATAGTAATATGTATTGGGTTTAAAAATTTAATTAGTTTTTTTACATAAAACGTGTGGAGAGTGTTTTTTCGCATCCACATAAAGGAGAAGATTGTGAGAGATCAAATCAATTGATTCTTTGTTCTTTACGAGCCAATGATGGCAACTTGCATTTTTTTTTCTTTTGCTTTTTAATATACAGATAGTCTTTAAAATTTTCTTTGACTGCTTTAAGTTTCGTCTCTAGGCTCATCACATGAACCGATTCTCTTCTCAATTATTGAATTTCATATGATTGAAAAGACAGTTAACTAAGCTAATGTTTACATCTTCTTATTAAGTAGAAATCTAATCAAAGTTCAAAACATCTAGTTCAGTTGATTCCATTTTCGAGTAGTCCTCGTGCAATGTTTCCCCTTTTTTTATATGTAAAAGTTCTCTCGTGCAATGTTTGCTTCAGTAAACGGTCAAATTTGCAACGATGAAATCATGATGAACACTTTGAGCCGTAATATTTACCATAATCTTCCTTTTATGGTGTGACGTAAATTCGATAAATAGTTCTTTATGAGTAAACAACATAAAAAAACAGTATATCAAAAAAAAAAAAAAATGCTAGACACATCATTCATGAATTGAATGGATGGTTTATAATTTTATATAAGAAAATAAACAAAAAGGGTGAGAAATGGTAAGGAGAATAATTGTTGAAACGAAAGACGAATTTCTTTTGTTTTCCAACGAGAGGGAAAGGTTATATCTCTTTGGTCATTGTTTACCAAAAGCAATTGCAAAGTTATTTGAAGCAACAAAAGCACATTTTTTTCATCTTATGCTCTCATGGGCTCTTCAAAAGCCAAGTCTGTTTGTACCATTATTGGAAGGGATACAAACCGAATAGAGAACCTTAAACCGATCTATTTGGAATTGTTATTGAAGCCGGTTTAAAATTTGTTTTGTTTTTAGTAAAATTTTCAATTACCCAAAAATCAAAACAGATAGGTCAATTACTCTGAAAAGTTTTAGGGTTTCTTAACTAATAGTTGAGCTACTCAGTACATCAGACTCTTAACGTTGGAAAAGTAGATGCTCATCATCGTAGAAAACAACCAACACCAAAATACTAGGTTTGATACGAAATTGTCTAGCATGGACAATGATTAACATTCAGTTTCTTTTCAATTTCATTCCTAAGATAGATTCCATTTTCAAAAGGAAACAAACAAAAAAAATTGAAAAACATGCTAATATACACATCATTTGCATTACAATTCCAATATCTCATAGAACAACGTCAAACATATTTTCTCCTTCCCACAAACAATCTCATCCTACAAAATCATGTAGAAACTGATGATTACTACCTCCAATAAAATCTCTCCCAAACTGACGATTTTGCCCTTCATAGCCACCGCCACCACCACCGTAGGACTCCCCTCCTCCTCCACCGCCACCACTACTGTCACCCTCAAGTCCAAACCTCTGAGCAGTTGTCATCGGAAAAGGCTCCGGCAACCCAATCTGATTATGAAGCCCTAACGTCAACGTCACTCCTCCAATACCGTACGGGAAGCTAACCGCACCGCTCCCGCCGTTTCCAGCGTTAAGAATGCTATTGTTATTGCTGTTGTTGGTGGTGGTGCCATGAACGTCGTCGTCTCGAGCTCGTCTAGCGGGAGATGAGTTGTTGTTAGCCCTCTGTTGCGCCGTGGAGGAAGATGGGTTGTTGTTGTTGTTGTTGTTATCGGGGAAGATGGTGGTGGTGCTACGTTCGTCTCTCCAAGAAGAAGAAGATGATCTCTGCGATTGTCTAGTCTCCAGCATGTGAATCTCTTCCACCATTGGTTTCCAAACCCTAACTCGTGCGTTTATAAACCAATTCGATACCTGAAAACAGTAAAGTTACTAACAATCCACCAACAATACATTACTCCCGGAGAACAAATAATCATTATCAATAACCCTAAGAAGTTAATTTCGTGAGCAAAAAAACCTAGAGATTAGGTTAACCATACTAAATTGCATTACCCTCCACAACTAAAATACGAAATTAAATCCCCTCCTATAAACTGAATACACTAAACAATTGATTTGTTCAAATTTGAAGAATTAATTATTTATTATATTTTTCTTTTTCTTTTTTCGCCAAAAGAAAGTTGTGTTGAAAGTTTCAAGATTGTTTGTTCAAAAAAAAAAGAATATAATGTGTAATTACCGACAACAGAATTTCATTTCGTATATAGCAAGGAATATCTTAAATTGTAAACCAAAAAAAAAAACAACAAAGAAAAACAAAGCTGAAGAGATCAGAAGTGAAAACCTGATTTCTGGAGAGACCTGTCTGTTTAGCCAACATGAGCTTGTCTGTATCAGTTGGATAACTGCAACAAAAGACACAAACAACTATAATTTAATATTTCACAAAATATATTCTTACATATACACACACATAATTACACATATAAAACGACATATCCAACTTTGAGAAACAAACAAGGAGTCGACATGTCCCATCTAAAACATACTTCCAAATTATAATACACTTCTATACATACATATATATACATGCTTTTGCATCTATAGCTATTTGTTCACTAGCCTATAAAAATAATGTGGTTCATGACTTCCTGACACGTGAATACATAGACATATAGTTATACGGATATTGGACTTTACTTATGTCAAGTTACAAGTGTAACTTCACTGAAATTGATTGATGGTGTGATCGAATTGACATGGTTAACTCGTAGTATAAGTTAAACTCAAATCATCTTACTTCCAAAAGCATATATATGGCTAAAAAAAGATAACTTACGGATGCAAGAAATGATCGAAGAGCCAAGCCCTCAGAACGGTAACAGCACGTTCGGGTAGGCCACGGTGCGGTCTCCAGACAGGAGCATGGTGATCAGGAAATCCATGTCTTTGACCTGCAGAACACAAACCTCCTCTACTACTATCACTTCCTCCGAATCTCAAAGAATCGGTCTTATTCTCAGAGTTCATCACATGACCACATTGTTGTTGCTGTTGTATCTTGTTATTTGTGCTAAATTGAAGCTGGTCCGTTATAGCATTCTTCAAACATTTGAAATGCTTAGACAGTGCCTTTAAGGCTAAACTTGCGTAAGGAGCTGCGTGCCCGAGACCCGCAACACATTCGAATGAGCCCATCACAGCTTGGAGCTGCTCATAGTATTGCTTATACCTCTTGTAAACCTTCAAAAAACGCCACATGGAAATGTTTTTAGATTCGAACCAAGTATATAAATAAAATGTGTAATAACAAGTATGAACGGCTGATAAGTCAGTTCCTAATATAAAAAAGTATGTTATATACCTCGGAATAAACTAATTAAAATCTTTAAGTCCCTAGCTTTAAGATCAAATATAAAATCTCGTGCATATATTCCCCTTTCATAAAGAAGAAATTCTCTTTTTATCTTTTTGAGTTTATATCCTGAAGATTTGAAGAATCCAATTCACATATTTAGATCAAGAGCCAAGGAAAGCTCTATATACTTCTCCAAGATAATATTATCATTAAAGTAGTATAACCTTAAAAATTCTATTAAAAATATATACAATGAAGAGGAGGGCAAGCCCCTCTATTATAATATCATGTGTTAATGTGGACTCAATAACATCTTCTATTCATGCAAAACGCAGGGAACGTTTAATTAAAAATAACACATCCTCTTAAAATGAATGAAATAAAATATTGAAAACGATATACTTTTAAAATGGCTTTGAAGGAGTTTCATTTTCCAAGGAAGATCTTTTTAAGAGACATACTATCATTTATCACATTTTGTCTCCAATTTCAAAGGACACCGACCAAAAACTGTGAACATTTAACACAATAATACACATAAGAAAGCATAAGACTATTTATTAAAATTCTAAAAGAATTATATGACTATTAAAGAATTTAGAAATTGCATCAGTAATTATACCTCGTCGAGCATGGAGATTAGTTTTGATTTTTTCTTGCCATTTTCTCCTCCGCCGGCGTCAGAAACGCCACAGAAATTCTCAATCGTCGGATCAAAAAGCAAAGACGAATCGTCGTCGTCGATGACTTTGTCGGTGTAAATCCCACGACCCACATTACAAAACTCATCAAGAAGCATCTGTGCTGGTTTCAAGAACCTCGATCCTTTGAGAATCGATGCGTAGCCAGTAAACGGTCCAAGAGGACCAGAGCTTCTCGACGCGACGGTGACAGCTGCGGCGGCGGCTTCAGCCGCGGATCTGCAGAATCCGGAGTTAACAACGCTGGGAACAGCTAGATCGTAAGCGAGTCTAGGGTGAGAGGACAAAGACAGGGACAAAGGCTCGGGTTTGAAGACGAGAACGTCTCCGGAAGATAGTCCAGCGTTAAATGAATGATCTCCGGCGACGGCGACTGCAGTGGATGAGGAGGAGGATGGGCCACCGAGAAATCCCATGAAATTACTGTAGCTAGGGTTGGATATGTGATTGCTATTGTTGTTCGAGTGAAATCCACCGGCAGCGAGGAAATCAGAGTCGGCGAGAGGAGAAAACACGCCGCCACCACCGCCGGAAGAAGAAGGAGGAGGGTGGTGAAAGTGAAAGTGGGAATCGAGAGAAGGAATCCGGAGCTTATCTCTCCGGCTTTGTTGAAGAACATGGTAAGGCTCGTATGCATCGGCCATGGAAAAGGATGATGTCAAGATGCAGAAGGGGAGAGAGAGAGAGAGAGAGACAGAGAGAGTAACAGTGTAAGAGATAATGGTGTGACGGTGAAACGAGAGGTTAAGAGAGAGAGAGAAAGAGGCTTCTTTTGCTTTGCTTTTGAAGCACGATCAAGTATGTATGTATATCTATATCATCATATTTTCATACTTATTATTTAGTTTGAAAACTAAAATATCTAAAATATCTATGGTTTATAGACCTGTAATGTCTATTGCGGAAGAATTTATTGAGCATTACAATTTTGGTCAAGGATCATCTTTTTGGTGTTTGTTACTAGCTAGTTAATGCGCTCATAGGTAAATCCATAGAATGATGAAAAAGTTTCATGATTCTGTATAATTCTACTAGTTATTTACATGATTCCGTGAAATAGTAGTTTATGTAATTTATTTTCGTTTATTCTGTACGACTATGCATCAACTAATCAAAATGTAAAATTGTAAACCTTAAACATAGTTAAAAATTACAAATATTTCGCTGCATCTATATCATTCTTGATTTTTTTTTAAAAAAAAAACGGGTATCGAAGCAAGCGATGTACACTCAACGATTTTTGGGGTTTGGAAATTGTTGCAAATTGGCTGAGCTAATGTAATTTGGAGATTTTGTAGAAAATGATTTAAAGTTATGAACTGAAAAGTGAAAAGTCCCGGGTTTGGTGGGAGAGGCTCTATGGGAAATCGGGAGAAGGTGACCGGCTGTAACCGGTGACAGTCGAACAGAGCTTCTTTGTACAAACTGTTCTGTGTCTCAGTCTTTCACATACTTACTGACATTTCTACTACTTTTAAGTCTTCTTTTTGTCGTTTTTCTACTTTTCTTTCGCTCGAATAAGTACCTTTTTGCTCTTAAATTTTTAATCATACTAATCGCTACAGTACGCGTGGATGGTATGACCCGCAAGATTAACGAGAATACATTTGTGCATTTCAATTATTTTTTGTATTGTTAAAGAATAAAGACTAGAGAACAGTAATATTTTCTCACGGTAAACAGATTACATTTTATGTTGGGCATGCATTTGCAGTGAAAAATAAAGGTTTTCTTATGTTGGGAAAATTGTGTGTGGCTTGTTAGCATAATCCGTATTTCACATTTCACATACTTCAGTTTGACTTATATTGTCCGTATTTGAGGAGATACATACTATCCTAAATATATCAAGTATTACGATAGCAATATCTGAGTATGGTTTTGTCGTTCAACGGAATATATATATACGTGTGTTTAACTTATTTATTACCGTATAGCGAATAACTTTGCAAAAACTATATTCTAAGATCTGCCAGAAAATGATTAAAAAACGGAAAAGTAAATTCGACTGTACTGTAATAATCGTGTTTGAAATAATCATTAGAGGATTTTTCGTTTGCATGGGAAATAATGCGACGTAAATCATTTGAAAATGTGTGTTCGAACATGAGGCAAGTTTAATTACATTTATACATAAAGTATTTCCTCTTTTGGCTAATATGGACCACTAAATTGAAAAAGAATCAAAGCACTCCGATAAAGTATTACAGTAAATTAAAGTGCACGTAATTATTAGTTCTTCTCTTCTTCTTTTACATTACATCACGGGTTTACCCACATATGAAGATTTCCAAGCAATCGTTCTTTTCTCATAATTTGTTTCGCTGAAAATAAAATATATATATCAAAATTCTACAGAATACAAAAAAAAAAATCTTGATAAACTCCACAATTTTTCAGTAATCTCTCTGTACGTACATACGGAGGATGTTTGACTGAGTTGGATTTAGCACTGTATATCATAATAATTAAATTATTCACTTCCTAGTAATGTATGGACAATCTTAACCTCTTTGATAATGAAAGTTCCAAAAGTTAGAACTTAATAATGTACACAATATTAATGGATTGGTTGGTCATAATTAAATAACATCCCAACCACAAGAACTATTGAAAATTTACGTTAGATAATCTTTTGGACAAGAAAATAATAATAATCTTTTGGCCTGACCCACTGGCTCATTTTATCCCACAATGGTAGATGAAGGAGTCGAACTCCTAACGGCAAAAATAAATCGAAACAAAATTTAGTAGGAGTAATTAATTAAAGTAACTTACTACAACTGCAAAGTACTCAAGTTCTGATAAATGTCCATTGGGATTCTCAGGTGACGTCGTCATGCTAACGTCGTTTAGAATTTTCACTAAAAAAAAAAAACATTATTACGTTTGATTTTCTCTGCACAAATCTTTTGCTTAGCGAGAATCCACCGAGTTTGCCGTCAGTTGATGTAACGGCGTTTCTCGTTCTTCACAAAACTCCGTACTTCCTCAGAAAGTAGTATCTACTCATTTCCCATCCACTCGCGAGTATATATCCCACGCGCTCCAATAAAATTGTTATTAGTTCTCCCATTAATGTATTAGTATTTATTAGTCATTGGGCTAATTGTAACATCTACAGAAAAAAAATCTGTAACCGTAAAAAATGATGATGTAATATTATAAACTAGTAATTACATGAGCTACAGCAGAATTTAACAAAAAATATAGAAAAGTAGAATTATGAAAATAGAAACCATATTTCATGGTACCAATACCATATTTTGGCACATGGAAAAAATTAATCCAACTCACTTCTGAAAGTAAAAATCACATCAGTCATTCGATGCTTTTTATTTTCTTTTAAATTGAACCGATATGCATATATATATGATTATAGCTCGTAAACCAAATTAGATTAAAGAAATGGTCATATCATACAAAAATGACAAATTCACACCACATGTTGACGACTATAATATGTTATGTTCCATCAAATCCAACTTAGTACCTATGTGAAAAGCTAACTGATTTTATCGTTTCTGTTCCTTTTTTTTTTAACTTTAGAACAGAATTAAGATGATCAACCATGGAAAGAAAACTACAAACAATACCATAAAGCAAATATAAAATAACTACAAAAATGCATGATTGAGCATTTGTGGTTGATTATGTTTAAAAAAAAAAAAAGTTTATAAGTTATTTGCGCATAATAACTACTCTGATTCCTTAATAGTTTAACAATGTTCTTCGAACTGCCATGAATTTATTTATCTTTCTTATAAAAGTTAAGAATGTGGTATTATTTTTTAGTCATGTGATTATTATTTGCTATCCTTTTTTATAAGATGGTATATTTCTTATACTTATAATCTTATCTCGAAAGGCTATTCATATTAAAATATTGTGCTATTAGAGAATGGGCCCATGAGGGTAGTAGTACAGAGAACTGTGATGACGTCACCTGTTAGGTTGCGTGACTCCTGGGCGCTGTATCTGTATCTGTATCTGTATCCGCATTACGCTATCTTCCACACCCTTCTTTTTTTTTTTTTCTCACTTCGTATAAAATGATTATAAGATATAATTTTTGAAATAATAATAGAATGCTAATTTACAACATATAGGCTCGAGATTAATAAAGCTTCAAGGAACGATAGCACCAGAGAGCGGGGATAGTAGATAAAATAAAGCCGAAGATTTTTCTCGATTTTAAATTAATATTTTATCAAGCTTCATTGTCACAAATAGCACCAGTGGTCTAGTGGTAGAATAGTACCCTGCCACGGTACAGACCCGGGTTCGATTCCCGGCTGGTGCAAATAGTTTTGTTTTTTTACTTTTTTTTATTCTATTATACGTTTTAAGCCAGTAGGCCCAAAGTAGAGAGCCCAATTCAGGTCCCTATAGGCCCACTTCATCTCTACGGACTTTGTAGAATCTGGCAATCTATATAAAGAAATATAAAAGCTTGATAAAAAAATTAGCTTACGATCTCCAACTCATGGAAATGGAACCACACGATCCCTGCTAAACAAGTCTCGATTTTTTAGATGAATCCACGTGACGTGACTATACGTAAAAGAAAGTGGTATAACATAACATGCAGGTATTACATACTTGTTTGTCAAACAAAACTGAAAAATATTTAGTTTCATATCTTTGATCCATGGCGATATCTCACGTCCAGCCTCTTCTTTATTTATGAGTACCTTGAGGTTTTGGTTTGGTTTGTATGAACCGGGACGACAAATAATCGGTACAATTAAAAGCTAAATCGGTAAAATAAATAAAAAAATAAAAAAAATTAATATCATTAAGCTAAAGCGTCAAAGTCTGTTTTTTTTTTCTGGGGTAAAATACTTTTTTATACTGCCTTTTGTATTTTAGTTGTTTGTTTTTTCAAGAGCTTAAATCATTTTCCTTACTTCAAAAAAGGAAGAAGATAAACAATAATAATAAATCATATCCTCCTGCCAAGCAACTCCATTTTTGAGACAGATTCGGTGAATAGCTAAATCTTCAATTTCCTCGAGATGAATTCACGTGCTTGTGAATGAAGTAGGTGACGATACCAATGACATTTACGTTATCGTGTATAACGTGGTAGATCAATTATTATTAATATATACAGAGATACCTATCACTTATGATCCGGTCCACTAGTTTAGCAACATTATACTTTATAGATTATAAAATCATAGGCATGGAAGGTAGGAGGCATATCACAAACAGAAAAATCTCTTTCTTCGTCTGAAGATCAACGATCTGATTCATGGCGATATCTCACGTCCAGCCTCTGCTTCTTCTCATTGGATCACTCTTCTTCTTACCTGCATTACGCGCCGTCAGTTTCGAGTACTGCAACGGTACGTATCAATTTGCTATTCTTAATTTCTCGGTATGTTTCTTGTACGTGTGTTAGTAAATCATATATCTGTAGACACACATATATTGTGGTTTAACTGCTCCTGTCTCTGTTTTTTGTTCTTGTTATAAACGGATAAATCTTAGACCGGAGCTCATAACTAAACGAAATCGGATTTTTATTTTCCACTTAATTAAAACGTTTATACAGTAGAGAGACGCAGTATATCTGAGACTCAACCCTTAACTTTGACCATTTTTTTTTTTTTTGCTTGTTACATGTAAAAACACCTAATCCTATTGTTTGACACATCAATTCAATTTTTGGATTTATTTTTGTAAGAAAGATGTATAGATCCAAGTTTTTTGACTCTATAGTTTGACTCATAACTTCCACAATGAATCTATGCGACTGTTGTAGCAAGTGGATACGATTTTGGTAACGTCACTGATGTGGAGATATCTCCGAACCCGATCGGGCCTAATGACTTCGAGCTAAGCATTACGGTACTCGGTTTTGCAAGTATGTGTACCCTTCTTTTTTTTTTCATGATCATCCCAAGTTTCAACTCTCTTTTTCTTTTTCTCTAATTTTTAAAACAAATTTTGATTTGGATAAGATATTTGATATATCCAGGCAAAAGCATCGACTCTGGATCCGTAGAGGTGCACGCTAGATCTGAGAACATTACTGACCTTCTAAGACGTGATGCATTCGCTATTGAAGCAGGCACCAGCTTTGTGTTACCTCTTCCCGAAGTTCCTCTGGATATACTCGAGGTAATTAACTTAAAGAAATACACTAACTATTGATTGAAATGGCATAAGTTAGGGAGAACCCTAGGAACATGTTGGTTTCATTTACACTAGCCTGAGGTTCCATTTTTGGTTTCATTCTGTTTTCTATAACCGAAAACAATCATAATCCTCACATTTTTACAACTCCTTTTGGCCTCTCTGACGTTTTTTTTTTTCCTTTTAAATCTGTGAAGGGTGACTTCAAGTATGTCGTAAGTGTGCTTGATAAAGATGTCGGAGACTCTAAAGAGCCAATAGTAAGAATATGTGTGGATTTTGACTTACCTATTTCAGCTCCCACGTTGGTGGTCTCTGCTTAGTCAAGTTGGTGAGTGGAATATATGTTTACGAGTTTTCCTTTTTTATGTGTTTTCGCAACAAATAAAAGAATCCTTAGCCGTTATCTGGTGTAATTTTGGTTTGGTTTCTATGAACCGGGACTTCAATAAAGGTTTTCCAAATTGAACCAAAGTGGGCTTTATGAAATCTATTTCTAGTGTTATATGGCTTGTCGCCCGATCCAACTTGAAGCAAGGATTTTTTTCTTCATCTTAACTGTATCTAAAAACTAAAAGATCAAACTTAAACTTTCTACTTTTGATGATTACATTGAATTATTGATTATGAGTCGAAGAAACTGAAACCGGCCCAAACCAAACGTAAGCGTTATATGTATATCAAATCGATTTTCATGTTAATTTTTTTCAAAAAAGTAACCTAAAATCAAGTCAAGATTGTAAAAAATACTGATGGATGGAGAATAAAAAATATGCTACTCTTCTATCGGAATCTCGAGAAGAGGATAAGGAGACGTGTCGTCATAGTTAGCAGCTTTCCCGACGTATCTTCCGCATTAATCCAAGTTCCCAAACAAATATTTTCACATAACAGTTAACATGAATATTTGTTTATGTTCACACTTATATTCATTTTGAGAAATTCAAGTTGAGATACTCTCCCACTAATGGCGTTCTAAGTTATCTGCATTCTTAATTTGTAATATTATTTTTAGTGGCCTAGCAGAATTTATCAAACTCTCACCTTAAAATCAATCACCAAATTAGAAACCCGAATAACATAAAAGACACGAATTTTCCAACTATTCTTTCACACCAATCTTTGAACTTTCTGAATATCAAAAGAAAGCTCAAAACCAAAATGAAGTTGGCCAAAAAAATACTACTAGTATAAAGTTTTCGCATTAAATGAAACGGCTCATATTGATAGCGACGAGGCAATAGAGAGGTCAAGTTCAATGTTGCAACCGACAAGATATAGAGATAAGGTTTATAGTTAAAAAAAAATTGTTTTTGTTTGTTTGTGTGTTTAACTGTCACGTGAAACTGATATCCACGAAGAGCGAATGAGTGAAGTGGAAGAGTCAAAGATTAAACTGAAATCCAAACGAACTTTTGTTTGACTCATCCTTTTAAGGGTTGGTTAATTTATCTATTTTGGATTTTCTTTTGGGGTTACTCTCTACTCGTGGCAATAACGACCGACCTAAGATAGGCCTGGTCCCACTTTCTATTCCATTGCCACTTGTCAATCGTTTTCATCAGACACCTCGAGTGGGAGTTGAATGTCATCGTAACTGATAAGTAACCGGATAACGGTAATAGATGCTGAAACTATAGTATTCTTTAAAACTTAGTATCATTATACTGTTGTGACATGAAATAATATTTCAAACTACTAACGTTCATTTCGTTTGAAGGGAAACAGATTTGAACAAACTTGAAACTAATCCAAGCGACATAAGTAAGTAAGTATGGGTTTAGAATTAGAAATTATGTTTTGTCTACACCAAAAAAAAAAAAGAATTAGAAATTATGTTTGGTAGTGAATATTTTGTTTTGATGGTTATTACTTATTGAAATTACAAACATGGAAAACAAATTAGCAGTATCAAAAGCGATATCATTTATCTATCTCTTACATTTATTTTATTTATTATATTATTAAATTTATTTTAAAAAACTCTTATAATCTTATTAAATTGTTGAGCTGATCAAACGTATATTTAATCAACAAATATTTGTTTGTAAGTGTAGAAAAAGAAGCTGGTTTAATTTAATTGATTTTGACATTGAAAAATAAAATACGATAAATATCCAACGAAATTCTAGTCTGCTCCATCCATCTATAAATTGTCGATACCGACCCACCGATTTGCTTCCCCTCTCCATTCCCAATTTTCTCATTCGCAATCTTCATCTCCGTATAAACCGATACATACACACACGTATCTCTCCCTACATACACACACATATATACATACGTGTATGTGTATAGTATACAGGTTCCTTGGTTTTAGCTGAAGGAGTGGTTTTAGAGCGACAATGGAAGGGAGAAAGAAGAAGGCTCCATCTTCATCTTCTTCTTCCTCGTTAACCTCTGAGCTTTTTGGTTCCAGGGAAAATCCTTCTTCTTCTTCTTCCTCTTCTGGGATTTTCGGATCGATGTTCGCTCCTCCTTCTAAGGTGATTCATGATTTCATCCTAAAAAAGCTTCGATTTTTTTTCTTTCTGAAAACAAAAATTCTGGAATCTAGTTTTGTCGGTGTTGAATCTCTGGATTTTTTGCATATTAATTTCGCGTATCAATGTTCGTAATCTCTGTTTCTGTTTTTGTGTCAATCGCTTTAAGAATTCCAATTTCGCCGGGGATAGAATTGGGATTTTAGGAATTAGGGTTTTCAAAATCGAAATGATTATTAATCTGATTCGATCGTATCGGAATTTACTTCTTTTTTTCGATTTCGTATTCAGAATTTTTGAATCGCCGTGAGTTTTAAGTTTTTGTTTGTTTGTGAATTATTTTTTTCCAAAAAGAAGAGATATTTTGTTATTGATGATGGATGACCCCACAACCCAAAATTAAGAATACGAACACTGAAGACGGAGCAGAAGAAGAAGAAATTACATGATTCGTGTCTTGGAGCACAAGTTTCCCGAATCGAATTTGATACTATTCTGACTGCTCGAATAGGAATTTAAGGGTTTGTTTCTTGTTTCAGGTTCTGGGAAGAGAATCTATGCGACAACAAGAGACTGTGAGTGGTGGCTGGAACGACAAAACCTCAACGACTGGTAATCTAATCGATTAAACATGATCCTTGAGATGTGTGTTTGGAAAGTATTGCTCTTTGTTTTACGGACTGGTAGGAATATCATTTTGCAGGTGATGATGATAGAAACAGGGAACAAGAGGAGAATCTTGGTTCCATGTATCAGGATCAGAGAGTGCAACCTTGTCATCTGAGTTCTTCCATCTATTACGGTGGCCCAGATGTTTATTTCCAGCCCCAGAATTCGAACATCAACTCGACGGTATTCTAAAGTCTAATTCTCGAATCGCCCTTGGAAAAGCTAGAAACTTTATACATCTATGTAGCTGTCTTATAGAGTTAGGTCACTTTTGAACTTTTGATGAGCTTTGAGGGTATTTCAGAACCCAAGTCATCTGTTATTTTGTCTGTAAAGAAACTGGAGGAAGAAGAACCTAAAGCTAGGATTTTTTTTATGTAGATGTTAGATAGAGTTAGTCTTGCGGAACTTTTGATGAGTTTTTTTACGCTTGTTCATAAATTGTTGTTTCTAAAGAATCATTTCGGGTATGTTATTGGTATTGCAGAAGAAGAAAGAAGGAGGCGAAGATGATTCAGGAAGTGCCTCAAGAGGAAACTGGTGGCAAGGTAATCTGATTCCCATCTTTTTTTGTCTTCTTTCCGAGAAACCGTGTTTCCTTCTCTAACCGTTGCTGAAGCCTTTGCAACTTGCAGGGTCTTTGTATTACTAAGTTGAGATCTTGCTACTTTAGCCCAATGTTATACTACAAAAACAAGGTATTGTAACCTGGTTTTGCATTGGACCTGATTCTTGTTCGGTTCTAAGACGGAAAAATCTGATTTTTGTTTGGTTCGGTTTTGGAATTTGCAGGTACATAGGAACAAAAAGCGGTTGGATCAGTCCTTTTTAGTAACTTCTCATCTTATTATTACAAAGAGTATGGATGAAGTTTGAAGGTCGCTGCAGGGAGCTTTTTTTGGTTCTTGTCGTGGTTTTGTGGTTTTGACCCGACCGGTTCACAGTTAATTTTCCCTTAATTATATAGTTTAACCGTTCATGGTTTTGTACAAAAAAACTCTATAGATTTCCAGTTTCCACGCATATAAATAAATAAATAAACCCTTTCTCTTGGTTCTACAGTTGCAGTTATAAATCTGTCGTTCTCTGAATGATGTATTTATCGGTCTAGTTATCATCGGTTTGAATTGCTATGAAGGTCACACGCTCTTGTCTGATTTTGATGAGAATCTACTTTCGAGGAGGACTATGTTGAGATTCTGTCTTTTGTCATAAGTGTGTCCTCCAAAGATTCGACGAATATTCTTTATACATTTGTCTTGTCGTAGTTCTTGATCCTTTAAGAAGTTTTTTTAAAAGTAAATGCTTACCCACTTGGCCACTTCATACATTTGATGCCACGGGCATTCCGGTCAAAACAAGAGAACAATAGAGGTTATTTTATATGAATTTCGGTTTATTTTCGATTCGGTTTATCGTACTACATTTATGGTTTAAGATTTCTGTAAATCTCAAATCCCATCTTTCCAATTATTATTATACAAATCAAGAAACTACACACAAGAAAAGAAACATTCAAGGATAATTAATTAAAAAAACGGATTCAAAGGTAAAGATCTTTCCAAGGAAGGTAATTCAAATCCCAGGATCAAGGTTTGATACATTCAACGATTCCTTCATGCATCTCTCAAGAGACAATCTCTCACTCGATGAAGAACGGCTCGACCTTTCGCCTGAGACTTCTTTCAAACTTGGTTCGTTCTTTGTTACGTAAGCCGTCAGAACCCTTTTAACGCTGCTACTGTGAGGAATCTTGAACCGCGAAGGAGACGGCGGCACCGTGAGTGATGATCTAAGCTCCGGTTTTGCAGGAGAGTAGCTCGGAGTTGTGTAGGTAGAAACCGGCAATGCGATGTTCTTAAGAGCGCCATTACCGTTGTTGCCTAATGTTGTCGGAATCTGATCCGATGAATGCCGCGTAAGATCATCAACAAAGAGTAAGTCATCGATACGTGCCACGATATTGAACGCCAAGCTCTCTAGAACTCTCGAGTAGCTTTCAAGAATCGATTTCCCTATGTCCTAATACAGGAAAAAGGGAAAACATAAAGATACAAGGAACCGCTGTTTTAGAGAAAGCAATAAACTTCTCTGCGTCAACCATTAGTTTCCGTGTTGTGAGCATACCTTGTTGTATTGGATTTTGCTCATGTCTAGAGCGGTTTGTGGGAGACCTGGGAACCGCTGTTTTAGAGAAAGCAATAAACTTTCAGCTCGATCCGCCATTAACTCTACCTTCTCTGCATCTACCATTAGTTCTTTCACCATTTCCCACGACGTTTTGGTATTCGTAGCTGGTTTGTAATTAGTCCTTTTGTGCCATAGGTAGATGGATGACTCGACTCGGTTAGCTATCTCTATGGCTTGATGTTCAGAGGATAAGTCAAGGCAATCAAGGAGATATTCAGGTGAGAATTGATCTGAGGAAATGTATCTGTAGATCAAATCTCCGAGGCAGGATCTTCCTTTCTGAAACATTACAGGAAAAAAAATGCAACTTTGGTTCTCGTATGTAAGCGGATCACAAGCGGAAATATATATATATATATATATATATATATATATATTGTTCGTTTTTTTACCCGTGGAAGAGATTCGAGGTATGATTTAGGGATTTCCATGTCGTTGAGTGTGATACTGTTGATGGCCATAGCAGCTTTAAGTATCTGATTAGTGCAGTCGCGTTTATGCTGGAGCTGTTTTCTTGAGTTTTCTTGTAAACCTCCCGGTGCAACCCGTGGAACCGGTAGCCACCATTTGTCTTCTTGTCTCTGAAAAGACTTCCGAGAAGAGGTCGACCCGTCTTGTGCTGATTCGTGTGCTATGATTCCTTGATCCACATACCAAAACTCTGTCTCCTCAAAACTATCTAATATCTCCTGAGAAGAGGGAAGAAAGAGAAGAAAAATAAGGTCTTTGTTGCTCACTAGAGAAACTCGGTTAGATGAAATGAAAGAGGTCACGGGGTCTTACGAGAAGCATGTTATCAAGTTTCCTGAGAGCTGGGAGGTTAACATAAAGATCTGATCTTGGTCTGCAAGTCATTATCTGCAACAATGGAACAACAGGTAAGTGTATAATCCGAAGACTTTAGCGTTTCTTTCCCCGAACTTAACATATCCAATTCTGCAATAAGCTATGCATAATATCTACCTCGAGTTTGCTTCCATCTGGAAATGTTTGCCAAGTCGGAGTCATCTCTACAATGTGATCACTCACACAGAGAAGCCATTCCATTTCTCTTCTCCACATCTCTTTCTTCTCCGTAGGAAGAGGCTCTAACCTCCATAGTTGCCCGAACAAGGTAGCTTTTTTTTGTTTTTACAAGCAAAACACGAAGTTAATAAGCCTATCAAGATCTGTTCTAAGAGTTAAATCCAACAAGCCATGAGAGTAATTCCACATACCACAAAGATTAGTGATTGCGTTTGAGATGGCTAAAGCTGTGCAGACGCCATTTCCAGAACCTGACATGTCTTCTCCAAGCAGCAGCTTCGAAAATCTTTCCTTCATCATCTCAACCTCTATATAGTCAACCCAGAAGAGAAACAGCCTTAACTTCAATTCCAGGGGACAGAAAAAAACTAAAGCTGTGAACTTTAAGCTTGGTAGAAAAACTAAAACTGTCAGTGAGGAATAAAAGCAAACACTTGGTGGGTGCATTTGGACGAAGATGGCGAACCTGAAACTCTTGATTGTTTCGCACAATCCGAACGATTCTTCTTATCTCCGTGCATATTCTTCACCGACCAAATCGGAGAAGCAGTGAAATCCTCCGTACTGCTAGGGCTTTGTTCCTCCTCTTGTTTGGTCGTTTCCGAAATCAGAAAATCGGAGCTGCAGCAACTGCTTTCTCTAGCTTTCTCTTCCACTTCTCGCATGTCCATTCTCAACTTTTCCGGCGAAGCACCCATTACTACGCCGGTCTCTTCAACACGGTCTTCGATTTCAAAAGCTTGCTCTAAGACGTGAAACCAAACGCTCGAAGGAGCCTCACTCTCTTTTAATCTCACTGGCTATTCTCGTGCTTGAATCGCATTGCATTAATGAGCCCTTTTTCTTCGATAGGACTCTTGGGGAAAATTTCTGTTTATTTTCTCGGGGAAAAAGGTTATTTTCTGAGGAAATAAAATGCAGAGACTGTGGGTGTCTGTGAGTGACGAGGCTCTCTTGCTCTCTCTTCCTCGATCTCTGCATCTTCAACATAAGTTTTAAAACACGGACTTTATCTCTGTAAACAGATGATTATAGTACTATTTAATTTACCAGTTAATTGTAAACTAATCCAAATCAATGACGACAAGATTTTAACTAAATAGTATCAAATTATTTAAATTAAATTTAAATTAATACTACTATTGATTATGGGAATCGTGTAATTGACGAATCCAACTACGATTTCGTCTTTAAAACAGTATAATTTCGGTTAATTTCTTTCTCTTATTTTTAGTTTTAGACTGCGATTTGTTAACCACAAAATCAAAAAAATGACGTATACAATTATATTCTGCATGTGTATTTCAAATCACGTAATCATATTAAGTTAAGTTGGGAATTTTGGAATTTTTTTTTTGATATCAAATATTAATAACATGTTTGATATAAAGTAGGCTTGATTGGTAATACTTGTGGAATTGTGGAATGATGGAAAAATATAAAAATGCAAGAATTTTGTCAATAAAAAAATTTACGGAAAAACGCAAAAACGCAAGATCTGCAAAATTGCGTTTTTGCTTACAGAAAATACAAAGAAATCTTCATTAAGCGGAAAAGTGTGTTTGAAATAGATTATTTGCGGAATCAATGTTTATATTATTCAATTATATAAATAATTATATTTTATTATTTAAATAAATACAAATAAATAATTTAGTATTACAAAAAATTATTTAATGATAAAATTATATCTATTATTTAAGGTTTGCAATATTTTTTAAATTTTTTTTTATTTTGAAAAAAATTATTAGAAAGTTACAATTAGAATTATATCATTTTATAATAATTGATTAAATTATTAATATTTTATTTTTTATAATATATAGTAAAAACATAATATTTTTAAATAAGCATATTCTGCAATTCCGCCATTTCGCCATTCTTCCATTCTTCATAATTTATCCAATCTAGTAAAAAAAAAAAGTTCTGCAATTTTGCAATAAATTATTCTGCAATTTATTTTTTCTGTCATTCCGTAATTCCACGACATAAAAAATATGTTATCAATCAGTACTTCGCCCTTCTAAAAAAGTACAAACCCATATCTAGGGATATATGAGCGCCATTCTTCAGATGGATCGCTCTTCGATAGTTATTTATTGTAGTCGGGATAAGCAGGCACGAACTTCCGTCCTAGTTTTTCTAGTACAAGTAGCGAAGGTGAAATAGTGGAATTGTGGAAAAATGCAATTCCGCAAGAATTTTGCCAATCAAAAAAATTTACGGAAAAACGTCAAAACTCGAGTTCTGCGGAATGGCAGAAATACTTACAAAAATACAAAAAAAATTTGATTAAGTGGAAAAGTGTGTTTCAGGTAGCTTATTTGCGGAATTAATATTTTATATCATTCAATTATATAACTAATTATATTTTATTATTTAAATAAATATAAATAAATATATTTATACTATATATATTTATACAATGATCAGATTATATTTGTAGATTAAATATTGCGATATAATTATATATTTTATAGTAAATAAAAATAAATAATTACAATAAATTTTTTAATTTTTCTAATTATATTAAAATTACGTTTTTATAATAATTAATATTTTTATTTTTATTATATTAAATTATATATAAAAATATATTATTATGAAAATTTATTTTTATATATTTTCTGTCATTCCACCATTCCGCCATTCCGTATAATTTATCCAATCATATCAAAATTAATTATTCTACTATTCTGCATTTCGCTATTCCGCAGCTTAATTTTTTCCGTCGTTCCACAGTTTTATTGTGTTACCAATCGGAGCCATAGTTCGACTTGTGTGATCATGTTATTATTCTGATAACTCACCAATTTGATAGTATAGTTAAAAAAAAAACAATTGATTTAAAAACAGTTTGAATTTCTAAAAGGTTTCCAAATTTCAAAATGTTTACTTTCGTGAAGCATTTAATCACTCCCAAACAATGAATGCACCGTCCTCACTTCAAAGCCTTCAAGGTATATATCTCGAAGAAAACACATTCAATACGTGAAAGAAAAAGGATTCAATATATGAGTGATAAAACCCAATATCAATTCCAATCTCTTTATTTACACTGATTAAACTCGATTAATGAATGGTATATAGCCTCCATAGTGGTGACTGGTGACCACAATTTGGTCCATTCTTAAGGATAAAAGTAGAAAGTGATGCTTTGTCTTTGGCTCAAACCTAACCAAAATCTCCAACGGTTTCCTTGTCTTTGCGTGTATGTTACGATCGAGTGGTCACGACCATGTAAATCTATGATATTTTTTTTAATTGAAATTGTGACTTTATAATTTCCTTTGTTTGTCTCATAATTTAATATGCAAGATTATAATCATGTGCTTTGTGAAAATAGGTTTAACCTTAACTTAATTCATAACTTGTTTCTTTTATATATTTTTCAATTTAATAAATTGTTTTCCGATATACTTTTTTTGTCAACATTTTCAGATATACAAGACCTGACCGTAGTTGAGATGTCTATAATTATGAACTGGAATATATACATATGGAAATTCCCGTAACGTAATTAAATATGCAGTTGAGCGTCGAGCATTTCAAACAACTAATGTTTTGTCTCTTTGTTCTCTATCAATTGTCGTATTGTTCGTCGTTGTATCCCTTTCAAAGCAACCCCAAAAATAAGGTCAAAAATGGTTTCACCTTTTGTATAACAAACGCAACACGATGACAAAAGTAGATATTTTTTTAATACTTGAACAATTTAAATATCTTGATTTTGTGTGTCTATTATCAGCTTATCACATCGAAAGTTTGGAGCTTTACATTCAAATGTTAGTTAAATAATGAATTATTGGAGTTCAAGAAAGCCTAAAATCATTTAAAAGAATATTATTCATCAATTTTTATTTCTCCTTACGCTATATCATTAGATGCTAACGAGAATGACTTTGGACTTACACTACCCAATATCCATAATCAAAGTTGTAAAAAAAACCCGTTTCCTTGAGCTACAAATTAAGTTATCTTTATATGTCCACTACATTAAAAAATGTTTAGAATTTTGAAGATTACAAGATCAACGTAAATAACAAAACATTTTAAAAAACTTTGAAATAATAAGAACTATTAATTGGGCGTAGAGCGGTTTGATTAGTGGACCGAAGCAAACCAATTCATTTTGTATTACTTTCTTTTCCGGTACTTTGGTCGATTTTTTCCTTCGGTTTGTAGATTGTAAGACTTGGTTCAATCGACTTTAGTTGCGTTTTATCACCACACAATTCATGGGCCTGAATATATGTCACAATAGGGCACAATATCCTAACCCATTCGAAAATCGGGTCAAGCGGCCCATTTTAACGGTTCTTCCACAATTTAAAATCGTGGTTAACAATTTAAAAGTTGATTAATATAGTAGAGAATTGCATAAGATAGAAGTTGATTAATTTTTAGGAGTTCAGAAAAAATTAAGGTTGTGGATCTAACGATAAGATATCATCATATTCAAAACGCATCCATGAATACATTGATTGTGGACCATATAGCACTCTGAAGCTTAATCACAAGATTCATTTGTGAAACCAATATTCTCTTTTTTTTTCAAAAAAAACCAATATTCTCTTTTGGCCAATATCGATCCTTTGCAGTTTTAAAATAGGACAAACTAATGTTTTAAACGTCTTTAAGCTCTATCACTTTTGAATTGTATCGTTGATACAACTCACGTATTTTTTAGTCAAAAGTTACATAATACTATTTTGTATATGGATTATAAGTTATATGCAATGCAATGCATGAAATCAAGAGAAAAGAAAAGAAAAAAAGAAGTAGAGAGAGTCCTTTTGCTTTATTGAAATACATATTTGATTAGATCACTGCTTTTAGTCAAAATATAGCTTCCTCGTGCAAGAAAATAATTTGTTATAATAATGTCGGATGTGATTTGATGTTATCCCATCGACTTAGGCCTGTTAGTTGTGGTGGGATGCATGTGCAAAATACAACAGAAACTTTACTAATAATGTCATTTGATTAAAAACTAAGACTTTTATTTATAATATATAAAATTTTGGATGCAAGATCGCAAAATTAAAGTTAATACTAGGAAATACACACAATGTGAAAACTGTTTCAATGTCGACCTCCACGTAATACACATTATTGATTGATGTTTGTTGTCATCTCATAGTACTATTTGTTTGAGAAAATGATTGAGCTTTGTAAAGCCGTAACGGACAAAATAATAAAGATGGGAAAAATCGGGTGAAAAAAGAGAAAAAGATAAGAAACTTGTGCGTCTGACGTCAGCGTACGAATAGACTAGCGAGTGGGTCCCGCCTTAATGCCCTTAATTCTGCTGCTTCGGGATGCGATACGAAGGAGAAACAAAACGGAAGTCTCCTAATGGGCCCTACCTCCAGGATTCACGAGCCACACGATCCTTTTTACCTCCTCTACACCGTTATTCTCGACCGTACGATCCCCCACACGAAGCCGTTCTCTCGCTCTCTTTCTCTCTTCCTTCGTCTTACTCTAGCGGCGAGATTCCCTGCACACTTTCGATTCCTTCCCCTCTCTCACCGTCCCTCTGATCACAAGCTTTCCTCGGTTTTCGTTAATGGAAGATTGGGCTTCGTGATCTTGGTTTCCGTGGCCGTTTGTGTGTGTCGATTTTGCTTCCACTTCACGCTGTTCCCTTTTGCTTCCAGAGATATTTTGTTTCTTCTTCCCGACGATATCAGCACCAAATCGAGAGTTTCGATCGATGAAATCGTGAAATATCCGTGGATTTATAGATTCTTGTGCTGGTATGTTCCCTTCTCTCCTTCTTTCTGTTACTTTCCCGGGGAAAATAGAAACAAGTATTGTTTCGTAAGAGAATGAGAGAATACGGAGGGAGGAATTAGAGCAGACTAATTTAGGGTTTCTAGAGATTGAATGCTGCTACTTTTCTGGGTTGTGAAACAGAATGTCTGCTTTGAAATCCTTGCTCAGATGCATCAAGAATTAGTCCGAATCTCTCGTGAATTAGTTTTTATGTAGAATTCCAGAGCTGAGATAATTAGTATTCATAGTGAATATTTGATTAATAAATGGGTCATTGGGTTTATATGTAGATGAAATGGCTGCAAGAACCGAGCTCAGGGGTTTTCTGAAACAGAGCCAAAAGACCTCAGATGCGAGATATCCGGACTCCACTGGTCAAACAAATAGTGAGATTCCGGCCAGGACGAAACGTTCGAGCCATAGTCGAAAGGAACGTGTCAATGAGAGTTCGGAGCAGAATAGTGACGAGCTTGTGAAATACATGTCCAAGTTGCCAGGTTATCTCCAACGTATGGAGAGAGGAGAAGAAAGCGCCCAAAGTAATGTTTTGAATGTTGGAGTCTTGGACTGGGGACGTCTACAGCAATGGAAGCATGGCCGAGCAAAAGACTCTGGTGAAAGATTAGGAAGAAGTGAGAGAATGGTGTCTACTTCTACTTCAGGAGCAGTTCCCAATGACTCTCGTAGGTGTAAGATTGATGACCAGGTCCAGACTTTTTCAAATCTCGGTAAAGCGAAAGCTTCACGGGATCTTCAACATTCTGTTCGATGCACTTTGGAACCTGAGCTGGCTTCTAGGGATTCTTTAAATAAGCAGGGAATAGCTACTTGCAGCTATAAGTCCTCTGGTAAGAGCAGAAGATCGCGTTCAGTTTTATTGTCAGAAATGGGAAACTCCGGCGCAAAGGGAAACTTAGTGGTCCGGGATAAGGAGACTCAGAAGAGAGCTACAGAAAGTGGAAAAAACTGCGTTGAGAAGTTAGATGAAGAGGTGAAGGTCGTTGGAGATTCAGAAGCTGCTCTTACTTCTGAAAAGCAGGAGAGTCCTCAGGTCAGCAACATTGTTCTCCTGCGGTCAAGCAAACAGTCCCGAAGCACTCTTTCCGCTGAGCCCCAAATGTCACCGGATGATAACGTGAAAGTAGCTAGGGAGGTTAACCGGTCTCTTGATCTTTCCGACAGAATCAACTGTTCTGTAGGATTGAGATCTCAAATTCCTCGTTCATGTCCACTCTCCTTCGAGCTAGAGAGAGATTCCGAAGATATGATGTTGCCTCTTGGTGCTGATCTTTCTGGTAAAAAGGAACGGTTTGGTGGGAGAAGGCATTCAAAGATATTTGATCAAGAAATGCCTGAAGATGATGAATCCAGAAAGAACAGTCAACCTTCACCAAGCAAGCGGTTTAGTTTTAGCTTCGGCCGTCTCAGCAGAAGTTTCACCTTCAAAGAGGAATCAGCTGGGCAACCTTTGAGTTCTTATGATGATAGTACCATCAAATCTGATTCTATGAGATTTGATGGTTCAGTTTGTCCATCTCAGTCAAGTAACCGGGAGAAGCAGGGGTCTCGAGGTAGCCCTCTAAGAAGGCTTCTTGACCCTTTACTGAAATCCAAAGGCTCTGAAAAAGTTCTTGCGTCAAAAGCAAGATCGAGTTCTTCAAATACAAAGCCAACCATCGACGTACCACTTCAAGATGAAAGGAAGCAGGATACATCGAGAACCCGAGCTCTTTTTCAGCTAACGATCAGGAACGGCATTCCTCTATTTCAATTTTTGGTCGATGATAAGGACAACAACCACAACAGCAGGAGCATTCTCGGGGCAACAATGAAAAACTCGGCTTCAGCGTTCAAAGACGACTCTGTTCAGTACTGCACATTCTACTCTGTTGATGAAGTCAAAAAGAAAAAAAGCGGAAGCTGGCTAACGCATGGACACAAAGCGAAACAACGCGGGATCGTCTACACTGTAATAGGTCAAATGCGGTTAAGCAACTCTATGAGCTCAGACATAGCCGAGCAGAAATCCGAAAACATTTCTCCTGTGATCAGAGAATCAGTTCTCTTTGATGAATCAGAGCAAGTAAAAAGGAGGAAAGAGGTTGCTGCTGTAGTGATCAACAAGAAGAAGGCTGTGGAAGAAAACTGCACTGCCGTCTCTGTGATAATTCCAGGCGGCGTTCACAGTTTTCCGGAGAAAGGAGCACCGTCACCGTTGATTAGCCGGTGGAGATCCGGAGGGTTATGCGACTGCGGTGGCTGGGATGTTGGATGTAAACTCCATGTTCTCTCCAACAAAACACTCGTCCATGAATTCGACCAAAGCTTCAAACTTTTCGATCAGGTAATTTTGACCAAAACACTATTTCTCTTTTAAAAAGTTTCCTTGCCCAAGACGGAGATGTTAAGAATGTATTGATACATTTTAGACCCTAAACCATATGTTGCAGGAAGAAAGTGATCAAGAAGGCTCGGGTCCTGCTTTGGCGATGACAGAGCTGAAGACAGGGATCTACAGGGTGGAGTTTGGTTCGTGTCTTTCGCATCTACAAGCGTTTTTTGTGTGCGTGACGGTCATAACTTGTGCCTCCGAGGAGGAAACGGTGTCAGTGACCACCGTAAAATCATCCTCTCCGTTTGCGCCGCCGCTATCTCCAGTTGGAAGAGTCTAAAACCCACAAACTCGGGAGAGAGAGAGAGAGTATATCATCTTTCTTTTTCTTTTTTACATAAATGGATTATTTCTCGTAAATATATATGAGTTTAAGCTCTATATAGTCAAATGAACCACCCAAGATGATGATATTTGGAAAGGTAAGAAAGCTAAAATAGTAAATGAGTCAAAACAAGAATAAGAAGCTAGCTACTTTCTAGTACGACAAGTCAACGTTAGTCGTGGGAGGTTGATAGATCCGAGAGCATTGTGGAAGATTCGACGGCGGAGGTTGCAAGCTCGTTTCCGGAGTGGGCCCATTGAGCACTATGAAAGCCGTTATCATTCCGAAGGGTAAATGTGCGTCCATGTGACAATGGAACATCCATACACCTGCCAAAACAAGAAGAAACAAATTAGACCTATATATCAATCTATATATAATGCAAAATGAGAATGTTTGTAGCTAACCAGGATTATTAGCGATGAATCTGAGGACAACCCATCCAAGGGAAGGCACAGCCACAGTATTGCGCATTTGCGGGTTAACTAGATTTAGGGTTCTTGCATCACGGGTTGGATCATAGTTACCGAATCCGTAACCCAACACATAGAAATTAAAGCCGTGAAGGTGCATGGGATGGCTCTCCTTGGTGACTATCTTTGTGTTCTGCACAACGATCTCAACCGTGGTATTAAACCCAAGTGTCTTGACGCTGGTCTTTCTCTCCGGATACATCATCATGTTTTCATAATCGGTACGGGGTTCGAAATTAGCGTAATCAAATCTGAGCGGCGGTTGGTTAGGAAAATCATCAGTGTAGACTCCAGTGATGTTGTAGAAGTAAGCCTCTTGCAGAGGAACCGTCTTCGGAAGCACAAAAGTATAGTTGTTCAGAGACCCGTCCACTTCTCCACTTGGCTTATCAAAACCAAACCCGACCGTTACAAACATCGTCTCGTCCACGTGGCGAGGCACTGGGGTCCAGTGAGGTCCACCCACGAGGCTTGTGATGTTAGAGGAGAACCTATGGGCGGTGGTTTGGTCGTTCATCTCAGGCATCAACGGTATGGCCGCCGGGGATGATGACGATGACGTCGCACCCTCGTAGACGATTAAGCCTCTGGTGGTGGTGTTAGGAGGGAACGGAGATACCTGGTCGGCACTATTGTAAGACTTTATGTACATGTAGTACATTCCGATCGCCTGGTCGGCGGTAAGAAGCGCGTCGACGCTTTGTCCAGGCGTTAACATCATCACATCGCTCACGTAAGGTGTCGTGTACACTGCATCTACAGCGACAACTGTCACGTTGTGATTGGCTATTTTGAAGAAGAGGTGCTTGTTGAGCGCCGCGTTCATAATCCTTAGCAAATATGTCTTTCCTTGAACTACCTTGAGCTTATACATTCCTATAGTACCAAGCCCATTACAAAAAAAAAAAAAAAAAAAAAAAAACATTTCTTTTGTAAGCAACTTTTGTGATGTTTTTGCCACAAAAAAAAAAGAGAAGAGTATTACTTACTGTTTTTAGAGCAAGGGTATAAATCTCCAGCGAGGCCATTGATGAGGTAAGCATCGGAAATCGGAGCTGGCTGTATACTGAGAAGTCCAACATCCATGTTCCACCATTGTTCTTGCATAACCAATTTTTTTTTTTTTTACAATTTTATTAATATCATAATATGAATAACGGATGTTTTGCTTCTTGATTTCAGCTTTGAAAAAAAGCCAATGCTTACCAAAAATGAGAAGAACTTCTTTGTATGGTTTAGGAAAGGGGTAAAGATGGGTGGATCGGGGACGGATGATTAGCGCCCCGTGAAGGGTGGCACGTAGATTCACAACATGCGCGTGCCATAACAATGTACCTTCTTGTCCAATGATATCGAATCGATACGTGAAGTTATAACTTGGTTCAATAGGACACTGAGTTATCATATTCGCACCATCCATCCATGAGCTCTTCAGTTGAAACACTCCATGCCTGTGTTATATATATATGTGAGACATCATTAACAACAACAACAAAATTCCATATTTTTATGATTTATATTATTGGATTCAATCAGTTATACTTAATTACCAGTGGATAGTTATGTTGTAAGTTGAGTTGTTTATGACGTGAACCACAAGAGTGTCGCCTTCTCTAACGTTTATTGTTGGACCGGGAAGACTTCCGTTAACCGTTGGTATCATTTGCTCCTTGCACAATGGCTTCACCAACACATTTGTGACCTGTTGTTGTCACACGCCATTAATACTGTTTGGATTAATGTTTACGTTTATTACGTATATTTGAAAATAAATTAATAGTTTTTTTATATTTATTAAGTAAATTTTTTTATATAAAAATTAATAACTAAACAAAATAAAGTATATTTGAAAATAAGTGGATGAGTTTATTTATTATCAGTTTAACTATACAAAGAAAAAGAAAGAAAGACTAATCGAAAAATAAATAAGGAGAGTGGTAGAATATATAGCAAAATACGTGAAAAACATGTTCGACGATTGCTGCAGAAGCTATGGAAGAAAAGAGAAGAACGATGACAAAAGCTTGGATTGCTAGATAATGATCAAGATGAGGCATTTTTGATGTAAGGATATGAAAACGCCGTCGTTAACCTATGTGAAACTTAATTTTGCAATTGGATTTTTTGCTGTGCCTGTCATTATGAATTTGTGAGAGAGACTCATATGAGTATAAAGGAGAGATTGTGACAAAGGTTTTTGAGTTTGCAAGTTGCAACTTTATTATATATAATTCGAATTCGCCAGCTCCTTATCTCTAATATTTTACACTAATAATACTTCGTCCCTTAAAGTACCCCATGTGAATACTTCGTCTACCATTTTGAATATGTACTATCAGTCAAATAATAGTTTATATTATACTTTTTTCTTAAATATTTAAAATTTAAAATATTAGTTTATAAATAAAATAAATTCAATAGAAAATGAGATAATTTCAATTTTTTTTATAAAAATAGTATCATTTTATTTTAAAATAAAAACAAGACATGATTAAAGCAGGTTTTATTATAATATAATATTTAACATAAAATTTAGAATATGATTGAAAATGTTCTTACAGCACCACTCACGATCTGACATGATTTTAGAAATTTTTTCATCCAATAAGTATCTTTTCTGCTATTTTATTAGATTTTCAAAATAAAAAGATCTGATCTGCCGAAGTGCCGATGAATTTGTGTCGCCCACTATACGGCTTGAAAAAATGCTAAGAAATGCAAAAAATAAATAAACAAAACATACTGATAATCAATTAAAAGTCGCATATATGTATCATGTTCATATGTGTATATGTGTATATGGGGTCAGTTATATCGTGAGTCCAAAAACTGATAGGGTAGTACTAAAACGTTTTTGATATATGATCTCTGTAAGCTCTCAAAAACAAAAGCATTTCTTGTAAAAATCTTTTTTTTTGTTTGAATTATTTTGACATTCAATTCAAAAAAAGGAAAACATTGTTGATTTTTGCGAACAACTCTTTTTAATTAAACAGCATAAAGGATACAAATCTGTGAAATAAATTCGAAACCGTGTAGCCCAAAAATATAAATGTTACCAAATTTATAATGACTGTTTTTCTATTTAATAATGTGAAAACACAAACCATTTTGACTATGTTGTGTGTTAGCTGTTAAAAAAATAAGAAACTCGACAAGACTATCTATATGTGTTATAATTAATTATACAAACCAGTTGACTATGTGTGCTAGCTGTTAAACTTAAAAGTAATCCCGATTCCTCTCTGCTCTTCGTGTAAAAAATGTTTTTATTTCTCATATTACATAGGAAAATGGTACGTACGTAGCTTACGTTTTTTTTTATGAACTTTGGTAGCTTACATTAATTACCGTATTGTATGATTAGAAAACTAATAAACTTAAGGAAATGTATGAATGATTCATAACGAATCTCGTGGAAGGAAACAAAAATTAATACCAAGATCGTGGAACGCATATGATGGGCAAAGTCGTTCTCCACTTCTACTAAAATGAGGTTACAAGAAAATTCATGATATTGTAAAAAAGAAAGATGATATTACAAATTAACAATTTTCGTTTGACCCTCTCTTTTCGCCAGTATTAAAAATGTGCTTTTGGCTTCTGAGTTATATGTGAGAATGTGCTTACGGCTTCTGAGTCAGAAAATGTATATGTTATAGTGTTCCAAACACAAATCATTAAACTATGTGTGCTATAAAAAAAAACAATAAGACTATAATCAACATATAATGTTGCTACGAATTGTTTGTTTCTTATGAGCATGACAATTATCGAGTTACGAATAATCCAGTCCCTCCGATTCCTCTTTTCTCTCCCATAAATTAATGTTTCTATTTTTCTTCTTTCATGGGTAGCTTTACCGACGCCCTGTATAAATGAGTCAGCTAGTGGCTGAGAATTCTTGGTAATATAAATAATCAGGTTAAAAATGGCACCAAAATAGTACTCCATGGAGTAGTTGTAAATATTCATGCATGGTATTGCATTGGTCACAACAAAATAATCGAATAAAGACAAAAAGAAAATTGAAACAAGACAAAAATCAATACGTAGGTAATACTAATACTTTTTTTTTTGTTTAAGACGTAAGTAATACTTAAAAGTCTAATTCAAAAAAAAAAAAAAAAAAAAACTTAAAAGTCAGTCAGCGTAAAGAAAGCCAAAATTCCGTAAACCAATTACCAGCTAGTAAGACAAATCCACGTTAGTCGTCGGAGATTCATAGATCGTCGGGTCCCGAGTACATTGTGGAAGGTTCGACGGTGGAGATTGCAAGCTCGTTTCTGGAGTTGGTCCATTTTGAACTATGAAAGCCATTATAATTCCGTATGGTAAATGTGCATCCATGTGACAATGGAACATCCATGCACCTGCAAAAACATAACATCAACATTTCAAATCAACCCATCGGCTTATTTATAATACTTAGAGTACGTAAGAATATATATATACATATAATATTTTTTTGTTATAAAATCAAAATGTTTCTAACCAGGATTATTGGCGATGAATCTGAGGACAACCCATCCACCTGGTGGTACACCAACGGTATTGTGCATTTGCGGGTTAACCAGATTTAGCTTTCTTGCATCACGGTTTGGCTCATAGTTACCGAATCCGTAACCCAATACATAGAAATTAAAGCCGTGAAGGTGCATGGGATGGCTCTCTGCGCTTATTATCCCCGTGTTCTGCACAACGATCTCGACTGTAGAATTAAATCTAAGTGTCTTGACGCTTGTCTTTCTCTCTGGAAACATCATTCTGTAGTGAGAATCATCACGAACTTCGAAATTTGCATAGTCAAATTTGTGCGGTGGTTGGTCGGGAAAATCATCGGTGTATACTCCACTGATATTGTAGAAGTAAGCTTCTTGAAGAGAAATCGTTGCCGGGATCACGAAAGTACGGTTGTTGAGAGAACCAGCGTACCGTTGACCTAACGGACCAATACACTTGGTTCCCAAGGGGCATGGGTCTAAGCCAAGCCCCATCGCTACGAACATCTTTTCGTCCACATGGCGAGGCACTGGCGTCCAGTAGGGTCCACCCACGAGGCTAGTGATGTTGGAGGAAAATCTGTGAGCTGTGTGTACTGCGTTCACCCCTGCAGGCATCAACGACGCCGCCGGGGATGTTGTCGACGTGGCACCTTCGTAGACGATTAAGCCTCTGATAGGAGTGCTAGGGGGAACCGGTACGAGCGAGTTGGCACTAGTGTAAGGACTTATCGACATGTAGTACATTCCGGTGGGCTGGTCGGCGGTGAGAAGTGCGTCGACTGTTTGTCCCGGCGTCAAGACCATCACATCGCTGACGTAAGGTGTCGTGTAGACAGCATCTACAGCGACAACTGTCACGTTGTGATTGGCTATTTTGAAGAAGAGGTGAGTGTTGAGGGCCGCGTTTATAATCCTTAGCAAATATGTTTTCCCTTGTATTACCTTGAGCTTAAACATCCCTACCGAAGCCAAATAAAAAGAAAAAAAAAACCATTTGACTTTTCTTATTTTAAAAGCAAATTTTCATTAACTTTTAATTTAAGTTTAAAGAATGAGTATTACTGTTCTTTGAGCAAGGATATGAATCTCCAGCGAGGCCATTGATGAGGTAAGCATCGGAAATCGGAGCTGGCCGTAAATTGAGAGCTTCAATATCTGTGTCCCACCATTGCTCTTGCATAGTCATTTAAAAAAACAAATTAATTAACAATTTGAATAATATCATAACAAATGTTTGATTCTCCTTATTTATGAACTACAAATATTTTGTTTTCTTATAAAGTATTGGATTGCAGTAATAATAATTTTTGTGAGTGTTCTTAATTAAACCCCAACCAACCTAGTCAAACTTGTAACATTTATAAAAAATATAATAATTTATCCCAAAAAATATCAGTTTGGAAAATTCTAAACATATTTTAGACATTAATTTTGTTTTCACCTATATATATGTGGTTTATTATTTCTGTTTACTATCTATAAAAAATCCGGTTTTGCTTCTTACTGTCAGTTTTTTTTTATAAAAAATACTCACCAAAAATGAGAGGAACTTCCTTGTAGGGTTTAGGAAAAGGGTAAGGACGACCGGATCGGGGACGGATGACGAGAGCCCCGTGAAGAGTGGCTCGCAGATTAACAACATGCGCGTGCCATAACAATGTACCTTCTTGTCCGGTTATATCGAATCGATACGTGAAGCTATTATTTGGTTGAATCGGACACTGAGTTATCATATTCGCACCATCCATCCATGTGCTCTTCAGCTGAAACACTCCGTGCCTATAAACAAAATTTCTTTTTATTCAACTCATACACCGAAATATATATATAATTTTTTGATGAAATTATACAATATAGAGATCGATAGGTTAGTTAACTACCAGTGGATGGTTACATTGTAAGTTGAGTTGTTGATAACGTTAACCACAAGAGTGTCGCCTTCTCTAACGTTTACCGTTGGACCGGGAAGACCTCCGTTAACAGTCGGTATCATTTGCTCCTTGCACAACGGTTTCACCACCACATTTTTGACCTGTACGCCGTTAATATTATATATCCCGTCATATATCAAAGACTGAATCACAGATTAACGACGTGCTGCGCTTGCTATAACAATGTATATTTATTGTATATTCAAACTAACCCACAGTAGAAAATTTACAAATCAATGTAAACATAAACACGAAACATATATTGACGAAAGAAGAACATTTTGTTTACGTTTGTAATTTAGAAAAAACGTTCTTTAAAAAATGAAATAAAATACTACAAGTGCAAACGATTTTTATTTTTTCGAAACAAAACGTAAATGCTGAAATTATATTTGTAACAAACGATGTGCCAAACGTAAGATTCGAACTACCAAATACGTACGGTAGTTAATAGTTTCTAAAATAGAGTAAAAACCCCGCAAATGCTTGCGTGGTCCATACAGAAAAAGAGGCTAGTATATACACTATACATGTATACATTAGGAGAGAAAAAATTAAAATAGGAGAGAGTGGCATAATAGTAAATACATGGAAAACATGCTCGACGATAGCTGCTGAAGCAATGGAAGAGAAGAGAAGAGCGACGAAGAAGGCTTGGATTGCGAGAGGCATCGTTGATGTAAGGATATGAAAACGTCTTTGTTATCAAAAAGGAATGATAAGTTTGTGACTTGTGACTTTGTGAGAAACTCGTATGCGTATGCTATTTATAGAAAGGACTGCAAGGAGAGAAAGAGATTAGTGGAAAAGTGCTGATAATTTTTTTTTTGGACTTTACGTCATTAATACATTGTTATACTGTATTGATTTTTTTTTTTTTTTTGGTTCAATTGTTATATTGAATTTATTAGTCAGCGAAAATTGGCAATCTCAAACATGATGACTGCACACTTTCCCTCATGCAATAGCTGTCTAAAAGCTTCTCGAATTTATTTGTTGTTTAGGGAATTTATAAGCTCTCGTACTGCGTGCCTAAGCTTCTCGTACTACGTGCCTTTGTATTTCGAAATTACGTTTTTAATATAAGCAAAAGTTTAATAAAAAAAAAAAGGGAATTGGTAATTAAGCTCCAAATCTCTCGGCTACGATCTCTTTTTTTTGGGTGGTGACCCAAACATGTATTTTTAATTACTATCTCCAGAGTTGTTATTCTTTTCTCTACTATATTATTCGGCCAAAATTAGATTTCAAATCGGTGAAAAAATATTCTGAATAATATATATATTCGGCCAGAATAAAACCAAATAACCAAATGGCCACCTCTAATATTACTTAGGCAACCATCAATAAATTAATAATGATTTCTTCTAACTCATTCGTTCTTAGGACAAGAATAATTCCAGATCCTTTCTGCTTTCCAATTAACACAAATTTATCTTTTTCCCCCTTCTTATGTGGAAACATTAATTGAAACTGGCATTACCGTCCTATATATATATATTTGTTTTTAAAACCTTCTGGAGCCAAGGGCATATACACGTATGAACATGATAACATATATGCGACTTTTCCATGTGATTTTTGTGTGATCGATCTTATTTTGATTTCTTCGTACATATATATATATATATTAAATATATAAAAATATATAAAAATGCCACTTCTGTCTCATGAGTCCTAGTATGTATAGCGCATATGTATATTAGTTTTATATTTTTTTCTTACGGTAAGAGAAAAACAGGAAAAAGAAAAATCCGAGAAAAGTGTTTAGATTTTTATTTTACGGTAACTTAAGAAAAAAATATAGCACTATGTATAGAAATTTTATGTTTTAGAGAAAATAGAGCTGTAAAAAGAACTTAACCAATCACCCACAAAAATACTGTTTTAATGAACTAAACCAAAAAAAAAAATCTCCTCTTAAACTAAAGAAAGCTTGAAAATATAAAATTATTTATATATTTATAATATATCAGATCTTTAATCTTCAATGTTTATTGAAATGTTGATAAAATCCTTGCAATGTTCATAAAATGATTTTATTAAAATCCTTTAAATGTTAGAATGTCTTAAATGCGAAATAATACACGATTCCAATTTCCTCCACACTAGAACACGATTCCAATTCCCACACTAGTATATATATATATATATATATATTAAAAAAAAAATACATCTCCACGCATTATCTATCAATCCATTTTGAACTTAAAACTCCTTCACATGTATGTAAAACATAAAACCGCCCAGAACGTATTAATAGGCCTCAATTAGTTTATGGTATACCACTACATACATCATGGAAGCCACTTTTATATTTAGAGGCCTCAATTAGTTTATGGAAGCCACTTTGAACCAAAGGAGATTGTTGGGCCAAGTGACAAAGTTTATTTTTATTTGGGCTGGTTCATATCAGCTATAGCCCATTTAATATTTGGGCTGGTTTATCTTCTTTAATATTTCCTAAACGAGCGTCCCAGTAATAATAATAATAATTAATCACCTTTAAAAATACAAAAATTTATAACTACGAATCACTCCTAAAAATACTGTTATTAACTTAATAATAAAAACATCCCTACATTTTAATATATAGTTACTAGTTAGGAAAGCATGATTCATGACCAAATGACACACCTAACCAGCAGAGATATGTTTCTTTTATGATAATACAAATATATATACTTTGGCTAATTTTCTTACCATTATAAATGAATACTGATAATTTGAATTTGTTTCAAAAATACAGAAAAGGGATATTTTTTTAGAGGCGGGAGTCTTAGCCGGAGACTTGCGGAGGAACAGTTTTTTGGCCGGCGGCGATGGGATGCATTTGCTTCAAGTCGTGGCGGCGACAATCTCCACCGTCGATTACATCAACGGTCATCAACGATCTCGAAAAGGACTTAGACGATGACGACGGCGGACATTATCCGCTGATTTTCCGGGAGTTCAGCTTCGAGCAGCTGAGAATCGCCACCGACGGATTCTCCGCCGGGAACATCGTGTCGGAGCACAACGATTGGGTACCAAACATCGTCTACAAGGGAAAACTCGGCGATGGTCGTCGTATCGCCGTCAAACGGTTTCAGAGACTTTCATGGCCTGATCCTTTCGAATTCACCGTTCGTCTTTTCTTTGCTTCACACGTTTGATCTTTCACTGGTTTTGGTTTTGATGTTGTTTTGAATCGGTCAATTTCTGGATTCTCTCATCATCACTTAAGCTTCAATGCCAGTTTTGCTTGATTCGATATTTTATGGGTTTTGGCATATGATTGGTTAACCAAGATTGAAATTTTGGGTTCTTGCTTCTGATGTACATATTGTGGAAATTTCAGAATGAAGCACAAGCAGTGGGGAGATTGAGGAGTGAGCATATGGCGAATTTGATCGGATGTTGTTCTGATGACAACGAGAGGCTTCTTGTTGCTGAGTATATGCCTAATGGAACTTTAGCAAAGCATCTCTTTCACTGTAACGACATCTCTTCTTTCTTCTCCTTTTTTTTCTCAATGATCTGTTGATGTTATGGTTCCTTAAGAAGAAAGAGTGATTCAGGGGAGAAAAGACCGATGAAATGGGAAATGAGGTTGAAGGTCGCGTTGCATACCGCAAGAGCTTTGGAGTATTGTAAGGACAAGGGAATAGAGTTATACCATGATCTTAATCCTTACCGGATATTGTTTGATAAGGTAAAATGCCAAAACCTTTATTTTGATTTTTAGTGGTGTTCTTGATCTTTAACCTCAAAGTGTTTGAATGATAGATTGGGAATCCAAAGCTTTCTTGCTTTGGTCTCATGAAGAATAGCCGTGAAGGGAAGAATCATAGTACCAACTTAGCATTTGCTCCTCCAGAGTATTTGCGCTTAGGTACATGATTACAACCTTTGCGTGTAAACAGCTGAAAATCTCATAGAAGCTCGTTTACATAATATAACTTTTTTTTTTCAGGTACTTTGATACTGGAGAGCGTCACATATAGCTTTGGGACCTTGTTATTGGATCTTATGAGCGGCAGACACATTCCTCCGAACCATGTAACAAAAAGTGGCAACTTAGTTGAATTTTTAGCATTTTGGACTGATTTTATCAGCTTTTTTTTTTATATGCTATTTGTGTGATATTTGGTGCAGGCGCTTGATTTGTTCCAAGGCAAAAACTATTTGGTGCTAATGGATTCAGCTCTGGATGGTCAGTTCTCTGATGAGGACAGGACAGAACTAATGCACATAGCCTCTCGATGTTTGAAGACTGAACCCGAAGAGAGGCCAAGTATAAAGTTTCTTATGGCGACTCTTTCTAGACTTCAGAAACGAGCCGAGTTATGGCCTAGTAATGTCAAAAGACTCATGCCTGTAAGTGTCACTCTCTCCATAGATTCAAGAATATGCAGACTTAATTAATGCAATGTGACTAAAAATAAATAATTATATTAATGGACAGTCTCCATCATACAATCTGCCTGAAAAGAGTAAACCTGCAGCAGAGCCACTAAAGTTGACTCCTTTTGGAGATGCTTGTTTGAGAGCAGATCTTTCTACCATGCACGAACTACTCGAGAAACTCGGGTATGGAGAAGACGATGGGGTCGCAAACGAGGTATGTTGATGATTTCTTATATCTAAGGAACTGATCATTACTATCTAGATGTTGCTGTTTCTCATGAATATATTACATATGCCAGCAGTTTTCGTTCCAAATGTGGACTGGCGAAATGCAAGAGAATATGGACTACAAGAAGCATGGAGATGTCGCATTTCGTGCTAAAGACTTTGATACCGCCATTGAGTTCTACACAGAGGTATAAACACAAATATAGATCATAATAAAACACTGAATCATCAAGAAGTATAAACACACCAAAAAAGACTTGATTCATTCTTCATATATATATTCTTGTGCAGTTCTTTAGTGGAGCTCCTACGGTGTCACCAACGGTATTGGCAAGAAGGTGTCTATGTTACCTTATGAGTGAAATGTTCAGCGAGGCTCTAAGCGACGCGATGCAAGCTCAAGTGGCTTCACCTGAATGGCCAGTCGCTCTTTACTTGCAAGCGGCTTGTCTCTTCAAGCTCGAGATGGAAGCTGAAGCTAAAGAAGCACTTAGACATGGTTCTACTCTTGAGGCTTATTAGCGTTTGTGAATAACTACTATTCGGAAATTGTGAATACAATACACAAAACACATGTACCCATTGAGATTTGTGTGCTAATTTTTTTTTTTTGTATTTTTATAATTCCACTCAGTTATGATTTATTATTTTTTTGTATTCCCATTGTCTGATATGATTGCACTCGTGCAAAAAGCAAAAACAGGAATCAAATTCCACACAAAGCAAAAGAAATAAGATTTGAGAAAAGGAAAAGAAGAAAAACAGAGGAAGTTAATCTTCTTTCTCATTGTTGTGAAGGCAAGTTAAAGTGAAAGAACCATGAGATTACAAATGCAGAGACCATACATGTTAAAAGAAAGTTAAGGAATCTATTTCCTCTCCAGAATCTCCGGTCATCGGAATCGCTTGTAGCCACCACCGTGGATGCGTTTCCAGCCTCTACATCATCCACATTGGTTTCAGTCGCTGTTTGATCAACCTCGTTGGCAACTTTGGAGAAGTTTAAAGCTATTGAACGACAAATTTCGCATGTCCTGAAATTGCAATTATTAGATTCAACATTGGTTCCTATTTGATAACACTGCGAACAAATGGCTCAAAGAGTACTCATGAAGATTGAGATCAAAGGTGGTTTGACTAATCATTGCTTACTTGTTACCCTTGATCTTGAACCAAGTCTCGGCACATTGCTTATGAACATAACCCAAATCATCTTTACAAGAACATCCAAGAATCATTGGATCTCCACATTCAAGGCGGCTACTCTCTAAACCCAAATGGCAAATCCGGCAATCTTTCTCCGGAGACCCTCCGATTGATCCGGAGAGTTCCGATTCTGATTCTAAATCGTCGTCCGAGTCAGGAATCTCAAACTCGCCGCAAAAGCTTCGTACAGCTGAGTGGAAATCGTAGTCGTAGTCACAAGAAGAACTATCTTCTCCGATGTCGCTGACGTCACTTCGACGGTAATGCCGCTCGCCGGAACCATTTTCTAAATCAACATGAGAGATTTCGAAAGATGACATTTTTATTTGAGAGAGAGAGAGAGTATGTGTGTGAAGAGGAGACTTTGCTATATTATCATTACAAGACTTCTGTCACAAGTAAACGTGAACTCTTGGATCAAGAGATTAAAAAGAAATAAAATTAAGAAAAAAACAAATATTTGAGGGTCGGAAAATCTGAGGGACTTTGTTTTTGTTCTGTCTGTGGACCAATGTTATGAGACATTATTTACATAGTACCCCTTTATTATTTATTTATTATACATAGAGATAAAAGGAAAAACATTATACAGGCTTTAAGCTGATAATACTCGATTGTTCACTAATCCGCACGCTAAGTATCATCGTGTTATTTTTGATTTGAGGGCATGTGTTTCGTGTTATTAGCTACCGAAATCTTTTTCTGACCGTTGATTTGAGTCATCGAAGTATTGAAAGTCAACACCATTGACGGTAGAGATTACATCACGCGCGTAGGAGGCACGTGATAGAAATAACTACTGTGTGTCGTAGTGCGGCTGAGCTTTGGGACCACCGCCTTTGGCTCTGTCTCTCCCCTCATGCTTCTCTTTCACGCCACCACTCACTTCTTTCATGCTTCTTTTTTCTCTTTTTATTAATTACGGAAAAATAGATATTTGATTAATTGTGACCAAGAAACCATTTAAATTAAAAAAATAAGTGAATCGGCGACAAAAGGAAAAAAAGAAAACCACAATAAACCAAACTAGATTACAAATAGCTAATCACACATATATATAAATATAATGATAATTAAATTATTATTTTGTTTCATAATATTTTAAGAATTAATATCTTAACAGAAAACGGAAATGAATCCACCTTAAATTATTATATCGAGCTGAAACCAAACTAGATTTTAAATAGTTTCAGTTGATTCATTTTTAATAAAGGGTCGATGGTGCCCAAATAAAATACTAAAAAAGAAATTGAAACCAGACCGTAAAATCGGAGGTAACGCAGCCGCCGTCGTTACCGTTACCGTTACCGTTACCGTTACGGAGTGGACTGTTAGTTGGTTGGTTTAGCTGGGTGACGTGAAGTGCATGCTCTCTTAATTAGATTTAAGGCCCACAAATAATAGAATAGAGTCATACATATAGGCCCACATTATTAAATATTGTCAAACTACAACGACAACGAGTTACTGAAGCAGAACAGAGAAACTACAACAACAAAAATAAGCCGTGGGAAATTATAGAAACAAAACAGCACGTAGATCACGGAAAATAAAACTAAAGAAAAGAAAAGATTTGTTTTATTTTCTCCAAATGAGTTTATCCACCGTCTTGTGTTTGTGGAGGAGGAGGAGGAGGCTTAGGAAAAATGTAAGGATTATTAGGGGATCCATGCTCAACAGAACCTCCTTTAATCGAAGGTTTCGACGGAGTTGGATCCGCCACACTGTAATCCTCCAAACCTAATTTCATTTCTGCCATTTCCAATACGTGATTCATTAATCCACTACAAACAAAAAGAGAGAGAGAGAGAGAGTAAAAATAAATGTTAAAGAGAAGAGGAATATTGGTTACCAGAAGAAACAAGTGACACGCAGAGGATTATTACAACCAAAGGGAAGACAACTCCTGGTTTCTTCATCTTCTTCAGAGATAACAAAAGCAAAGAGAGAGAGGGAGAGAGAGGGAGCAACTTTGAAAGAGTATGTGTATGTGTGTGATGAAATTGGGAAATAAGGGCATGTGTCTCTTGAATGTGGTGGAGTAGTGGGTTAAAATCGAGATATCATAGTTATTGTGTCTCTCTCACTCTGCATCTCTATAACAGAGAGGAAGCATCTCAAAAACAGCTCAAAGCTCATTCATTGGTTAGACTTTAATGCTCCTTCACACTACTTTTCTTTTACGCCACGTGTCCCGGATTCTCTACCTCCATTAACAGTGTCTTCTCATCGATGTCTTTCGATCACCATTTATAGAAACGAGGATGAGAAAATGAAGAAGAGGAAAAAGGTGAAGGCAGCAAGAATTTAATATGAAATTAAATAAAGGATGGAATGGATGGAGGAGACGAGATGGAGAAGGTTGAAGCGGTGCTTTCTTTTATTCTAATAACGTGTTGGCGATATAGTTAATACTCCACTTGTAGTAGTTTAGAGAATTAGTGGTAGTTATATAATTATAGCATATTAATGGTAATCGCAATAAAATACAAAAACTGTTGTTATGAAGCAAATTCTATAGACAACAAAAATCTTAATGCCTTTTGATGTTAATTCCCTATTAAAAAAATAATAATGTCATGATGTGAAGTCACATTAATGGTTCTAGCATATTTACCCCTCAAAACCATTTGTATCTGTTTTTTTTTTTTTTTTTATCTATCACGTTTCTATTACTTTTATTTTAATGTTCTGTGTCACCTTTAAAAAATGCAATATATATATATATATAGTTTTATTTTCGGCTTCAAATTTTCTCACTGTCAAATTTCAAATTTAACTTATGTTTTTGTCCTTCACTAGAATATTAATACTCATACCTAAAAACTGAAAAAAAAATAGATGTACAAATGCACAAACACTGGAAGCTATGCGGTATTATTTTATACATGTATCTATTAAACCTGTTTTCATATCTTATCCAAAATATTGTGAATGTAGGTTGAGTTAATATACATGATAATAAATCGATTGGTACATAGAATTCATTTCACTCATACATATGGTTTTGACAACATCATTTATAACACATCATACATGTGATATATGTAATTAGAATTCTAGCTAGATAGAGGAATCAATAATATTGATCTGTGGTGGGATGTTCGTAGTTAACCGGTGGCTTTGGAGAGCATAGAGGCAAATCTGGCGGTGGAGAAGGCAAGCTAGTCGCCGTGGTCGGCCCATTTCGAACAATGAAAACTGTTATTATACCAAACGCCAAGTGAGCATCCATATGACAATGGAACATCCAAGCACCTGCACAAAAAAATGTTGGATATTTAAACAATAAATAAGTTGGGTCCCAAAACCCGAGTATTGCCAACGTAGACGTAAATATTTAACACAAAAACAAACAATGGAAACGTAAAACTAACACGATTAACGTGAACGAACGTACCAGGGTTATTAGCTACGAAAAGGATGACAGCCCAACCACCAGTCGGTACGGCTATGGTATTTCGCATCTGCGGGTCAACCAAATTGAGTTTTATAGCGGTTTGGTTCGGGTCATAATTACCAAACCCTTGTGCCAGCACGTGGAAATTGAAACCGTGAAGGTGCATGGGGTGATTTTCGGTTGTGACCAACGCCGTGTTTAATTTGGAGGACAATCTCCACCGTCGAATTAAATTCAAAGATCTTCACACTAGTCTTTCTTTCCGGGAACAGCATGGAGTAACCGTTGGTATCACTATTTCTTTGCACAACGGATTCACCGATATGTTTTGGACCTACCGTTAAGTCTATGTCAATTATCATATATACTTTTAACAGAGAACCAAAGTGAATGGAGACTTGAGAGAGATTAGTAATTACATGAAAGACGTGTTTTACGACGGAAGCAGCAGATTGGTGCGTGATGGCGGCGGCTATGAGGAAAAGAACCGCCTTGAGAAAACCGTTGACGATAGCCATGATAGAAACGATGCCGTGCGATCAAAGTTAAGAGACAAACTTTTCTTTTTAACGATTGTAATGCTTGATCGTCTATTTGATGAAGAGGCTTTTGTGTGTATATATATACATTTTTTTAATCCAATGATGCTCTTAGCCACACAACTATACAATCAAACAAGAATTGATATAACAAGAAACAGAACATGTTTTGATATTTGAAAATAACATTTCTGTCGTTTTCTTAGAATACCATTCGTCAGAAACTCTAGCTAATGCCTTTATCCTTTATCCTTTTTACTCTCTTTTTTTTTGTCTTTTTACTGAAATTCCGGAATATGCTTAAAATGAACCGTTGGAGAAAACCCTAAAACTATGTCTATTTAAATCAGAACAATCTGACTAAGTCTATCACAAAGTGGAAGCCGAATTCAATATGGCTTACCATAAGTCTTTTTTTCTTTTGTTGGGTTGTGTTGATAAGTGATCAATATGGTTTTGACTTCTGTAAGTCCTAATCGCATTATTATACACGTAATTTCAAACTACTTTTATATTTCTTATGATTTTGAACTAAATGTTGAATTAGTTTGAATCAAAATTTTGTCAATGCGAAACAAATAAAATCGAAGTAGCTGATTCGGAAAAGAAAACTGAAAATTCGAAATATTCAACTCAAATTAAAAAAGCGTTAACTTAATCATCTTCTCGATAACTTTTTGTGGAGATATGTAACAAGAGTCAGACAGAACAGAACATTGATGGTCCATGGTTTTAAGTATTAAATTGGATGCACAAAGTGGCAGTGAGTACTTTTGTCAGTCTTTGAAGTAAATGCTGACAATTTATTTTCTTCAGTCATGAAAGAGTATCCCATTTTTTTGTTCCTTTTTCGTATATAATTATTATTTTTTGTCAAAAATAATTTATTACATCTTTTAGTTATTTTGGACTTTTTTACGTAGCTGTTTTGGACTATTCATTATTTCATTTGTCCCAAACAAAACATTGATTATGGCTCAATAATATGCGCGGGTTTGTTTTGCCTCATTCCATACACGCATTGTAAATAAGAATAAGAAATCGTTAAAAGGTTGCCAAAAGAAAACACCAAAAGTCGAAACAAAGAAACTCGGTAACATAATCAATGGTTGTCCACTAATTAACCCACTTATTAGAGATGAGATTCCATCTTTTTGTTTGCCAACAATTCTACCTTTACTATCTCAAACCCCACATTTTCTATTTCCTTTTCGTTTGTGGACAATATTTATGATTCATTTTCCACTATCTTAACAAACGCCATGAACTATTCTAATTGTATCATAATAATTTCCATACACACAAATCAATTGGATATGATGAAAAAAATCTTCTTAACACGATGTGAAATCATTCCCTCCATTCTACTAATGTTCAATAACACCCTTCAACTTAATCATTCGTTAAGCATTACACTTTTTTTTTAAATATTTTTTGCCGATTTATATGATTCGACAATTTGTCAAGTTCTGCGTTGCCGATCAATTATATATTAGAGATTGTCGTTAAATAGAATTATAAAATACTAGAATAGAAAAGTGGGCCTAAATGTCACAATCTAGAACATGGGGGCTACGGAAGAGAGGATATAAAAATAGTGGGTATAAGAACAGAGAGATAGCAATAAGCATTAATTGAATTTCCATTACTCAGCAACCACTGAGAGAGAGCGAATCAAGAAATTTTATTTAATTTCCATCCTTTCTTCACCAAAATCCCCACCACACACACACACACTACTAAATTTACCCCTCTTGAAAACTGGAATTCATTCACGAATCCAAGAAATTCCATTCAGAAGAAGAAGAAGAAGAGAAAAAAGAGCTCCTTTCCAGATTCCTCAAGCTCCACCACTATTTCAGCTATGGTGGTTTTCAAATCCCTAGCTTTTCTGTTCGTTCTATGCTTCGAAACCATGGCTACTGCAGATGGAAATTCCTCGTTTTCGTTTAATGGGTTTGTGAAATCTCCGAGCTTTGATAAGAATCTTGGTCTGTTTGGAGATTCGAAGCTCGTTAATGGCGGTTCATCGATTCAATTGACTGACTCAGTGAGCCGGAGCGAAGGGCGAGTCATTTACATGAAACCCATCAAGCTTTTCCAAGGTAAAGAGAGAAACTACTCCGGATTATTCTCGACTACTTTCTCATTCTCGATGTCCAGCAAGTTTGGTAGTGTCCTGGCTTTTGTAATGGTTCCAAGTGGTTTGGATCTTAGGTTGTTCGGTAGTAAGGATAAAACTTCCTCTGGTCTAGGGTTCTTGTCGCCATACGAGATTGTTGCCGTTGAGTTTGGTATCTCCAAGAGAGGGAATCGTGTGGGGATCTTAGTCGGTAGACCTGAATCTGCCAAAATTAGAAACTTGTCGTCTTTTGGTGGTCATTTCAACGGAGAGAAGAAATTGAATTGTTGGATTGATTACGAGGCGAGCTCAAAGAGGATAGAGGTTCGTTTGTCTGCTGTCTTAAAGCCGGTCGATCCATTCGTCTCTTACTCAGTAGACTTGGCTAAGCTATGGAGAAATGGGAAGTTCATGGTGGGTTTAAGCTCTGCAAATGGAAACTCTTCCAAGCCACAGTATCTCCATTCTTGGAGCTTTAAACTGAGACATCCCTCGATGAGGTTTCACTCGCAACCGCTTGATCCAAACGCAGTTTCCAAGTCTGTGAAGGAGGAGGAGAAGACGGTGGAGGTTAAAGGGAAAAGCAAATGTAATATTTGGAGAATGCTTGGTGCGTTGGTTTTGGGTGCGGTTTGTGGAACTTTAGGAGCGATGTTTGCGTTATACCTTTGGACAATATGCGGTAATAGACGGTCAATGGCGGTTGTTCCTGAGGAGTGTGCTAATGAAAAACCGGATAACGTTGTGATAAAAGCAGTTGTTGTTGATGAACAAGGCAAGAAGTAGTAGTTTGGTGTTTTTAGATTGTTGTATTTGTCTTTGTGTCTGTAATGTAAATTCTTGTGTCCTTCTTCTTCTGTTTGTTTGTTTTTTGCTAGTTGCAGGTTTGGTGAGATGAGTTTTCACATGTAGAATCTTACAATATGTATTAAATTAAGATCTTGAGATCTTGATCAATTCAATGCTATTGTCTTCTTCTTCTTTTTTTTCCTTTTCATTTGAGGACAAGTGAAAGCCGTGAGTGTATTAAAGTAAGAGTTTGTCCATAAAAAGAAAGCAATGGGTTTCTCGTGAATTCAACAAAATGCATTTATAATCAGTTGCCACTTTCAGACCATCTCTCTCAGTGTCATTTCTACGTCTTGACTGCGAAGAAAGGGAGAGGAGAGTAACAATGGAATGTGTATTGTCTCCAGTGGTCCCCTTTCTCAATCTGTACTTCTCTTCATATCAGCATGAAGACCAAAACGCTGTAGTTTCATCTGTTGGGTCTTAAATCAAATCAGAAAACAACAATGGACTGGGCCGCAAGGAATATAAGCCCAAGAAAATACAGACACTCAAGCCGGATCGAAAAAACAACCGTCCTCTCCCTGATTAAAGCAAAGTCGAAGGAGACATCAATGAAGCTTTGCTCAGAGTCAAGAGTAGTACGAAGAGTACAGGCAGTAGAATTCAAAATGGTTTTGCAGATCTTGAATCCGAGAGTGAGGATTGAGCCACCTGGTATTAGGGTTTTACAAGGGAAATCCTTTATCTCTGTATAAATAGGATCTTTATGTAAATGAGAAAAGCCGTCGAATGATATAATCAAGCTTCAATCTTTATTTCTAGTTTTTTTTCTGAATTCTGCTTTCTGAAACAAACCGCGACCTCATCTGTGCTTTCTATTCATCTGGGTTCAGGTAAACTTTCTCTCACTGTCTTTTAGGTTCTCCCAAATTCGCCTGATTTTCTCTGCCACAAATTCAATTAGCACAATTGAACAAGTATGTAGTGTTAGGTTTGGTGTCTTTTAATCTATTGTTTGGGTTCCGATTGAACAAATCTTGTAGTCTATACGTCCCTTAGTGGATTTTCTATTAATTGCAAACGATTCAGTCACCCATTGATTCTCCACATTTGCGATTTGTTGAAATCTGTTTGGTTAGTGCGAAAACCCGAGAGGAATTGTTTGTTTCTGGATTCTCTAGTGAGGTTGTTTAGCTCAAAAGATGATTAATGGCCTTGTCGTGATTCTATTTGCAAAACGCGTGTAAAAGTTCAACTTTCGGATATCTTGCTTTTGTTCATTGCTGCCTCTTACTATAAGCTGAATTATGTTTCCCTTAGCTGGTTAGATTAGTTGGAGAGGCTAAAGCTAACATTTCATTTATGCTCTCTAATATGTAACTGTGTTTTGCTGAGTTTGGCCTCACTGTTTTAAACTTTTACAGAACTCTTCACCACAATGAGCAAAGCTGCTTCCTCCAGTTCCTCCGCTACTCCAGCTCCAGTGACTGTGATATGGGCTTTTGCGCATGCCTGGATCCCTGACGGTTATGACATTAAGACCCTCAAGAGGAACATCGAGGTTGCTCTGCAGAAGAAAAATCCAGATTTTTACATTGAGGAGTTGCTTGCGATGGGACCAGACTCTGGAGATAAGTACGAAGCGATTCGCACTTGTCCGGAGATCAACTTCAAAGCGATCCCAAGAGAAGCACACCGGTGTGAACATTTAACCACCCAGTTCTATGTGGTTAAGGAGTTGCACATGAAGTCCTTGGATGATAAGAATTACCTCTTGGTAATTGCCGGAGAGGTGGATCTCCGTGGTGCCATGCGTGATAAGGACCTACATGTTATGATATCCCGACTTGAAGATTCGACTGGAGAATTACACAGAGGAGCCAAAGCAATTTGGATTTGGAAGTCTGAAGATCCTAACAAAGCTACCATGGTAAACGGAGGTGCACCCCTCCGTAGAGGTATAATAAATTTTACATTTTTATTTTGCAATTTCAGTTTGTAACAATATGTACTCATAGATGTTGATTTTGTATTGCCATACAGGATGACCGCGTGTGAGCCGTCGGCAACAGAAGAGAGGAACAGCTTTGATTACAATTTAAAGTTTGAGTTTTTTTTTTCTTTTCTCGCTTCTCTTGATTTAGGATTGACATCTTTATTTGTATGAGTAAAACTGATTCGTATTTCACATCTGAGTCAACCTGTATTTCTCTAATTTCCTACTATCATTAGCATATCTTTTCAATGAACCTAATTACATTAACAAATAAATAAAACCCCCAAAAAGTCATGTGATTCCCTCGTGTATACCAACTTGAACCCCTCTCTCTATCTCTGATTATCTTAGAGACTCTGTGCTCGTAAACTTGGTCTTTCAAACCGGTTCAGACTTGTTTGTTCATCAGACGTGTCACACAAGCAACCTGGAAGAGGGTTTGCATAAAAATTCTCCTCCAACTTTGGACCTGCCTTTCCTGGCCGTCTAAGATACGGAGCTCCTAATCTTTTCCGATGTATTCTCTTAACCTCCGACGAGAAATCCTCCCAGGACATGAGTCCCGCATCAAGCCGATCAATCAACTTCACGAATCTTAGCCTGAAAACCACAAAATAAAAATGTCAGTCTTAAGTATTAGAAAAAGGGTTTCATCACGCAAGAAACAAAACCGTACCTATCGGGATTCATCGTTTTTCTAAACCCTTCGAATCTCCGGTGACCCTGAACCGCTTTCGCCATGTTTCCATCATAAGTATAAGCGAAAACATCGCTTTCAAGTGCTAAATTGTAATCAAGAGCAGCTAATCTGTTCTGGTAAGGTTTTATAGTCGAAAGCTCTTCCTCGGTGGCCAACGTAGAGTGAAGGAAAACGTTTGGGAACTCTTCGTGGAACGCGTTCATACTCTTCTGACCGTAGATCTCTCCGGCAACAATGTAGATTTTCGTGGTCGAAGGAAAACCCATTGCCTTAAGGAACACGGCAGCTTCACGGGGGGTCATAGGGCAACTGCCTTCAAGACGCCGTTCTGTACCATTGATCAGTTTTTCTTTCCAATGCGGAATGCTATATCTCATCTTCTCAAGATCAATTGACTCCTCCGCCGTTAAACTGTGGTTGCATCCGGTAAACGCCAACATATCTTTCTCATACCTAAAAGAACAAATCTGTTTAATCGATGATTCTCAGCAACATTCATGTGTGAGAGAGAGAGAGGGAGTAACATTAATTGCTTGTACCGCAAGTGAAGAGCGAGGTAGGGTTCGTTGTTTTCTCTAAGTCTTGAAGAGAGAACTTTGCTTAGATTCTCTATATCTTCAGAGTAATGAAGAGCTTCGTAGTTTGCGCGACACCTAAGCCGTTGGATCGAAGGAGGCGGACTGTTGTTCGCTAGCCGAGAATCAGTGTGATTGAATACAATCACCTTATGCTTCTTCAGTAACTTCGAGATTGAGTTTCTGTAATAACTAGCCTGCAATCCGAACCATTACAGAGTTAAGTAAAGTTCGTTGAATAGATACCCAAAAAGAGAAAACAGAGAAGTTGTTTTTGCAAATAAAAAAAATTGATTTGAGAGTTACCTTAGACCAGGACACAGGATTCTTTTCAAGAGGCTTAATCGAAGCAAACTCTTGCGGTAGATACTCGACGATATCCACATCTTCGGCTAGCTCTTTGATGAAATGTTTCCAGTCAAAAATGTCCTTAAACGTGCTGGCGAATATAACAAAAAGAATCAAGAATGAATTACAGAGATGAATTATTTATTATGATCAATGATGATGAATTTGATGATGATTACCTTGGATCGCTCCAGAAAGATGAGTGGTCAAGAAATGGAAGAACAAGAGTTGCGTTCATGATTTTGGCGATTGCGACCATATCGCATATCTGTGAAGAGGCAAATGAAGTGAGGAAATTGAGAATATCTTAGCCAAGAAAACTTAAAAGAAGAAGATGACGTACACCAGTTCTCATTTGATTCAAACCACCGTTGGAGTGAACAAGAAGGTAACCATTGGTCTTCTTGATTGGTCCTAAACCATAAATCGAATTCAAAACCGGTTATTAGGTCTGATATATCTTGGTTTTACAACCGGTTAAACCAGAAAATGAGGAAACTTACTTTGGTTTTTAGGACGAGCTACGCATTTCTGATAGTTTCCAGTGTCTGGTTGATTCCAAATCTCTGGGATCTTTTGTTCAAACAAAAAAAGCAAAGATAAGTTCACAACATAATGAAAAGAACATCGTTAAACTACCGACTAAGCCCAACGGGCCAACGTACTACTAATGGAGCTGTTGTGATGTGATTAGTTAAGAGTGTAAAATAGTATATATATTGGATTAGTTATTAACGGAAGTCAACCGCTAGAAAATTCAAGGACAACAAATGGAGGTTACCCACGATGACTTTCGTAATTGGGAAAAAAATTCCAATTAAATATTTCGTCACGAACTTTTCGGAATTTTTTCTTTACGAAAAACAAATGAAAATACGAAAAAAAATATTTCTTTATTTTGGGATAAGGATGTTTATAATTTTTAATTAGATTCAGCTAGGAATTTCGGTCGACATGAATGAACAGAACAGAACAGAATCTTAAACTTGTTGTTTTGATTTTTCCTCGGGAAAAAGATTTGACTTCAACACAAAAAGCAGAACGCGGAAACAGATAATTTTCTTCTGAAAAATAATTAGACCTTTTTATATAAAAATTAAAACTTTTGACTCCGTTCTAACTTTTATGGGGGAATTTTGAGTTTTGAGCTTACCGGTTTTCTCTCTGGAACGAGGACTTTAACGGAACTGGAAGAAGATTCTTCTTCTTCGATGATCTTCTCAATGTTACTTCTGGAATGAATCGAAACGACGAATTCGTGTTTCTCCACGTGTCGCCGCCGTCCGACGCTCCCGGAGAGAGCCACGACGAGGAAGAAAGTGACGACGAGGATCGCCAATAAGGACAGAATCAAACGGCCAAGATTGGTGGCTGATCTCATGTTCCGAGCGATCCCAGCCGTCCATCGAGACTTGTTCTCCACCATGAGCATCCACACGAGCCTGATTTTCCGGAGAGACAGAAACCCGACGAGGTAATTGTGGTTTTGGTGGTGGGACCCACTCGAACAACACAAAGACAACCCTCCGCCGCCGAGGCTGCAGCTCGTGGCTTCTTCCTCGTCGTCGGGGACGTAAACGACCGCGTTTCCTCCTCCGGTGCTTACGTGGCTGTGATCTTCCTGAGAATCAGGCACGCGCCGTCTTGTTGTTGTTGTTGGCGCCGCCGGTAATTGGCTGCTGCTCGACGGATTTACCGGTACGCCGACTGACATGTGGCCGGAAAAACAGGGGATTTTAGAAACTCTCCGGGAAGAATATAAATGAAAGTAAATTTTGGGGGAGACAAAGATAAAAATCGATCGGAGGAGAGAATTGGAGTCAATGAATCTCCATCCAAATGTAATTCATCTTCTTCTTTTTATATCTGCGCGATCTCAGGCGGAGCAGACAAATAATCTCTCTCCAATTCTATTTCCTCTCTCTTTCCTTCTCCAATATATATGTGTGTAAATAATATGGGGCCTATACTTGTATTTATTGTGCTTTGTATAAGAGAAAAAAAAAAGTCGTTTTTGTTGTCAAAAATAAAAGTTGTTTCGTTTTGTTGTTTCTACTTTTTTTTATTTAGAGTTTTCTTCATTTCACATGTTAAATGTTCGTTGTTAATCATTAGTGTACAACGAAATATTTTCTAAATATATACTTTTTATTTTTAAAATAACTTACGAGAGTATTTACTGATTTCTAATAAATAGTCAGAATTTATAGATCGATTTTTTTTAATTGTTGATAACGTCTCGAGATGTAGTTGATAATTACTGATTTCTTAATTGTTAAAAATATCATCTATTTTTTTTTTCTTTCGATTTTGACATTTTGTATTGGCCAACATGCATTGCATTTGCCTAACTAGTAACTACTAGACACGTATAATTTATAGCAATAGATATGCATATTAATTATTTGTTTGTATTAAATTCAGCATCTCGCGTATATACAGTTTTATATTTCGTGTTACTATTGAAAAAGATATGCATAAATCAATTGTTTGCACGTCGTCGTAAAAATTGCATTTGATAAAAAAATTGAAGTTTATCTCTTAATTTAATGTTTAACTTTTTTTCAACGAACAAACAGTTTTCATTTAAACTGAGATCTCTATACATTTGATAAATATCTAGTTTCAGTGACTATACATTAGTATTATTGATAAGTATAGCGACATTTATATGCATCACAGTAAACAAATAAATTTGGGTTATGCTTATGCTACTCTTATGGAAATTTCTTGGACTTTTATGGCAATTAGACTCATTTTTTATAATTGATTTTTTGGCGCAAAGTATTGTACCTGAAAGTAATCTCGAGGATAAATTTAATCAACTGTTTGGTTTTTACTAGTTGAGTATCAACCTATTATTCTTTTGTATATAAGAGAAAATTGTGAAAGTTGTCGTTATCGCATATGACATTGTAACTATAGCAAAACTACGTTTTGTAAAAAAAAAAAAGAATCAGTTACTAGAGTATTCACAGTCATTCCAAACTAAGTATGGATTTTAATGCGTCATATTGAATACATTTTTATCAACTTTTTTTTTTTAGATTTAAGTTTTAACTTTAATAAGACCGAGGTACCTACAAAACTAATTTATGTAGAGAGTGACCAATTCCATTAATAACTACAGTACAAAATTTTAATAAATTATGTTACTTTATTCAACAACTAGTTAACCGGTCACATTGTTCATCAGTCATCACACATTTATCTTATCATTTTCCTAAGAACAAACTAGAAAAATGAAATCACCACACGCTAGTTGCTAGAGATTACGTGTAGCTGATTAATTAATAGCCAGACTTTCGAAATCATATACAGATCATACGTTATTCATAATTCGTTTCTCACTAGAAAAAAGGTAGACAACATAATGGTAATTGTATAAAAATGCAGAAGATATGGTAAAAAGGTACTTTCAGAACATACATTACAGAAATAAAAAAGTGTGGTGAATTACATGTGAAACAATATAGCAATAACAATGATGGCCTGGCCTTTTATTTAAGGTTTTGAGTATTAAAGGTGAAAAGGCCTTTAGGATAAATTCGAACGTTCCTCGATTTTCCAAATTTATTTGTCCGTTTCCTACGTCCTTTTCTCTCGATTAATAGTATGATACCCATGCCGAGGACTAAAATTCAAATACTACTTTGCAAAACTATATGCATTTAATAATATACGATTACAGATTACTTCCGTGATCCAACATGTTAATAGATGCTTAATCCCATGTTTTACTTCAATTTTGTTTTGAATTTTTTTGTTTGTTCTAAAGTCCCATATTTGGATAAGCAGGAGCCGATTGGGCATTCATCCAAGAAATCATTTGACATTTTTTTTACTACAATTTCTATCCAAAAAAATATATCAAATCTTGTTAACTTTTGAATATCTTCAGTTCAACGTCGATTTTTGCTGTTGTTTATTTCGTATAATTTAAATTCTGTTTATGAAGTTGAACATATATTTTTTTAATCACCCACTTTTATTTTGTTTTTAATTAACATTATTATTCTACAAAAATTGACTTAGTTCCTTTTATTTTGTTATATTTAGTTGGTGTTACCGTACCTACAATTAAGTTTCACGATATACTGTATATAAGTTTTGTTTTTCTTACCAATAGGCAATAAGATCAGTATTTGTTGTACACTCCAAGTCCCAACTATAACCATGCCTATAGCAAAAAAAAAAAAAAAAAAAAAAAAATACATAACCATGGTTGTTATTTGATTCTCGATAACAAATAGACACGTCTTAGAAGGTTATTATAAATGTATACAGACTATTTATAAAGCCTAAAATTTTATATTCCTATAGAAAAATTGTTTGGATTTCGACCAAATAAATAAATAAATATAAATTTTGTTTGAGAGTGGGTTTAACCCACTTTAGTTTGGTAACCGTTAGAGTTCCATCAATATTGTAAATAAGCACACTTTTTATTACTATAATATACCCTCAAGGGTACTGGTATTTTTATTACAGTTGTTTATTCTTTACTTCTGAGCTTGAATCATTGACGTCATATTATGATGTCAATGATTGATAGCAATACTACGTAATTTAAAGATAATATTACTATGAAAAAAATATAACCACTTTTAAAATTTTTAGATATGTATTATTTCAGTGTTAGATCCTAACTATATCAAACCGCTACGTTTAGAGGTGATCTATGTTTGTGATCCATCACACACAAAAATACTGTATGAGTCTGTCTAATATCAAGAAATATAATGAGTCAAATATTCATAATTGAATGGTTAAAGAAAACAGAATCATATAATGATATAAAATAACTTTAATTTATTTAGAGTAATTGGTAACAGTACAGTGACACTGTACTTGAAACACATTTTGAGGACTAAAGCTATAATGGAAAATAATTAATATAGATAGAAAATCATACTCATTGATTTAATAGCCGACCTTAAAGCCTCATAAGTCATAAGAGTCCTTAGTGGAAAATATTTCATGCTTTAAAATCATAGCGTTATTGAATAAAGCAAACTTTTAGAAAAAATAAATGAATAAATGGATTTAAGACATCTAAACAAGTCGATCGACAAATAAAAGATTTGAAATTTATAAGAGTTTTTCTATGGAATCTTCTGGGTTATAAATATTATCATGTTATGTCACAGAAATCTTAACGTGTATTATTAATGTTCTAGACAGACATTTTTGATGCAAATAACTTTTAAAGCAAATAGAAAAAAGTGTTAATGTATAAGAAACGAATAAACTAATTTAAGACACTTTTACTACCGTGGAAAACTACACCATATCTATCAACCGTAATGTAGCATTTTAAGATGGTTACGTACCTAAAGATGATGGACTTTTAGCTTTTTTTACCCAATCAAACCAAATTACGAATTATTAATTATAGTTTAGTGAACATCATGTTTTGGTCTTAGGCCATATTACACCCCCGTACTGCGATTTGCCACGTTTATCTCATTCAACTCTCTTGTATAGTCTTATTTCATAAACCGATTTTCCGAACGCAATGTTTTTAACCGAAAGTGGAGTTCGAACTCCGGTGACGTCAAAAGGGTACCAGATTCACTAGAAGTCTAAAGCCATTGGACCTTTGGTCGACATCATAACACGCTTTTTAAAATGGACTTGGAGACTCAAAATTGACACATTCTCTAGAATCAGTGAGACCCACACATACACGTGTGTATGATGCATAGTAGATAATTTTTATTTTTCTATTTTAAATTAAAGTATATTTAAAAAGGATAACACTATATTTTTGATAAATATATTATTAATATTTACCCATATACGTATATTAAAAAGTTCAATTCCGAAATTATATTATCTCTCATAAAAAGTATTTAAAGTTGTAATCGACAAAAAAAAAAGGTTTTAATATCTTCTCATACAAGTAAAAGGATTTTAGACACATCCAAAGCCTGATCTAACCCTAATTTAGCGAGAAAGTCTCCAATCCTCTCGGTGGAACCAATGGGCGGCGAATCCGAGATCGAATACTTCTCCACCAGTAAGATCTCTGTCCATCTCTTAGTAAGATTTCATCTGGTGGATCTGTCATAGTTATCTAATTTAATTCGTAATTTCAGCCTGTGTCTTTTATATCATAGCTTGTTTTATTCCTTGCAGAGGGTACCGAAGAATCAAAGAATGCATCTGACGGTATCGAAGCATTTGATATCTACAAGATGGAAGATTTCTCGGAGCCTCTCACGCTAGTCGAAGGGGATAAGACAGCCGTCTTCTGGGACGTCGAGGAGTGCCCATTCCCTCTTGGCTCCAATCCTGATGAGATCCATCGCAGAATCGTATCAGCTCTTCGTCTCAGAGGTTTTAATGGCGAGATATATATCTTTGCTTATGTTGATGAGAATAACAGCAAGTCTTGGAGTGGTGAGTATCTGCGTCACAAGACGTGGGGTTCAAGAATCTACTTTCTTCCCGGAGGTAAATTAACACTCTTTTCTTCTCCTTATATGTGTGTGTGTAATCTTCTTGTAGTATATATCTCACTTCCTCCATTGCTATATCTATTTGCAGGGGATAAAGCCTCGAGACATCAAAGAATGCAAAATGACATTCTTTTATTGGAAATGGACTCTCACCGGGCCCATCCTTATCCAGCAGATGTGATTGTTGTTGTCTCACATCAGGTTGACGCCTTCTTCTTCGAAACGCTTGATTGTTTGAGTCTGAGGTCTCGCATTGTTTTCTTAGTAACTCCGACTCAGGACGCCATCAAACCACAAAGCCCTGAATGGCTAGCCTTGCTATTACATGAGGCACACGACTTTGTTTCCGAAAGAAAGAAAAAACGAGATACATTGATGGACACGTAGAATATACATTACAGGTTTGATTATTTGATATACAGCTCAAGTCACGTATGGTAGAGAACAAACGCGTACGAGTACGGACTGCTCGCTACTCTTCTTGTTCTCCGTTCATCACCGAAAAGTCGTTGTAGACGCAACGCATTTTTCTAAGCCACCGTCATCACTCATCACTGTTCAATTCTATTTTGCAATTTAATTTTCTTGTATATTTTTTGCTTTCTGACCAAATTAAATCTTAATATTGAAACCAAATTTTCTCCTTTTCGTTGTACAAGATGGAATATATATAGCTCATGTTTAACATACAACAATCGTGGTCCCGTTTCCTATACTATGTTTTATACATAATTCGACTAGAGTTGAAACAAGAAAAAACGAATCCATCTGGCTTTGTCTACAAAACCCATGAGATGCAACTTTCTTCGTCTCATCCTGTCCAAAGGTCCAAAACTTGCAACAGTAGAATCAGAATTGATCATCAGGAGAGAATCCTCTCTGCAACATCTCATCGTGAAACCGAAACGCCACGGTTAAGTTATCTTGAGAAACAAATCCATTGATCAGAGAAGTATACGTTGACCTATCAGGATTTACACCTCTCTCAATCATCTTCCTCTCCGCTTCTTTCATCTGGCTTTGTCTACAAAACCCATGTAATATGGAATTGTATGTAAAGACATCAGGCACTAATCCTCCTTGCTTCTCCTCCATCTTCTTCACCAAACCAATAGCTTTGCTCATGTTTTCTTCTTTCACAAAACCATATATCAACGTGTTTTATTTGTTCTATTGGCCCAGAGTTTCTGATTTTCGGATACGACCCAATCTCTGACAAGTTCAAAGTATTGTGCATGTCGGGATTCGGAGGCCCAAATCAGTTTTCGGTCTTTACAGTGGGACAAGATGGTGACTTATGGAGAAAGATACAAGGCATACCTGATCATCTTAATCCCGTCATGTGTAATCACGAGTGTGGCGAAAGTGGTATATACATTAATGGTTTTTTTATACTTGAAAGCGTACTCGAGAACACCAGGTTATGGTCTTTCTGATCTTACTACTCATGTGGTAAGTTTTGACCTAAACTCAAACCAATCCTCACCTTTCGTCGTTTACAAAGCTCATAGACTTTCAAGGGAGGTTGGGTTTTCTTGCTCGTATCAAGGACTGCGAAATTGAGTTTTCTTGTCTTATGGAAAACAAGGAATGGTCGTCAATGGTTTTTCATTTACCACACAATCTCTGGCTCTGTTCTGGCCATTTGTGACGGTGAAGTTGTTTTCTTATCGCCTGCTAAAGATTTAATAGGCTATACTTGGCATCTTAACTTAGAGAAGAATAATCTCAGGAAAGTCCAATTTGAAATTCCCTCTAAGGAGTCATATGGTTATTTCTCATCTTATCTTTTTGCAAACCACGTTGATACTACTGTGTCATTGTAATTCGAGAAGTTTTACTTATATATACATAATTTTGTTTGTTTTTGATTTTGGATAAAATTGCGTTCTGTCGATTCCTTCCAATAAGTCTGTGGAGTGTTCCTTGGTGGCATCTCTGCTTTGGACATCTGCATTGCTTAAGAGTCACAAAGTTTTTTTGTCTGCTCCAATGTCAACAGCTGCAATACATTATGAAATTAAATCGTCTTGTGATAGTCTTGGTAGATTCATATTCCCATTTCCTTGTCTCATGGGAATATAAACCCTAATGAAGGCTTCAACTGCTTTGTGTGCCCATCTGTCTTTAAGGTGGAGACTTGAAGGTGGAGAGAATCCTGAACTACTGATTGTTGATTCTTGATTGCAAATTCCTCAAAACTCCACCTTGTTTTTCTGGCAAAATTGTTGATTCTTCACTTATGGTCTTGACTTTAGTTTTCTCTACTTGCTTCTATTTGAAACTCATGATTTGAGACTGGAACCCTCTCTCTGAGCCAGAGCCTTCTTCCTACTTTCATTCGGAATAATATTTTATTTTAATTAAAATAGAACAATTAATCAGCGTATCAGACCCAAAAAAGAAATGAGAGGAAGAATATATTGTGTTTGCATCCCCCAAATTAAAATTAATTTTGCTTCGCCGTCTTTCGCCTCCGACTAATCTCGGGAAGGATTGACCGGAGAGAGATCTCGAATTTATCCATCTGCGAGTAAACTTCGTTCATTGGGTTTATCGGTGTAATGAATAAGCTTTGATTCTTCTTCTTTTTTTTAGTTGTGTGGGAGCAATTGATCCATTTCTTAGGGTTTCATTAATGTGAAGCGATTTTCGTTCCCTTTTGGATTACAGCGGCAATGCTTCAAATTCGGCTTAGGAGGGATTCTCCGACGGAGACTGGAAGTGGAGCGAGACCTTCTCCGACGGAAACAGTGACTGTAGCCTGTCCTGACCACCTCGTCCTCGCCGATCTTCCCGTCGCGAAAGGGATCGGTTCCGTGACTCCCACCACCGTTATCAAGCCCGTCGGTCGCCGTTCTCGCCGCCAGTTGGGAGAGAGAGTTCATTTCTGCGTTCGTTGCGATTTTCCGATTGCAATCTATGGTCGTCTGGTAAAGTTGGCGTCTCCCTAATCTGTTTTGATCTTTAAGCGGCTAGGGTTTCTTTGGGGGTTCTGCTATGTGATTGAAGCTCTGTTTTGTTTGTTTACAGATTCCTTGCGATCATGCCTTTTGCCTCGAATGTGCTCGCAGTGATTCCATCTGCTATCTGTAAGGATCTTCAACTGATGTACAATTATTGGATGAGCCATAGTTTGAAGTATGCTTTGTGTTTTGTATTGGGAATTTAGAGAGTATATCAGTAGAAGCTTTGGTAGATACTTTAGAATCCACGGAGATCATTTTAGGCAATGAGGGGTTTATCAAACTGAAATCTTGTTGCCTCTTGTGTGTGTGTGTGTGTGTGTGTGTTATTGGACAGATGTGATGAACGGATTCAAAAGATTCAAACAATCAAGATGATGGAAGGAATCTTCATCTGCGCAGCTCCTCATTGTCTCAGGTCTTTCCTGAAGAAACCTGACTTTGAAGCCCATGTCCATGAGCTCCACGGCAGCCTATTACAAGCCGATGCAGAGAAAGATGACGGTAACGAGTCAGACGTTCAGAGCACAAAGCAGCAGTCTTCAGCTTCAGAGTCCACATTACGAGGCCCCTTAAGATCCCAGCAGCCGTTACTACACAGGTCAGCATCCTTGTCAAAGCCACAACCTGGATTTGGTCAGGTCCAGAATTACCCCGCAGAGGGCGACAACTCTCGTCCTCCGGGATTCGAAACCGCTAGTCCTAAACCGGGAATCCGGTTCCCAGACTACCCGCCGATGAACCTTATGCAACCGCCCAGCCTGCCCGTTCCCATGAATCAGAACCCGGGTTTGCCACAGCAGTATGGTTTTCCGACTTATCCAACAACCGATGGATCATCTCAACAGTTCTATAACAGTGCGCCACCTTATGACATGACAAGAACAGAAGGCAGCGGAACAGAACAGGGTTCGCTGCTCGGGTATCCGCCTGCACCAATGATGAATATGAATTTCCAAGGATCTTATCCTCCTCAGTCGCCATGGAATCCCGGAATGGCGCCGCCTCAGACGAGCCAGCAGGTTAATAGGGGCAGAGACGGTCAAGGTTTTGGGTGGCAACAAGAGAACCGTGATGGCTTTGGGCAGGAGTAATAGGGAGTTTTAACTTTTGTGTGTGTAATGTTTACACTATTCGTTTGAAAGTTTCTAAGGATTTTTGTTTCTTAAACGTTGTCGTTTTGTGTTCTAACAAAACTGATTGTTCTTTTTACATTAAAAAAAAAACTGAGCTGTAACTACAAATACGAGTCAAATCGACATCAAAACTACAAAATAAAAACAATATATGCGTAAAATCAGGTACTGGCTCCAATAGTCTCTCTCGATCCAAAAGAATCTGGTTTTATTATGCTTATTGATGATGGTGAAGAAGTGGTTGATTTTGCCACTGCTTAGAAACAGTCATCCTAGTAGTTTGTTTTCCACCCACAAGAAAGGAAATAATTAGATACGTAGAGTGTAAAATGTTCAATCATCTGCACATGTGTCATATCATATCTCAATTCTATATGTGTGAAAATCTAAGGTAAAAAAAAAAGGAGAGAGAAGGGAAAGAAAAGTTCCTGATATAGCAAAAGCCGAGAAATTTGTCATCTTTGTGTGCTTTTTTCCTTTTGTTTTTGTAAAATGCTCACACAACGAGACTCTATTTTGGTATTCACTTTATACTTCAGCCAGCATTTATTACAAACTTATAAATTTTATATAGCATTTAATTTGTAATCTTTAACGGGCTGATGATAATATGATATATAGTCTACTTTGGTATTCTCATGGTTAATGTGGTTAAGTTATTTGTGCACTTGCCTTTTCTAATGAGTAACTGGAGAGTGTATTGCTATTAGAAATTTTGTTTCAAATGGATTCTCCAATTATGAACCATAATGATACATAGCAATATTTGCAAGACACCATTATTTCACATTATGAGACTGAAGAAAACTGACATATAAAGGAACTTTTCCCCATGTTTTTATTAATTATTGCGATCCCCATATAAATTTCAAATTGTAAAAAGCTAATCATTGCCGTGATTTTCATGATTAATCACAAATCATTATGACTAGCCAAAGATTATATTAATATATACTAATATATCACGTTATTGACAAAAAAAAAGTTAAACTAATTATCATGTAGACACTACCTGTTATGTATGTAATTAGATGTCGAGATATAGTTCATTGTAAAATTCTTTTTTTCACAGTATGTTGTTTGTCTTTTGGTTCTTCTTTTATCTCACTGTCAGTTTACACTTTTTATGCCTTTAATTGTACTATTTAGTAAATTCTAAAAGAGCTAATCTGATTGGTGAAAACCACACAAAAAAGCCCACATTACTTGGCATTGATTGCGTTTAGGTTAATTCTGATGGAACTAACTACGTCATAGGACGCTAAATAAAGTTCCGATATAACAATAGTTAATACCAGAGAATAAATACTGTATGTGGGTGATAAATTGATAATTGAAACTCTGATACTCACACACGTACGAGAGAATATATATTACACACGCTGAACAAATATTTTTACAGGTTTTTGCTTGTTTAGAATCGCCCTAGAACCCATATTCCCATCGTGTTGGTCTAGACTCTTGTTTGGGTTATTTTACGTGTAATTTACGTAACACTAAGATTAATTTGTTTGGCAAATAGATAAGTAGCAATTATTCCATCACACGATTGAATCTGACAGTCTTGTGTCCATAATACTTTCTTTATTCACTTTAAGCACACAATATCAATAGAAATGTCTTTAGTTTTCTAAAATTCCCTGTTATTTCACTTTGTTATCAGTCAGTCGTCGTGTTATCCACGGAATGGGTTTTCACGAACCTAGTAGTACTCGGAATTCTTTTTACTTTTGTGAAAATAATATTTCTTGGAACATTTTGTGAAAATTAAAAAAGGAAAGAACAAACAAGACTGATGGAGTTGCTTTTCCCACCTTTTCTGCTTTTTTCTTGGCTCTTTAGGGTGTGGAATCTTTGAAAATCCAATGCATATCTTTACTGATGATTTGAGTATAAAAATTGATAATAGTTAATTACTTTTTCTCAACCCCAGTTTGAGATCTCTGTAACCTAGATTATTCGTAGCGAAACCAATGTTAAATGGATGAGACAAACGTACACTTTCGTCATATAATAAAACAAACAGGCGAGAACAAAACATAAAAGAGAAACAAAAAAACAAATGCAACAATGTTTACCGTGCTTGATTAGAAAACACGAATTAATCTTTCATATCCATACATGATTTTTATAAATTAGTCGAGTACTTCAATTATAAATACTATCTCCATGGACGGAATCATCTCACTAGCTCAAAAGAATCATTTTAGTCGTCGATATATAGATAAACGATAGGCAGTTTAACGTCTGAAATTCGCATTCTTTAGCTTAGCCGCGACATACTCACTTGCCGATCAGCATTTGATATTTAACTTGCATCAATTGTAGTGCATGTGTGCTTTTTCAAAAGAAGCCTGAAACACACTGTTTTTAAAAGCTATACAAATCGAATTTGGAGTTTGGACAAGCGTAAAATCCACTTTTGCCGCATCACTCAACATAAGACAAAAATTATAAAGGGTCTATATAAAAGTTTATTTCTTTCAATTGTGATTGTTCTTGCTACAAAACATATAACTACAATTGTTTCTTTTGAAAGTTTAATGAAAAGGTTATCACAGAAAATGTTAAGCCTCTTATTTAATTTTGTTTTCTTTTTAGCTCAAACTTTATTACCTTAAAATATAAAATAACACCATTATTAAAAACGTGGTTCTGAACCTTCTTTTTCAACTAAAACCGATTTGCGCAGATTTTATCTGACACCTGCAATATCCATTTTTCCAGGCCCATTCAATATTTAAATGTGGTTTTTGGATTTTCTATAATAATAGTAGTGAAATAGTTTTGTTTTCTCTTCATCTCCTTTCTCTTTCAATGTCCGTTGGTAACAGACGAAGGCTTCAGACATAAACAACACTTCTCTCTCTCTAAGCCATTAAGCAGAGAGACAGTGATGATATGAGCCTAGAGAAAAGGAGCATCACCCATCGTCTCTCCTCTCATGAATCCCTCCATCGACCAAGCTTCCGCAGCCGCCGCCGACCTAGCTCCGGCGACTCAACCCCATCGCCTATCGACATCCTGCGACCTTCACCCGGATGAGCGCTTCTCCGGTTTCTGCCCTTCCTGTCTCTGTGAACGTCTCTCCGTCTTAGATGATAACGGTGCTCCGCCGCCGTCTTCTTCCCGGAAACCTCCCACCATCTCCGCCGCCGGGTTGAAAGCCCTCTTCAGACCCTCTAGTGGTAACAACAACAACGCAAACGGCCGGGTCCGACCCGGTTTCTTTCCGGAGCTCCGGCGTACGAAATCGTTTTCGGCGAAGAACAACGAGGGATTCTCCGGTGGGTTTGAGCCGCAGCGTCGGTCTTGTGACGTCAGACTTCGCGACGAGCATAGAAACCTTCCCACCAGAGAAGCTGCCACCGTCGCCGTCTCCGGCGGTAAGATCGAGGACGAAGCTAGGAAGTCTAGCGTGAGTGAGGCAGTTTTGGAGGTGAGTGAAGAAGAAGCAGCCGAATCAGAGAAGGAAGAAGAAAATGGAGGTCAATCTGAGATTGTGAATGATTCCAGCGAAATTACAGAGGAAAAAAGCGGCGAGATTGTTGAGGAAGAAGAGAAAGTGATCAGCGAAGAGGAATTGAAGCCGATGAAGGATTACATGGATCTCTATCCACAGACAAAGAAGCCGTCAGTGAGAGATTTCGCCGGGAGTTTCTTTTCGGCGGCCTCTGTTTTCAGCAAGAAGCTTCAGAAATGGAGGCATAAGCAGACGACGAAGAAGCCGAGGAGCGGTAGCGGCGAAGCAAGACGGTCACAATTGCCGGTGGAAAAGACAACTAAGAGACAGCTTAGAGATACACAGTCCGAAATCGCCGATTACGGATTTGGCCGGAGATCCAGCGACACTGACCCTCGATTCTCCCTTGACGCCGGGAGATTTTCCGTTGATATCGGTCGGATTTCGGTGGACGATTCTCGTTACTCGTTAGACGAGCCAAGAGCGTCGTGGGATGGGCACTTAACCGGCAGGACGGCGTTACCACCGGCAGCTAGGGTTCCTCCGCCGCCATCGATGCTATCAGTCGTGGAAAACGCGCCTATGCATCGATCAGACATGCAAATCCCAGTGGAAGATCTGCCGTCCCCGTCAATTAAGCCGATAAACGGTGAACCCAACCCGATTATCTTCATCCCAGGCGGATCGACTCAAACCCGAGACTACTACACGGAACCTCCGTCCCGGAGGCGGAAGAGCCTCGACAGATCAAATTCAATTAAAAAAACAATTGCGACGGAGATGGACGAGGTCAAATCGGTGTCAAATTCTAAGGTTTCTCCGGCGATAAGAGTAGACTCAAATTCGAGAACGGTGAAAGACGACTACTCCATGGAATCAGCGGAGGACAAAGTGAATCAAAATGGTGATAAGAAGTCGAGGCGATGGGGAAAATGGAGCATATTAGGGTTGATATACAAGAAAAGTGCTAGCAAAGATGAGGAAGAAGATAGATATAGCAGATCGAACAGCACCGGGATGGTGGAGAGGTCTTTATCTGAGTCATGGCCGGAACTGAGGAACGAAGGAGGAGGACCGAAGATGAGGAGGAGTAACAGTAATGTTAGCTGGCGGAGCTCCGGTGGAGGATCGTCGAGGAATAAGAGTTGTAGGCATTCGTCTAAGGATGGAGAGAACGGAATGTTGAGGTTTTATTTGACACCGAGTTGGAGAAAAGGAGGTGGTGGTGGCGGAGGTGGAGGCGGTGGTGGCGGGTGGGAGAAGACGGCGGCTAGGGCGAATAGTCACGGCCACTCTATAGCGAGGAGAGTTATGAGGCTGTATTGACCAAAGTGTCCCTCTTAATTTTAATTTGATTGGGAGATTCAGGTTTTGGTTTTGGGTTATCATAATGAATTGGTCATTTAATTGAACCGTAGTAAACCGGAAGAAATTTAAACCGGTTCGTCTTCCATTTAAATCCGAGATGCAAGTGTGCATCACACAACCTAAACAGACCAGCAATATGCTACACTCCGGCGCCGTCGAGCTGAATCGATTGCAAAATTGCAACTAAAACGAAGAAGAAGCAGTTCTTGATTTGATGTTAAGCATCCTTTTAACATCAAATCAAGAACTGTTGTTTAAGCAATATGGTTGATCGAGAGTGGAAATTTTTGTTATGCATAAGAAGTGTTCGACGAAATGTCTGAGCGAGAAGTTACACCTGAGGTTGCGTTTTATATCATCTTCATCGGTTGGTTCCGGAAGAAGAGAGGTGCTGAGGAGGAAATGTAATCTCTGGCTAGCTTAGCTTAAGGTATTATGAATGATTTACCAATAGTTCCCAGTCAAGTCTTGCGATTATATGTATTGTGTGCTCTAATCCGCTGAGTCATATTCCAGAAAAGGTCTTTGGAAGAACTGAACTAGTCGAGGCTGGATCATGACTCGAGATGCCACATTGCGTGTCGAGAAGAATCAGGTGAGTTAAACAAAACAAAAAATGTCAAAAACCAAGCTGCATTAGTCTGAGTTTGAGTTTGAGGCCCTTTCTGTGTGTCTGTATTATCACAGAGTGCATAATGGTGAAAATCTTTATTCTTTACTTGAAAGGGTACATGTACGATTGAAGTAGCTTTTAAAACAAACAACTCTGCTGCTTTTTAAATACACAAATGGTTGTAGAACGAGCAACACAAGCATCCTGGAGACACACATCTGTCTTCGTGGTTCGAGTAAACATCACCAAGATATGTTTATTTTACGATGCAAAAGCAAACGTACAAGTAGCTTGACGTATCAAGCCCAAGTGATAAGTTTCAAACTTGGGTCTATTAATCAAGTTATATGATCTTTTCGATTTGACCGAATTAGTTTTGTTTTCTCCTCCTTGTTCCCTTATCCTATTAATCAAGTAACTGGTAGATTGAGTGGTAAACATGTTTGATATCTCCTCGTCCCTAGCTTTCGTCATCCCTACAGCCTTTTTCTTGAAGAACAATCCTTCATTCCCGTGCATCTTGATTTTCTCGTTAAATTTAAACGACTTATAATCCTTCTCCTTTATCTTTACCCTGTTCATTCCTGCAGGTTCCTTGAAACCTTGCATCTGAGTCTCCAAGTGTTTGATTTCACTTCATCACTAGAATTCAAGCAAAAGCTAGTGCTTTACAAAGAGAGAAACCCAGGTCAGCGACTGGAGCAAGAAAATCTACTGTTTTTTTTTAATGTAGTTTCAGTAGATGTTAACACAGGTTTTGTATATCTTCTTTCGAATGACTGATACAAACACCTAAGCTTTCAGTAATATTTTTAGAAATTCAGCAATCTTTTTTCAATGCGTTGTTACTAAAGCTGGGTGAATTACAAAAAAAATAACTAAGATTTTGCTTTTATATAACGCGAAATCATACTGTAAATACTAAATACGTTCAATGTACCATCAAAGGTAATAAAGATTAGCGATTAAGAAGGAAACAAGGAAAAGAAGAATCCGACAAAGTTATTGCAGACGTCGTGGCGTTTCCGCATTCTCAGAGTGCATGCCCCGTCGCTTTCTTGTAAGTGTACGATTTAGCGATCCAAAGGTAGACGAAGAAATTCAAGAAACTCAAAATAGCCAATAACCAATAGAAGTAATCGAGATGGCCTCTGTTCAGGTTATCGGCGATCCAGCCTGCTCTTCCACCGGAGGTCGTGATTTTAGTAACCACCGTCACGAGCAACGTGCTTAAATAGTTCCCCAACGCCACCGTGGTGAGCGACAAAGCCGAGCAAAGACTCCTCATTGCATCAGGAGCTTGGTCGTAGAAGAACTCAAGCTGGCCTATAAATGTGAAAACCTCGGCGCAACCGACGAAAAAGTACTGCGGAACCTGCCAGAAGATGGACATCGGAACTGTTTCCGCATCGTAGAGATTGTGTGTTCGGACGTAGCGTAGCCTTGCGACCTCGAGGATTCCGGCAGAGATCATGGAGAAGATGGAGATTAGGAGTCCGATTCCGATTCGTTGAAGCTGCGTGAAGCCACGGTCATGACCCGTGGTTTTCCTGGCGAGCGGAACGATAAGCTGGTCGTAGACAGGTGTCCAGAAGAGGACACTAAGTATGTCGAACAGGGAGAGCGATGCGGATGGGATTGTGAAGTTAGGTCCCATGCTTCGGTCCATTGTGTTGCCTTGTAGCACAAACATTGTGCTCATTTGGCTATAAACCGTAGCGAAGACGATCCCTGAGGCCCAAACCGGTAAGAGACCGATCAGTGCTTTGAGCTCTTCTACTTGCGTCACTGTACAGAGTCTCCATGACGACTTTGCTGTTTTTTCTTTGTAGTCACTCTCTGTCTCCACTGCTGCTTTGTCGAAGAATCTGTAATCAGGATGGTTTAAGTTACAACAACAAGTTTAACATAAACTAGAGATTTCGAGTTGCTTTAAAGTTCTGAACTTACGTTAGTTTTGTGGTGTGTTCGAGCTTGCGGCTTCCTTGGATGCTGCTTTCGGCGTCTTGGATCTCGTAGAGAAGAGATTCATCTTCAGGGACTCTCACTTTGGATTTTCTGAAAGAAGCAACCATGACTTGAAGCATTCTTGTGATGGGACTCCCTCCTGGCTTCTGAAGCCTATAGAACTTGCTCCCGGCGAAGAACAAGATGACGGCCAAGGCCATGGCGACGGTGGGGACGCCGAAACCCCAACCCCAGCCAACATCCATCTGAATCCAGACGAGAACAGAGGAAGCAATCATTGCGCCAACGTTGATCACAAAGTAGAACCAGTTGAAGAAAGAGCTCTTTGACTCTTTCTCTGCTTCGTCTGTGTCATCAAACTGATCAGCACCAAACGAGGAAACGCAAGGCTTGATCCCTCCCGTCCCGAGCGCGATCAAGTAGAGCGCTATGAACGTGATCGCGGTCTGGCCCGCGGTTGCGTGGCAGTCTTCTCCGTTGCAGGTTGGTGTTAGACCAGGAACCGATGCTGATAATGTCAATAGCGTCATTCCCTATATATAGTCACACGAGAGCAACCACAGTTTTCAAGATTTTGAGGCTAACAAAAAAATGAGTTTGATTTTATAGAGACTTACGCAAATGTAGACGACGACGAAGGAAGCGATGGTCCAGTAACGACCGAGATAAGCATCGGCGAGAAAAGCACCGATCAAAGGAGTGGCGTAACATGTTCCGGACCAGTTTGTGACACTGTTGGAAGCAGCGACGTTCCCCATACTCAGATGTTTCTCGATATAGTTCACCAGATTAGTACTCATTCCATAGTAAGCCAATCTTTCACAACACTCAGTTCCTGATACAAAAACAAAACTCAGAGAGAAACCGATTTGGTAATCACCACCAAAATGTTTGATTACAAACTGTACCGAGAATGAATCTGCAAGCTTTCCAGGTTCCTGTTTTATTCTTGTTTGCTGGTTTCTTGTGAATGTCAAGAGTTCCATCTTGTGTATATATATCCATGTCCTCTTCCATTTTTTTTTTGCAGCCTGAGTAAGCAAACAATATCACTGAGAATACAAGAACAAGAGACAACAATGTAAAATCTAGAGAGATATCACGATTTGGATTTCATTGAAATTTTATGAGAATCTATCAAATAAGGTGACTGAAGAATCCCTGTTACTGTCTCTTAAACAGGCAAAGGAAAGGGACAAGAGATGACTTCTTTGCCAAGCAATATCTGCTGCTAAAGCAAAGACAACCATTGTTCTACGACTAATTCTCCCATTGACTGAGAGATTATAGACCATCGGATGGAGCCTAAGTAATCTCCCTTACACAGACGAATGTATTGTATATGCGCAGGATCGAAAACAGACATACAGAATTTCGTTCGAGAAATCTGTGGATCTAAACATTTCAGAACAAAAACACCGAGTACTACGCATGTAATACATTACCGTACTGATTAATTACATCGCTAGTTTCAGACGGATATTGTTCTATAGAGGAATATAGAATCTCAGATCGAGAATAATTAATTCCCAAACACAGCTACTCAGAACCAAACAAAACAAAAGCAAATCAGAACGGATAAGAATTAATAATGTATCATTGGAGAGATTCGTACGTGCTTATTCCCGTATAAATTAATGAAAAAAACGACAGAGGAAGCGACGGACCGGCGAAGGCGGCTGGCTTTGCCGGGATTTCGACTACGGCCTGGTGGAACAGTTGGGAGGAAGATAATTTTGGGGCTTGAGTTTGTTTTGCGCTGTGGAGGAAGAAGATACTTATAGGCACACTGAATATTCAACAGAATCAGGTTTCGTCTTTTTACCAGTTACGTCCCTATATTTTTTTATGTTTTCAGTTATACTACAATTTGATCCCATCTTTTGGTTAATCGCGTATTCGAATGAATTATTAGATTTTCCATAATATCTACAGAATCTTAATTTAGTTTAACACAAAAGAGCGTGATTGTGTACTAATTACAAATATCAAAGATTCAAAATATAACAAAATTATATGATTCATAGAAAAAAGGGGTTTTATGGAAATTAATCTGTAAAAGAATAGTAACATAACAAAACATACCAGTTATGGATTATGTGTCCAGGTTCATAGAATGGTTAGATGTTGCAAATACATCTATGGATCAAGGACTCAGGAGACTAGAGTAGCAGATTTTTTTTTATTTTAAGGAACTTTTAAAATTTTTAAAGCTTCTATCAGTTTTTTTTGTTAGCTTAATAAATAAATAAAAAGTCGCAAGAATATCCATGTATTTGATGTTACAGTTGTTTGAAAAATTTAATGCTATGACTTGGAATCTCATCGGTCAACATTTAAAGTAAAAAAAACAAAATGAATTGAGAGGAATAGATAAAAATGACAGAGAGAAAAATTTGTCTTCTTGATAAATGTTTGCATATCTGTTCAACAAAAGCGAAGTTCCAGGGAAATAATTTGTTGGTCTTTATCTGAAAATAAATGTTTTTTTTTAAATATAAAATCACAAAGTTTTCTTCATTGGACAAATAACAGAAAAATCCAGAGTCGCTTTTTCAATGCACCCGCATTAGCTGTGTGACCTCTGAGTATGTGACATCTAATGATGAAAAAAACGATTAACAAGTTGGAATAGATGCTAATTATACCAACAAATAAAATGAAATATGGAGAGAGACTATAGATCTGTGACATTAAGTTGAATATTGTGTACAGTACTTTAGACTCCGCTCTTCATTAGAAAAAATATATAGGATATGATTGTCTGTATCCCCTCAAAGATAAATATAACATCAGGGATCTTTTGGCAAATCTTTTCACTTCTTTCGAGTGTTACTGTATTTTTATTATCGTAGATTTGTGACCAATGTTGTTGTGTTTTCTAGTCAAACAAATGGAAAAGAATATGAAGTAATTAACAACGTATTTGGTAGGATTTGTGTCCAAGTACGTTTGTGCACTGGTAACTATAAACCAATATTTCTCTCTCTTTTCTTGTTTACAACGGCTAGCCTCGGTTGATGAGTGGTCCATATGTTGGCCCATATAGACAAATGGGTTTGACTACTATTTCACTAATTCTATAAAGGTTTATCACTTGCATTTTGGCCCAAATAAATCAACAACCCAAAAATGACATATACAAGCCGACAAATTCTGATAAACAAATCATTCTGAATTGAAAGTATACTAATTACTAGTATTTGTTTATTTGAATTCTGGATTACTGCTCCTAAAAAACGATCTGTGTTAACCCACTAATTTTTACCCACAAGACCACAAAGAGTCGCACTCAAATATAGGTTGACTACTTTTTATTCCTGACCAAACCAATTAGTTCGGTTATTGCTTCACAACAAATTTGATCATTTTCTGTTAGATGTTATCCTCCAATAAGATTTCTTGAAAGATATTTCTCAACCATAATTCATTCATAAAGTCACAATATTTTCCCGGGAAAATAAGGGTTTTATATTGTAATTTCTTTTATGAACTGAAATACAAAATATCCATAGTTATAGTTGTTACACGTTAACAATAGATCTATATCATATGATCCTATTTCTAAAACATTTTACAGAAAGAGTATATTTTTCTAGTAAATTATTAAAATGGTTATCAGTATCAATAGAACATGTTCACACGTAATTTTACGTAAAACTTTGATGAACTTCTCATTTTTGTTGGGGTCTACTTATGTGAATTAGAGTTTTAGTAAATCATTTTTGTTTTCATTGTGTTAGTCGATAATATTTTCCATATAATGGTGTGTTTTTTTTTTCGTTTCTTGTACATTGATAGAGTAAGTTTAAAGACATAATCGGACTAAATAATCATTTTTTAAAAAAAATGGAACATATGGAAATTACAAATGAAACATAAAAACAAAGCTTTGAGAATATTGAAAGAAAACATAAAAGAATCCAACCTACGCTTAGGTTCCAACCCACAAAGAGAAACATATACTTTCCCTTTAAGCTTTCGAGCTTCAATTTCACCAAACTGACGAAGCACAAGAACCCAACATTTGCATCTTTATAAGCCAATGATCATGAATCATTTTCAAATCACAAAAGAAAGAGAGAAAGTGGAGAAATCAATAGAACATCAAAAGAAGAAAGTTTTACTACAGTTGAAGATAAAAAGGGCAAGTAGAAATGGAATTTCCAATCCGGATTGTGCTTCTCTTGGCATTGCTCGCCTTTCCTGCATGCGTCCACGGTGCAGTCCGCAAGTACACATTTAACGTAAGTCCGCATCAGTGTTATGTTACATGATTCAATAAATTGGGGTAACTTTATTAAATAAAGGTACTTAAACGTAATTATCTAAAAACTTTCAGGTGGTAACGAAGCAAGTAACGCGGCTTTGTTCAACGAAACAAATCGTTACCGTTAACGGTAAATTTCCGGGACCCACAATCTACGCTAACGAAGACGATACGGTTCTCGTTAACGTCGTTAACAACGTCAAGTATAACGTCTCTATCCATTGGTGAGAACCGCAAGTGCCCTGATAATTTAACGTTATTTAACATTCTTCCCTTTCAGTTTCTAAAATTTACAAAATGGACCTAAAGATTATTTATTTTGTTTGTTTGGCAGGCATGGAATAAGACAGTTAAGAACCGGTTGGGCCGATGGACCGGCCTACATAACCCAATGCCCAATTAAACCGGGTCACAGCTACGTCTATAACTTCACCGTCACGGGGCAACGTGGCACGCTCTGGTGGCACGCACATGTTCTCTGGCTCCGAGCAACGGTTCATGGTGCCATCGTGATTCTGCCTAAACCGGGTCTACCTTATCCGTTCCCTAAACCACACAGAGAAGAAGTCATCGTACTAGGTATTTAGCCAAATCAGGAGAGATAATCATGGAATGCCTTGAATTTTTGATTTGGTTGATAATTTAAAATTCTCGATCTGTTTTCTATAGGCGAGTGGTGGAAATCCGATACCGAAATGGTTGTTAATGAAGCATTAAAATCCGGTTTAGCACCTAACGTCTCAGATGCACACGTCATTAACGGTCACCCCGGTCTCGTCCCAAACTGCCCATCGCAGGGTAAATATTCCGGTTTTGCATCAATTCGAATTTGTGAATTTTAAATTAACATCCTTAGTAGTTAGTACATTTAAATTAATTTATAATTTCGACCGGAAAAATATATTTATAACAAGCTACATTTGCACAAATATATTTCTTTTTGTCGTATAATTTTTTTTTTTTTCCATTTTTATCTTTTAGGTAATTTTAAATTAGCGGTGGAAAGCGGAAAAACATATATGTTACGGCTAGTAAACGCAGCAATGAACGAAGAACTCTTCTTTAAAATCGCCGGTCACCGTTTCACCATCGTGGAAGTCGACGCCGTCTACGTCAAACCCTTCACCACCGATACAATCCTAATCGCCCCTGGTCAAACCACCACCGCCTTAGTATCTGCCGCTCGTCCCTCCGGTCAATACTTAATCGCAGCTGCTCCATTCCAAGATTCCGCCGTCGTCGCCGTTGATAATCGCACCGCCACCGCCACCGTACATTACTCTGGCACACTCTCCGCCACACCCACCAAAACCACTTCACCGCCGCCTCAAAACGCTACCTCCGTCGCAAACTCGTTCGTTAATTCCCTCCGGAGTCTCAACTCGAAGACATACCCGGCAAAAGTTCCGATCACCGTCGATCACGATCTGTTATTCACGGTCGGATTAGGAATCAACCGTTGTCATAGCTGTAAAGCAGGAAACTTGTCACGTGTCGTGGCCGCGATAAACAACATAACATTCAAGATGCCTAAAACTGCTCTGCTTCAAGCACATTATTTCAACCTAACCGGAATCTACACGACCGATTTCCCCGCTAGACCACGCCGGTTTTTCGATTTCACCGGAAAACCACCTTCGAATTTAGCAACCATGAAGGCCACAAAGCTTTACAAGCTTCCGTACAATTCAACGGTGCAGGTTGTTCTACAAGATACCGGCAATGTAGCGCCGGAGAATCATCCGATTCATCTTCATGGATTTAATTTCTTTGTGGTTGGTCTTGGATCTGGGAATTATAACTCCAAGACAGATTCTAAGAAATTTAATCTTGTTGATCCGGTAGAGAGGAATACCGTCGGAGTACCCTCCGGTGGTTGGGCGGCGATCAGATTCCGAGCAGATAATCCAGGTATCATTTAACCATACAACAAAAGATACCCAAACCAAGAAAGAACCAAAGCACATATGTTTCGGTTTTCTTCTTCCCTAACCAAAATATTTGTTTCTTGTTGTTATGCTTTCTTCACGATAATATCTGACTTGTTTAAGCCACAGCCACTATTTTAAAAGTTAAGAGTCGTAATGTCGAGTATGTATCTATGCTTACAATGGTGACAAATTGAAATAATATGTATATATGTGGTTGCAGGGGTTTGGTTTATGCATTGCCATTTAGAAGTACACACAACGTGGGGACTAAAGATGGCATTCTTGGTGGAGAATGGTAAAGGCCCAAACCAATCAATTCTTCCTCCTCCAAGTGATCTTCCCAAATGTTGATTACTCCACAATTATTTTTGAATCAATCAAATTCTTTTCTTGACATTTTTTTCAATTTGATATTTGTATATCCTCAAGCATATGTCAACAAAGTCATTATATGATTGTGTTGCGCTTTATTGAAAGGTTGAAATTAAAAACCCTTTTTCAACTAACCAACTTGTTTTTTATAACAAACAAACTATGGAATTTTGATCCAATTGTTTAGCCTCAAGTATGGACTAGCTGTCTGTAAAGTAATACATGTGAAATATTAAAAATAAAAATACCATTCAAAACACAATATACCTTACAAAATTTCAAATTTGATATATCTAAAACAGTTTGATCCCAAAGGAACAAAACAATATCCCTATAATAGTGTTCATTAAAATAATTTCGTTTAGAAACCAAAAAAAAAAAAAAAAAAAAAAACTGAATTAAAACGTCGCCGTATTTGACCAAATGTGTACATAATTCAATTCACGCATAATTAATTATAGTAGTATTGACAATATATTGATTAAAAGTTTAAAACTGAAAATGGTCTTCTAAATATATTTAACATATATATGTTGGAAATAACAATCTAAATCATATTTTTTGTAAAAAGAATTGAATGATAAAAAAAGATGTTGGATCAAACTTTTTGTATCTCAAATTTGAAGACGACAGTGAATGTAAAAACAATTACGTTTTTACATTATGCAAAGAAATATTTTGAGCTTTCACCTATAAATTTAAACGTCTTTACTCATGATATGATAAAATAATAGAAACAAAAAAATACTACACAGAATTTATTGGTCGTTGAATTTGAATAAGTAGATGCAATGTCACATTTCCAACAATGAAAAAATGGGAAACAAGAAAAACAAAAAATCGTAGTCCTCCTAGTTATAAAAAGGATAGAAATTAAATAAAACGAAGCAAGAGTAATAAATTTTACAGAAAAGGATTATTTGCTAATTATAGTAAGCGAATCTTGCTAAATATAGAAGAATCCAAGAAGAAGTCACTCTCCGTCGAACAGAAACTTGTGTCAGCTACAAATCAGCAGATGACACTTACATTTTACGCTTCAAAATTGTGTGTTGTTCCATGCATCTGACACCTCAAATTTTGTGTTGGATTCCTTTGTTGTCCCTACCATATTTTATTATTCCTAATATGATTAGCCATTTTCTCTGTGCTTTGAAATCTAATTAAGTAATCATGCAAATGTGATTATATTTTTCACTAATATGTTGGTTATAATAATTGGATGCAATGCTTTATACATTTACCCATTTTAATAATATAAATGGCTAGAAGTGGAGTTGTGGTACCGTCCTCGTCAGATGGTGAGATATTAGTATATCAACTTTTTACGTTGTGAAAGAAAGCAACACATACAAATGTTTCATAATTTCTTTATATGTATGAATTCTGAAATACTATATATAAACTTTTTACGTTATAAAAGCAACCAACACATAAAAATGTTTCAAAATTTCCTTTTATGTATGAATTCTGAAATACTATACAAAATATCATTGGTTACTTGTCACTCACAACTCTGTTCCGATTTACTTTTGAACTTCCTATAAGTTTTGTTTACCACCTAACCCATTTGCACAACATTTTTTTTTGGTATGAGGGTATATCAAAAAAAGTCTCCGTGGAGAGAATTACATAGCCAAAATCGCAGGCCGTACTTGAATTCAGTTCTTTGTGAATTGTGAGCCACGAGATCGACATGGTCGTTAAACAATCTGAGCACGAAATATTTAGTTATCACACTGGGCTTGCGTATCATTTTTTTGTGTGAAACGGATCAAACAATACTAGTATTTTGATGATACAATTAATGTTGGATATTTTGGATTATATTGCAGAAATACACTCTCAAAAATGATTAAAGTAGATAATCATATTTGGATTAACATGGTATATTTTAATATTTCTTTGTAAGTTTTGTTTCGTGTTGACAACACATAAATGGGCTCTTTAGTTATACAAACATATTGTTTTTGATTAAACAACGTATTAAGAACCGGCCAAACCATTGAACAGTCGTTTTCTGGTCTTTTTCTTTTGATTGGTTACACCTTCTTTGTCATAAAAATACAAATATGTTACACTTTCTTTCATATATCGACACGTGCATTTAGATAGTATAATCCCATATCAAGTTTATATTATGCTTCATAATCGCATTAAACAAAAACGCTAATTATCAAATTCGATAATCCATACTAAGCGAATTATCTGGCCGTGAGAGTTACAAAAACAAAACAAAAAAATAAAAAAACAACATACATCTAACTTTACCAATGAGTTGTCGTATAGCTATTGGCTGGCTTAGATTACCATTAAGATAATAAATATTAATGGTTTGAGACAGGGGAAAACAAAAATATCACTGGTTAAACCAAAATATCTTAATTTTCCTCAACACCTTTTCTTGTTGAATGTAGTGTATTCCGATTGATCATCACGTGAATGGTAGAAAAAGAAATACCTAAAAGCAAACTCCACTTTTGTTTTTTCGTTTGCGACCAAAGATATTCACTTTATGTTCTGTTTTATTTTCTCTTTGTAATAATTTCTTACAGAACATCCTTAAGAAAAAGTCGCTTCTTTTTTTCTCGGTCACTCAGAGACTCCAAACAGTAAATAAGAAAGCCATTGATTCTCATCTCTCTCTCTCTTGTTTTCTTTAAGATTTAAACGAAAACAGAGTTTTCTTGCTAGCTATGTCGTTGACAAACGGATGTTTCGAGATTTTTTCACCGGAGAGCACAAACTGGATTTTCCAAGAAGTCAGAGAAGTCACGTGGACGGCTGAGGAAAACAAACGGTTCGAGAAAGCTCTCGTCTTTCTTGAAGACAAAGACAATCCAGAGAGCTGGTCCAAAATCGCCGCTTTTATCCCCGGAAAAACCGTAGGTGACGTCCTTAAACGATACAAGGAGCTGGAGGATGACGTCAGCGACATCGAGGCCGGACTTGTCCCCATTCCGGGATATGGCAGCGACGCCTCCTCTGGAACCAACGGTGATCACTTCTTTGGGCTTGAGAACTCCGGTTACGGTTACGATTGCGTCATCGGAGGGAAGAGGAGTTATCTGGCGACAATGGATTGCTTTAGGCCTCCGAATCCGATGCCAGAAAAGGAACGGAAGAAAGGAGTTCCATGGACCGAGGAAGAACACCGGTAATATGTTTTCACTATTTAAAATTAATTATTCAAAAATAACCCATTTTACATTTTCAAATTACAAGCAAAGTCGATGGAAAAGAGTGCTAAATGGTTTAAGAACGCGCTTATAATTAAAGTTTTATGGATCATTTCTTGACCTAACGATTGTGGTACTTTTAAAATTTTAGATTCCGATCACAAAACATTTGCATAAAATTAGCTTTTTGTGGATGTTACCTTTTATTTTTAGTCTATATTATTTTAATATTCATTGGAACGTCTTTTGCTCTAATTCTTTGTTTTTATATGAAGTTATTAGAATATACCACTCTACATGTTTCAAAAAGTTAAAAAAAAATTAAGATTTCATATATACATGAAGTTATTAGAATTTACAACTCTACATGTTTCTAAAAGATAACATAAAATTAAAATTTTCATATAATTTTTATACAGACGATTTCTGATGGGTTTGAAGAAATATGGAAAAGGAGATTGGAGAAACATAGCAAAAAACTTTGTGACGACTCGAACACCGACGCAAGTTGCTTCGCACGCTCAAAAATATTTCATTCGACAACTCACTGATTGTAAAGACAAACGGCGGTCAAGCATTCACGATATTACAACGGTTAACATCCCCAACGCAAATGCATCAACAATCGCCACCGCAACACTCTCTCCTACTCCAACCAATTCGTTTGATGTTTTCCTTCCTCCAAAGTCTCATCACAATTTCGTGTTTACGTCTACATGTATCTAGTTATAATGCGTGATCGTAGTAGAGTTAAAAAACCTATATAGAAATCTTAGAGTTTGCCTTGTAAATTGTTATATATATGTTTTCTACGTACATATATCTGTAAAATTAATGCAAGATTGTTATGAATATCTGTAAGAAATTTGAAAGTTTGTGTGATTATGCGATCGATAATCTATTAGGTTGAAAGCCCTTTTTATATATATAAAAAAAAAGATAATCTATTAGGTTTGGTTGATTGTTGGTTCCGTTAAATATTTATATATATACCAATAAAGTAAAAAAAAAAAAAGCAAAAACTTTGTATTACCAATATATGTGACTACACAGTTTGTTTACAGAATACATATACCATATATTTTAATAATTAAGTATCATTATGTTATTACCGTTGACTTTCATGTCAATGCTTGATGTAAGTTGCTTTTCTTCCCGACAACTAAGGATTAGTTCGAATCAGCATCTAATTGTTTCAAATTAAATAATCTCACGAAGTACTGACTATATTCTTCCATAGTATATATACGTCAATATTTAATATTCTTCTCATGATCATATTCCATTTTCGTGGTTCCATTTCCCTCCAATTATTATTGGATAACTTTGTTTGGATTGCTTGCACACAAAAACTTTGTTTGAATTTCTCTCATTTTGTATATAGTTATAAATTTGATTATTTGATCATAGGAGATTTATGATGCTATGATTATTTTTCTAATAAGATTTTGTTCGATTTTATTATTAAAAAGCTTGAAACTTGAAAGGGTCAACAACCCGGGAATACGATAGGTATTTGTATTTCGGGTCGCTGTTCCCGTCCGGTTTAAAAAGATTGCCGTAGATTGATACGACCTGACTGGGCCTCGTGGGCTATTGGGCTCTATGTCTATCGTTTAGGTTTATGATTTTATGTTTAGTATTATGTATTGAGAGTAAACTCTATTGGAATGAGAAGGCTGCAAAGAAAGGAGCGGTTTATGTTGCGGACAACACGGTTTGTTCTGCATGACATCGACGAATAGGCCAAACAAAGAGCAGGCAGTGAGAGGTTGGCGATTGCAAAAGCGTCCAGCTCCAATATTATGATCCTAGTTATCATCAAGTGACATTAGATGAACACATATATTAGATCCAAAATCGTAAAATTAAGTACTCCATGTCTTCATCGAGCTCGCACCACATGTTTTTCATATTTTCAAATTCAACCAATCGTAGAGAGTTTTTTAGTTACGACTTTCATCGCCGTACGTAAAAACTAATAAATGATATAAAATTAAATGTGGATTAAAGCAAGTACACTTCCTTTGTCTTTTCAACACCAAGAATGTAGAAAGACATGCATTTGTATGTATAGAGAAAAGTATGACTGATTTGTAGTATATATCAAGATTAAATGTATATAAACGTTTATTGGCCCGCACGCAAAGTTTCACCCTTCTATATCCATAAATGATAAATTATTTTTAATAGAGCAATACAAGTTATTTTAGTCATGCGGATCCAACAAAAGAGATTGTAGCCGCCTTTGTTGTGTGAGTTGTTATGAGTGGCTCCATGCACCAACACCAATTGTATAATAGACATGCACTTGTATGTATAGATTTTGGTCCCTCTTATCTTGCTTTTACATATCTAATCTGAAAAATTATATATATCCAAAAAATGGAAAACCTCGAATCTTTTTTATTTGATGAAAAGAACCTCGATCTTATATCTCATAGATGTAGTTCAATTCTTTACAAGTAACTTTTTGTTTTCATGTATATACACCAGTAATATATAAGAATCTATACATATTATATAGATTATAGAGATACCATATTATTGATGTTGATAGCACTTATTGTTATATATAGATTTTTGAAGATTAAAGTTTTTGCTAAAACTAATTTATTTGTATTATTACTTTTTTTAAAACAACTTTTGTACTGTTAGTTTAAGATTGATATTTTATTCTTTTTTCATGTATGTTTTTTTCTGACGATTTTTATAAGTTATAACTATATCAGCAAAATGACGACACCATTGAAAATCACTTTAGAAACCTGAAATATGTATGTAATGTAAAATTATAAATCAATGTAAGTATGAAGTAATTTAATTAAATAGTTTTTTCTGATGGTATTCGCGACAATATGTTAGGAAAAAAAAAAATATTGCCAATGTGTACAAAGTAGCTCATAAAAAAATATGTATGGGGTAGTGTTGTAAATTCAACATCCAACAGGTCTTGTCGGGATAGGATATATAAAGGAGAGCACCAAAGTAACAAATAATAAAGAGTTGGTTTCAAGCTGGTTCAAACAAGACATGTTCTTTGTACCCATTTGTGTTTTCTTTTTCCGTTTTCAAGCTGGTACTGAGGCTAGTTTCGTCATTTACACTAGCAATCTCCATCAGGTATGACGTGGCCTTCCGCGTCGGATGATTCGTTTGTAAGTTATACTAACCTCCCAAAATAATGTCCCTTTAGCATTTAATTATTGTGTACCTGATTATGCTTTAAATAATTAGCATGTTGTGCGGTGGACGTAGACTCGGAATCGCAAACCCCCGCAGATAATTATGTAATTAGCTATTCGAGAAAAAAACACAATTTTGTAGAACTCTCCCAAAAATACATGGACAAAGTACGAAATAGAAAAATTAGACAAATTTTTTGATGTTTAAAAAAACAAAATTTAGATTATAATTTGATGGAAAATGGCTTCATAAATTTTTATATGATAGTATTATGCAGTACAGTCTTAAGTGCTTAACGCATCTAAGAACGTAGGCAGAGATGCGTTATATTATCAATTTTTAGTTACTAAAAATTAAATGTCACCATCAATACTAATTGAATGAATGCATACATACATACACATGTACCATGTACTTAATGAGTGGAATATAAGGGGGTCACATGCATGTATTTTGGGTCGTGTTAATGATTAGCAATTTAGCATGACATTAAATAGATAAGTTGTTGTTTAATCGATACCGATAAAAAATGTGTTGCTCACTTACAAATATCTGATTAGTGGGAAGTTAAAAAGTATTAATTCCTAGCTAGTTTTCTACCACTACATTGCGTTCTTACCGGTTGATAATTTTATTATAAAGATCCACCACATATATGACATATACTTGAAATCTATTGAATTCATGATCCGCAAATTAAAGTGTGTGTACATATTGCTGAATATTCGTAGGATGTTCTTAAATCCGAACAGCAAAATTTTTCTCGAGGACTTGACATTGGATAAGACAAAACCGATGAACGATGTCTATAATGTAAAACACCGACTGTTAATAATCGTGAGTTTTCACATTTTTTGGTTACGTATTTGCTAGACAGATATAGCAATGCACATGCATAACTTGCAACAACAAATTGCTATTTTTTTTTAAAAAAAAAAAAACAACAAATTGCTACCATTTGTTTTTGTCGTTCTTCTCATGAATATACCCGTATTTCTCATAAAAGGTGACTAGATAGAGTTTTTTTATATATATAAAAAGGTGCCTATACTATTGATATTTTTAATAGTTAATTTTTTGCGCTATGCTTTAGATTAATGAAAGTGAAATTGAACTGTCCCTACCATAATAATATGGAAAAAATGGGTCAAACCACTAAGTTTTGGTAGATTTTATAGATGCATTGAACATGCTTCTTATTAATCCAGTTGACTCTTTTTTCCACCATTCACTTTTTCTTTTATATATTAAAATCCAATACAGATATGTATAGTGTACACTGAACAATCCACTTTGAAACGATAAAATTTGTTTGTTTGCTTTATGTTTAACAAGAGCACATCATATATATATATATAGCGTTAAAACTGTGTCGTTCCCATACTTCAATAGATATTATATTCAAAACAAAATGCATCGTTATCAACTATGAAAATCTAACCCAGTATAAGAACCGAAGACCAAATCGACCTTTGTATAAAATTCATATCGTTCGTGTATATATACCAGACGATATTTGGATGTATTCAAAGTTAAATTTTACAGCTAAAAAAAGGCTGAATTTGTATATTTTAATTCATTTGAGATATGGATGTATGATTTCTTTTGCGATCTTAGCTAGTGGACTACCCGCGTAGGCCATAGGGTAATTGGTGGGGTAACTTTATCTGGAGCTTTAAAATACGACAGCAAAGTGGAAGATATTGCAGTTTTCTAACTTTTAGTTTTTGTTTTTCCAAGTTTCTTGATTTACTCTCTCTTTTTTCTGGTCAAGTTTTTTTTACATCTTATTCACAATCTGTTTTTACTACTCCTATTAAATATGTATTTATTTTTCTGATTTTTAAGATATGTACGATTCAACAATTTCTCTTCAAAATAAGGGTTTAGTTTTTTTTTTATATAGACGCGTTAGTAATAATTTGGTCACTTTGTTATTTTAAGTTTTTAACTTGTTTAGTACGTAGAGTCTATCGTAATTTATTTATTTATTTCACAAGACAGTAGACACAGTACGTTTTTCTCATACTACTATATCATCAGTTTTATTCTGCTTTTAAATTCCTATCTTGATTAATCCCTCAATGGCTCAATGCCACTGATTAAAATAATAACCATATTCCAAACTTTTCGTCTTTAATTACTGTAGAAAATTCGTTCTGTTTTACAATAATTTTGTTCGCCAATGACGTCGAATAAATAAACCATATTATATCATTTTTGTTAGGTGTTTAATCAGCAACATGTATTTTATTTATTTTAAACTTATGTAGTGACAACTACTATATGTTCGAGTAATAATTTCATTTTCGAATATCATTAATTCTGTTTCATATACTATAATTTATTTTATTAAACATGTAAATAAATATGGAGTGTTAGGTCGTTGAAAAAGGAATCTGTTACGGAATGTGAAGTGTGTATCAACATAATGTGTAGATATAAAAGCTAATAAGCTATACATAAATTATGATCATTAGGAGTATTTGATATAATAGTAGTATTAATCATGTTCCTCATTGTTTTTGTTGTTCGTTATACTCGCTCATGATTAGATAATTACCACATGAAGTGATTATAACTAATTGTTGCTGTCAGAAGCAAATCAGACTTGAGAATAAGCAATGATTAATAAGAAAAAAAATAGTTTCTTGGAAATGCATATGAATTATTTATTTCCTAAAAATCAATAATTGTTACAACTATAGTAGTTGGAACTTGGAATGTGGAAATGCATATTGAAAAAATTATTGTAGTTGGGGAAGGAATAATTAATGATCATGTTTCATGTTAATTAAATTAATAATGGACCATATGATATTTGAGTAATTAAATGCTTCTGTTCTTTGAAGTGACCAACTAGAATCAATGCGGAAGACAGATAGCGCATTCTATGTCGCATTATATCTGTACTTATATACTCACAGAATACATATATATAGTTTCGCTATGTAATTTGTTCGTGTCTTTCTCAGCTGAGATGACATTAAGCATATCCAAATCGAATTCTAATTGAATAGGTGCGTAGAAGTTAATGGAAAGTATCAAATTCTAAATTTTTACTCCACAAGTCTTTTTTTATTTAGTAATCACCGAACAAACAGAGCTTATCTTCGAAATGTTATATCAAAACGTAAAAAAAAATTAAGTTGAAAAAAAATGTAAAAGAAAACACTTAAAAAGAAAAACAAAACGTCACCGAACAAACAGAGCTTATGTTCCCCATACAATTAATCTTGGGATCTAAAAAAACAAGTGAAAAGGCAGAACTCTTTAGTTTCCTATGAGATTTTATAATGTCAGAAGATTAGATTTTCTTTCTGGAGAAAGTAGAAGTAAACTGACCAATAAAAAAAGAAATAAAGAAAACAGAAGAGTAGGTCTTAACGTTCCATCTGTTACCCCGTGGAGGCTATCTGTCCTTTCTTCTCCTTCCGACCAAACACGTCCTCTTCATTTTCTTTTTTCTTTTCCCCAAATATATACAAAGGTTTAGAATTAAATGTAGTTAACAATAAAATAAAAATTTAGATGTGATATATATATATATATATAGTACTCCCATTTCTGTGCCAACTATTCTGTTTACGTATATAAATATAATATATTTTATTTTATTCGAAACAAAACATAATTAAGGTTAAGGCGGACAATTTTGGAGACCAACTAATCATAAATATATACATAACTAAAATTAGTTACACAAAATTGTTTAAAAACCGTTTTTTTTTATCAAGTCACTTCTAAAATGATACCTGCGCAAAATATTTAGAAGACTTAGTAGAAAATAGTATGTATTCGTGTTTCGGTTTGATATTCGTTTGAAAATATTTCAATTCTCACAAGAACAAAACTCAACATCTAAAAACATTTTAATTCTTGTAAATTTTTATATTTAAATCAGTTACACAAAGTGATTGAATTGTTTGTTCAATACGTGCGGGGTTAGTATTTTTAAAAGATGTTTTCGACGCTCCCTCTCTGAGCATGAAAAAAGGGAGGATGATGGATATAGTTCAGCCCTAGAAACCTTACTAAGAAGAGGGCCTTGTTGCATGTAGCAGTGAAGGCATCCGGCAAGTAAGCGCCGACCGGGAAATCAATTTAATGTTATCCATCCAACATACAGAGAAAGAGTTCCACTCTAGTACATAAAATTATTTCTTTGATCCCAAGTCAGGGTGAAACTTTTATGTCCCGAAGATCAAATTTTTGTTATCATCGACATACTTCTTCTCCTTATAAGATGGAACCCTTACCTGATGCTCGCTCATTATTCTTCTTGATGGTGCCTACGGTTTACTCAAATCTGCAAGAGGATCGATGTGTAGGAAAATCTAAAAACTGTATACGTATATTGTTTTAATTTAATTATTAACTCCCGTAAAAATTTCATGATTTTAAGATCGAAACAAAAATTATTGTGAAATTATTATTCAATATTCTTGAGAACAGGATTTTAGCGTCAAAAGTTAAATATTAAGTTAAATGTTAGCTAGTTGAGGTAAGAATGTACAGTATAATGTTAGTTTTTTTTTCCTTTGACATATTTTTTTGGCAGGGATATTAAAAAACTAAATAATAAGACAAAATAGTAATCACTCAAGTTCATGAATCAAACCATTGCTCCGACCACTATATAAATCCCCCTTTCCCCCATAACTCTACTCCTCACCAATACGGCAATCACCCATAACTTCCAATTCAATATATCCTCTAAATATTGTTTTGTTTCAAAAATAAAAAATATGCCTTCTTCTTCTGTAACAGAAATTTCGAAATGCATTGTGTATCCGGAAAAGAAGTCCACCGTCTCCGATCTCCGTCTCTCCGTCTCCGATCTCCCTATGCTCTCATGCCATTACATTCAGAAAGGCGTGCTCCTCAAGCGCCCTCCTCCTTCCTTCTCCTTCGACGACCTTGTCTCTTCTCTCCGCCGTTCTCTCTCCTCCACTCTCTCCCTCTTCCCTGCTTTAGCCGGCCGTTTCTCCACCAGTCCCTCCGGTCACATTTACATCACCTGCAACGACGCAGGGGTTGGATTCGTTGCTGCTTCCGCCAAACACATCACCGTCTCCGACGTTCTCTCTCCCGGTAAAGACGTTCCTCTTCTCGTCCGCGAGTTTTTCGTCTTTGAGCGTCTCGTTAGCTACAACGGCCACCATAAGCCTCTCGCCGCCGTCCAAGTGACGGAGTTAAAGGACGGTATCTTCGTCGGATGCACTGTAAATCATTCTGTTACAGACGGAACTTCCTTCTGGCACTTCTTCAACACTTTCGCTGACGTCACCAGCGGCGCTTGTAAGATCAAACACCTTCCAGATTTCTCCCGCCACACAGTCTTCGACTCTCCCGCCGTTCTGCGAGTCCCACCTGGCGGTCCACGTGTAACCTTCGACGCCGATCAGCCTCTCCGGGAGAGAATTTTCCATTTCAGCAGAGTAGCGATATCGAAACTAAAACAGAGGACTAACAACAGAGTTAACGGAATTGAGACGGCCGTTAACACAGAAGCGGTACTCGGGAAAGTAAGCAACGACGGAAGGAAATGTAACGGTAACGGAGAGTTTAACGGAAAGATAACTACCGTTCTGGAGAGTTATTTGAAATCGGATACGATTAAGAAGAACCACGATCGAACGGCTGAGATTTCGTCTTTCCAATCTCTCAGTGCTCAGCTATGGCGTTCTGTTACACGCGCAAGGAACCTCGATCCGAGTAAAACGACGACGTTTAGGATGGCGGTCAACTGCCGGCACAGGCTTGAGCCTAAGATGGATCAGTACTACTTCGGAAACGCGATACAGAGCATACCGACGATGGCTTCTGCGGGAGATCTGCTCACAAAAGATCTGCGATGGTCCGCCGATCAGCTTCACAGGAACGTGGTGGCGCACGACGATGCGACGGTTCGCCACGGAATCGCCTCATGGGAAAGTGATCCGAGGCTATTCCCTCTCGGAAATCCAGACGGCGCTTCGATCACGATGGGGAGCTCGCCGAGATTCCCAATGTACGACAACGATTTCGGGTGGGGAAAGCCATTAGCGGTGAGGAGCGGCGGAGCGAACAAATTCGACGGGAAGATATCGGCGTTTCCAGGCAGAGAAGGAAACGGAAGCGTGGATCTGGAAGTAGTTCTCGCGCCGGAAACCATGGCAGGGATAGAGAACGATCCCGAGTTTATGCAATACGTATCTGAAGTCAGTTACGACTGCTGAAAACGTCATCGTTTCGGTTTGTTCTGATAGCGAACAAACAAAAGAATATCTAAGCCGACAGAGGAACTGATGGCATGGCACTTCAAACGGTCGAGATTCATCGAAAAAGTTCTAAGATATTTCGATCTAAAAGAAAGTTGTGAAACGACGGCGTTTTTAAAAGTCATACTGGTCCTTGTTGTTACCCCTCACTGGTCACGCACGTTCTTAATGTGACAGTGTTAATGTACAAAATCCCGTCTTTATCAGTTTGATAATGGAACTTTTTTTCTAAAATCATACACCTACATATTGTTTTGGAAACATTTTTTCTTGATTACTCTAAATAAAATATCCGGCAGAATAACGAGTGGTAGTAATTGACTTGGGACTATATATCTTAATCGTATTGTTCGAGGGGAGGCAAAGAACTACTAACGGGACCCAGTCATGCTTGTAAGTTGTACATTTGTAACAAAAGGCCCAAACTGTGCTAAATGGACCTCTATCAATAAGCCTAGTACATCAATATCCTTTATAACTATCCTATATGGGCCACGTGACGACAACGGCCTAGTACATCAATATCCTTTATTATTATCCTATATGGGCCACGTGACGACAACGACATCCACACTACTTTGTGTAGGCGATAGCCTCTATAAACGTTTGATTAGAGCCATGGAATTTTTTAGTCGGAACGTAATTCCTAATTTCATTAGATAGCGTATATGAACTTTTATCAAATATATTTATTAGTTCAGGTCTTGTCGGTTAGTTGATACTTTATTTTTGTCAAATTTATGATAAGTTTTCCCGAGCCTTAACCTAATACAAGCTGCTAATCATTTTATACAAAACAAACAACAAATAGTTTCATACATAAAAATAAAACACAAAGTGACCTAGAAGCCAAAGTCCAAACAAGGTTTTACATCCTTATTTAGACATATACACATATCTTACGACATCAACCCTTTCCATTAACAGATAAGCAACAAGCAATCCCAAGTATAAGATAAAAACACCATTAACTAAACCGAGGATTTTCAGCTTAAAAATCAAATTTTCACATTCCAAACCCAAATCCCTCTCTCTTTCATTGTTTCGTCTACACGTTAACTTCCGGCACCGGAAACAGTCGTTTAACCAACCAATTTACAGGTCCCAAAACCTGAGCTTTCTTCTTCCTCCAGAACCAAATCGCTGCACTGTACTGTTCATTGCGTATCTTTGTCGTTGCTGCTCTCCAATCATACTTCTCGGTTTCCTCTCTTGCCGCTTTTCCGATGATCTCTCTTGTTTCACTGTCGTGCAATAAAGTCCTCAGCTTTGTCACGCAGTCTTCAACATCTCCAGGGTTGAACAAAAACCCGGTTTTGCCCTCCTTCAAACATCAGAAACAGAACCCCATTAGGTATTAGCTCAATATCACCTAAAGTAATACTTTGGTTTGGCCCAATGAGAACAATCAATGCAAGATGATGAATTTGTTGCATATATTTTTCAAAACATGTTTGGTTTAATCGGTTTGGAGAGGAGAGGGGAGTTTTATGCTGAGTTAGAGCCGAATTTTTGATCTGGACGGCTTTTGGATAATAGATAACTACATGTTATTCCTAATAGAGATGATAATTCACTGACCTGGTCTTCAGGGATTATATCAGGGATTCCACCGGCACGAGCCGCAACAACGGCAAGTCCTGAAGCCATTGCCTCGAGAACTACAAGGCCAAGTGTCTCTGACTCTGATGGCATCACAAACACATCTCCGCTTGCGTAAGCTTGTGAGAGTTCATCGCCTTGCAACATTCCCGTGAAAACCGCTGGCATTCCGGTAAACAACTTCTCAAGATCCTCTCTTTAAGAAATCCAAATAGAAAAAAAAAAGTTACAACAATGTTGCCTAAAACTCTTTAGAAAACTGTATTGGCCAATCTTTCACGAAACTAGTACCTGTATGGTCCATCCCCAATGAAAGCAATCCGAGCTTCAGGTAATTTGTCCATTACACTGCACACAGATTCCTCAATTTCAGAATTTGATGCAACACTTAAAAAGGAGTTGGTCTAATTTAAAGCTACAAAAATCTAACCTTTTTAGAAGCTCCAAACTCTTTTCTACGCCGATTCGGCCTACATGGATCACTAGTGGCTTTTCTGGTTCGCCGTTACTGTTGATAACAAAGCATTAATGTTAGCACGGAAAGGATGGATGTTCTTAATCTATATATACAGAGAAGGTAATAGTATATTCTTGCCTCAGTCTTATACGCATTTCCTGAGAACGGAAACGGGGATTGAAGCTATCTGAATCGACACCCTTATTCCAAAGTCGAAGTTGGTTCGCTTCAAGATATAATAGAAAGGAACGATGTTAGTTTATAAAAGTTACAGAGTTTGTATAATAATCTAATGTTCTATCTTTCTTCACCTGCAGTTGCACCAGCTGCTATAAGATCTTTTCCAATGGCAGCGGAAGGAACTAATGTAAGATCAGCCGCTCTGTGAAGAAATCCTGGTAAAAGCTTATTCAAGTTTAGTTACACAATACCTGACAATAATCGAAAAAAAAAAAAAAGAATGACTGTTGAGAAACAGAGTTCACATACTTATTACTGACCACATTGGTTGGACCAACCAACTAAAAGTGTATCTTGGGATGTATCTGCACATCAACACAGGCTTAATCTTCAGAAACATTTTAACAATTTATGATAACAATTAATTCAACTCAGGGGGGCAAGAAGCTTACACAGGGACGTGTGTGTGGTAAGACATTACTATTGGTACAGATAGCATTTTTGCTATTGCCAGAGCACCAAAAACCTGAAAATTAGAGTTAACTGTGGATTCTCAATTTCACTGTTTTGCTAATTTTGTAGTGATGTGAACTCTCAAGGGCTTTACCATTATCCCGGGAGATGAAGCGTGAATTATGTCGGGCTTAAACCGAGCAATTTCCGAGATTATTCTTGGACTAAGCGCAAGCGAGAGGGGAACCTTTTGGTACAAAGGGCACGGGAAGCTGCATAACAGAACGAGAAATTAGCAATAAAGCCAGATTGAGAACATCCGTAGAGTTTTTTAAGTTAGCAAAAACGTAGTTACCTTCTTGATCCAATGACTTTGGCTCCATAAAACTCTTCGGGAACACCTTCATGTGTCGTCACGACTATGACCTGTGAAGCAGAACAGTTTAATCAGGTTAGAAAGAAAAAGGTGAAGTTTTCTCTCTTTCAGGTAGTTCTGATTCTGACAACAGTTATTGAGGTATCAGCTCACTGAAACCATACTTCAATCAAAGAATAAGATACTTCACAAGAAAAGAACGAACCTCATCTCCCATTTCACGCAGATACCTAATGAAATTCTGGAACCTGTTTTTGTATCCGGAGACATAGCTGCGACATTAAGACGAGATTAAATTTAATTAAACGGCATCCAGATGTTAAGAAAGCTTATGATTAATATATTTCAGTCATAGATGCATATGAGAAAGACACAAAACAAATCCTGATCCAGTGGTCCCCGAGGATATTCTCAGCCTAATTCGTATCGCATCAAAATCAGAAAACTTTGAGCTCAAAAACCCGGATTCTATAATTGGTAAAAGTCTCAAATCCAGTACTACTAAAAAGGAGTCATACTTATAAATTAATGATCACTGAAAAACACATCACAGGAAAGTCAACAAAGAAAGGATCGTAAGATAACCAAACACGATTACATTTCACACAGACATTCCGTCGAACACAAAACAGGCAAGACACTCTGTAGAAGAGATGAAGCACAAGTAACACAGTACTTACGAAAACGGCGAAGGCTCAACAAAGAGAGCAATTCTCCTCGGCTTGGAGTACGACTCAGGATCGAGAAGCGGAGCCTCAATCTCCGATTCGTCTTCTTCCCTAACTTCAGGAACAGTCATATCGTTCGACCCAGAAGCAGAAACCAACTCGCGTCTGGTCTCTTGGCGGAAGAGCTTACTTTTCTTGCGAATCAAGCTAATGGGTGGTCTCCGGGGACGATAGATACCGAAAGAAACAGGGGAATTAACAAAGGAACACCTGGGAGAACAAGTGGTTGCAGGGGAAGAGGAAGAAGAACAAGTGTTGGTGGTCGTGCTTGGAAGAAAAGGAGAAGTCAAAGAGAGATTTATAGAGAGAGAAGAAAGGGTCATGATGATTTTTTATATTTCAAAGCTTAAGTTAATAAATTTTTGACGATTTGGGTGTCGTAAAATCGATTAAAACAGCAACGTCAGACTGAAAAGATCAGATTTTTTTTTTGAGGAGAAGGAATCTGAAGAAGATGAAAGCGTAACTAAAAGGGATATCCGCTTTGTGAGGCAGAGACAGATAAGCATCATATGAAACGTTTTTAAGCATATGCTTCAATTGATGTGTTTGTCTATTTTTAAAAAACTTATATATTTTTTATGTACAAATTTTATCATAAGAAGCTATATAGAAAAACAAACTTTCTCAAAATCTATATAAGATATATTTACACATTTGAATTTATGTGAAAATTTATACATTTAAAATCTGTAAACACTTCATTAAATTAATGGTACAAATACAAAAATAATGATGCTATCGATTGGAAAACTAATTTTGTGCTACAGTGATTGATATTAATGAGACAAATTGTTGGGGGAACCTGCCAACACATATGGCTTAGTCACATAAAGATTGGTTTTGAGAATGGTTATTATTTTCCGACCGATTCTTAAGCACATGTCCACAGAAATGGCTGACTCTCCCATGATATGGTGAGAGACCATTTTAATAATTTATAAAGATAAGTCTAAATTATATGGATCCTTCGCACCAAATTCAATTACCATTTAATCAAATAATTTGAACAAGAAACACAAAATTTTTGTTGACTCTTGTGATAATTGTTTTTCTTTAAAATACCTTCTTGTGATAATTGTTTAACGATGATGATTATAGTTTGCAACAATCACAATAACGTACTCCCCAAGACACAAATTTGACTTTGTTATTATTTGGTCAATGGTTTCGTTACGTATATCAAATCATTAGCCACGCTAATTGCTTCGATTATCCGATTACTTGTAAATCGAAATGTCATAATCAATACAACAGAGGGGACAAAACTAGATTTATGGAAACGGTGAATTATTCCATTGAATATTCGCTTCACGTATAAGCATCTTAACTACTTCGCTGTCCCGTATGCATGTGGAAGATCCATCTTGAAGAAATGTAATTTTTATTTGGAGTAATTTCTGGATTTTCAGTTTATAATCATTTTAAGGTTAAGAGTTAGAGTCAACTATAGTGTCATAAGATGTAGATTGTCTCTTCATTCTAACGAGGTGTTATAGCACACGGGTAAAAATGTATTCCCTTGAATATATGCTTTAAAGATTACAGTGAGTCTTTTTAACAACTGATTACTATTTAGTATTTACTCCACGATAACATGATTACTTTCGAGTTTCAAGTTGAAGATTTCTTTATATGATTGCTTTGCAGATTTTTTTCAGTTGAAAATCTTGTGTTGCCGAGGATCTAAAATTATACCAAATGGGTTAACATGGGGGCCATATATTATTGTTAATGGGTTCAGAAGTGGGTATATGTTCTACTGGCCCAAATATGATAAGAGTTACCAAAAACAATGGACTCGTGTGACTCTTTTACAGAATAGAAAAGACAAAATAAAAAATAAAAGGAAGCAATGAGTTTTTAATATATGAATCAAATGATAATTTTACTACGTTTTTTTAAATACTGCAAGTAATTGTAATATACAGTAATTTAGGAATGATTTGGAATGATCAAAACTTTATCTAATTATCTAGTCTTTATATAAACATATATATGTCAAAAGAGAGGACATATATATGCTGCATATGTTGTCTACACATAAATTAATGAATGGGAAACATTGGGGTAGGAGTGTGGAGTGTGGACCCCTAATATTTCACCTAAAAATAACAAAGCTGACAAGAGTGACAAGAAGAGAATAAATCTGATTATTTCTTTGTCTTATTTAGTCTATCATGCATATATGTAATTGAAATGTAATTTTCTTATCTTGTTAGTAATTTCGTATCATCACTCAAATTACTATTTACTTGAAACTTTTTCCCTCCTCATACCTTTGAGTTTTGCCTTCATAGAAATTCCACAAGCTGAAGGAAAACAAAGAAAAATCAAGAAGCAATCAATTATAATAACAAATCTAAATCCCGAAACCCGTTTCTTAATTAGCTATTAACTTATTAGTTGTAGTGTAGTCTAGTCGTTCATTTACACAAGAAACTTTACCGATTATTTTCCTTTGCATAAACCCTCTTACTTTGTTTGTTTCGTCATCAAGACACCTCTCCATAAATACTCTTCAAAACCTCACACGTCTCCTTTTGTTTCTCTCTCTCGCTCTCTCTCCCTGTCTTTAAAACAAGAATATGTCTCGAAGAGGATGCAAAAGAGTCAGCTTTAGCCCGGACCCAGAAGCAAACGAAGAACCACCCAATGGTCTCAGCTCATCACGGCATGGTCGTCAGAGAGTCGCGGTCGGAATTTTCAGTTCCGGTGTCAGAAGCTCGCCGGCAGCGAGGAGATTACTCCGGCGTATTGGAGCCAGGGTCGCCAAAACGCTGCGGTTTATGTCCTTAGGAAGGAAGAGTGCTATCACCAAAACGTCGTCTTCTAGAAACGTTTCCTCTTCTTCATCTTTGTCTTGTTCCTCTTCCTCTTACTCTTCTTCATCTATCTATCTGGTGAAGTCAAAGTCTCTAAATGAATCAGAGTCTCACCGTGCAGAAGCCATTGAGGACTGCATCCAATTCTTAAATTCTTCTTCGTCTCTGTCGAGATCAAACTCCATCTCTGCGTGGTCTTGCTAAATATGTTTGACCCGATTCAGCTTCGGGTCGAATTTTTTATAAACTCCATTTTTATCCCTTTTTTGTAATGTAAAAGAGTCCAAATTGAGAGTTGCATAGGACAGTTTGATTACAATTTTTTTTTTCCCGATTCAATGATTTAGTTAAGCTTATAAGCTAGTGACTACAAAAAATTGTAATTCCTCAATCTTCCTTTTAAGTTGCGTTACAAATCCGACCAAAAAAAAAAAAATGTTGCGTTACAAACCATAAACCCATGTATTTTTTTTATTGTTGTTACCCAACTAACCACTTCTTGGCAGAAATATTTTTGGACCCAAGAAAATCATAACCTAAGTTTATTTCGCAATATATGACATTTTAATTCAATTTATTTTATCATAAAAATAAGTTTTCATGAAGTCATACCGTTCACATCTATATTCAGTTTTCTTTTCCAAGTTGTGTAGCTTTCGAATTTCAATGATCAATAAGTCATTCGTTAAACTTCGTGATTTCTTCATAAGTAAATTGTTACGTTCTAACGACAAATCAAATAAATATCATTCTTATGAAAAAGAAATTCATGTAGAAGAAACAATTTAAAATACCGAAGTGGCCCAGTTTAGAATTCAAAAAGAGGGGTCGAAATCAAAGGACCATAAGACAGAAAAAGCTTCTTCTTTATTGACCCAATATTTTGTCTTCCTGGTAGAGAAAATAAAAAGCAACAATACTGAATTTTTAAACTTCCGATTCAATAATAAAAAGTAAAAAAAAAAATACATATAATAAATAATAACCTCATCATAACAAACAACATGAAGCGTTTCAGAAAATTGTAGGTCCCTGAACATTACTACAGCCTTTTAAAGAATCCAATGAAAAGGTTTCTTCTTTTAGTTTGTTTGTATTACCTCAAGGGTCTCGGATGCTTTGTGTCGAAGCTTTCTTGAGTTCTAGAGCTCGTTTATACGGCGGTGCAATCGGAGGCTGAACCGGGTCCAAACTCTGGTATGACGATCCATCTGCTTCTTTTGGGAGTGGATAAGACCGGTCTGAGTCATAACCGGTTAAGTCACCACATGCCAAGAATGGAATATACACTTTGTTGGGTCCTTCAAGCCAACCACTACTGCAATCTGCAGAGTACCAAGAAAATGGAATATCTCAAAATCATTAATTGTTTATAAAAAACAAAAACTGACGTAACAATAGAGAAGATATCTCTGTTTTGTCTGAAAGGTTAAATTCACATGAAGAGAGCATTTTTTAGGTGAGAGTTAGGTTGAGAAAGAGTAAACTGAAAGTTTATACTACTCAACAATGCACAAGTTAGTTGTGTCTAACTTGAAAGAGCTTCTGATTTTGAAGGTGAAGGTAAGAGATTTTTTTTTACCGAGATCGCTTCCACCTGAAGGGCTTCCAACTTTCTCCAAGAGACGATGCAGATCTCTCGGGTTAAATCCTTCTGGTGGAGAGTAATTTTCGCAGACCGCAAAAGCCTCTATAGAAACGAAGTGGAGAAAAACAATCAGAATCTCTAAAAAGAGCAACATCTTTTGATGATTAACCGTAAGTGTAAGCAAATTATATTTGAACATGTGAAAGTTATATATGCTCTTTTACCTATACTAGAATTGCGGCTGCTTTTCGGTTTCGCAAAAGTAACAGTTGGGAAAAACAACTTCAGCTGCATATATATAGAATAAGCATGTCAGTAAAAGCAAAAGTAAATAAGCATATCAGTAATAAGCATATTATAAGCACAATATCTCAAAACTTACCTGACAGTACAAGAGACTTGTATCTTTTCCACGGAATATCTTCGCAATAAATCTTCCACCTTCTTTTAGAACATGGGTAACAATTGTCAAGCCCTGAACGAAAAAAAGGATTTTTTTTGTTTTCTGTTATTTATCCATGAAAGAAACACATGCTTCGGGTTCATACTAGATTTTATTCAAACATGACAGCAACTATTCCAACTTACCGCTAGTATGAGTTGGGACTGGACAAATTCATCCATGTCATGCAAACCGGTAACTGCAAACCAAAATGTAGCATGACGTTATTTGGTTAGCATGTGGTAAAAGTTGAACGGTGAAACAGAATCTTTAACTACTGTTTTACCATCTGGAGCACCATCACAAACAACGAGATCAGCCTTGCAACCGTCGAAGTGTCTGATGACCTGGAGAAGAAAAAAACCCGAAAAAGGTAAGCCATAGAAACAAACACAAACTCGAAGCATAACGGATGAGGAATAAAGAGATGCAGATAAAACTAAGAGATAGGAGTTGAGAAAAGTTCACCACTTCGGCAGTCCGAGCATTAGTTATGTCACCTTGAACCTGGATGACACCTTCAATTGGAGCCATAGGCTGCAAATCTATGGCCACAATAAGAGGAAGGTCTCCTTCTCTGTATAAATGTTTCAGCAGTAACAAATCAGTTTTGACTTTGTCATCAAAGTGTGAATTACTAAATGAGCACAACTAATACTGAAGAGAAAAAAACGATGTTGAAGAGATACAAAGTGTGATGCTTATGTGACTTATATTAAACAATATGAGACTTACTTTGATTCAGCTGAGGACTTTGCAGGAAGATATAACTGACGACTTAAGACCTACAAATGAGGTGCAAGATTCAGAACATGTTTTCTATTTACTTAAACCACTGCGAATCGAGGAACAAACAATGAACTGAGGAAGAACAAAACGACAGAGCCTTAGAGATGAATCAATTTCCCAATGTTCTCCTAAATCTAACTGAGATTCCAACTCTACTACAATCCTATGCAAGAAGGTGTCTCTAGTTCCAGCTTTACACATTCTGAACAGTTTCTTATTTCTTCTGTTCAAAAAGCTGAATGACTAAGACGAATCAATGTGAATAAAATCGACTCAACATCCGTATATATACCTGACTCCAGCTACCAGGTGCAGCACATAAATCTACAACTCTCTTCACTCCTGCAAATGATTAAGATAAATTCATCAAGTTTTAAGCTGCAAAAGTTTCGCTCAACGTCCTTCAATTAATAATGTTCGACTAGAGCGTCTCGTGAAACTAGAGTTTGGAGTCGACCCATGAGGGATCATGTGAGACTATTCACTGACTCGGTAAAATGAAAAGATGAAGGATTCAGGGATCACCTTCGAAAATGTTAAATTCATCATCAATCTGAAGAAGCTTAAACGCACTTCTCGCACGCCATCCTTCTTCTTTGGCTTTTCGGTAGTAGATATCCTGCAAACAATTTGTCAACTCACGGTCGCAGTAATCTCACCTCAACAAATGCGCAATATATTTTACTTTATGCTGTATAAAGATAACAAATTTCATTCAAGGCAGACATACCCTTTTGTCCCGAGAAGCTTTCCCCATGTCTTCTAAAGAAGAAAATGAGTTGGTTTTACTGCATTAACACATAACAAAAAAAAAAAATCAAAGAAAATCATAAGGACAGAGCCACAAGGGTGTCTCAGAGGCATTCTATCAAACACGTTAAGGGCAACAAATAAATCTCTGCAAGAAGAACAATTTCGAGATTAAATCGAAATACCAATCATATAAAGAAAACCCGCCAAAATTACCGCACAGTATACAACAGCTACCTACCTGAAGAAGAGTAACACCAAAGCAGAATTTCAAGCTAGAGCAAAAGCTTTGCGTGAGAACGAAACGCCTTTTCTTTTTGGTTTTTTCTGCCCTACCAATTTCGAAGAATACGAGTTTACCATGGATATTATTAATTGGGCCTTAGCCCCATACTTATTTATGGAATTTACGAGACCCAGTATGTACACACTAATGTCTATATCGATATAAATCCGTCGGCCCGTGTAACTTTTGACTTTTTTAAAGTTTAATCACTCATTATGTTCGACCGTCAAATTTAATAGGATTTCTAACACATCCCAAGGGGCATTAGGTTCAATCTTTTATTTCAACCGTCAAATTTAATCTCGTTAAGGAAAATCACATCCATTGATTGATTTCATATCTGGATGTCACTTGTACGTTATGCTATAATAGAAACTATTCTCCTCTAAATTAAAAATATGATGTATTTATTTTACGGAAGCAAACAGAAAAGATATTACAAAACTTATATAATAAGATATTGTTTAAATATTAGTTTAAGTATATATAAGTTTTGGAGTCAGCAAGCATATAATATATCTGTGAAAGTAATAATGAAGAAGTAGATCATTTCAACGAATTGATATGCCAACAATACGAATGGTCGGTCGATCTAGTGTAATGGTCTCACTTCACACAACTATATCCCGTAGACGTTTGTCTTGTCTCCCACCCACTTTTACTATCACAATCTTCTACAACATTTCCCTTCTCAATCTTTAATCATCATCCTCCAAACAATTGCCCAAAATTTTAGTATAACAAATAGAAAAAGAATAGAGAATTCACAAAACTTAACCCAAAGTAGGAATAACACTCCTTAGATGCGACGAATAACATGTTATAATTTATACTATTTTTAATTATGAAACACTGGATTCTAGTGGAAACGAGCGAATTAAAAAAAAATGATGTCAAATATATACATGAATAGTTCTAGTGATAATTCACTAGATCTTATTTAACTTTTTCTTTATAATAATGATTAATCTCAAAACATTTACGAGGGGGAAATAGAGAAAGTATATAAGAATATAAGAATCAGAGGGGTAAAACTGGAATATGCTTCATCTAGTCTTTGTATCAAATTTTGAAAAGGCATCAAACTCAAAATCCCATTACTTTCTTCTGTTTGCCAAAACGCACTTAAAGCCCAAAAACAAAATATTTTTTTTCTCCTCATGTAATTATGTAACTATGGTCATACATACATAATACACTCGTACACATGACGAAATCGAATGTTTCTAGAGTCTAAACCGATCGGACCCCATCGGTTTGGAAAGATGATTGTGGTTTTAGAATCCGACGGTACGGAGATGGCGAGTGCACAGTGAATAAACAGAGGCACGCGTAGAGTAATATGAACGGGCAAGTGGGGTTCAGGGGCTTGATGACGCGCGTGGGGTTTGCTTTAAACACGTGAAGTTTAGTTCCCATATTGAATGGCTCGGCTCAAGCCGACTGTATATAACATTATTACTACACTCTCACCTCCCATCCCTTCCAGTATTACTGTTTTTTTCTTTAGGTTTGTTATAAATTAGCAAAGATAAAATGGTAAAAGTAAAACCGATTGACAAAAACAAAAGGCAAAATTATAACAGCATTTTAATTCAATAAGACAAGTGCGTAATAGCGCAATAATAATTTTATCATCAAACTACTCTTGAATCATTCTATTAAATACTATGTCAGAATTCCGCATATTACCAAACAAAAACAAAATAGATGTCTAACACATCTAATTAAAACAATTTAGAAAATGAGTAAAAAGGTAAAAGAAAGTGTTTTTAATTATAGAAGTCCAAATGGTGGAATCATAGAGAAGCAGGTAAAAAGGAAAAAAAGAGATGAAAAAGCTTCCTGCTTTTATGCTCTCTCTCTCTCTCATCTGAGCATACTTATAACAAAGGCGGCCGCATTAAAAAAAACAGAGCATTTTTAAGTAGACTACGTTATTAGGGAGTATTACAGTACTCTTCTACTCACTCACCATTGCTACAAAACCCACATAAGCTCTTCACTCTATCTCTCTCATTTCCTCTCTCTCTGGTCTCTCTTTCTCATTTTAATACTCTGCTTTGTGTTTCTGTGATTAAAGACAACACAGAGGTAAATAGTCTTGTGTTTCTTCCGAGAGACAAAAAGGAAAAAAGAAGACAATCTTTCCGAACAAAGGAAAATTAAAGATTATATAGCTTTTCAATTTTTTTGTTTGTGTGCCGTACAGATATCGACTGCTAATGTCGGGTGAGAAGCAAGCGGAGGAGGCAATTGTGGTCTCTGGCGTCGGAGAGGCGGAGGATGATGTGGCCGGTGGAAAAGTGGAAGATTCAACGGCGGAGGACATAGACGGCGTTGGCGATGGATTTAGTGTGAAGAGCTTCCTCTGGCATGGCGGGTCCGCTTGGGACGCCTGGTTTAGCTGTGCATCCAATCAAGTAAAGAAACACAAACTTTGGATAATCATATAAAAATAATCACAAAAGCTCTAAAAAACAAAGTTTTCTATTATAATAAGACCAAATCACTCTTTATTTTACTCTAAAAAACAAAGGTTTTATTTTTCAAGGTTCTTTTTTCAGAAAACATTCTTGAAATAAATATTTTCCTTTCACTTCTAATAAAAAATACACTAATATATAAGTAGTTGGTTTCAATTTTTCAGTGACCACTTTATTATATAAATTATTGTCTCGGGGTCAATTTTCCACTGAAAGTAAACAGAATCGCATATTTGATCCCCGAATAACCAAACTTTTTACGTTATATTCCGGGAGAATCGAATTCTTTATAGAAATTTTTTTGTCTTATTTTATTAAAACAAAACATGATTGCTGCAGGTGGCACAGGTGCTGTTGACACTGCCGTATTCGTTCTCACAGCTGGGGATGTTATCAGGAATACTGCTTCAAATATTCTATGGACTCATGGGATCTTGGACTGCTTACCTCATCAGTGTTCTTTACGTCGAGTATCGTGCCCGAATGGAGAAACAAGAGGCCAAATCCTTCAAAAACCACGTTATTCAGGTAATATATTTTTAGTTTAAGATTTTATTTACATTTTGCACCAAAAAAAAGATTTTAGTTTTAATATATACTGAATTTAATCAACGTTTTTTTTGGCGTGTGTGAATAAATATGTATAAATGGAAAGTGGTTTGAAGTGCTTGATGGACTGCTGGGTCCGTACTGGAAAGCAGCGGGACTCGCATTTAATTGCACCTTCTTGTTATTCGGATCCGTAATCCAGCTCATAGCTTGTGCTAGGTTCTTTTCTTCTCATTTTATAATTATTACAAATAGATTTTCCATGCAAAAATAAAACCACACTTTTTTTTTGTCAACATAATAATACCACTCATATCATCATATGTGTGTGTGTTTGGTGTGTGGTGCAGCAATATATATTACATAAACGATAGATTAGACAAGAGGACATGGACTTATATATTTGGTGCTTGTTGTGCCACGACCGTTTTCATACCATCTTTCCACAATTACCGTATTTGGTCTTTCCTCGGCCTTGCCATGACCACCTACACCGCTTGGTACCTCACCATCGCCGCATTTCTCCATGGTCAGGTATATCGGTTTGTAATTTGAAATGAGAAACAAACCATTGTGGTTTAAACCGGGTTTGTTATTTGTTATCGTGATTTTGTAGGCGGAGGGTGTGAAACATTCTGCTCCGACCAAACTTGTGCTGTACTTTACCGGAGCTACCAATATCCTCTATACATTTGGTGGACACGCTGTGACCGTGTAAGTCTTTTCCTCTTTTTTTTTTTCATGGATTTTTCAGTTAATTGTATAATGTATTTATGATTAGGTAACTTAAGTTAAAATATATTTTGCACATTCAGGATTTGTTTTGTTGCAAATTCTCAGAATGTTATAGTTTTCATATAAAAAAGGTACCTTCTCTCAAGATTAATGTTTCTTCTTTTTTAAAACTCATCATTTCTTTTAGCTTCTATATATGCAGCTTTTGCCGGTTACTTTAGGTTCTGTCCGAAACGCACAAACAAACAAAATCATTATTACGAAATAAATAAAGACAAATTTACCAGAAAAAATCTTATTTACCTTTTTAGCACACTAGTCTGTTTCTTTCTTTTGCTTTCGCGTCCTTCTACGATGTATATCTTCTATGAGAGTACGTAACATAACCACACTGGTCGGACCAGACTGCCTATCTCTGGTCGGACCCATAGATCAAATGTTAAAGACGTTTATGCCCTCTCCCTTTCTATTTATTAGTATTAAATAAAAAAATAAAAAAATGCAGGGAAATAATGCATGCGATGTGGAAACCAAGGAAGTTCAAGAGCATATACTTGATGGCGACACTGTACGTCTTCACGTTAACGCTTCCGTCAGCCTCCGCCGTCTATTGGGCTTTCGGCGACCAACTTCTCAACCACTCAAACGCTTTCTCTCTCCTCCCTAAAACGCGTTTCCGTGACGCCGCCGTTATCCTCATGCTCATCCACCAGGTTTATATCTAACTTTAATATGCTATACATGTCTCACAATAATTCCACACTGCATTAATATGATTGGTCCAGTTCCATGCCATTATTTATACACTAAGAACATTATCTTCTTCCGCGCTGAAATTTAATACCGGAAGGAATGTTTATAAAAAAAATTAGTCATACTTTCTAGCGCTTAATAAGCACCGAAACACAGTCATTTTCGAATTAGTCATCTAGTCGACCAATCGTTTTCAAACAGACAACTAATTGATTATACAATTTAATCGATTTTACAGTTTATAACGTTCGGATTTGCATGTACGCCGTTATACTTCGTATGGGAAAAAGCAATCGGAATGCATCATACGAAAAGCATATGCCTGAGAGCGATCGTGAGGCTACCGGTGGTGGTTCCAATATGGTTTTTAGCCATCATTTTCCCGTTTTTCGGTCCCATAAACTCGGCGGTGGGAGCCCTACTCGTTAGCTTCACCGTCTACATCATTCCGGCCTTAGCCCACATGCTCACCTACCGCACCGCCTCTGCCCGTCGGGTACTAGCTACATTCCTCTCTCGGTCACATTTACATAACATTTACTTGATTAGATAGTTTTGAAGATCAATACTAGTACTAGGCCTGATCAATACCCCAAACACTGGTGAAATTATTGGAGGAGAGAGATTGGGATATAACATAGGTTGAGTTTATATATATTTTTGATGAGCTGGCTTATACGTTGCATTAAATACCAAATCAATGAGTTTAGGTCCATCGTATATAATGTGACCATTATTATCGCCTTGACCAGTTTAGCAAATTGATAGTAACATACATTCTCCTCGCAGAAATACAAATGCATTGGTTCATCTGATGCTACAGTACAGTGTATTGATTTGTTTTGTTTTTTTGTGATGACGTGGCAGAACGCGGCAGAGAAACCGCCCTTCTTTTTGCCTAGCTGGGTCGGAGTTTACGTGATAAACGCGTTCGTGGTGGTTTGGGTCTTAGTTCTCGGGTTCGGGTTTGGCGGCTGGGCCAGCATGACCAACTTCATCAGGCAAATTGACACTTTTGGCCTCTTCGCCAAATGTTATCAGTGCAAATCGCCGCTTCCTCCCCCTGCTCCGATCACTGGTGATCACCACCGCCGTTAAACTAAGTCGCCGATAGTGAAGTATGAAAGGGTGAACTAGTTTTCTTCTTCTTCCCTAATGCATGAAAAAAGTATCTAAAATGTAAAATCTAAATTCCAACGATTTCTTAATCAATGAAGGCTATATTCAAATTTGAAAATTCGTTAAAGCACGTGATTAGGGAGCGGGTGCCATTGTGTTTGATTGCCACGTGCCAGTCTTCAGTATTATGACAGACTGATTTTTCCTAACTGGTAAAAAACAACTGGATGCGGACGAAATGGTTATCATCATTTACTCAATCAGCCTATCTGTCAAATTTGACCCCTTAGACAAAATAATGATATTTCATTCAAAACTACAAATTTGAAATTTGTGTGTGGTGTGTATTTTCGCCTTAGAGAACCAAAATTAAATGAGTTAATTGAGGAAAAAAATAGCTAATTAAGCAATTCCTCAAATTTTCGCTGATGAATTTACCATTTAAGAAGGCCCAATGTAGACCCAACCAAATTAATGGGCTTTAGAGAAGCCTATTTTTATTGAATCCTTTTAGACCATCATAGTTTGTTTGAGCTTGGAATACTGACTGTGACTAATGGTTTGGCTGCGGCATCTTCTCTGCCGGATTGTTTATCAGAATCGAAGATCTTCTGGTTTCACGCAAATGTGGTTGCAAAGCGCTCGCTCTTTCCTATGCCGTATCGAGAAGAATCATTGGAAAAATTTTATACGGTAATTCTTCTCTACATCTGTTGTTTGCAGCTCTGATTCTGGAAATTTGAGAAGAAACGACGATGCGATCTACTTCTTATTTTGGTATAATTGGACCCGCAAGAGATTCCATTTTTATTTACAACAAGTTATCTTATGTACAGTGGGATTGATTGACGAAACAGATTCAAACAATTGACTATGATTCAGATCCAATTTCGCAGATTACGCAGTGCTCTGAAACCAATCTCCACATTGCACTTCCTTGTTCAATTTCGAATTTCCTGCTAAATTTGTTCCACAGATGCAACCCATAGCTTCTCTTCTGCATCTGATCGAGCTTGGTTCTGACCCATTTCGAATCCTTCTCTGTCTTAGGCACCTTGAAGAACTTCTCTATCTGGAGCCAGTTCACAGGATACATCGCAGAAGGTCGCAGGACGGTGAAGTTATAGCCACTCGATCCTTCCACTGCTCTAGCCACTCGAGAAACCAGGTACGGTCCGTTGTATCCCCATATGTTTCCGTTGAAATTCTGGGCGAATTCTTCTATGAATCTGAGTAAGAGAGGATGGTTCTTGTCGAATATTAGCACTGCGTTGTTCAGTCTCGTCCAATTTTTCGACGACGGATCAAGAGTCTGCGCTCCGATCACGTTTCTAAGCCCTTTGAAGCTTTTCAGAACAATCATGTCCGTGTCTAAGTAAACTCCTCCGTATCTGTACAAGTAGGCAAGCCTCATGAGGTTTGACAGATTCTGAGCTAAAGAAATCTTTCCGGGATCTCTTCTCCCGCTCTTTATTTCCTCCAGCCATGATTCTCCGGCGGTTCCTTTGAGTAGAAAAGGCAAATCCGGCGTGACTGCGAGGACTTTGTAACCACGATCAAGGAATGGCTTCAAGGCTGTGTAACCTCGAGGAGAATCCATGGTTGCGGATAGGATCATCAAGCAACCGTGAGGATGAGACTTGAAGACACTTTCAATAGCTAAAACCTCTCTCTTGCCGAAGAACTCTGCAGGTGATATCCATGTCATTACGAAGTTGACTTCACATCCATCACCGATGAACTTCTGTGCCTTGCTATGAAAATTCTCACACAAGTTATTTCCACTGAAAACGTTGATAACTTGGAGCTTCTCCTTTACTGTGATGTTCAGGTTAGGTGATGGCGTCATTTGTGTCTGCTGCTTGATCGGATAACTGCTTTTACTTTCCTTCTCAGACCTCAGAGGTAAGTGTGGAATCACTCTCTTGATCTCTATCTTCACCTCTGAGAAATCTCTTTGCGGTTGCATCGAGAAATTTGACATTAGAACCAACGTGGTAATCACGATCAGAGTTAAAGAGCTGACCACAAACGTCGTGAAAAGTGGTGATAATTTAGATTGGTTTAGCCGTCTGTGATCAGTCACCACCGTCACTCTCTTCTCTGTATCATGATCCATGGTTAAAGCAAAACTGAATTGCAAACCAGGAAAAATAAAGCTTTAGATGGATGAGAAAGAAACCAATGTATGTGTTTTTATTTCTTGTTTTGACCGTGTTCTTGCTCTCTGCGGGCTGTCTAGTTTTGAAAAATCAAGAACTCGACGTAGACTACGGGGTTTTATTGGATTTATTAATTAGTGGGGTCTTAAAACTAATTTTTCAATCTTTTGCCAAATCACCAAAATTAGTGAAACAACGAATGGATTTCTATCAACAACTTCGTAATACCATTTTACTCGTTGATTTCTATCGATTTAGAATAAAAGTAGGTAAAAATAATGCTCAATTTCATATATTAGTATCTTTTTTAAAATGATATTGATTATTTATCGAATATGATATTTCTATTTAAATGGAATGAACTATAGTCTTTTTGATTGGTTGTTGCAAAATGATTCGCGAAGAAGGCATATGTAGTATAATCGAGTTTTCTTGTAGACAAATTGTCAAGGTATTTAAATCGTCTAGCTTTAATAAGATTTCTCTTTTATAATACTGCTGATTTAACCGTGTTGGTTGGATCTAATATTTTCTTCCCAATGAATAAGGCTACTATTCCATGGTTGACTGAGAAAATTTGAGATTTTTGTGAGCAATAACGACGAAAATATGTAAAGGAGAGGTCGAAACTCGAAACAAACAGACGTGTAAATTGATTGGTATATATTGGATATGATTATAATTTTGGTTTCGCTTCTGATTCAGCGTTACTTAATTCATTTTTTGATGACATAATTTATGTTTTGTTTTTCTTTGATAACCTGATTAATAGTGTGTCTAGAAAAAAAAGTTTAATGAATAAATTGTAGTGTTGGTTTATGAATCCATTATTGAAAGTACAAGATACATATTTTACTGATTTTTATATAAGACATGATTGGTTTATCTTTGAATATTTTAAAATGGAACTTGATTGGTGCATGCATAATCAATTTGCTCCGCACGACTTGTCAAGGTATACATACAGAAGCATCTTGACCGTGACAACTGAAAGCATAGCTAAGGAAATATGTATCACATTATTATTATTTTAATATCGTTAATGTCAATTGATAACTCTAGCTCAACGACTAGACATGCAATTACATGAGTAGCTGCGTTCCTTTCCGGATCTCACCGAAAACACAACCTATAGATGACGCTAAAGTGTTATAAGGATTGTCAAGAATAATAATAATACAACAAGTCTTTATTTCCAAAGTTAATGGGCCTTATGTTTATAAGCTCACATTGATAGTCCTTTCCTTGCAAATTATTGGCCCATGGGCTTATGTCTATTCAACTAATTTTGTTTTTCTTCTAATATTTGTTTAGTGTTAGTGAGCTTCATTCATCTCTCACCTCATGATTGGAAGCTTTTCTATACCATCCGTCACGCACAATCCAAGGAGTTGGTTAGAAGCACGTGGGAAGCAATCGCGTGAATCCAACGGCACATATTAAATGCGGGTGAGCACCGACCTGTCAGCGTAGAAAACTCCAATGATCATCCCTTGCCACGTGGGCTTATGCTTTGCTTTCGTTCCATACCCCCTCTCCTTCCCACTCACACAAACGAGAACCGAAGATGATTGGAACCTTAACCTCTTCTTCTTCTCCGTCTTCCTCCACCAAGTTCTTCCTCGAAGATTTTCCCGCGGGGACTTTCCGTTGTGGAACAGAGATTTTCCCTTGTGTTCCCAGGAAATCGTTTCACCTCAAGCTTTTGTGTCTAGATTATGTGCACAGCAGGATTCTTAAGCCGATCCCGCTTCGTTCCTCGTTGATTAAGGTTTCGCAGGTAATAGCACCTTCCTGTTTGTCTGCTTTTACTTTGCAATTACTTTTTTGATTCCTTCTTTTCTATGGCATGTTTGATTATGCATATGCGGATATATAATTGTGTTCATGAAATTGTATAGGCAAATATAGAAGAAGCTGCAGACACTGAAGCTCTAGAAAAACGTAAGTTTCTATCAACTGCGAATATTTCTCGTGTTTTTGTATTTTGGGGGTGGGATTTCATCATCTGGTGATTATCATGCAATGCAGGCCATAGAAAAATGGTGCGTGTAAGGTTCCAGTTGAGGAAAGAGTGTGTGTTTGGGGAACATTTTTTCATCCTTGGTGACAATCCTGTCTTTGGCGGTCTCTGGGACCCTGAAAATGCCTTACCACTGAACTGGTCGGATGGGCATGTTTGGACCGTAGATCTGGTATGCATCGGTTCTGTAAAGAGTTTTGTGTTAGCTTACTCTGTTGGGCTTTTTAATGTAGGTTTATTTCTACTTTAGGATCTGCCCGTTGGAAGATTGGTTGAATTCAAGTTCATACTAAAGGCAAAGACAGGGGAGATATTGTGGCAACCAGGTCCAAACAGGGCTCTTGAAACCTGGGAAACTAACAAGACAATCAGATTATGTGAAGACTGGGCAAATGCTGACCTCCAAATGATGATCGAGGAAGATTTTTTGCCGGTCAATCAACAAGTGAAGCAGCCTATTGTTGCCGAAAACGTCACCGATATTTTATCAGACGGTGCAGTAGAGGAGGAAGAAGTGCTTGGCCCTGCACAGCAAAAGTCTCCAGAAGTAGCTGTAGTGAATGTAGGATACATAAGCGACGATTCTAATGAATGTTTGAGTTCCAATCGCCAGAGTGAGAAAACCATGGAAACTTCAGATGGAGCTCTGACTGCTCGTGGGGTTCAGGAGAAAAATGCAACCATGTTTTCCGAGGAAGAAGGTCCAGTTTTGGTCCCTGGATTGATTCCGCTGTCTGATTTAGAAATTGAAGAAGTGAATGAACCCATTCCTCATATGTCAGTGGAAGCCATTAACGAAGGTAAAGCCGAAACGTTCCCGGAGGTAATATAACTTGACAAGTTTGAAGTTTCATGTTCATGTTTCTAGGCTTCTTTTCCAAAAAGATTGAATAGAAATGCCTTGCTTTGTACATAATTGTTTCATGAACCCTTAGAGTCTGTTGTTATACACACAGCCGCATATGGTAATGAAACCTTTGGATATCGATGCTTTAAGACATCGTCTTTGTTTGCTGTTGCATGTATATCTGTTGACCCATTTTCATATTAGAACTCCTTAACTATGGCTTGAAGCTAGTTCCACGGTAGAACACTTAGGATTGTGCGCTTATATATGATTTTTTTTGTGTGTCCTTATTGTTTTATTTAATGAATAGAGAAGCTATTTGCAGGTAGGTAAGAAGGAGGAGACCAGAAGAGAAAGAAACGAGAAAGGGAAAGTAATAGCGATTTCATTATTCGAGAAATCAGAGCGAGAAGCAATAAAGGGTGTAGAGAAGATGCATATCAATACAGCAGAGGAAGAGACGCAGCAGCAGCGGCTAGAGACGGAGTCGCTTGGAACGCCAAATGTGATTTTAGAGAAAGACATCCAATGGGGACGCAGAACGCTTTACAAGCTTCTAAGCAACTTTGGACTTTTCTAAACTCAACACACAAGTTTTGAGAGCATTCTTTTATCGGGAAAAGAACCTCAAGACAGACAGATAGTCAAAACTGTCTTGAACGGTACGCTAGCTTCTTGTTCTCTGCTCATGTTTTACATTTTGTAATAATGAGTACTGAGAAGAGACTGAAGCATGCTGTGTTGTGTTTGTATATATGTATGATCAAATGATTTTGGTAAATAGGGAGATGAAGAGAGAGTGCGACTGTTAAGTACATAGGATGTAGCATTGTATCACGTAGGTGTCTTAACAGTGGCACTCCATTCTCTCTGTTTCCCAAAGGCCATACTAATGCGCTTTTGTGGGGCCGATATTAAGCCCAGTAAAACTCTTGTTGGGCTCGTGATTCGATTTGCTAAGGCCATACAAATGGGCTTTTATGGGCCCGAAATCTTTTGTTGGGCTCAAATTTTGATAGTGTTAGACCAAACTAGTGGGCTTTTGTGGGCCGCAAATTATTGGTAATGAGCCCAGTAAAATTTTTTGTTGGGTTCATTACTTTGATTTGTTAAGGCCATACTAATGGCTTTTGTAGGCCTGAAATTATTCAAACTAAGCCCAATTAAATCTTATTGGGCTCGAAATTTGATTGGCTAAGCCAAATCTAGTGGGCTTTATGGGCTCGAAATAATTCGAACTAAGCCCAGTAAAAGATTTTACTGGGCTCAAAATTTGATTGGGTAAGGCGACATATTATTGGAACTACGCCCAGTAAAATCTTTTGTTGGGCTCATAATTTAATTTGTTAAGACCATGACACTAATGGGCTTTGATGGGCCCAACATTATTCGAGCCCAGTGAAATCTATTTTGGGATGAAAATTTGATTGGGTGAGCTTAAACTTGTGGGCCTTTGTGGGCCCACAGTTATTCGAACTAAGCCTAGTGAAATCTATTTTGGGCTGAAAATTTGATTGGGTGAGCCCAAACTAGCGGGCTTTAGTGGGCCCCTAATTCTTCGAATTAAGCCCAGTAAAATAATATTGGGCTCAAAATTTGATTAGGTGCCATGGGATTTTGTGGGCCCAAAATAATTCGAACTAAACCCAGTGAAATCTACGTTGGGCTGAAAAAAATCGATTGTGTAAGCCCAAACTAGTGGGCTTTTGTGGGCCCAAAATCATTCAAACTAGTGGGCTTTTGTAGGCCGCACATTATCCGAAATAAGCCTATGGGATTTTGTGGGCCCGAAATTATCCGAAATAAGCCCAGTAAAGTTTTATTGGGCTCAAAATTTGACTGGTTGAGCCCAAACTTATGGGCCTTTGTGGGCCTACAATTTTTCGAACTAAGCCCAGTGGAATCTATTTTGGGCTGAAATTTTGATTGGGTAAGCCCAAACTTGTGGGCTTTTGTGGGCCCACAATTATTCGAACTAAGCCCAGTGAAATCTATTTTGGGTTGAAAGTTTGATTGGGTAAACTTAAACTAGTGGGCTTTTGTGGGCCCAAAATCATTCAAACTAAACCCAGTGAAATCTATGTTGGGCCCGAAAAATTTGATTGGGTAAGTCTAAACTAGTGGGTTTTTATGGGCCAAAAATTATTGGAATTAAGCCCAGTAAATTCTTTTGTTGGGCTCAAAGTTGGATTGGGTTAGCCCAAACTAGTGACCATCCTCGTAAGTAAAGAAATAAGCCGACCTAAGTTGATATGAAATGTACTAGAGAGCATGTGGTTTGTGAAAATATGGGGCTTTGTTTCTCATCTATCACTCAGTGGGTCCTGTGAAGTCTAAATGATAAAAGGATTCTTAATCAAACTACATAAATGATAACTCTCTTGCAACTCCAAATAAAAAGAAGATTGTTCCAACAACAACAAAAACCATCAACTTATACTAAAAATATACAATCACTATACACAAGCCTAATGTAGGTGGAGCTTGTGGGTACAAAAGCTTCTCGAGACCGTATATTAAATTATATTACTCATCAAAAAGTCCCTTTATCTGGGACACTTGCAAGATCTATTGCTTATTCTTTTGCTCAATTTGGTAAGGAATCTGTACCTTATGTCTCCTTCCCCGCATATCTCTCTTTGCCTACAGTATGCATTTCTGAGGCAACTCAAAACTCAAGAAATGTTTTCTTTAGGCGCTTCTTCTTCAAGTCTTTCGTTTGACACAGCTTCACTACTTTCCCACAAAAACCCATTTTCCTCTCGAGACTCTTTCTCTGTTTCTCCAGATAGAGGTGACACATGTGCAACATACTTTTCTGCAGAGAGCGACACAGACAAGACAGACCAATCTGTGACCATTCGAGCACAGTACACAAAGGACTAAGAACAATCTGGAGAGTAAATCAAGTGCCAAACAGACCCACAGAAGAAATTTTACCCGCCAAACTTCGAAGAGCATTCTCAGCCGCTTGTTGATGTGCATCTTTCTTAGTTTTTGCCATTCCAATGCCTATCTTCTCACCCGTGAACATAACCTATTTTAACATTAACAGCAACAATAAAAACAGAGTCATAAAAACATTCGACAAAAGGGCTTCAGTAACTAACAAACTAGGCAAGATTGAAAGGCAATGAATAAATTCCAGCTGACCTCAACTGAAAACTGTAGCTCTTTGTTGGTACTCATCACAGTCCTAAACTCCACCTGCAAAAACGTACATACGTTTTTTCAGATTCGATGAAACGCCCAAGATACATTAGCTTGCCTGGCTATGCCTACTATGTACCTTAGAACCGCATCTTCTTCCAATTTCTTGCAGCGCACTCACATACAAATGAGATTGCCCGCCATTACTCTTTCCACCATCTATATGATGTTCTCTACCATTTGACACCAAATGATTCTGGGATATTCCACCTTCTGCCAAATAGTTTGAACATTCAAAGGTACTGTTAATGCACTTTATTCTTCAAGCAGTAATGACAGACTCAGCAAAAAGACATCACATCAGATGGGGAAACCACTAGTTATCCTATCCTAAGTCAATTATTTTATGTAGCTTTTTAGAGCGGTATACCGAAAACAAGCTTCATGGAGAAATCAACTGTTGACGAATTTATCTGTATACGACTAGATTGGTGTTGGTTGAAACTAGAACATACCTGTTGTTTGACGTGAAGGATTTTGCCTTTTCTGATCATCATCCATACCCACCTGAAAGAAAACTGTCAGAATGCAGACAACATACTTTTGATGTCGAAAGAGATACTTAGAATCAAAACTAACCTCTTCACTCCTCAACTGGGACGGGTGTGGAAATGAACCAACAGGAGCAGAGCCTGGTATACCATGAGAAGATTGATTTAGATAAACTCCTGAAGGTCGTGGAAAAGGAGGTCTATTCTCGTCATCTACCAACCAACCACCCTGAGAATACATAGAAGACGAAGGTGGCTGCATAGGAATTCTAGCCAGAAGAGGCGGTTGATTAAAATTTTGGTTCCTTATATCTACACCAGGCCTCATCATAAGTGGTCTTCCGCCATCAGTAAAAGTGAATCCATCCCGTCTTGGAGCTCCAAGCAAACTAGGTTCTAGAATGTGATGGAACACAAAAGATAGAGAATGTCAGAGACAAAAAAACATAAACATAATAACTGTACATAAGTTCAAAATTCAGAGTTATATTATGTCAAAAGTCCGTACTATGTGAAGGTAACAATGGTGCTGCAGTTGTTGTGCTAGTGTTGCTTGGTACAATTGCTATCTGGGGCCTAGGGGTTTCAGGTTTCTGCTCGGCTTTACTTGTTGCAGGAAGAGCAGAAGAATCAGCTGCAGCCTTCTCATCCCCAGATATAAAAAAGTCAACAAAAAAGCTTTGCATCAAAACAATTTTTTTACTTAAAGAAACACTTAATTCCAGATTTTGTATCCAGGTTTCAGTAATTATTTTACTGACCGCTTGGTTTAGTCTGCGTTCCACTTCACCCCCACACATTCCTTCGATAATTGGAGGAGCAGTTATGTTTCCATTTGAGGCAACGCCAGGATCCTGCAGACAAATAATAGCTACATCACATATTGTATATGGGGCCGAATTTCGGTGCAATACTTTAACTGTGATAAAATTCTAACTATAGTTACCTCTATAGTGACATAGTTGCCCACATCAAGTGATGGAGGTAAATTTTCCACATCATCTTCATAGAAAACCAAAGATATACTACTCATCAAACTCTCATCAAATTCCCTGGCATAAATGTCCGGAAACAGTATAAACAACCAGCAAGAATTCATTACACAAGCAAATAAAAACAAGAAAGAAACTTACCTGAAAAAGTAAGCTCTGATATTGCATGCAACATTTCTTGCTACGCAAAGAATTGGAACGGCAAGGGCTGTCTGATAAATGGGCATAAAAATACGGTTAGATACCCACATGGAAAATTAAGCGATAAAGTATTCAATTCACAGCTTAAAGAGCAAAAACATGCCTCTGCCTGTGGAGCATAATATGGAAGATATGCAGGAACAACGTGAACCCGTGGTTGATCCTTGTCCTCCCAAACCTTAATACGGTCATCAATGACCATCGCCATTTTCGGGTGGCAAATGCCCCCATTGAAGACATTTAACAGTGATTTCTTGGCGTCTGCTATGCACAGAACAAGAAATAAATAGAGTCAGATAGTTGGTAAAATATCTTAACGTTAATCTCTTAATACCAGAAACGGAGAGGTCAGCAAATCAAATCAGGCACGAGAGAGGGAGGGAGAAAAGGCAAAGTAAAAATAGCAATCCACGATAAAACAGTAATGAAAGATACAGGCGCAGTGTATTCAGAAATCTACGCCAATGGCCGCGTGGCGCCTATGTATCAAAACCAAGATTACGGGTATAAAAAAAGGTCAGAGGTTGTTTTGACCTGATTTAACGCACACAATACGATCTCGGAGCTCCTTGAGACTAATCAGGTGTGCTTCCGGATCAAGTAGTCTCCACATTTCCAAAGCATAATCCCTTTCAGCCATGGTACAAACATAAACTTCAAAACGTTTCCTAGTATTTGCTGTCAAATAGCTTCTTAACTCCTCCCACGCTGGTCTCAGCTTTACAAGCACACTAGTGTCACGGATCTGCATCAGAAATAACCCCAGAGGTGAAAAACTTCGTTACGTTCTAACAATAACAAAACTAGAGTACTCATGTACACTTAAACGGCATTATCCTATCGCATGACAGAACCAAAAAAATTCAGATAACATGAAACGAATACGTATAGTACAACCACAACAGAGATAGATCTTCTAACCTCTGGATTAATCCGAGTAAGCACAGTATTCTTTTCCGGCAATCTAATCACGGGTCTATACACTTTCTCGAGGCCATCAGAAGTTGGGCGGACCTCCTCAGGTTGAGCCTTTAACAAAACTCCGTTATCATATGCATAGTCATTATCAATGTACTGCTTCAGCAGCATCCTGTCATCTATATACCTTTTCAGCTCTGCAGACATTCCATTTATCCTCACAGGATCAATCTCTCGTGAAATCCAAGCTTTGAGAGATTCGATTCTATCCTCGAAGGACTTCATCGTATTTGCAACAATCAAAGTCTCGTCCAGATCAAACACAATAGACAGACACCGGGTGTTGAGCATCCTTAAACAGGAATCATAAAGACCTAAAGGAACTGAGAAACACCAGAAACACGGGAACTTCTTCTCCTTGCTCGGCATCGCCACTAAGTGAACCTCCTCTTCTCCGAGCAGGACGACGGCAGTCTGTAGTCGCAAATCAAAGTTTCAATATCAATTCCTACCAATCGGAAACTTCTAATAATTCAAGTAAATGCACAAACGAAATGTCAAAAGAAGCACGTTACCTTCAATTCATGGAAACAGACTGCGTGTAGGTGCATCAACTCAGGCGGCTTGACCGGAGCCGACGATTCAAGCTTGCATCGAACGGCAAAAGAAGCAATAGTCTGGAGAATCGCGAGCGGAGGACACCTCTCGCCAGCCGGAGAGATGTGATGGATTCGAATCTCATCGTTCGGGAACCGAAATTCGTTCCCTGAGGAAACCTGGTTGACATCAAGTTCCCCCAAACGCAACTCTCCGTGATAAACCACGGATTTGTGACCTAAACGACTCATCGGAATTCGTCAACACGATTTCGTGAACTCAAGCGAAAATCGGGGGAATGCGTGAGAAATCAGCAGATTCAAGAGAAAATCTCTTCTCTCTTCGCTACTTTCGCTGTGATTTCTCACGCTAAAGAGGGTTTTTCTGGGTCCCAAAATTTCTTCAACATGAGCAAAACGCAGTCTCGGATATTTATAGGCGAGAGAAGGCATTTGATTGTTACGACATCGATTTTAACCAAAATACGAGGCTTCTTTACACGTGGCGTAAGATACATTATCCAGTTTCTAACAGCATCGCATATCAGCCGTTAATTGCCTTACTTTCTTCAATGTTCTCAAATTAAGCATGAAAAATTATACGGCCGTATTTTTTAATCACACCGTATATATATACGGTCTACATGAAAATTATTTTCTGGTCAACATACGAAAATTGTTATTTTGTCATCGTCATTACAATTTGTATCATCATTATTGCCAAGAGTTATTTTTATGTAAGAGCATGCAAGAGAAAATGCAAATGAAGAATATGATGTTGACTCTAGCAGCTTATATCGCTGAGATTATCGTCGCTACCGTCTAAGCACAAGATGTTGACACTCGATTCCGAGCTCCCGCTTCTGCTCACCGGCCGCTTTCTCCTGGTCCCTGATGTTCTCACACTGTACAATGAAGCTGCAGGAACTTTCGTCACTTGCGGTCTGAAATTCCCCGTCATGCTCCCTCGTTTGATATCCTATTTACACATAGAGAGACCGCTTAAACGACTACCTTAAACAGATTAGTAATTTCTACCCATTTTTATAATCTTGCTCACAAATTCAACGACATCATCTAATATATTACCATACCATATGTCTCAATGCCATATCAAAGGAACTTTTAGATAGGTCTCTCCCAAACCCAAAACCATCAGAACCCGAACTCGACTTCCCACCTCCTCGGCCGCCGTTTTCTGTCACATTCACAACTCTCTCGACCATTTCATGATTCCCCTTAGCTACATGACTGATCAAAGTCAAACCACCATCATTGTTGCTCGTCTTTGCTCGTCGTCCACGCAGCAAAGGACCAGGTCCGTTTGCGTTTCCAATCGCAGTACGGTTTCTAGAAGGCGAACAAGACTGCCTCCTTTCAGTCGCGCTTTCTATGGACGATGATCTTGATCTTGAACTGGACGCACCAAAAGCTTTGGTTCTGCTACTTGACGCCGTTTGTGGTCTGTCTCGTAACGTAGTCCTCAGATTTGACGGCGCTTCTAGGGAGAAACCAGGCATCTCGTAAGGTTCCCATGGCCTTGATCTCAATGTAGGCGAGGGAGCCGGTTTAGTTGGTTTACTCCTCAATACAGTGGATGAACCGGTCGGAGTTGGTGGACGGCGAGTTGGAGTACTTGACCTCAAACCCGGTCTTGTACTGGGTGACGACATTGGCCGGGTATTGGATCGTGTAGAGGTGGCTGTACCAGTACCAGTACCAGTACCGGTAGTGGTACGTGCAGTGGCTAAGTTAGCACGTGAGGTTCCAGAGCTAGAAGGCCTTCTTGTCGGCGTACAAGGTCTGCTCGTTGATCTTGCGCTACTAGTAGAGAACGAGGTTAATGGGGCACGTGCAGCTGTTGAGGTGGCAGTGCGTGAGGTTCCAGAGGTAGAAGGCCTTCTGGCTGGCGTAGAAGGTCTTGAGCTACTAGTGGAAGACGAGGTTAAGGTGGCACGTGCAGCACGTGAGGTCGGCGTCGTTGACCTTGTGACAGGTGTGGAAGGTCTACTCGTTGACCTTGAGCTATTGGAGGACGAGGGCCGTTTGAGCCCAATTGTTTGGTTTCTGGATGATTTGTTGTCCCTATCTTCTTCACGGCACTTCTCTAACTGCAGAAACTAAGGGACCATCCATCACAGAGTATAATGCACATAAAAGCCAAAAATATATGGCGAGGCATCATAGTGAGTTCTTACCTGGGATTCAAGAGCCATCGGGTTAGCATCGATTTGGCTTTTACTCGGTGAGCCTGGTGGCGTAACCAGCCTAAACATTAAAAAGTAATAAGCATCAACAAACAACAAAAGTAAATAGAAGATTGTTTATTGTATACTTTTATTGAGGCTCTGGTCTTAATAGACATGAGAACTTTAAAACCATATAGCTACTACTAGGCACTAGCTAGTGAGAATTTCTTAGAATGCTTACAAACTCAATATCAGACATCAAATTTTCAGTCTAGCAACAATGTCTGAGAAAATTGATCAAGAATGTCCTAAACCGGGAAATGTTATTTTACAAGGCAAGTTTTCTGAATTTATGATCAGAATTATAGAAACCATGAAGGGGGAAAAAAAACATTACCAATCGTAATCGGACTTCTCGCTCTCAGAGTACAAAAAGTTATCGGCGGCAGTTCTCCGGAGAGGGTACCGTTGAGACGACATCGTCGTCGTACTACTTTTACAATGACCAGATCCTGCAAAAAACAGAACAAAAGAAAATAAATATCCAACAGCGTATTCAATACAATTTATAGTACGACGACCCGTTAAAAGCGAAGCTTGCTGACCATTCTCGAGTCGACGCATCTCCAGAAACATAACAAGCTTTTCTTCATCTCTATCTTGAGTCAACATTTTATGTCATTTTTTTATTTGAATTGTTGATGAAGGAAGAGAGTGGTGAAGATGTTCTTTTATGTGTTTTTTCTTTATTTAAAAATGTCAGATTTCATACCAAACAAAAAAAAAGTAGTTTCTAGTTATATCATTATAATGCGTATTTTAGTTCTCCCTACGTGTTTTTTTGTGTGTGTGGACGATATTATTAGAGCTTAACATGTTTGTTTGGTCAACGAAGTTTAAGTGTGAACGATATTAGTAGTATTTGCTTGGTCAACAAAGAAGTGTATTTCACAACAACAAAAAAAACATAGTGAAAAATCTAGTTCCATCGCACGGCCAAAATTTGAGATCTATCGGAACTTTTTCTGTCATCAACTCCCAAAAACATGTGTGATATTTTCTCGGGACTATTCACTATACAAAAAAGTATGTATGTACTATATGAATTATAAAACCAAGCTAATCATTTGATCAACATACTTGTCCTACTTCAACTTTGTTTTGCAAGCCGTATAAACCCCAGAAAGAACAGAGGATATACCAGGTCCTAAGCCTCATCATCGCTTCCGTCCGGTCTATGAAGCATCTTCCTGCATTTTTTTTGTTGTATTAATGAAACCAGTCCTCAAGATCACAGAGAGTTTAACACAAACACAAAAAGATCAGAGATAGAGAGAGGGATAGACTAAGATCTACTTTGCCGCAAGATATGGATCATTACCTCATCATACGGTACCTTGATTCAATGTACTCCACTGCGCTTACCTGTGAGAAAGAAACCACATAAGTCATGATCCACAACTCTACAAAGGTTAAGATTTGAACTTGTTTTGGTGAAATTGAGTTTTGGGTTTTTTTCTTACGTAATAAGCGCCGAGAGAAGCGGAACAGTAGACACATAGTACGTCACTCATAAAAGGATACGTGCTTCCACCCAGAAACGTATTGAAGCTGCCACCAAAATGAAGGGTTTTAATAAAAAAGGGTAAACATTCTCAAGAAAACCAAGAAATTTCGAACTTATACTTACACTCTACTGAACTCAAATAATTTTCCATGGATGCCAAGATCTTCCTGAAAAAAAACAAAAAGGGAACATGTCAGGTCTACATATATAAATGCACTGTCAATTCCATGAATGTAAGTCGAGAAACCGAATTCTCCAGGTAGTTTGGATTGTCTAAGAGCACATAACTCGTGGAAATGGCATGAGTGTCAAGAAACTAATAGTTCTTCCCAAAAGACATGAGTGAGTTTTTATCCTCGCAGAGACGAATGCCACCAAGAAGAGATTGGAAAAAGAAGCAGAAAAAACAGAGTTTGAGAGAAAGTGGAAATCAACCCCAGAGATGATATCACTTGAAAATCCGATATCTGTTTGGCACGTTCTGCATTTATAGACCAATCCCTCGAGTTCTATCACGAACAATCTCCCCATCTCGATCAAACCCACAACCTGGAGATTCCACAAGATTTTGATGGAGTCGATGGAAGATTTAAAAGGAAACTGACGATTAACATTCCGAGGAGAGAATCACAATGCGAGTTTCTCGGGAAACGATAACAGAAGTTTACCCAGAAAGTAGTTCACGATTAACGAAAAACGTCGGGAAAAGAGGAAGAACATATATAAAATCTACCAAAACCGCATATACTTACTTTTTCTAAAAGAATGCAACAACAATCAACAATCCAAAAAGAGAGAATCAAAACCAACTCCGCAATGCGAGAAATCAGAAACGATATCAGGAATTAACCTAAACGATAGTCGCGATCATGAGACACTGCATCAAATTGCCAGAAGAAAGGGGGAATTTCGAAGAAAAGAGATTATATCTAACAAATTCGCAGATACTACTTCTAAGATGCACGAAAATAAGGAGAAAGAAGAAAACCCTAGATGACGAGACAATGTTCGCCGAAGAAGAATCCATGGAAAAACTGTTCTCGGTGATTATACCGTTCCTTTCAACGAGTTTAGCAGAAAGAAATTGCTAAATGATTAAACAGAAGAGAAAGAGAGAGAGAGAGAGAGAGAGAGAGAGAGAGAGATAAATAATCACCTTGGCCGGAGATAGTGGCGCAGCGACGGTGAGACGGCGGGAGATTAGAATCTAGAGCTGAGTCTTGGAGCCAAACCCCTTGGAGTCGAGAGGGAGAGTAACAAAAAAAAAAAAGAGAAGACCAGTCAACAAGAGTGAAAGAGAAAATGCTATTTCGGTTTATGACGGAAACAATTTTTTATTTCGGTTTTTACCCACTTAAGACTGAGGGGGTCTCTTATCAATAATTTTTTAACTGTAACCCATTTACGACAAAATGATAAAAGCCATTGGGTGGCATGGCAATGTATGTAAACCTTCAATTGACAAATGTGAGCAGTGATCAAATATGTTTATTAAAATTTGGAAATTACTGTAAAGTAAAAATAGGTTCAAATCACTCTCTTTTCACATTTCTATGCTTTTGATGTCATGAAATTACTAGAGAAATTTTTTTTAGCAACACCTCAGACTTGGTCACAAAGATGGAAAATATATTGTCATGAGTTTAGGGTCATTGTATTCATCCCTTAATCTGGTCTAGACTAAAGTATTTGGTTATGTTAAATGAAATTCTTCAGTGGTTTTCTACGGTTGGTAACAATTTTGATGCAAACTACATCTTATGATTTTTACAATGAAGGTGATGATATTCTTAATTGCAGTGTTACACCTTTTCCTAGCTTTTATTCTTTAAGTTTTTTAAAGAACATAAACAAAAATAAAAAATTGATGTGAGAAAGAGATTTTCGAAACTGGTATTTCTTAAAGTTCAACCTTACCAGCTCAAAAACTTTTTAAATCTCCTTCTTCACATGTATGTGAGAGAAGGAAGTGTCAGCCCAGAAAACAGGACCTACCACAAAAATGCGTAAAATTTTATCACATATTTGCCTTCGGCAAGCTTTCCTTCTTTAGCATCTCCTCTGCTGGCTTTTCACAACAAATTTTATGTGAATATTATTAAGAGTTTAGATCAAGTGTATCTTGTATTGCAAGAAAGCTGTGTTAATCTGACGGTTAGATTTTTAACATGTTCTTCTTTTCCAAAACACGAAGATTGATTTATGCGTTAACATTATTACTATTTACACATGCAAAATAATTAATAAAGACAAAACTGGTATATTTAGAGAAAAAAATGAGAGAAAAAGTGGGATAGAAATTACTTGCAATAACATGAAATTAATGTCAGATTATTGCATTGAAAATTTGAATTCGAATATATAAAAAATTGCAAACAAAAATTATAATTGGAAAAGAAAACCAAATAAAACATCATAAAACAAATATAATTACAAAATCCTAAAAGATTAAAGGTAAGTTTTTATTCCGTACATGACATGCTTGATGAGAAGGCTTTAACCTGAAATAATTTAGAAATTATTATTATTATTATTATTATTATATTTTTTAATAAAAAATTGATTGATATGTATTAGTTGCTGGATACTTTGTCCGGTTAGTTTCACATATAATGTAAACCTAATCAATTTTAAACTAATCTATATTTTAATATGAATGAATATAAAAAAAGAATAGGAACACTATAAAGTTTCTTTCTCTTCACATTTCTTGCTTCTTGCGTATCATTCTATGAAAAAATTTTTTTAACTTGAAACAATATAAAAGACAAGGGTTATAATTAAGTTTTAATTAGTGTTTCTATTATTATTATTATTATTATTATTATTATCATATTATTTCCTAATAAAAAAACCGACTGATCTGTATTAATTGTGAAAACAAATTGAATATAAGTAATTTCTAATGACCAAATGAATTCAAATGGCTGGATACCATATCTGGTTAGTTTCACAATTAATGTAAATCTAATCGATTTAACTAATCTAAGTTTTAATGCAAATTAAAAACTAAAAAAAAAAGTTAAGAATAGAAGACATATCTTTTTTTCTGCGTTTTTTTGTCTCGTCATCTTCTTAAGTTTCATTATGTGGATAAAGGTTTAACCTGAAACATCAGATTCTATGTTTGGGTTAGATTCAAATTTTATTTAATATTGTTATTATTATCATTATCATTTTTTCTAATAAAAAATTGATTAATCTACATTAATTGTAGAAGCAAATTGAACATAGGTAATCTCTAACGACCAAATAAATTCAAATAGCTGGATACCATGTCCGGTTAGTTTCACAATTAATGTAATCTAATCGATATTAAATTAATCTAGATTTAGTTGTGAATAAATAAATACAATTAAAAAAAAAATAAGAGGACATATCTTTTTTTTTAAGATTGGGCGATTTTGGTTTTGTGATCTACTTGATAGACCTGTGTGTGATTTTTAATTCAATTGGTTAGTAAAAACAAGAGAAGTGCTTGGAATTTTCTTTAATCGAACTGGAACTTACTTATGAGGTAAGAAGGGTTTGTTGAAGTTAGGCATGAGGAACCATCGTCTTTCTCATTTGCTTCAGAAATATAAGAAAATATCCGGTTTAGGCATTACCAAGTGACTATATTCTCTTTGTAAAGATCAGATTAGTGAGACTAATAACTTTGTATGTTAGTAAACGAGTATTACCATTATAAGATTCCGAAACTCTCGGCGTGCGACTCTCACTCTCCAGCCACATTGAGAGGTAATCGTTGTTTTCTTCATTCTCACATAACAGCAATGACACAAACACCTTCTGATTTGACTCTGCATAACCAGTAAATTGCATGTCTTCAATGCTCAACGAAGTTGCACATGGTAACCACATTTGTTCCCCAATTCTATGATTCTTCAGATAATTAAAGATGAAACCCTAATCACGAAAATTTTACTTATCCCTAATCAAAGATGATTTTCTTCAATCGAGAGATTTTTGTCAATGTGCAAATCCTAATTTTCGCTTCTCGCGACAGAAATAAGTAAACCCACGAAACTGAGACCAAATTAAAGATCCAAATCACAGATCTAACAACGATACTATCACCCATCTTGTTCTGCAACCTTGGATCTAGAAATCAAACACACACAATCACACAAAAAGCAATGAAAACAAAGAGAGAGCAAAGAAACTCACGAGAAGGAGCGCATCTTAAAGCCGATTCAAACCAGAGCCCCGCTCGGCGAGCCTCTTCATCTGTCTCTTCGTTAATGAAATCGAACCATCGTGGCGCTAAGAACTCATACGTCTGGTCAATCATCGCCGTCAAGCACTACTAATTGGTTCGTCTGTCGGAGCCGTTGTTCCTTCCATAGTAAATCACAACGCCGACTTGTCACAGAAGTACGAGAGACAATTGAAGAAGAAATGGATGGAATTAGGGTTTTTTTTTGGTTCCTTATTTTCAGATGGAATGTGTCTGTAATCAGATTAAACAGAGAAGAAGAAGGATATCACAACGGTTATAAAAATTTTGAATATGGAGGAGTGTGTTAACTTACTTACTCCTAACGGTCTTCTTTTTCCCTTTTATTTTTCCGTCTCCATTTTTTCCAGCCAATGTTCCCTCTTCCGCAGTCTTAAAACTGTGTCGTTTCCGATGCTTATCTTTCCGTGCTTAACGGCGTCGTTTCATAATCAATTAAAATTTGTTTCGTTGATTGACTCTATTCAACTATGTTTTGATTAGCTTATACAGTCTCTACTGGTATTAATGTATAATGCAAAATTTTACTTAAAAAAAAATGTATAATGCAAAATGACGAGAATTTGAAAACATTTACACACTATTTAACGGAAAAAAAAACTAAACTTACTTAATTTACAAAAATAAAAACCTGATTTCCCAAAAAAATTATGATTAATAAAAATTCAAGAATTTTGATATGTTGTATTGTTCAAAATTGTCAAATTCCAGCCCTTAAAATGAAAGATGTTTCAAATTCTGAAATAGATCTTAAAAACGTCCAAAAATCTCACGCTCAAATTCGAAATTTGCTGTCAAACGATTAAATCGTTCTCTATGTATATTAAGCACCAAAGTGATAAGCTTTGGATTTTGCGAAACAGTGACGTACCCCAAATTAGATGCATATTGCATACATATAGAGTAGTCATGGAGATACCAAAATGAATTCGTCCAAAAACATTGAACTTACTCAATACCGTCAAACAATATTTTCTATTTCATTTATCCGTATACTTCAATGTAAATTACTGCTTCATTTGTACTTATTTTTGTCGTGACTCTATCCATTTTTTTAAAACACATTTTTGGACTTGAAATATCAAAAATATATATGCCTATATAATTAGGAAATAGGAAATTTTGTTTAAATTTTCATTAACAACAAAAAAAGTTAATATTACATATTGTGATTGTGGCAAGGATTAGGAAATATCAAATATATATGCGCATAGAAGAGTGAGAAAAGAAGACAACCAATAGCATCTCAGAATCATAAAAAAAATAACCATCCCTAGGGTATTGGAACAGAAGAAGATGAACAAAGAAGAGGAGGATGGAATCTCGATCCATCGGGATCTCGTGATAGAGATATTCTCAAGAATACCTGTGAAGATGCTCGTGAGGTTACAGTGCTTATCGAAAGAGTTTTCAAAGATGTTACAAACTCGAGACTTTGTGGACGCATGCTTGTCTCGCTCCTCGAATCGGTCACGTCTCTTGTTTTATTTCCAATGTTATGGTAACCCGCTCGTTTTCTTCTCAGCGCCTCACTGTCTCTGTGAGATATCCTCCCTGTTATATGTAACCCTGCCACGAGACAGCAGCTTAGCTTACTCAATCTTGGGAAAAAGTTATGACTTGAAGGAGTTTGTGATTTTCCGATACGATCCAATCTTTGATCAGTTCAAAGTATTGTGCATATCGGGACCCCAAAATCAGTATCAATTTTGGGTCCTCACAGTGGGAAAATATGGTAACTTGTGGAGAAAGATACAAGGCATGCCTAATCATCTTCATCCCTCCAAATTATGTGGTCAATGTGGTATATGCATTAATGGAATCTTATACTTTCAAGCTGATTGCCACACCCCTGGTTATGGTATGACTTCTACGCATGTGGTGAGCTTTGACCTCAACTCTGAAAAATTCAGTCTTGTGAAAGCCAACTCTCATCTTTCTTGGTTTTCAAAGCTGGTTGACTTTCAAGGGAAGTTGGGTTTTATATCTCGTGTTAAGGACTGCGAAGTTGAGTTTTCTTGTCTTATGAAAGACAATGAATGGTCGTCAGAGATTTTTCACGTACCTGGGGCTCGAGTCCCCGATTATCGGGAAATCTCTAGCTCCGTGTTGGGCATTTGTGAAGGCGAAATCGTTTTCGCACCGCCTTCTTATAAAGATGGCTATACTTGGCATCTTAGCCTAGAGAGCAAAACTACTAGGAAGGTCCATTTTGAAACCCCCTCCAAGGACGAATCATATGCTTCTGATGTGGTTTTCTTTTTCGCAAACCATGCTGATACTCATGTTTCATTATTGTAATTTCGTTCGAAACTATGTTTTTACTCATACTCATATATACATATAGTCTCGTATTTCAATGTTGGCGGAAGAAGAAATCCATGGATTCTCAGTGATGATGCGTGTTGAGTTGAACAATACAAAACTGTCTGGTTTATTATGTAAATCAAAATTTAATCACTAGGGAATAATAATAAATGAAAATTAAGTAGTAAAAAGACATTGTTTGCCCTTAAACTCCTTTAACTTTTGTGTAACGAGTCTCTCTCATTTACTTTAAGGGTTTCGATTTTCGTTTCACATCCACAAGAACATAAACAGGCCGTCAACGCGTTTCCGGTGAGACACTGATTGGTGTATTGTCTGATTCTCCTCGGATTGGTATCTCGGGAAAGGGCTGAGCTGAGATTTGGGCGGTTCGTTCAATAGAAACGAATTTGATTGTCGATTGATTTTGGGCGTTTCCTGATTCTAATACGGTGCTGCAGAGAAGCCAATTGGGATTTTGGATTCTGCCAGTGATGGACCTTAATGCTTCACCACAGCCCGAAGAAGACGATGATCCCTTTCACAAGAGACGTCTTGAAGACCGAACAGAATCTGCAGTTGAGATCGCAAGACGGGTATTGAACACGATATATTCATTATTTGCGTCTCAAATCCCCTGATGATACTTTGGATGATATCACATCTCGTGGTTCAATTGTCTTAGGAGCGTGAAGAGAGAAGGAAAAGAATTAGACTAGACAGGCCAAGCCGAATGTCTCAGCCAGTTGTCCGTGATCAAAACAACCGAGACACCAGAGTTTATGATATAAGCAAGATCCCTCAAGGTATGCTTTGGTTGGCACTTTCTCGAAAGAGTTTCAGCTTCAGTGGTTTCATACAGTATGTTTGTGCAACAACAGGTTGGCTAGATTGTCCAGGTTTTGGTCTGGAAATAGGATGTATTATTCCTTCAAAGGTTCCCCTTAGTGAGTCTTACAACGAACATGTTCCGCCTGGCAAGAGATACTCTTTTAAACAGGTGGTCCGTAACCAGAGAATAAATGGAAGAAAGGTAAGTTTCAGCCTCTCTGTGCTATATGCAAGTCTCTCAATTCTGTGGTCTAAGTTTACATTCCGTCTTTTTTTCAGCTTGGTCTAGTGATTGATCTAACTAATACAACGCGTTACTACCATACACTAGACTTGAAGAAGGATGGCATCAAGCATGTTAAGGTGACATGTTGTCTTTTTATGTCTGTATCGTCTGCACCACCATTAGCGGATTGCTTTATCTTCCTTTTCCTGTGTTGCAGATCGCATGCAGGGGTCGTGATGCCGTACCAGATAATGTTTCTGTGAACACCTTCGTCAACGAGGTACTTGTATCTTAAACTCACAGATTTAGTCCACTTCTCTTGAGGCACAACCTTATCTACTGTTAGTTATCTCATTCGAGGATACTGTCTCCAGGCTATTCAGTTCATCATGCATCAAAAACACCCAAAGAAGTATATCCTCGTCCACTGTACGCATGGGCATAATCGGACAGGGTTCATGATAGTTCATTATCTTATGCGCTCTAACCCAACGATGAACGTTACACAGGTTTAACCTTTTCGGGTTTGTACTTGTGCATTCGTTTTGATTTTTTTAGAATGAAGAATCTTACCTCCGTGTGGCTTTTGGCAGGCTTTGAAAATGTTCTCTGATGCTCGCCCACCTGGGATTTATAAACCGGATTATATTGATGCCTTATACACTTTTTATCACGAAATAAAGCCTGAGAGTGTTACTTGCCCACCAACTCCTGAATGGAAGAGGTCTACCGAGCTTGATCTTAATGGTGAAGCAGTTCAAGATGATGACGATGATGATGATGCTCCGCCTGGCCCTGTCCAAGTAAATGTGGTACTAACAACTGCTTATTGTTTATTAAGTCTTTAAGGTTAACACCCATTTGCAGAAATTTTAAAGACTGAAAAAGTTTATAAAGTGTAAATCTCATTTTGCTAATGGGTCTGTTGCTGATCGTTCCTTTCTTACTGTTTTGGGTTTTCAGGAAACCAATCAGGAGACTGTGAAGATGTCAAATGATGACGTTTTGGGTGATGAAATACCCCATTATCAGGAGGAAGCTTATCGGCAATTCTGTTATAAGATGCTTATGATGAAGAGTGGGGTAGAAATTTGAAATACTTGTTTGTTATACTTAGGATATTCTTCATGCCTTCTTATGGAATATTATGTGCTTTTCCCTCAAGTGACTGGATACAATTTTGTTTCCTTTTTCTCCCTATTTTGTGAATAGTGTAATCTAACACTGGCTCTTGAATTATCTCTGATCCAGGGAAGAGGATTTATGCAATTCCCAGGCTCACACCCTGTATCCTTAGACAGGTCCGACTCTCTGCTTTAATTTTGGTAGTGCATGCAAAGAGGATTTAGCAACTGTATGTCCTTAATTCCGGGGTTCATTAGTCCTAGTTTTCCAATGTAGTTTAATCTTAAGCCTTTGCATACACTACTTTTGCAGGGAGAGCTTACAACTTTTGAGGCAGCGGTACTACTATGCGACATGGAAGGCAGATGGAACACGTTATATGATGCTCTTAACTGTAGATGGGTGCTATTTGATAGATAGGAGCTTTAAGTTTCGAAGGGTACAGATGCGTTTCCCCTGTAGGCTCACCAGTGATGTGAGTAGTTTTCTGCCATTGCTCAAGAGGCCTTTTGTGTCGATACCTAAAATTCGTAACTGACCTATTTGGCATTGGGCTGTAGGGACATTCTGATAAAGTGCATCATTACACTCTGCTTGATGGAGAAATGGTTATAGATAATTCGACGAATGAAAAAGGGCAGGCCAGGAGGAGGTACCTCGTATATGATTTGGTCGCAATCAACGGCGAATCATTCGTAGAGGTTGGAACTGTCATTATCTGATATGCAGCTGTCGTTTTAACCGAGTGTCTATGCAGGTGTTTCAGAAACTAAAGATGACTTACCATTGGTATTTAAAAATGAAACAGCGGACTTTTTGTGAAAGATGGAACATGGTCGTGCATGAGGTGATCAAAGGCCGTGAGGAAGATAAGCACAGAAACCATTGCTACAGATACGACCTGGAGCCTTTTGGAGTGAGTTGCATTTTTACTGCTCGTTGCCATGTTCCCCTTTCTTTGTATAAATTGTTTGGTGAAAATTTTAGTTTTTGTTGCGCAGGTACGGACAAAGGGGTTTTGGTTACTTTCTACTGTTGAGAAGCTTTTGAAAGTTACCATTCCGTCGCTGTCTCATGAATCAGATGGCCTAATATTTCAGGTAACCAAGGGATGTTATCATATTGAATAGATTATAGTTTTGTTGGCTAAGAAAGTAATAGGGTCTTTTTGTGGACTGGTAATGATAGGGTTGGGACGATCCATACGTGCCTCGGACCCATAAAGGGCTGCTGAAGTGGAAGTACGCGGAGATGAACTCAGTAGACTTTCTGTTTGAGATGGGTGAGGAAGAGGGGAGTCGCGGGATGCTCTTCTTGCATGAGAGAGGGAAGAAAACGCTTATGGAAGGACATTCGGTTGAGTTTAGAGATGGCTCGGATCCGCCAAGTTACAATGGCAAGATTGTAGAGTGTTCATGGGATAAGGTGAAGCAAGTTTGGGTCAGCATGCGGATCAGAGTTGACAAAAACACACCAAATGATATCAACACGGCTCGTAAGGTCAGTGTGCTACTGAGACGGATTCTTATCTGATTTCAGCCAAAAGAACAAAAATATTGATTTGTTTCATTCTTGTGTGATAAAAAAAGGTGATGAAAAGCATAGAAGACAACATCACGGAGGAAGTGTTGCTTCAGGAGATAAAGGAGATCATTCGTCTCCCAATGTACGCAGACCGAATTCAAAGCGACCTTCGAGCTGCTGCACGCCGAAGGTGATTTGTTCAGTTTTTGGGTTATCAGGTCACTCTTGTACTCGAATACTTACTTTTTTATACAGCTTTGTAACACTAAATGGGACCAGAACGATGGTTGCTTTGTTTTTTATATTAGTCAGCTCCTATACTCATTCATTTCTTTAACGCAGGATAAAATAAAGATTTTTACTGTGTAAAATAATTAAAAAAAAAAACATTTTTCCGGCTAACCATGAAACAAAATCTGTCGACATTTTGAAAGCAGTTCGTCACAAAATGCCCCCAGATACACCTTTGTTTCACCCACTTTCAAAGCCACGAAACAAACGACAATACAAAAAGGGCCATAAAACTAAAAAAAGGATTGGTGGTGTTTCAAGCCACACACGTCAAAATGGCTTCTCCGATCACGAGTCCTTCAACCGCATCCAGCAGTCTCTCTTTTGTCACCTGAGTGAGTCACCATATATTCACCATATATTCACCATATATTCACTCCTTATTATAAAATTACAACATATCTTCAACAAATTTGATTAGAAAATATATAAATACTAATCCCAATTTCTTTTACATTAATTACGACCTCCTTAGCATATTAGGATACCCCGGTTGAATTTTTTAAATCAAAAACTTGAGAAGATATAAAGCGACGTAGTTTTTCGGGGGTTACCGTGTGACCAAGATTGGGTTTGTCGTCGAGAGCAAAGAGCTTGAACTGGAAACGATGATCGTGACTAGGCATGAGGGGCCCACGCCATCCCGGGATCTTGTGATCGTTATTCCCTTCTCTAATCCCGGCGATCGGCTGCTCGTCCTTGCCGGAATATCCTTCGGGAAGACCTTTCATCTCCGGCGGAATGTCGACGACCACCCACACCGTCCACGGCACGAGCGGTCCACTAGGATCAGGAGCATCAATGTCCTCCACCACCAACGCTAGCGATTTCGTACCTTCTGGAACGTTGTACCTACACACACACACACGCAACAATATCGATCACCGTAATTAATTACATATCGCATATTTATATTGAATTTGTTGCTAACCCAATACAAGAGCACGATTAAAATACCATTCAAGAGGAGGAGAGATATCCTTTTTCACACCTTGACCTCCCTTCGTATACTTTCTCGGCAGCTTCCCTTCGTTGTCTATCGTCGGCGACACCAACCTAAATTCATCACTCGACATTTTCCTTCCTTTTTTTGGGTATTAAGAGCTTAGAAATTATTTATCTTAGTTTTATCGCAATTTATTCTTGATTTGTAAGAGGTCTCTCTATAGTTATGGTGACACATTAATGCAACGTGGCGTCATGCGAAATTTGGAAGGGCCTGGAGACGACCTGTAGGTTACACCGTGGTACGTTTATGATAATGACTTCTGGCACAACAACTCCAAATAATCAGTTGATGGGCATAAATTGTTAATTTTCAGCCCATTTGGCTCACCTTCTTAATCATCATTTTTAAAACAACATTATAAAAACATTATCAATTTTATCAACTTTCCTGTACAACTGATTTTGATACACACTTATTTTCTGTGTTTCTGAATACTTTTCAATATTCAAATTTGGTCATCATATCCTGAGCAAAAAAATCTATAATTATCACCACAATGTCTATGGATTTATAGATTAGGTACTCAAAAATGTTTGCATAGATCGAAACAAAAATTGAAAAAAATATATGGTTGATGTGAGAGGTGTTGTAAATATGATCAATTTTTTGTATTTTTTTTTTGGTTAAAGGTGAATATATGATCATATTAATATAGAATGATGAATCGGTTTCCTACGTTTCACCGTTCAAATGGCCAAAAAAAAAAAAAAAAAATTATGTAACTTTACTGTATCTGAGTCACTATGCGGCTGGAAAGGTACCAAAGTAAATGTAGAGACAATAACATGAGTTCATCACCATCACCAATAGTCACGCCTTCGATCGCTTTCGCATTTATTTTACCTATTAACCACTACGCCTTTAGTGTTTTATTTTTTGTTCTTGTTCGTTTAGCTGCTCTAGTTTGGCAAAGGTAGGCATATCACTATCCAAAATCCTAACTTATTTTCCTTCTATTTTGTAAAAAACCGATTTATATATTATATATTGGTGTTATCACACATTTTACAACCTCGTATCTTAATTGTACTGTATGTATGACATTTAAAACAATAATTCTTTTTTTCTTTCGGTTTTCACTTCATCTGTAATTCTCTGCTACATATTGGTTGTATTTAGAAACATAGTAAATAATAATTATATCAATATCTCAAAACCTAAAAACGAATGATACAAAATTAGATTTAAATGTTTGGATGAAATTCTTTCAAGCCATGACTTTTAAATACTTCCACATTTGTTTCGACAACCCATTTTTAGTCTTTCAAAATTCGTTCTTTCGTAGGAACTAGCAAGTAGCAACTAGGAAGGAGTTAAGGAAAAACAATTGAGGGAAAATAACTCAAAAGCCCGAAAATACTTCTCACACAAAAAGTAACGTCTAGTTCACTCAACGGCTGAGACGACAGTTACCTATCTCACAGTTGAAACTTACATGAACATTTAGTACGATATATATATACAACTAAAAATAATGAAATTCATTTCTTCATTATTTTCAAATTATTTCGATTTTAAAGAAGAGAATTTGAGTTGAAAAATAATGTGCAAAGAATAGAATGACCGAATCCTGGAGCAAAGCCACTGTTTCGAGCTCATGCGTCTTTCCAGCATAGTTGTTGTTATTCTGTCTTTTCAAATCAATGTACTTTCTTTATTTCTTGCACATATAGATTCAAATATGTTTTATTCAAATGAAGAGAATAAAAGCAATTTTACTCTATAGCCAACTGAGTTATAAAATTCCCGATTTTTTTTTTTTTTTGCTTTACATGCTTTTCTATTGTGAGGAATATGTACAGGCTTATTTACTTTTTTGAACATATCAATTTTTTGGAAGCGATGATTTTGTATAAAAATTATGAGAAAAAAACGAAGATATGCCAAATGAATTGGGACAGGTTACTGTGTGTAATGTGCTGTGCGAATGTAAACTGTATCGAAAGTAGTTGTTTGAGAAGACAGTACGTAGAGTTTGAGTTGTAAAAAATGATTAGGGTTTTGTTTTTGTGTGCTTTTCAGTCCAATGTTTTCACCGAACCCCACTAGCTACTACGTGAAACCCGGAGGCTCACGTGCTCTTGCAAGAAAAAAAATTGTTTTGATTGGAAGAGAACAATTCACTGATTTTGGCGATTACAATTTCATAAGCGTAAGTTTAATCAAGATAATTAGAACTATTTTAGAATTTTAGAATTTTTGTTGTTACAGTATAATCCATATGTCATATGTTCTAGTGTATATGTATATTGAATATCGTACTCAATAGGCCTAAATGTTTACACAACCTCGACACTAAAGCAAAACAACATCATTTTATAATTTCAAAAGTCCCCACAGAGCCAATTGTCATAGACTCATAGACCATTTGTTACAAAATGAACGGTACATGCAGTATTATAATTAAGTCGAGTTGAGTTAGTGTATTATCACTTATCACTTATGTAGATAAATAAAATTCATATACAAAATGTAAAGGTAATATTTATCAAAACAAAACTTCTGCTAAATGTAAAACTACACAAGGACCGGCGATATATAATAATTAACCAACGTTGCCACTAAACCAGTTCGTATGTAACTATATATACGCATGCTACGTAACGATACACACCACGACAATCACTATGGATCATTCCAGTTTTCCTAGCCAAAACCCTAATTCATCATCCACCACTTCCTCATCCTCATCCTCTTTCCACGGCCACACGGGCAAAACCGGAAACACAAAACGGTCAGCGTCAACGTCCAAGTTATCGACGGATCCACAGAGCGTGGCGGCGCGTGAGAGACGGCATCGAATCAGCGAACGTTTCAAGATTCTACAGAGCATGGTCCCTGGTGGTTCGAAAATGGATACCGTGTCTATGCTCGATGAAGCCATTAGCTACGTCAAGTTCTTGAAAGCTCAGATCTGGTTTCACCAAAATATGCTTCTCTTCTTCAACGATCACGAAACAACGTCGTCGTCTTGTACTTACTCTCCCGCCAGCGTCGGAGAATCTGGACCAGTGCTCATTGGGTGTGATGACGATTATGCCCCTGTAACGGAGACGTACTCACAAGCGATGCCATTTACAGTCACGGACTCGGAGAATTCGATGTGGTTTGGGTCGGTTGATAATGAGCTAGAAGAAACCATGCATCGACGTGGCATGTCTTAGTCGTTAGCCATATGCAAACGATATGTTATTTGTATTATATACAGAATATATTATATATTTTTCTTATATATTGTCGTCGTCATCTTTAGAAACTTTAGTTTAAGGATTATTATGCATTTAGAATTTCAATTATATGTATCTAGTATTTAATTCTATGTATTTTGGAGGAGTAATATATATATAAACTTAGTAGATTTGGTTGTTTTCACATGCGGGTTTATTTGTATGTGGGGGATATTGCTTTCAATGCAGTTGTCGAGTCAAGTCTACAGTATACCGTTTTCATTTAGTACTAATTTCAAATTTCAAGGCTAGGTCCATAGACATCAGAGCGTTTCTATGTATAATGGAACAACAACACGTCGTTTCCATTGTGGGTAGACGCCACGTATTACAGATACACGCGTGCCACACGACATGCATTACGAGGTCCTACTGCTATTAGAAATCGGAGATACAAGAGAGACGGGTTCTCCGATGAACCGAGAGAAAATGGAAGTGCAAACCGAAGACTCTGGTGATTCAAACCTCTTCCTGAAACAACGACCCCTTCAATTTCTGTAGTGTTTTAGAGTAAACCTTTTCTGATAAATTTACGGCGACAATGGCGGATACTGAAGCAGAGAAGAAGGCGAAGCAGATAGTGGTGCTTCTGATTGGTCCGCCAGGAAGCGGCAAATCGACGTTCTGTGACACCGTCATGCAATCCCCTCACCGCCCTTGGTCTCGCATCTGCCAGGTCTCTCTCTCTATCGATTGCTCAGAACCTGACTGATAAAATTCCGCAACGAGACTAAGAAGTAGAATATCAAACTAGCTTCTTCGTTCATAAAATCCCCTTTTGGTTTTGTTGATAATAGAGGTCGCTCCAAATTCGTTGATGAATATATGAGATTCCAATATTGTCTGCCATCAATACTCACAAAACAAAACTCTACGATTTTTTTGACCTGTGAAGTAAATCGTTAGAATTAGAGCATGGTGACCCTTATAAGATATCTCTCTTCAATATGGTTAATATCAGTTTTAAGGTTTTGTGTTGGCTTAGTTTTCATAGTTTTATCTCATTCCAGGACATTATTAACAATGGCAAAGCTGGAACCAAAGCTCAGTGCCTAAAGATGGCGATAGGATCTCTGAAAGGCGGCAAGAGCGTTTTTATAGACAGATGCAATCTTGACAAGGAGCAGCGGTCAGAGTTTATCAAGCTCGGTGGTCCTGAGGTTGAAGTCCACGCAGTGGTTCTGGAGCATCCTGCTCAGGTTTGTATATCTAGATCAGTCAAAAGAACCGGTCATGAAGGAAATCTTCAAGGCGGAAGAGCTGCAGCCGTTGTGAATAAGATGCTTCAGAGCAAGGAACTTCCGAAAGTGAGTGAAGGCTTTTCTCGAGTTATGTTTTGCTACAACGACGCAGATGTTGAGACTGCTGTGAAAACATACAGCATGCTTGGTCCAATGGATACTCTTCCTTCCGGCTGTTTTGGGCAGAAGAACTCAGACACAAAAAGCCAACCCGGTATAATGAAGTTCTTTAAAAAAGTCAGTGCGCTTCCTGGTTCATCATCTTCTAATGGAGCTACTGAAGCAACTCGCAAAGCTAATGAGAAAACGGAAAATGTCCGAGTTTCGCCAGTTAAGCTTGGCTCTGCTGATATTGTACCTACACTGGCATTTCCGTCAATTTCGACTGCAGATTTCCAGTTTGATCTTGAAATGGCATCTGATATCATTGTCGAGACAGCTGAGGAATTTCTGCCTAAACTTGGGTCTGCACGGCTTGTCTTGGTGGACTTGGGCCATGGATCGAAGATTCTCTCTCTGGTCAAGGCTAAGGCTTCTCGGAAGAACATCGACTCAGGAAGGTTTTTCACATTTGTCGGAGACATAACTAAGCTTCGTTCCGAAGGTGGTCTGCACTGCAATGTTATAGCTAATGCTGCTAACTGGTAAGCTTCCATTATTTTCTTGCTCTTCAGTAGATTGCTTTACAATAAGGTAAACATATTTTGTAAGCAAAAACTCTGTGCAGGCGCCTTAAACCTGGAGGTGGAGGTGTGAACGCAGCGATATTCAAAGCGGCTGGTCAAGACCTCGAGGCTGCGACAAGAGCACGAGCCAACACTCTTATTCCAGGAAAAGCCGTTGTAGTTCATCTTCCTTCTACTTGCCCTTTACAAAATGCAGAAGGAGTTACACATGTGATACATGTTCTAGGACCAAACATGAACCCAAACCGACCGAACTACCTCAACAATGACTACACCAAGGGCTGCAAAACTCTCAGGGAGGCTTACACATCTCTCTTTGAAGGTTTTCTGTCGATAGTACAGGATCAATCAAAGCTGCCCAAACGAAGCAACCAAGCAACAATGTCAGATTCTGGTGAGAATATCAAGGAAGAATCCGAGAGAAACAAAAGGTGCAAGGGGGCACAAGAAAAGGCCACAGCTAATAATAGTTTGGAATTTGGGTCTGTGGATGAAATTAAAGACAGTGGAAAGAAGATGGGTAAAGGGTGGAGCTCTTGGGCATTGGCACTCCACACCATCGCAATGCACCCAGAGAAACATGAGAATGTCGTTCTAGAATTTTCAGACCACATTGTTGTGATAAACGACCAGTACCCAAAGGTAAAAGTCTTGATGCTGGCCTGGTTTATACATAGTGTCTTTCTTCATGAGACGGTTGAAAAACAGGATATTATTTTTCAATTAAATTTAGGCGCGGAAACATGTGCTAGTACTGGCGAGGCAGGAGAGTGTAGATGGGCTTGAAGACGTTCGCAGAGAAAATCTTCAGCTTCTTCAGGAAATGCACAATGTTGGTCTCAGATGGGTTAAGAAATTCCAGGACGAGGATGCATCTCTTATCTTCCGCCTTGGATATCACTCGGTACTCAATCAGTTATCCATGGCATTGAATTTTCCGTTATCCGTCTTCCACTTTGTGTTGCTCGTTTTAGAGTATAGTGCTAAAGAGTTCAATTAGGAAAATCATCTAAATTAGTTTCTTTTCGTTTCCAGGTTCCGTCGATGAGACAACTACATCTACACGTTATAAGCCAAGACTTTGAATCGGATAATTTGAAGAACAAGAAACACTGGAACTCTTTCACGTCCTCCTTCTTCCGTGACTCAGTCGATGTGCTTGAAGAGGTCAAGAGCCAAGGCAAAGCCAATGTGGAGAGCGAACAGGTTTTGAAAGGCGAGCTGCGTTGCAATCGGTGTAGAAGCGCACACCCGAATATCCCCAAACTCAAATCGCATATCAGAAACTGCCCTTCTCCTCTCCATCTACTCCAAAACAATCGCCTTCTGTCTCGACCGCAGACTTATGAATAATAGACCGGTTGGATTTCGGTTAGGATTTATAATTTTTTTTTTTGGTTTAAGAAATATCCAACCGAACCGAAATTTATATGTTTGGATTTATTCGGACTTTATGGTAAAGAAGCACAATTATTGAGATTAGAATGGAAAAGTAACTTTTATTCCATTACCACCAATTGGAAAGAAACTAATAAAGTTATAAAAGCAATAAAAACCAGAGGGAAAATAAAGCAGAGTACTACTAAACAAGAAAACAAATCTCATTAAATATCTAAGAAACGATTAAGATGCGAGATGATTCATTTCTCTCTCTTCCCTTCCTTGTTACTTTGTTACTGAGGGTTGGGGGGACGACCATTAGCAGCTGCGACACGTGAGCCCCACTCAAGCAACTCTTTGCTCGTGTCATCTTTGTGAACAATCACTTCGATGAAACAGAGACAATCTTTCTTCTCCGATGTCGCCGTCTTAATCGCTTCCACCAACTCCTCCTCGTACCTCACCTATATATATATATATATATATATCAATTCATAACGTTATTAGGGCCGGTCAATCTCCAATTGTAAATTAGTCGTTGATTTGATAAATTACCTTTGTAGTCCAGCATTTGCCTTCACCGTTATGAATGGCATCGACGAGACCGGTGTAGTTCCAGTTCTTGATCACGTTGTATGGACCGTCATGAATCTCTACTTCAATGGTGTAGCCACCATTGTTGATCAGGAAGATGATCGTTTTCTGACCGTTACGCAGCATCGTGGATATGTCCTGAGCCGTCACTTGGAAACTCCCGTCCCCGATGAAGGCCAACACTCGCTTCTCTGGTACCGCCTGTGCATATCCCAGCGTCGCACCAACTGACCACCCGATCGACCCGTACTGCATCTGAAACTCGTACCTACAGTTGAATAAAAAGCTGAAATTGTGTTTGTTCCATTACGTGAAATTGCTAAAACATTAAAAGATCCACTGCTTCTTTTCCTTTTGGGGTACACGTACCCGCATCCTTTAGGCAGCTTCAGTTTCTGGCAGTTGAACCAAGAATCACCGGTTTCAGCAATCACGGCGGTTTCACTAGAGAGCATCTTCTGAATGTGCTGGAACATCGCGTTGACTCTCAGTGGCTCCTTCGGTTTGCATTTCAGTGGCTTACCTTCAGGGACGAAGATCCTGTGGTAGTTCTCGTAAGCGGTCTCGTTGCGCTTCACCCTCTTGGCCAGCTCAGAGAAGAATTCGCTCATGAGAACGCACCCAAAGGTCTGACCATTGGCGACAGTGACACGATCAGGTTGAACAATGATGGCTTTCTCTTTCTTGAGGAGAAGAGAGTAGCCAACAGAGCTGTAGTCGTTGAAGATAGGGCCAGCAAAGATGTATGCATCTGCAGATTCCACAATCTCGGAGCAGAAAGGAGTGCTTACAGCTCCCCAATAAGTGCCGATGAAGTGAGGATGTTCCTCCGGGACTAAGCCTTTCGCAGACGGCATCACTGCCAAGGGGTATCCTGAAGCATCCGCAAGCTCGACGAAGGCGTCGCTGGCTTTGGCTACACGCAATTTGACACCTCCGACCATGACCGGCTTCACGGCCTTGTTGAGGAACTCCAACGTTGCTTCAACCGCAGCTTCAAGACCCATCTTGTTGCTCAATCTGTACAAACCATCTTTTATAGGAAAAGCTGATATTCAGTAGATGATGATGGTTTCGAGAAGAAATGGTTTACCTTGGAGTAAGGGAGAAGGGGACAGGATCACGGCTGAAAGTAGGATGAGGAGTAGCAGCTAAGTTGCAGCTGATGCTGATATACACAGGCTTGCTCTCTTTCAGAGCTGTTGATATCGCCTTGTCGATCTGTTCATGAGCATCCTCCAAGTGGTTCACCACTGCCTGAGACACACACACACACACAAATCAAACAAACAAAATCAGAAATGTTTCCGACGTGATAATTTGAGAATATTGCGAGCAGATTGATGATCGAGTTTGTTTGATTTTTAGTCATTTACCTGATAGCAGGTAACGGTCTGGAAACACCGGAGCTCTTGGCTGAAATCAGGTAATCCGATGGTGTGATGAAGAATCCGGTTAGTGCCGAAATCGTTTGAGTTTGGGCCGCCGACGATACAGATAACCGGCAGATTCTCGCTGTAGGCACCGGCGATCGCGTTCAAAACGCTGAGTCCACCGACGGTGAAGGTCACCACGCAAGCGCCCACTCCACGAGATCGGGCGTAACCGTCTGCGGCGTAACCGGCGTTAAGCTCGTTGCAGCAGCCGATGTTCTTGAGCTCCGGCTCCGCGATGAGGTGGTCGAGCAGAGTTAGGTTGAAATCGCCTGGAACAGAGAAAATGTCTGTGACTCCGGCCTGGACAAGACGGCGAGCCAAGTGACGGCCGAGTGTCGCTTCGGAGGAGCCGATGGTGATTGCGGAGGCGGGAACAGAGTCCTGGATTGTAGCGACGACGCCGCTTGGTGGACTACAGACGTCGCCATTCGTCGGCTTGCACGCGTCGATCGATCCGATTTTGGTGTCCATAAGATCCACGGAGAGAAAATAGAAATCGAGGGATTGGTTGTTGTTGGGGAATGATAGTGAAACTTTATTGGGTGTGTGTGTGTGTGACTAATAGAATGGAACGAAGGGGCTTTATATAACTGGGGGGATAGTGAAGAGAGAGGTTTCATTCACTATTTTGCTTGGGCTAGAAGTATAATAATATATCTATTCTCATCTTTCACGGAAAAAATAAATAAATTATATGCAATTTTTTTAGAATCTGCTAATTAACTAAATTTAAATACTTTTTACTCAAAGTTCTTAAAAGTATATTTACTACAGTAAATGTCTGAAACTAGTTTTGAGAGGTAAATTAAAAAAACAAAATGATAGCAGCAGTACCATTAATTTTTTCACGAAAAGATATCACTTGAGTGAAATGGGTTACTAAGAAAAATATCGATATTTTTTTTTTATAATAAAATATCACGATATTTATTACTTCGTTTTTAAACAAACAAATCCTAATTAGAAAAACAAAAACTAGTTGAAAAATAATAATTAGCTGACTTGTAATCTGTATCATTTGATCAAGTGCACTTTCCTTAAAAATAATATTTAAAAGTAATTTACATACCAAAATATACAGTGGAAGAAGGGACCCGTCCTTTAAAACCGTCTCCTTGGTTGTTTTCACAAACCAACGAAGTCGCTAGTATTCTCTCATTTCCGGCTTGGCTTCTCCCCAAATTATATTAATAATGAGTTAATGACTTTTTATCTGATAATTTTATCTTTTTGTTTTACTTTCTAGTTTTTAACTTAAAATTATTACTAAATGCCAAACCAAATAGATTGTTAATTTAAAGAATGTCGAACTAATTTGAGTACTTAGCAAAGCTGCTGCTGAAGATTTTTAAATATTCAACCATCTCCAAAAGCGGATCGTTGACATTTTTTTTTTTTTTTTTTGAAGAGGATCGTTATGTTGTGTGCTGGCATTAGCAATATAGTATTCGTTTTTCTTTATTTACGATTTATTTTTGTAAGATTATATTATGTATATTAAAGTACCAAAACATTTTTTGGGGTTCACTGTACAGTATGTAAAACTGGAAAATGTTTATTTTTGGTATGTGATAAATATTTTGTATGCTCTAAACTTGTTTTCCAAGGTTACAACCAACAAAAAATCTTGTTTTCCAAGGTTAAACCGCAATGCATTAATGTTTTTTTTCTCAAAAACCGATTCAACCTTATTATTGTGATTATTTTCTTAATTTTGATATTTGTTGATATACACACTTCCAAATTTAACTCTTAATTAATCTTGTAAAACAAGCTCAAACCTGAACCATTAATACATCTTTATTTCTATGATTTTCTTCTTAATTATGATACAGTAATTTTACTTGCGAAAATAGCAAACCAAATAAATATCTCCAGCTATAAAGAACGATCTACAGATGGGCTTTCTGTCAGTATATTTTGACTTATTGACTTATTTATGTTCGCAGCCCAATTTTCTCTTTGACGTATCTATGATCAAAAAATTAAAATACTGTATATGTTTATTAATAAGTGTAAACGGCAAGGAGACGTGATACCATTTGGTCTGCAAAAAGCCAAAAACACACACATTCGAACATTTTATCTTTTTGAAGTGTCATGGATTTGAAGAATCTCTGAGCTTAATTTGCCTCTTATACATATATTTTTCGAGTTTTGAACTTGTCATTGACCAACTAAACTTAATTGAATTTTAAAAATACACGTTAGAAGTAAATGAATAGAAATATGTATACACATTAAAATTATTTAATAAAATAAAGGATACGTATTTTTAATTTTGAATATAAAATAATCTGTATTTTTAACGTGAATTTTTATTTTATTTTAAGTGCTTCTGACGTGTACTTTTTATATTCAGGTATGTTTAGTAAGTCAATAACAAGTTGCAACAATCTGATTTAGAATTTTTTTGTTTTATAACAAGTTGGTATAATCTTGCGTCATTTTTTCCATGTAAATAATTGATAATCAAACACGTTAATATATTTTAAAAATACAAAAAAAGATCTGCACCCTCAAAGCTGTCGTCACGCTGTTTATTTGAAATACCAACGGAGTTGCCGGTAATATTATTATATTTTCTCCTAATTTTGATTGATAGTTGTTTTGTATTGTTTTTTTTTTTTAATGCTTCTCTACAAAATCATCACCATTTTTCCATTATTTTGGGTAAAGGTTTGTTTTTCAAAAACCCCACATCAAATAGTAATTGAATGATATTCTAATTTTTAATAGTAAACCAATACGATCATGATTTTAAAGGGAATAGTAAACTGTGTAAGAAGACTTATTTTGGTAAATCATATGTGTACTAGTTAAATTTTCCACTGATCACATCCGTGTTGAATCGGAGCCATTCTTTTACTGAAAAAAAAAGGTTGTATTGGAGCCATTTGGATTTGAGTGTTGAATATTAATCGTACACTACCACGCTCCTACAAATATTCTTAAAACGATTGAAATAGAAAACGTGTCCCACGGCAATTGGTAAAACTTACTGATTCCCATGGTGACACTTGGCGTTCATGCGTCTCCTAGTTACAAATACCACGGTGACGTAGACTAGACCTGGTTCGTATACGACAAACAACGCTTTTGTAGTCAAAATACCTTTTTTTGAAGGTCGAGAATACTTCTATTTCGAGTAATATCACAATTATAAAATCGAACACAATCCGAGAATCAACATCATGGGCGTGTATACCTTATCCAAACAACTTTATGAAAGACATAATAAAGTGGTTTCTATTTTAAATACCACACTTCGTGAGGAATTTAACACAAAAATTAGGATAATTCTCACGAGCGAATTCTATTCCCGGTTTTCTCTCGTAACTACAACTAGGTTTGAAAGATTATTGTTATTGGGCCTTTCTCACTGTCTCTAATATGATTTTGTCACTCTATTGGTATACAAATTGCATCGTTAATTTGGACAAGCATTACGACTCTTTTTAAAGTTAGGGCCACTTGGAAATCTTTGGGCCTTAAAAAAATACTGAAATTCTTTGGGCCTTAATAAAATACTGGAATTCTTTGGGCATTAATAAAATACTATCCTTATATCAAATAAATATGTTACTTTGGCTCAATTCAAACATTATAGTACCGACTTTTTATCTTGTTTTATTACCCTCCGATCAAGTTATTCCTAATGTGGCCATTAAATAATTTTGTCATTCTATTGGTATATACAAATTGAAACGTCAATTAGGACAAACATTACGGCTTTCTAAATTCTTTGAGCTTTAACGAAGTACTATCCTTATCTCGAATAATTCTGTAAATTTGGCTCAAATCAAACATTATAATTCCGTCATATTATTTTGTTTTATTACCCTCCGATCAGCTTGACAAGGATACTTGACAAGGATCGGTCTCGCTATTAATAGATTGGAAATAATGACAATAAAAAAAAGTGATTATTATAAGAATTTAAAGTGAATTTAAACACGTAATTATAAATTGAAAAATTTAAACAAAACAATGTAGCAGCTAAGAAGAAAAGACCGGTTATATGGAAGAACCGATCAAGTTATTCCTCATGCGGCCATTAAATGATTTAGGCAACTGGGAAAAAGAGAGAGATCGATATTCGATTCACTCGGCAAAAAGTTGCCTTCATAAAAACACATAATTGAAATACTTGTAGCAAGAACATAGAGCAAAACCAGCTTAAGACTTGGAAAAATTATCTTATACTAATTAATAAAGCTTATTTCAACTTGCATACAAAATTATCTTGGCAACAGGGAAAAAGAGGAAATCAATACATTCAATTTTATAATCACCTCGGCAAAAAGTTGCACAATTGTTCGATTCAAAACAAAACTAAAATCATGGTTCGACGATAAAAGAAAAAACCAAAAATTTTCCTTCAGAGTAACTATGACAATATTGCATCATATGGATCTGATTAACAGAATCCATAGCTTTTGATATGTAATCCTCATTAGGAAAAGTTGAAGAAGATTTTAACAGAAAAAAAAAAAAAAAAAAAAACGTTTCGAAGAACACTAGAGGGCAAGATACAAGGGGATCAACACACAAAAGAGTCCTATAAAAAGGAGAGGTTGCGATTAGGAGATGGAGATGGCGGCGGAAAACTAGGGTTTTGGTGATAGTTAAAATCGCGTTATATACGAATTAGGTAACTGCGGCAGAAAGATGTGGGCCTCGGTGTTCGAAACGCGGTCCATAATAAAGTGTCGGGCCGATCATAAATTGACTCCAGCCCAAAGTATCACATTGATGGAAATTTTTCTTTCTAAAAATTATTTATGGATTACTAAAAAAAATGCTTTCCACATTTTAGGATGTTACTAACATTACTAAGTCTGTTGGGGTGATAACAGTTTTTTTACAGTAGTTTGGTTTACGTTTTAGATTTCTACAACAAACATAAATGAAATATCTTAACTTAATTTTAATAAACACTTGTAACTCAAAAAAATGTGGTCGTTTTATATTATTTCTTGCTCAAATCGTTTTCGGGAGAATCGAATTTGGATTCCAAAATCCGAACAAGAGTTACAGAAATAAATCAACAACAAACCCTCTGACTTGTAAGAATAAGTGTATCTCTCTACAAAGGAGCATTCAGGAGATATCTCTTCTCATAGAGACCAGTGACCTGATCAGCAACAGCCCACATAATGGCTTGTCCTGGAGGAATCCTCATTAGCCTCGGCAACAATCCTCTCCATAAAGCCAATAATCCTTCCTCTGCATGAATCGTTCTAATCGCATGAACCATCCCTTTATATTTCACCCCACCTTCACTGTCTCGGCTCTGAGCCATCAGCCTCGTCTTGACCACATCAAACGGCCCGGTGCAGAAGGGACCTGCGGTTCCGGCTAGGAACCCTGAGACCATTGATTGCCATGGCTGCAAGACTTTACCGTCGCCTTCGTGTTTGTTCCACAAGAGGACGTCAAAGGCATTTTTTGCAGTGAACATCACTGCTTGGTTGGTGCCGTTACGCATAACCGTTGGTGCTGCACCTGACCATAGCCCCAATATGCTTTCTTCTCTCACGATGGTTCGAGCACAATGTATGGGCCCTTTGTACTTGAATAGCTCGGGACTTAATCCTTTCTGCTGCTGAAGTCTAATCTTAACCACCTGGAGATTGAAAGAAGCAAGAACATAGAACTCAACAAGTGTTTTCTTTCTTGAATGAAAGGAACAAGCAATATTTGTAGAGAACCGAAAACCTTATCTCTATATTTTATAACCACACAAGAACAAGACGACTTCTTTTACGCATAGGAACAAGCAAGGTTGAACATTTTCTTGAACCATGAAACCAGTCAAAGACTCAAAACGCTTTCTACATTATGTTTATGATTCTCCAGATCAAGACTTGGCATGAAAAACGGACTCAAAAGCACAATGCCCAGCTACGTAGCAACGAGATTCGATGGCATTTACCAAAATCAAACAGATCTGAATCAATAATTTTCATTTCCATGACTAAAATATGCTAATTTATTATTAAACCGATGATTCTGGTACGAGAATCATGCAAAAATCTCGAATTTTCACCCAACTAACTTTTATTAAACTATTGTTTAATTCGATTCGCAATCGAATAAAATATTGGGGAGACATGTGAGATTGCGTCAGAATTTCGGCGGTTCGACCCGTAAAGTAAGCGAAAAGGCAAGAAATGGAGTTTACCTCAAAGGGCGTAACAATGGCGAGAGCTTCGAGAACACCAGCGCCAAATCCGGAAAGAAAACGGTCACGGTTGCTGAGCTTTCCGGTCTCGGAATCCTTGAACGCGGTTTGGAACATGGCGTTGGATCCCATCCGAAGCGTGTACTTGAGCGTGAGATGAGTCGCGAACGGAGTTAAACCTTTCCAGAGCGCGCGAACGCCTTCGGTACGAACCACCGTGGAACCGCAGTGCGCGATTCCCTTGTACACGCCGCCGCGATCTAGCTGGAGACGCGTCTTGATGACATCAATCGGTTGCAGACAACAAGCCTCGACGACTCCGCCGAGCGACCCCGAGACTGCCTTCATGTACGGCGGAATCGACGCCTGATTCCTCGATTCCGTACTCGCCGCCGCCGCCATCTCTGGATCCTCGGCTGAGAAGAATCAAAAGACCTCTCGAAGCAGGCAGAGAGAGAGAGAGAGGTTGCGAAACGCTTATCTTCTACTGCTTCGTCTTACTCCTGGCGTCTGCTCTCTCGTTACAGACTCCACCTTACTATTTGTATTTATTATTGATGGAAGGACGAGATTAGCAAAATCATTTCTTCGGGAGCTACTTAAACCACACTAATGAAACCTCCCTTTTCTACAGCTGTCATTCTCACAAATATTCTATTAAAACAAATATATACTATCTGAAATAATTTATTTTTTTCTAATGAATGGATTACTAAACTATGATTTGAACTTCTTAAATATATGATCTGGAATCATTAAGACAAATGGTGTGTGGTCTGGTGAAACATATACAAAACTATGATGCTCGATAGATACCGAAATATGATTTGTCAATTGCTATCAACACATCAATTAAAAAAGAAAAAATAGTACGGCACCTCCATAAATAATACTCCAACGAGCACTAAAATAAATTTACGATATAATTTCAATATAGCACGAGCTTGCATTTTGTTGTCGCTGCAATCATAAAGCAGAAGCCTGTTGTCCAAAAAAATGATGCGATCGATGTGTTAGATAGAAGAAATTAATCTTCAATACAATTGAGAGTTGAACGGAGAAGGTTAAAGGAGTAAGTTTTGTCTCATGTCACATTATCTAGATTTAACGAACATATAGTTTGTGTCTCCCACTCCGATAAGAATAAGCGGTGCATAGGCAACAGTATTTTTTGTCTTGATACAAATTTATCTTACAATTTACAAAAAAGTAAAGACCCAACCGGAATTAAAAAAAGTTCAGAAATTGGTTAATAAAAACAGAATGTTTGATCCACAAGGTTATTATTACACTCAACGTTTTCTTTATTTACAAAAGATAAAACAAACCCATGTAATTAACAACTTCGGTGATTCTTGGGGAAATTTATCACTGTTTCTTGAAGGACTGCAAAGTAAAATAAAAACAGACATGTTAAAGTACAAAATAGTGTGCTTCAAAAACCCAACTGATGAAAGATTCATATGCAAAAAGACTCACGTCCATGTTCTTGGAAATCTCTTCCATCTGCTGAGCGACTCTCTCCTTATTCTCCGCAGCTGACAAAAAAAAAAGACCCAATATTAAGAAAGATCGTGCAACATGAGGGAGAAAGCAAATCAAACATACATAATCATAAGCTAAAGTTATAGACGAACCCATTTTTGAGATGTTTTCTATTTTTTTCGAAGTCCTCACAGCAAATCTCTGGAAAGCATGGCTGCCAAAACGGAAACATAATGTCAATGCTAAGGTTTTGAAAGAGGAAAATCTTGTTAACACAGGATTATAACAACTTCCGTGGAACATTTAGAGATCATTCAGTGTGCAAGAGAGTCTCCGAGAACTCCAAAGAATCAAATCACAAACAAATTATAAACGGACAATAAAGATAAACAGAAGAAAGAAACACAGCCTCAGACTCTTAGATTCAGGAGTAACGTCATGTCTTTGATCAGGACAAGCCTACGAAAATCATCACCGGCAGAAAACCAAAAAAGTCTTTAAACAAAACTAAGAATTTATATGAAGTAGCTCATGAGTTTATTTTATATCCATGTGCGGAATTGACACTGCAAAAACTCTTTAACAGTTGAAATATAGCAAATCTAATGCAAACAGCTCAAAACAAAATAAATTAACACATCTGAAAACCAATTTATAAGAAAGGAAAACAAAATCTCTCAAAACCAATTTTTAAGAAAGGAAAACAAAATCTCTCAATCTTCCTACGCTGCAGCGTATGGTATCTCACGCAGCAGACCAGCGTGTAAGTTGAGGCTATCTCGCTTCAATATGAACGAGCCGATGTGGAACATATCGAATCCAATCAGCCAGAGAAAGAAGCTTCTATTCAAACATTGATCCGGAACATGGAGCAAGGATCTAATATAAACAAAATAATCGACTACGAGACTGCAACTACCTGTTAGCCAATCCATTAACTATGAGCTCGTTTGCAACGTATGAAACGACTCTGGCAATGAAGTTTCCTCCTCCCGCCATTATCGCACTTTCCTATCACATAGATAACCCTATCATCAATTAATCACCCCAAATCGCAACAATTCTCTGGTATTAGCCTACAAGGAAAAATCGAAATCAACGGTCTAATACCAGAAACAAAAAAGCGGAAAAGCAAATCCAAATCGAGACCATATATTCCGATGGAAAACAATGTCTAACAAAACAAACGATACAAAAAAAAAGGAATTGAATTCAGCTGAATCGAGAGATCGTACAAGAAAGAGAGCAAAATTCGTAGGAATCGGCCTCACCTGATGCAAAGATGCAGACGGTAGAGGGAATTCTCGAGACTCAACGAAGTTTGTGTGACGTCTCTAATTATCTCGTTCCAGATTTGTCAATATATAGAACTCGACAACTTCCTGGTGACGGCGATGACTTGTTGCGTTACGAGCCTTAGGGTTACCATCGGACGGTCACATACATCTGAAATTAAATCAACGGTATAGATTACAACAGGCCAAAACATCACCCTAGTTACCCATCACTGGACATTCTTATTTTACCCTTCCATTCTGGCTCGATTTACAAATGGCCCAGCGTTTCATTTATGGGCCGAGCCCATCTTTGCTGTCTTTTATCAGATGAACTGCATGTCGTTGATGACTTGGATGTCACAGAAAAACGGACCGACGTTCCTTTATATTTTTGGCTTTGCCGTTGGGTGGGCAACCCGATTCGCGGGTTAGTTTAGTAGTATAATACAGTACAAGTTTCTGTTTTTTTCAATGCATTGTGTGGTGTAGGGTGGAGGATGGTGCTCAGCCGGAGGATTAGCTTCGATCTTTCACTGTGATGAGTTCAGGGAACTGTTACCTAACTCTACGAAAGTGAAGTGCTCAAGTGATGCTGGGATGTTTCTGGACGCGTAAGTCTCTTGAACGTGGCTTCTCTGTTTGAAAAAAATATCCAAACTTGAAATGTTCTGATGAAAAATGCAGAGCGGAGCATGACTTTATTTTGTTGGTCTTATCTTTCCATCATTTATAAGATTTATAGTTTCTGCATTTTCAAACAAAAATAGAAAGTTAAAATGATTTTTTTTTTTTAAATGATTTTGAAATCATCATTTCACCATCATACAAGTAGTTGATCGGAATTTAGGTAAGAACAGTATATATATGGATTAAAATTTCCAAGAAACATCAAAACAATTGTTTATGCTGTTATATGTTGATTTATTTGAACAGTCCACTTAATTTTTTTTTTAACATTGATATAGCTGATATATTTTGTATGATCGACTTATTTGGTATAGTCAACTACTCAACTTATTTAGCATGTTCAACTTATTTCGTATGGTAGACTTACATTTGGAAGAGAGGAAAAACATTTACACTATATTTATGTGCACATCTGCAGAGTAAGATGGACCACTTGATAAAGATTATTTCCATATGATTACAGCAATTAACATAAGTGTGTTATTTATTAAAAAAAAATACTCTGAATGGTGGAAATTAGGGAAATAACTTTATAACCCATGAAAATGTGAATGTATATCGAGTGTTTGTTTCTCGGAATTGAGATTTTTTTTTTTTTTTTGATGTCATTGAAGTCTGAAAATATTGTTGTCTGGGCTTTGTGGGCCGCTCAGCTTTTGTTATCTGAGGAAAAATATCCAACGGTCATGAAGAGACTCAATTTTACAACGGTAAGAAAATAGCCGTTGTAAAAAAAATGCCAACAACACAGAAAATTCCTATTTCGAAAATCTTCTCTTCCTCAGCGTTTATTATTTCCAGTTACAATTCTTTATTTTTTGTTCTTTGTTTTGGTTTATTTGCTGCTTGAATCGAAATGGCAGAAGTGAAAAACAACTTTTCAGCGAACCAAGAGACCCAGCCGATTGATTCTCTTCCTTCTTCGCCTTCTGATTCTGGTAATTTACGCAGCGACGGAAATTTTATGCGGCTTCGCTGGAATTAGGTCAATACCAAGAGCAATGTCGGCGCCAATCGCAACCAAGCCTTTGTCGAACTTGTAAGATTTCTTCCCCGATCAGATTGTTTGTTTCACTTTCCCCAATTTCTAGTTCCTGGGTTTTGGGTTAGGAATTGATAAAAATTTGCTCCAGGAATTGGCTTTGTTGCGCCGGCGGAGGAGATGAGGAGCATATTGTTGTGGATCGCGGTGGCTGTATGCTCCCTAGGCTCTGCCGCGGCGGTGATTCGGAGCGGATCTAGCGATGGATTTGGAAAACGAAGAGATACCGAGACGGCGATATCGTATCTGGAAAACGAATCGATAGCATCAAAGGCTACCATGGTGCCTCTCACCTTGATTCAAGGAGCTGACTCCAAAGGAGCTGGTACTCTCTCTCTCGATCTCGATTTTTGTCTCCCTTAGTTTAAATTTGAAATTATTGAGTTTGATTTTTGCCTGTTGCTCGATTTCGTAGACTCATATTGAGTTTCAGTGTGTCTGGGCTCGTAATTTCAGTTTCCGTGGACAAACATTGGCTCTTTAGATTTAAGATCCATTGCCTAATTTCTTTTTATTGATGAAAACGATTTGGTAGAAGTCAAGTCTCCTCTCTCGTAATGCTTTGATGACAATTAGTGTTTTGTTCGATTCTAAATTGCTGCAGTTTGCCTCGATGGGACGCTGCTTGGTTATCATCTAGATCGTGGGTTTGTTTCAGGTGCCAACAGTTGGCTTATCCATCTTGAGGTATATGTATGTGCATTTTACAGCTTATGTAACCTTTATATTATTGCTAGTTTAGTAATCTCAGTGGCTACACTTGTAGGGAGGAGGATGGTGTAACAGCCATAGTAGCTGTGTGTATCGGAAAACAACTCGCCGTGGTTCCTCATTACGATGTCATGTATGAGGATATTGTGGATAACCAAGCAAGTGAAGATTCTTTTCACTCATGGAATGTAGTAGCAAAGCCTCCTACTTATCACTTTTTTGGAAATGATATCCTTTATGATAGATACAAAGAATGAAGAGATGGCAATAAGACTCATACATCTTACCTTCGAGGGAGTGGAATCTCACGAAGAGAGCATCGATCTGGTAAGTGCATCAATCGTTTGATTTGTTTTTGTCAATGTGGTAGAAACTGGTTATTATTTGATAAAACTTGAGATTGATGCTTGTACATGGGTTAGACAGTGTGTTGTGCTTCGAGCAGATGAATACATAAAAAGATCAATCGAAATTCCTTTTGTAACTTTTACTTATACATACTATTCCAATTATGTTTTAATCTCTCGAAATTAATAATTTCCGTTGCTTCCCACAGGTGTTTCCTTTTGGTTCATGATTGTTTTTAAATAATTCAATGTAGATAGAGCAACGGCGACAATAGCAAAAGAAGCACTGGACGGACACTGCATATATGACGGTGGCTACTGTAAGCTACGTCCTCAAGCCACCTCCATACTCTCTGGTATGATTTCTTTCTTCAAATCATTTTGTTTTGGTTGGGTTATTAATTTTTGCTTCTTTATTAACTGATATGATAATAAATATATATTTTTGCTTTTTGATTAGGTGATATGATAATAAAACTTTTACTTTTTAAAATTATTAGATAATGGTAAATTTTTTACTAATAAAACTTTTACTAATAAAAATATTTTTTTCACTAAATAATAATAATGGCAATTTTAAAAATTAAAATAATTTTCATACGAATTCTTATAAAAATAGTATTTTTAGTGTTTACTTTTTAAAATAGTAGTATATAAAAATTATAGTATATAAAAATAGTATTTTAAAGATTTTACTTTTTAAAATTAATAGATGAATTAAAGAAATTTGATTATTAAGTTGCATAGTTTGTGAAAACACACCGAATATTGCATCCAGTCATTTGATGGTTAGAGGTGTCATATGTTCAACTTGTTTTCACACTATATTGTAAATTGTAGTAATCAAATTTCTATTAATTTGCTAATAAAAATATTTTTTCACTAAATAATAATAATGGTAATATTAAATTTTCATAAGATTTTTATAAAAATAGTATTTTCAGTGTTTACATTTTTTAAAGTAGTATATAAACATAGTATTTTAAAAACTTTTACTTTTTAAAATTATTAGATGAATTAAAGAAATTTGATTACTAAGTTGCATAGTCTGTGAAAACACACCGAATATTGCATCCAATCATTTGACGGTTAGAGGTGTCATATGTTCAACTTGTTTACACACTATATTGTAAATTGTAGTAATCAAATTTCTATTAATTTCTTAATAAAAAGGTTTTTCATTAAATAATAATAATGGTAATTTTAAAAATTATCATAATAGTAATTTCAGTGTTTTTTTTAATAAATAGTAGTATATAAAAATAATAGTATTTTAAAAACTTTTACTTTTTAAATTTATTAGATGAATTAAAGAAATTTGATTACTAAGTTGCATAGTTTGTGAAAACACACCGAAGATTGCATCCAGTCATTTGACGGTTAGAGGTGTCATATGTTCAACTTGTTTTCACACTATATTGTAAATTGTAGTAATCAAATTTCTTTTAATTTGCTAATAAAAATATTTTTAAAAGTAAATAATAATAATGGCAATATTAAAAATTAGAATAATTTTCATAAGAATTTTTATAAAAATAGTATTTTCAATGTTTACTTTTTTTAAAGTAGTATATAAAAATAATAGTATATAAACATAGTATTTTAAAAACTTTTACTTTTTAAAATTATTAGATGAATGAAATTTGATTACTAAATTGCATAGTCTGTGAAAACATACCGAATATTGCATCCAGTCATTTGACGGTTAGACGTGTTATATGTTCAACTTGTTATCACACCATATCGTAAAATGTAGTAATCAAATTTCTATTAATTTGATAATAAAAATATTTTTTCACTAAATAATAATAATGATAATTTTAAAAATTAGAATAATTTTCAAATAATATTTTTAGTGTTTACTTTTTAAAAGTAGTAGTATATAAAAGTAGTATTATAATTTTTGTTACTTTTTAAAATTATTAGATGAATTAAAGAAATTTGATTACTAAGTTGCATAGTTTGTGAAAACACATCGAATATTGCATCAAGTCATTTGTCGGTTAGAGGTGTCTTATGTTCAACTTGTTTACACACTATATTGTAAATTGTAGTAATCAAATTTCTATTAATTTGCTAATAAAAATGTTTTTCACTAAATAATAATAATGTTAATTTTAAATTTTTTTATAAAAATAGTAATTTCAGTGTTTACTTTTTAAAAGTAGTAGTATATAAAAATAATAGTATTTTAAAAACTTTTACTTTTTTAATTTATTTGATGAATTAAAAAAATTTGATTACTAAATTGCATAGTCTGTGAAAATACACCTAATATTGCATCCAGTCATTTGACGGTTAGAGGTGTCATATGTTCAACTTGTTTACACATCATATTATAAATTATAGTAATCAAATTTCTATTAATTTGCTAATAAAAATATTGTTTTTCACTAAATAATAATAATAGTAATTTTAATAATTTTTAAATAATATTTTTAGTGTTTACTTTTTAAAATTATTAGATGAATTAAAAAATTTTAATTACTAAGTTGCATAGTTTGTGAAAACACACCGAATATTGCATTCAGTCATTTGACGGTTAGAAGTGTCATATGTTCAACTTGTTTTCACACTATATTGTAAATTGTATGATCAAATTTCTATTAATTTGCTAATAAATTTTTTTTCTTTTTCATTAATGAAAATAGCTTTTTAATATTAATTAAATAAAAATCATTAGGATTAAAAAATTAATACTCTTAAACTTGATTAGGTGATATGATAATAAATATTTTTTCACTAAATAATAATAGTGTTTTAATAGTATTAAAGTCATTAGAAAATCTGAATTCAAAAACTTTTATTTTTTATCATCGCTTAAATTATTAGATGATTTAAAGAAATTTGATTGCTAAATTGCATAGTATGTGAAAACACATCGAACATTGCATCCAGTCATTTGACGATTAGAGGTGTCATATGTTTAACAAGTTTTCACACCATGTTGTAAATTTTAGTAATCAAATTTCTATCAATTTTATTAATTAAAAATAGCATTCTATATTACTTGAATAATAATCATTAGAGCATAAAAATTAATATTCTTAAACTTTTGTTTTTTATCACTATTTTGATTATTTGATGAATTTGATTATTAAATTGTATAGTCTGTGAAAACACACTGAACCTTGTGTATGTTTTAATTTCCATTTTCTAATTTTTAAATAAGTCAATTGTTATAAAACATATCTACTAATTTAAATAAGTCAATAATTGTAAACTAAGTCTATTAGTTGGCTGTAAATTTACATTTGCATTTAAATTCCTTTTAGCGGATTGCTAAATTCCGCACATGGATATAAAATAAACTCATGAGCTACTTCATATAAATTCTTAGTTTTGTTTAAAGACTTTTTTGGTTTTCTGCCGGTGATGATTTTCGTAGGCTTGTCCTGATCAAAGACATGACGTTACTCTTGAATCTAAGAGACTGAGGCTGTTTTTTTTACTTCTGTTTATCTTTATTGTCCCTTTATAATTTGTTTGTGATTTGATTCTTTGTTATAATCCTCTGTGTTAACAAGATTATCCTCTTTCAAAAACTTAGCATTGACATTTTGTTTCCGTTTTGGCAGCCATGCTTTCCAAATATTTGCTGTGAGGACTTCGAAAAGAATAGAAAACATCTCAAAAATGGGTTCGTCTATACAACCGAAGCTTATGATTATGTATGTTTGATTTGCTTTCTCCCTCATGTTGCACGATCTTTCTTAATATTGGGTTTTGCCTTTTTTTTTTTTGTCAGCTGCGGAGAATAAGGAGAGAGTCGCTCAGCAAATGGAAGAGATTTCCAAGAACATGGACGTGAGTCTTTTTGCATACGAATCTTTCATCAGTTTGGGTTTTTGAAGCACACAACTTAACAAAGTCTGTTTTTATTTTACTTTGCAGTCCTTCAAGAAACAGTGATAAAGAATCACCGAAGTTGTTAATTACATGGGTCTGTTTTATCTTTTGTAAATAAAGAAAACGTTGAGTGTAATAATAATAACCTTGTGGATCAAACATTCTGTTTTTATTAACCAATTTCTGAACTTTTTTTTTAATTCCGGTTGGGTCTTTATTTAATTGTAAATTAAGATAAATTTGTATCAAGACAAAAAATACTGTTGCCTATGCACCGCTTATTCTTATCGGAGTGGGAGACACACAAACTATATGTTCGTTAAATCAAGATGATGTGACATGAGACAAAACTTACTCCGTAAACCTCCTTCGTTCAACCCTATTGAAGATGAATTTCTTCTATCAAACACGGTACCGTTCGCATCATTTTTTGACAACAGGCTTCTGCTTTATGATTGCAGCGACAACAAAATGCAAGCTCGTGCTATACAATTCTTGGTTGAAATTATATCGTAAATTTACAAATGAGCCAATAGGATCCGGTTCCATGTATCGGGCAATCCAGGGAGGCACCAATGTATGCAATCAGCGTGACTCATGGGATCAGCCCTCTGCTCAGCCGTTAGGATTTTGCCACCTGTCTCAGTGTAGACAGATGTGTGGGCGTCGATGCGGTACTCGGAGAGCTGCGTAATGTTGATGACAGTCACGTGCGTGGTCATGTGCTTGACGACGCTTGACACGACTTTCATCATCTGCTTGTTGGAGCCAGTTCCCCAAAACCTCTTATCTTTGACTGGCTTCGTTTCGTTGAAACACCTCGTGCCGTTCGGCTTCCCCCAATCCGCACTTCTGCACGTTTTCCACCCAACAAATATGTTTCTTCAGCTACTGCTATCTGGAATTTTAAATGTATTTGTTAATCCAAACAGTTAAACGTAAAAGTAGATGTATATACCTCGAATGAGTAGGAGACATGGTGGTGAAGAAGACTCTGGTCTTGTTAGGATCAACGGTAGAGTCAACCCAATTGGCCCACGTCTTGAGCCCAAGCCTGTAAGCCACGTGTGTGTCTAACGCCTCCGCACCTCTCTCACCATTTCCAAAGGAACCCCACAAAGCTTTCATTCTGAGACCACTCATCCACCAAACATAAGTGTTGAAAACCAGAATATCCGCTCCTTCCCAAAACTTAGCTCTATCTTCCACCGAATCCACTTTCACTATCCTTTTCTTCAGGTCCAAAATCACCGGTAAGTCAGTGTTTGACTCGACGATATACGGTGCCCAATAAAACTCTATACTCGCATTGTATTCCTGTGAGAGCAAAAATATGAAATCTAAGTTTTGCTTGTAACACAAGGTACAGTGATGTCTGACCTAACAAGGTTTTCCCACACTACGAACTCTAAACGTACCTTTGCTTTAAAGACAAAGTATTTTTGGCTACGCTCCATCGATTTTTCTCCTTCTGGTATTATTGATTCCACCAAACACACGAACGATTCCCATTGGCTTCGTTGCAACGAATCTCCGACAAAAAGCAATCTTTTTCCTCTGAGCTTGTTCATTGCTAACTTCGGACTAAACCTGTTTCGAATTCAAACAATGTTCATAATCAATCTCGTCTCATACCCTAAACCGAACCAAACTAGACGTATCTTGGGCTATACCGTGGAATTGTACAGTCGTCAGGCTGCCATTCCCACCGGAGATAATCAGTTTCTGGTCTACCGTTTTTGATACAAGCGAATTGACGGTCGATGTACGGACATGATTCATCGGTGTAGAGTGGCTTGACTAAGCTATTGTAAACCCATTTCCCTGCTGCGACATTACACTCTTCTGGATCAAATTCGAACCTGTCGTCAAGCACTTCCATATTCTCTGGTTTCTCTTCTCGAACTTTCTCCTCTTACCGACAAGAAAAAAACAGAGGAAGTCATAAGATTACTGAAGAAACACCAAAACGGGACGAAAAATCAGAGTTTGTTGAGGTTAGAGTTTCTGTATGTGCTTACTAGGTTTCGAGCTAATGTCTTTCCTTGGACAAGACTTTATCTTGAGGAAGGTAGAAGACGAAGACGAAGAGGAAGAAGACATCAAGCTGATTCTTTCGGTGTATAAGAGGATAAAAAACATGAAACCACAGAGAACGAGAACGATGATGGAGAGGGGAATCTTGGTTCCTCCTGCTCCTCTATTAGGAATCAAGAAGCTCATAGTGGCAAAACAGGAAATTTATGTGGAAAACGTGTCGGGTTTGGGAATAAGAGAGAAAGGTGTTTAGGGAGCATTTGGTTTTTATTTGGGAAATTAGGGATTGAGTAGGAGTGAAGCTAAAGGCATGTTTGGATGTGTTGCTTCCATCTTTTTCCCATTTTAATAGGGATGTGGTTAGGGAGGTTATGTTTTGATATGATTTGGTTTTGTCTATTGACTTATAGAATCTGTAAACGTGAAATGCACATTGTTATTCATTAGATATATTTTAACAAATCTTCCAGACGTCTTCCGTTACTTGTATTCATTCAATCAAGTATTTTCTGTACCGTAAAATTTTAATTATCTTCGATTGAACAAATGTAGATTAAAGACTATATTTTATTTTGTAATGATTTCTAGTTAAAATATATAGAAAGAAAATCATGAAATCATTCATTACTTACACGATCAGTTAAAACTTAAACACACATACTACTAAATTAGTAAACTTAAATCCTATTAAATTAATTGTTTAATTGCATGACACACACGAAAGTTACATAACAGACTGTAAATTTAATTAGGAGGGTTAATCAAATCGTTAATCAATAATCATTTTTTAAAGGTCGTTTAATGTGAGGAATCTATAGTTAAGGAATTGTAATCTTGGGCATCGACATTGACCTAAACGACATCAAACAAATATTTTATTTATCAGTGGTACCTGAAAACGAAATAATCAGACTGCAATAATAGTTGGTGTTGCTTGTAAAATCAACAATAGTTTTTTAGCTGTTTTTAGTTTTGATGACAATTAGATCAATTATTAAAGGCAAACACAAATCATTAGGCTATCTACTTTTGCAATGAATAATGCAACTATGTAACATGCTTTTCGTTATTCATCTCATTCAATCCTATTCTATGAAGAATTGAAGACATTAAAAAAAATGTTCATCCTGTTCTATGAAGAACTGAAGACATTAAAAAAAATGTTAATCCTGTTCTATGAAGAACTGAAGACATTAATTAAAATGTTAAAAACAAAATGGAGATGCGGGGTATCGATCCCCGTACCTCTCGCATGCTAAGCGAGCGCTCTACCATCTGAGCTACATCCCCATTTTTGTAAGACAATGGATATAGTTAAATTATATAATTTGCGTTGTTCATATTTGGGCTAGTGGGCTTTCCGATATTCTTCGAGATTGGGACATTTGTAATACCGTACAGTCGTCCAATAAAAAAAATAATACTATTTTAATAGGGCTGCAATACCAACTCTCTCATTGATCACTGATTGGAAACCTTTTTTCTATATTGTAAAGAAAAAAAAAATTACGTAAATTGAAATGAGTTTTTTGAAATAAAAAAAATCAAACTAATTTGTTTCTATTTTTTTTTATTTATAAAAAGTAAAATTTAGGGTTTTTTGTTATCTAATCATATTTACAAAACAATAGAAGAATATAGTCATATTATTCAAATAATATGCAAACTAACCATAGCCCATATAAAAATTACGAAAAACTTCTTCTTCTTAACGTTATAAACATATGTTGTCCATATTTCTTTATAGACTATACTATAATATATGTTTTTTTTTCGGACTATACTATAATATATATTCTTACACGAGAAGGCTTATATAGTATAGTATTTGAGGTTCTAATTATATATCAGTTTTATATTAATATATTATATTATATCAATTTTTGTATCGTACTATACTATTTATAAAATTAATTATTTCACATAATTTGTATAGTATGAATCATCAAATGGAAAGGAGAGGAGAAGGGAGGGGAGAGGAATGGGAGGGAAATGGGAGAATGGGAGAGGAGAAGACAGGGAAGGGAGAGGAGGGGAAGAGGAAGAGAATAGATGAGAAGACGTGAAGGTAAGAGAAGAGAAGAGGAAAAGAGAAAGAAGAAAATGGTAATTTGGTATATATTGTATAAAATATAAAGAATACTATAACACCTCTTTTCATATGGTCATTCTATTAATTTCAACTGGTCTTATAGTTATTACAACCAATTTTCCTAAAATTTAATTGGGAGACAAGCGTAGAAGAAAGAAAGACAAGTGCATTGGTCGATCGCGAGAGTTGATAAGCTTGGCAAGTCTCTTGGTGGCAATCTTTTCACGCGCATCAGAGAATTATTTAGTTTTCTTTTGTCTCTCTGCTTTCGTTGCCTCTTTTTCTGGTGTGAACTAAGCGACCGAACTACTTTCTACTTGAGCTTTGAAAATGATGCCACGATGAACCAAAAAACTCCTGTTTTTTATTTCGAAAAAAGTTAAAAAGAAGGAAAAGGAGAAAGTAAAAAAAAAAGTATCTGTAAATATTTTATACCATTCTCTTCTTTTTTTCTTTTTACACTTCAAATTTGAATTTGAAATTTTTGATCTTGAGGATCATACCTAGTAAAATAAAATATTTAGATGGTAAAGCTATCGTTTTCTTTCGATAAAATTTTGATCCATTTGAGATTTATTGAAAACATAACAAATAGCAGCATAATTTTGTAATACCCGTTTATACATGTATCACTCCAGTAAATGAAACTAAAACAAAAACAAAACTTTCTAGTTGGACAAAGATTAAACAGCAAGATCTATGTTTAATCATATGTAAATGCAATGATCAAATTAACCCATTATACTCAGCAACCTAACAAAAAAAACAATTAATACCTTAAACTCCATTTCCGATGTTGTTTTATACTAATAATAAAGCGAAATAGATAGGTATGGATGAGGCCTTTTGCAACTTTATAATATTCATCTTCTGAAGATTCTAAGTACTATTCGAAAACTTGATCCCGCCAATCTTGTATATATGAAATACGGATTGCTGTATTAATTATTATATTGGCAGCACTGAAAAAAGGTCGAAAATTTAGTTTTGTTAACTTACAATTTTTGCTCATTTTTTTTTGTAGCTACGTATAAAATTCAAAATCTTTTTTTTTGTTTGATAAAGGGTTTAAAATTCAAAATCTAATATAAATTATTTGTGAATCTTAAACTGTATAACGAATATATAAATTATAAATTTCTTTTTGTTAAGTTCAAATTTAACTTTTCATTAGCACTTACAATAACCTGAAATTAAATCTGTATTTGAATTTTCTTAAGTTTTAAAACCAAATCGTATTCATATATAACATGTTGTTAGAAACTTTAATTCAATAAGAAAAAAACTTGACCATCCGAAATACTATACTTAGCTACGTGAATGAAAAAGTCTCCTAGAGTTATATATTAAAAAAACAAAAAAAACCATAGTTGCATGACCTTTATTTTGAAATAACTGATAAGGAATTATTACATCCTGATTTTTCAAAAGTTTCAAGTTTCTTTTCTTCTTTTGAGTTTCAAAAACAGAATCTTCTTCTGCATATCATCACTTTGATAAGAGTTATACTTTATTGATCCTTGGTACTTTTTATTTTCTATGTTTCCAGTCTATATAGTAGTGTTCGTTAAAAAAAGACTAATAGGTGACTAAAAACTCAGAAATATGAAATCGTGTTAGTGAAATATAGAATTGGTGAATGATTATTATTTTTTGTTCGAAAGGTAGTAAATGATTAAGTTAAAACATATATGTCATTTAATTGCATAATAACATAGACTAACAAGATTGTGTTTATCTAAGATTGTGAAATAACTCAGCATGAATAGTTATTCTAAAGTGGCGAAGTATATGTGAAGTGCAAACTTAGTCTTGTAGTCTTCAGTTTCTCTTTATAAATACCAAGGCTAATGCAAACTGAATTATAAACGGTTTTACTATATTATAATTTTATTTAGAATATCAAAACTGTACACTAGTGTAAAGTGTAAACTCAACAAAAATACATGGAATATAGTATTTAAATACCCATATATTTTTGCTTCAATTTATTAGTTTGTGGGGCCTCACAAATAATGAGGAATGGTCTGTCCTTCTTGTCATTTATAAATACCAAGAAAGTGTTGCACATTTCTAACGCACTCTTCTACTAAAAACACTATCATAGTATCATACATCACCATGACCCAACGAGCCAACCCTAAGACCGGCTGCCTCACGGCGGTTGTCCGCCGTCTTCTATGCTCCGGCAGCCAACAAACCCACCCTTCCGACAACATCCTCGACTCCGACGAAACACTCCAATTACTAATCCCTTACGAAGAAATCGAAGAGTCAAAGAAAGAGACCAAAACCGAAACCCAAACCCAAAACGACGAAGTTTCTCTTCAGCCTACTCCTCCTCCTCCCAACGTCGTAGCCAAACTCATGGGTCTAGATAATCCCGTACCGGGATCAAACCGGTTTCGGTACTTTGACGATTCCGGTTCGGCTGTCACACGGAGCAAATCGGTTAACTTCATGGACTACATACTAAGAGTCCAGGAGGAGGAAGAAGAAGAAGAAGACGAGAAAGACGGCCAACGCCGGTGCCGGAAAGTCAAAGCGTCGGTTTCTTTCCGAGAGATAGTCCCGACCTCGTTGAGATCGAGCGCAAATCAGCAACAGAAGAAACACGATTTCTTGTTGTTGTATCTCGACAAGCTCGACGAGAAGAGGGAACTTGTGGGATCATCTTCTTTTTCGAGGTCTAAAAGGTTCGAGAAGGTTCTAGAAGATTCCAAGAAGCCGCCATTGCCACCTCCGGAGAAGAAAAAGGAGAACGAGAAAGTGGCGAAGAAGTTTAAAGACGAGCCGAGGAAAGTTGCGAAGAAGAAGAAGAGTGAGAATCGAAGTGACGTTAACGGAGCTAAGAAAGTTCGCTGGTTTCTCTCTCCGTCTAAGAGTAAGTCGTCCGAGAAGACGGCACTTCTAGGTGGAGGAGAGTCAAAGAATATCTCGGCGGATGATTTTACCGGAAAAGAGGCGGAGTCGCCGGAGAATAAGTCGAATGCGAGTCCAGTTTCGGTTCTTGATCGAGATCTTTATGATTATCTAATCCTTGATGATGACTACTACTTCTCAGGTGAGTCTACAAAATTAATACTATATTCTTATTTATTTATAATTTTTCTACACCTTTATTAAAACATTTGAACGTAATTGCTTGCTTTTTTGAACCTTATTTGAAATTTGGGCAAGAATAGTGATTTTAGATGCAAAGGAATCTGGTACTGGTAAGACTTTGGTCAACATATAATTCATTTAAAGCACTTACTTTATAATTCCATATATTTGAATGAAATATTCAAAATTTGACCAATGTATGATTTTTTCTTAATTTTCGACGTCAAACAAATATAATTCCGAATGCGAACACGGACAGTTTTGATTTAATGTTTGAACATCTTTCTTGGTGTTACTGTGAAAAGCTGCATAAATGAGACTTTGTTATTGGGGAACCAAAAATGAGACTTCGTCAAGATTTTACCCATTTTCAAGGATTTTTATTTTTATTTTCCCAGTAATAATTCAAATCTTACTTTAATTTGAAAAAAAAAAAACAGGAGATTCTGAAAGTGCATCGGAGCTGTCAACAAAGCAAGTAGAGACAACTGCAAACTCTTCATGTTCTTCATCACCAGCAAGAACAAAAACAAGTACCAAGAAAGAAAACAATAACACCAAGAGTGATTCTGAAGAGACAGAGTTTATCACAAAGCTAATGAATATGCTCTCAGATCTGTCTGAAGAAGACATGAAGTCTTCAACTTGGGTTTCTACTTCGTCAACTAAACCCGTTGACTTTACTCAGGTCGAAGATTTTTGTGTTGAGTTTGGCCAAGAGATTCTTGACCTTGTTATGGACCAGTTAGTTGATGAACTCTGTATCTAGTCTAGTTTAAAAATTTAAATCAGAATCATCAAATATTTATGTCGTTTTATAATCTTATAATCCAATCGTTATAACCAAAAAAACTCATAATTCTTTTCACTCCATAACTCCTGGAATTGTTATGCAAATATATCTCCTACGTACATTCGACATACATGATACAGTCATCTAAGCATTCGTAGGAATGTCTTAAAATTTGATTCAAAAATAGATTCATAAATTCGATAAATAATGGAAGTAATTCCTAAATGTTTAACTTTGTAAATTCGTGTGTAAACATTTTTGTTATTTATGAAACAACTTTTACATCTCATGTAAATCGAATTTATCTGATAATGATTTTAATTTTTATTTATATGCTGTAAAAAAAGATAATTCATGGCATCGGTTTAGAATCCGAATTTAAAGTGGGTAGAATAAAACAAAAATAATCATGGTTTACATTATAATATATTTTTAATTGATTAAAAAGTGAATTACTCGTTTAAAATAGTAAAAAGAAATGCCTTCATCCACATCACAGCTACACCGTGTGAATTCACTATTGGTAATCACACGATACACAAGGGTAATCTTAAAGACTCTAATGATAAGAATAAAATTATATTCAAACTCGACATTAGTATGTTTTTTATTAAGTGGTCCAAAAACAGTCAAATCGGTTTTCTTCTGAACATTGCAGAGAGCCCCGTAGCTTCGAAATACGTACTGTCTCCTTTGTCTATTTCACATGCAAAATGTGGTCTCTTTCTAACGTTACTTCTTTGACGTTTTTTTTTGTATTTTTCTGGTTTTTTGTTTGAGATTCACATGTAAAATTCACGAACATTTTCCCACTCTAATTTATTTGAATTTCGAATTATAAATATTTAATGTAGTAAGAAATTAATTTTTAGCAAACGCAAAAGTGATAAATGTTGGAGGTTAGTGTGACGTACAAAGGCGATTCTATTTCTAACCGAATGAGCTGACGCAAGTAATGAGCCGCCCGTTTTATTAAAAAGGGTACGTACTACAGTGTGAACGCGCTACAACACGGTTTCATGTTTTCGGTTTTTAACTGTTTTGCGATCTGTTGGTAGCTGTCTCTTGCAAGAGAAGAAAATAAATAAAACAAATAGCGCGGTGAAGCAATGTGGGACAGACAAATGTGAATTGAAATTTTGGAACAAAGACTTTTGTTTATCGACTGATTATATGATTAATAAATATGAAACATTCTTATTAACAGAGTAAAGTTCAATTATTCTCTGTAAAATAAATTTTGTAAATATTTTTTCTACTTCTCAAATAAAAATATTATGAATACACAACAGTTGGAAAAAACTTTCTGTACGAGCAAACAAGAAATTCAATTTCAGTATCAAAACGAAATCCGACCCCAAGTCCGATCGCATTTTGTCGAGTTTCCAAGTAAACCAGCCTCGGTATCGAGACTTTATTGTAATTAACAATCCTATTTTCATGTCATATGATATATATCATGCAGATTTTGATCTTCTTTATGTCGTTTTCAACTTTCAGTTGTTCATATAAATAAAACAAACATTAATTATATATGACTTAGAAGAGATTGAACTAACAAAGCAACTAGTAGCTAATTAACTCATTCTTAAATAAAATTATTAAAAATTAGAAGCCTTGATGACGATCATCGTCATGATCTCTATTAAGCTTGTTAAGCAAAGCATCGATGAGAGTCTCTCTCTTCTGTGCCCTAGCTTCTTCTCTCAACCGCCTCTCTTCCTCTCTCTCCATCCACCTCCTCTCTGCGGCCGCTCTCTCCTCCTCTAGCTCCGCCATTCTCCTCCGCCACTCCGTCTCTCTCTTCTCTCTTTCTTTCTCCTTCATCTCCCACGCATCTCTCCATTCATTATCCATCTTCACCGTTTGCTTCATAAAGTCCTCCAATAGCATTTTCAATGTACTACCCGCGTTTTCAGCTTTGGCACTACCGGTAACGCCTTTTCCTTTTTTCGCACGTTTTCTTGGATTAGTAGAAGTACTAGCGGTAATCACGTCTACCTCTTTCTTGTGTGTCTCTACGAGGGACAATAATTCCTCGTTGATGTCTTGATTTGGCTCCTCAGCCTCTTCTTCTTCTTCTTCTTCTTCTTCGTCAGATGAAAACTCATGATGTTTTCTCTTCGAAGAAGTGCTTGGTTCTGACCACAACATTCTTTGCATTCTTGCTGCGAAAATCGACTGGATCTCGTTGAAGAATGGAAATTGTTGCCTTATAGCTTCTGGCTCAGTCGTTTCACACGCCTGTCCCATACATATTCAGTATCCATGTTATATACATAAACAAAATGTTAGGTATATTTTTCATGCATGTAAATATGTGACGCTATACTTGAATACGCTATATATATACGTTTCTAGGTAGCTAGGTGACCTAGTACCTTAACTTGAATTAGTAATCTCGTGTAAACATGTTCATCTATCATGTTACTTTTATTGGCTAACACTGACGTATATATATGTAGACATATTCAATTATCATGTGATTAGTAAAACGCTTCTTGATTAATAAAAAAGTTATATATGCATTCGTTATATAACGGTAATTGATTTGTTTTGTGGCATTTTGTGAACACGAGATACTACTTGCTCACTTACCATCTGAAATATTATACAAAAAAAGAAAGAGAGATATTATTATATAACGGATCAAAATGTGAACATAGGCCATATGATGAAATTCACTAATAAACGCGTTGAAGTTTAATCTCTAGCTCGTTACCGTTAATGGCAGAGCAGTATCTAAATAAACTTAATAGATTAGGTTAAACTTATTAAGTGATGTATATATCCAGTTCACCTATACATGCACCTTAGACTAGCTAGGTTTTCATTTTTATTTGCATACTCTTTCAATCTCACCACACAGATGCTACGTACACACAATCATAAATACACAAATGATATCAAATGCTTCTAATTATGATTTATATATGTGTAATCATGGTCATGTATACAACATGTATATGTGTTTATATAGAGAGACTATATAGAGAATCATCAATTAATAGAGATAGATATAGTTGAAGGTAACCTTGTATCTAGTGACGAGGTTCTTCCACTTGCTCTTACACTGTTCTGCGCTCCGGGCAAAACCCTTGTCGGCCATTTTAGCGGCTACGACTTCCCAAAGAAGCTTATTACGTTTGGTCTCCATGAAAGTCTGATCAAGCTCTTCTCTTATATCCAAAAGCTCCTTTGTCTCCTCTATGCTCCACTGTGGGATTCTCTCCCCTCCTCCTCCTCCGCCGCCGGGATCCATCGCCGCCATCGTGCTCTGCGGCGGTGGAGGAAGCTGCTGCTGTTGAATCAGGTGATGAAGCTGATGGTGGTGGTGGTGATGGTGGAAAGGGTTACGTCTGTCCATTATTGAGATCGAAGCCTTTTTGACGTAAAGAGAATGAGAGAGATTTTTTTTTTTGTTGGTTGGGTTGCTTATAAATGAAGAGAGGTTGCTTTGAAAAAAGAGGAGAAGACAGAGAGAAGGAAAGAAAGAGAGATTTTAAATAATTTATAAGGTGTGTGAAAAGAAGGTGTGAAATCGTCCAGAGAGATATTGAAGTATAGTTGTTTGTTTTCTTCTCTAATTTATATTTAGCATATATATATATTTTATATAAAAAGGCAAAAACAGCTGAATATACTAGAAGTTATACAATTATTTAGTTGAATAAAATACGAACACGAATGTCTCTTTTCTTTTTGTGAAACTGATAAGGACACGTTCCGTGATTAGATTACAAAATAAAAGATTAGCCTTTTTTTCCTTTGGATGATAATAAAGTGTAGGATTAAAGCAGCTAAATAAATTAAACATATTATTTTCCTTGTTTTCTAGAGTGCTGAGATACTGAAAATAGCAATCTCAAACAACTACAATATTAAATATCGTTAGTGAAAAATCGACATAATTATAAAGGAAAGCCGATTTTTGTTTTTAATTAATAGATAATTTGATGATTCGTGTTCATTTATCCAAACATGCTTACAAAATTTGTAAACTTGTGGTTTTGATATTTTTACGAAATGTTTTTCTCTTTCTTTCAGTTTTTTTTTTGTCTCTCATACTGTATATATGTTTTTTTTTGCAAAAGAATCTCATTGGTTTCGTCTGATGTAATTGCTTTTTTGAATAATTTCGTCCCGAATAAACTGCGTTAATATTTCGTCACGCTTACGAGTCACAGACTGATTATTATACTTCTTTTTATGTTTTCCTCAAACCTCAAAATAAATAGTCATTTTGGCTTTTATGGTCAAATGACCCACTAGAGTTTTTTTCCCCATAATTCTTTTTTTTTCTCTTTCTAATTTTTTTTTATTTGTGCTTCTTCATCTTAAATCGAATTACTTATTCTTTACCGTTCATTTCATATATTTTTTTCCAAATTACAACATTTGCAAACAGTGATTCTATGAATATCATTATCTTTATGTTTGCAGTGGGTACAAAACAAAGTATATATGTACGAATCGAAAAAAACATGCATATGTACTCTAATATAGACAACTGTCAAGATTCCCAAAATATGGTAGTACATTTTATAGCCGCGTGATTGCATTAAATACAAAAATAGAAATAGTAATGGGACAAAGATAATAAGTAATAACAGTGAATAAAAAAACTTGTAATATGACAGTTAATATTATTTGTATCTAAAGATTTGTGGGGTTTGCCTCTCTCTGTGTGTTTGATGATGTATAAGAAATAGTAAAAATAATCAGACACACATACAAAAAAGAAAAAGAAAAAGAAAAGAAGAAGTAATAAGATAAGTCAGCGAAGTGGTCCATTTTCTGATGAACCGTGTTGAAAGTAAACAAAACTTACATGACATGCACTAGACTTCGCTCCCATCTGTCATCCCACGTGGATTCACACGTTATATACTTATTAGTGTCGTCGACTGAATATAATCCTTCTCATTTTCTTTTGTTCATCATCAGAATATGTTTAATTTTTAAAGGTGAATGAGAGAAATTACCTGAAAGAAACTGTGAAGAAAATATGAATAAATCAGTTGTTTTATATATTATAAATCAAAAGATGGAATAATCAGCTACGCGGTGTCTTGTTGTATCCCACGTGTAAACGCCCACGTTATGTATCTACGTGGCGATGTAGAATTCCTTCTCTAGATCTAGAGTGGGTCCCTTTCTCTAAATTCACTTTTAAAGATTTTTCTCCTCATTTTATGCCGCTCATACTAATTCTTTGTGTACTGCAAATACTCTTTGCCACGTCATCATTCGTCATTCGCTGATGAATAATAACAAATATTGAGGTACTGTGATTGATTTACCTGCCCAGTAAAAACGAAAGAGAAGCACATAATTCATCTAATCATTTGAAAACATAAAAGACGCATTGTAAAAAAGGTAAATTTTATATAATTTTTTTCATTCAAAAAAATCATATAAAGAGGATCATGATTATTTAGTCTGTTATTTGTTGACAAGTAACAACAATTATTCTGTGTCAACATCGCCACGTGAGGGTTGAAAAAGATTTAATACAAATATGGAGGGAACTAAAGGGGAGAAAGTCAAAATTAAAGCTGAGAAAAATGCGAAGATTTGAAATTCATGGATCTTCTTAACTCAAAACTTCGCTGCCATATTCATCAATTTGACTTAAACTTTGACAGTCACCAGCAAATTTATTAGTCACCGAAGGTTTTTAAAGTCTCAGACCAATTTGACTTTATATTAAGCAGATCAAATTGCTTGTTGACACTTTGACAGAGAAGGCGGTGTTTAAGCAAACTCAGATCAAAAACGGCATCGTTTTATATCACAGTTCGCAAAAAGAATGCAACAAAAGAATAGAGAAACCCATAAAGAAGCATACTACTGTATATATCTTCTAAACGATTCCAAAAAAGAAGCCTACAACTACAAGACGCGCTTGATCCCCAACTTCTGCTCAGAAGTTAGCTTGGAAGGGAACTTGATGGTGAATTTGATTCTCAGGTTCCCTTTTCTCGAGGGGTCCTTAGGTATCGGCATGCCTTCGCCTTTGACGACCTCTTCGTAGGTGGGACTGATCACACAGTTGACCGGAACAGAGAGGGTTCTGCCGTCAAGAGTGGTGACGTGTGCCGTGTAGCCGGTGAGGGCTTCGACGAGAGAGATCTTGTGCACTACGACAAGATCATTCCCGTCGCGTTTGAAAACGGGGTGCGGTTTCTCGTCGACGATGAAAGAGAGGTCGGAGGGGATGATCCCGCGCTGCTCGTTACCTTTCTCCCGGAAGGTTATCTTGGTTCCCTTTTTCCAACCGGGTTTGATGTCAATCGTCAGTATCTCCTCAACCGCTCTTGGCCTCCTGCAATAACCGATGATTCAAAACCAAACTCGACAAAGCAAAATCACAAGAGAGAGAGTGAGAGAAAATTGGGGAACGAGAACGAACCCGCTCGAGTCGAGAACCTCACGAGAGATCTTCATCTTCTTGGTGGTGTTTCCTTTATAGATATCCTCCAAACTACAAGGGAACTGTCTCTCGATTGGAGCATCTTTCTTCGCAGGAATCGAGGTTTCGCCTCCTCCTCCAGCAGCCGCCGCCCTCAAGGAAGCGAAGATGTCATCGCCATACCTAAACCCAGAAGACGGTCCAGCGCGCGGGTCACTCCCCATTCCAAAAGGCCTTGCGGAACCGAATAACTCGGAGAAGATATCATCAGCGCTTCTGGGGTTGAAGTGGAAAGCTGCTCCGCCGTCTGATCCTCCAGCATATCCGCCGCCGCCGGGAGGTGGGGCCTGGTTCTTCAACCCTTCTTCTCCGTACTGCTCGTAAACTGCTCGTTTTTGAGGATCGCTCAAAACCTACGGAACAATTTCACAAACAGCCAACCGAATCAACCAACAAAAAGATGGCTCATGTATACAATTAAGGATAATAATTTATCGCTTCAGTACATTCGAAGGGTACTTACATCGTAAGCTTCAGAGATCTGCTTGAATTTTGCCTCCGCGTCTTTCTTGTTGTTAGGGTTCTTATCAGGATGCCACTTCATAGCGAGTTTGCGATAAGCTTTCTTGAGCTCGTCATCATTCGCACTCCGATCTACCTGAAGAACTTTAAAGTAATCGACCCCCATTCTTTTCACTCAATGCTTCCTTCTTCTACTTCGATCCTTCTCTCTCTCACTCAATCTTCAACCAACACTCGACCTGGATTTTTTTTTGGCTTTTCGGTTCGGATTTTAGGGTGCACAATCTTAAAATATATATCATCAACTTACTAATCAAATACTAGAAGAAATCAGGAAAATTTACTATTTTAAAAAGGAAAATTTTTAAAAAAAAATCTTGTAAAAAAAGGAAAATTAATTTTCAAAAGCTTATCTATTTAATTTTTTTTTTAAATAGGCTATTTGGTGGCTTTTTACATTGATTGGTTAGGAAACCGTAAAACATCTGATCTGAACGTTGAAAATTAATCAATACAACTTTCATAACTAGAAAACTTAAGCAATCTCTCATCGGTAAAACTTTTGATTAATTTTTATTATAGTCTTGATTCATTCAAGAAAACATTACAATCGCTAATGATACAGCGAGGGTGAACAAAATTCTTTTGAAAAAAAAAATATATATATATTTTTAAAAATGCTACAATAAACGTAAGCTTCGCCGCTGGCTGAATTTCTCAATCTGAATCTGTTCTTCTCTCTCGAGTCCCAAGCGATTAAAATCCGTCACAGAAAATTACTCTCACTCTTCCTCTTCTTCTTCTTCTTCTGCAGAAGATTCCTTTAATTTCTCAACTTCCGTCATCTCGTTTTCCGAAGTTGCTGTATCGTCTAGCTTCTCATCTGATGGCTGCGTCTGGCTTGACACTTGCGAATCTGATGTCTGGGAATGGCTCGTTGGCGCTGGAGGATCCGAGTCCGACACTTGGGTGGCATGACTCATTTCAGACTGGCCCGCACCAATGGGACTGTTTTGAGACTGACTCATTTCAGACTGGCCCGCACCAATGGGACTGCTTTGAGACTGACTCGTTTCAGACTGGCCCGCACCAATGGGACTGCTTTGAGAATGACTCATTTCAGTCTGGCCAGCAACAATGGGACTGCTTTGAGGCTGACTCGTTTCAGACTGGCCGGTACCAATAGGACTGCGTTGAGGCTGAGTCGTTTCAGACTGGCCGGTACCAATAGGACTGCTTTGAGACTGACTGGCAGCTACCTCACTGGTTTCCTGGTGAGAGTGACTTGATGGTACAGAAACTTGCTGAGACTGGCTCGTTTGTGTCTCACTCGCTTGCACTTGACTCGTATGTGTTCCCTGCGAATCAGGGACGAGTCCAAGAACAGCCAATGTAGATCTACCAACAAAAATGTTCCATATTTTTCTGAGATCAGCAAATGGATTTCACATAGCGGAAGATGTTTGTTTGGTTTTATTAAAATTCGGATTCATGGAAGCTTGAAAGAGGAAAAGGTCACCTTGGAAGTGAAGCCCGGATCTCTGGCTGGCTGGCATGTGCGGTTAGAGGAGCCCTTAAGGCCGAGACTTTAGTCAATGCGTTTCCCAGCTGAGGTGAAGGAAGCTGGACACAAAGAATTTCAATAACAAACCATTTTTTTTTTGTCTCTTGCAATTAAACAAGGATCATAGTCTATGTTCTTAAAACCGCCATTAACGGGTGAGGTGGATTTTGAAAATCTCATACAATGCAAATCAGGGACGAGTGAAGAGATTTAGAATCGTACCTGTAGTAAGACCTTGTATGATTGAGGCTGTGTTGACTGTGCACATTTCAAAAATCCTACCCACAGTTTCGGATATTTCCATATCTGAAGCATGTTTCCATATCAATCATAAGAATGGACAATAGATAGAGAGCCTAACGTTGCAGTAAATATTACTAACCTGTTTGCTAACGAGACGAGAAAGGATCTCCAGGATGAAGTCCGACTAGTAGAATATCAAGTTGAAGAGATTATTAGCTGTTGAGAATCAAATTGCGATTCAAAAAGAGAGATGTTATGAGCTTTTTACCAGAGCTGGAAAAGCACCGATAGCTTGTAAAACTGTACGCATGAACAACATTGGCAGTGGTATTTGCTGGACCTGCAGCCAGAAACTCGCCCATGAGCAAAAATATCCGGAAGAAAAAAATCTGAAGAACAAACTCGGTAAGATGGAGATTGTTATTGTACCAGTTGATTCAAAACGCCGGCTAAAACCTGTTGAGTGAATGTCTGCCTTTGTGCGAAACAGGTATTGCATGCATCTGTGACCTGATAAGAACGTTAAGATAGTATCTGAGGAAGTAACCTCGGGGTTGATGAATTCTAGATCAACTAAACAAGTCGCGGAGATCTCCTACTTGTTCATCATAGCTATTTCGTTATTAGCTAGCTGCACGGTGGTCAATACATACCTGTTTAAGCGGTATTCCATCTCTCGCTGGGTCAATGCTATGGATAGCAATTAAAACTTCAGATGGAGAAAGTACTTGGCCAGACTGAGATGATCCCTGAGAACCAAATTCTAGTGTGAGCAGATCAAACTTCTTCACACAGAAGCAAGAGGTACGCAATGAAAAGCCAAATAAGTTTCAAACTTCTTCACACAGAAGCAAGAGGTACGCAATGAAAAGCCAAATAAGTTACCTGCAGGACACGAGAGAGTGCAACTTGGAATTTCTCCATAGGAAGATTGACCAGATGGGGGAAAACGCGTAGAACCTGATAAAGAGACAAGATTACAATTTTAGTAAAATAAGAAAACTATAACCCCATGCGTCAATAGAAGGGGAAAAAGGTAGGAAGGAAAGATTTACATCGTCTCTTGGCAGAAACGGCAAGATTGGGATAAGAATTTCTGCATCCTGCAGTTCGATCAAATACCCAATGAATAAAAAAAAGAAGAAGAAACAGCTTATACTTTCGCTAGTAAGGAGTTTTCATGAAACATTCCATCGCCCTCACCTTTATTCTTGTATCAAACAACTTTCTTATAGTATGTATCAACTCCGAAGAAGGCGTGGGACCCTCTGTAAGGGTTTGTAGAACCTGCCATCGAGGTGAAACATGAGGGATTATTAAAACTACCCACAGCTATTTGAAGCTTTTTCATCTATTTACAGTATAGAAGAAAACCTGCATTAGAAGGTTCTCACTCCCACTCGGTGGGTCTGCAATAATTCTAAGAAGCTCAGATGACGAGCCCATTGTACGAACTAGTATTGGGATTTGACGATGAATAGCCTACAAATATAAATTCTGAGGATAAACAACAGAGAGAAAAATATACTGATATTGAAAACTGACTTAGTTAAATGCAAAGTGTTACCTGTTTAACAGGATCTGATGCATCTTTGTAAATGCTGAACACATGGACAAAAAGGGCGTGCTTCTGAAAATCAGATAATACGCATAGGAATCAAAAAATTTAGCAAAATTTAGCTGCAAACTTAAAGGCTAGATTTGTCAATAGTAGAAGAACGGTGCAAAATAACTAGACCTTTGTGCACAGAGCAAAATAGAGTGCCAAACAGCGTTGAGCTTCGGTAACTGAAGTTGATGATGTTACTTCTGAGGACGAATCTATACCCACACCATTCAACGGCTGAAAAAGTTCTGGTCAGATATTTCTTCTGCAGAGCCCAGCATACAAAACTCTAAAAATAAATTGCTTTTGTGTACGACCGAGCACCTTTTTACAATCATCCATCAATGTTTCAGCATCCCCTCTTTCTGAAGAAACGCAACTCACAACGGAAAATAGCTTGTCCTTTGCAAATTCCTCAATCTGTTGCGTGACGGATGGTAAAGAATAGAGCTTGTTTGCCACCTGTATAATGATACCCACAATTATCAAAGTGGTAACACATCAACAGCGAAACACACTACATTTCAAGGTTTTAGAGCAACATACCAGTCGGATTGCTTTCATGCGAATCTCTTCTAAGTGATGAACAGCACTCTTCATTCAAGAAAAGAGAGGAAAAAGGAAGATGATTAGTGAGAGCCATTAAGAAGACTGAAGAATAAACACACTTGGTAATATGATAACTTCGAATACTGATATGAAATACTGGAACAAAAAATGTCAGGAATAAAGGAGAAATTATCACAATGACGAAGCCTGTATAAGAAAACCCACTAAAATCTGAATGATGAAAATGTTGGATGCGCCAAACAAAAAGGAATCAACAAAGAGACGAGATAGAAGATACCTGCAAAGCAATCTTCAGGCAGTCATTCCGGTTTCCAGATCTCTTTAAAATCAGATTCCAAACAGCACTGAGACCTTGAGTAACACGGTCTCCGCTTTGTAAATCTCTTTCAACTTTGTCACAACTTTCAGGACAGCAAAACGATTCCAATAACTTCAGAACGGATTTCGGCAGAAATGGAGAATCTTCAAGCAATTTACTTAAAGATTTGTCAGACGGTGGAAAAGAATCTCTAAGTGCTTCAGCCTAGAAGATAAAGATGTTTCTGAGAAATTTCCTAGAAATTTTTTCACTAAGATGCAAACAAAAACTGAATGCTTACCACAGCCAACAAGAAACTTTCATATGCAGACGCAGCGGTAGTTGACGAGAAGAAATCTTGTTCTGCTTCTGCCTCTCCGTAAAGCCTGTAAAGAACCCGCACAGTCAACTCATGTCCCTGAAAACAGAATTGACGATAATCAGATAAATGGCTTTTTGAATCAAATAGGATGTCATCGAACATAATTCAGCTTTTCGATGCTACTAATACAGTAAACATGTATTAAAAATAGTTCAATTATAAAGTCACGAAAACATATTCTCACCTCATGACTCAAATAATCCGAAAGGATGTGCTCCTGTAATATTTTCCAAGGGTCTAATTCTGAAGGAAACTGCAAAAATGGCAAATGTGACGATCAATTACCGTGAGACAGAATGCCATCATGCTTCAAACGATCATCTTGCAGAAATATTGGTAGCGACTAGGTCACATTTAACAGGTCTACACAGGAACAATGAATAGCCATAGAAATCGGACAACAACTGGCAAGTACCAGAAATATTCACTTTCTACCACAAACTAGGCTCTTAGAGTAGAGGCAAGAATCATGCAGAGGCCGATAGGTTTAAATTTATAAAATAGGACAAAAAAAACTTCGGAACAATTACAGGAGCAAAAAAGAAAATGTCGAAAAATATAGTTTAGAAAATGACCTCAACTCCTAAATGAGCAAGAAGAGAAAAGCGAAGTTGTGAACCACCAGACATCGATATTTGCTTGTATGCTTCAACAATGCGCAAAAACAACAGCTTCTGCAAACTGTCTTTCTCTTCATCAGAAAGGTCAACAACAGGTGCTGATATCTTAGGCAACACAAACTGAGGCGTAGAAGAAAGTGAAGTTGCCGTTGAGGATACCACATTGTTAGAACCTGTGCCAGTCGCCTTTGGACTAAATTCCTCAGACTTATCTACTGATGCTGAGGGAATCACGTCGAGAATAAGTTCTCCACTCAAACTCGCATTTTGATTCTTGCTAGCATCCTCCACATTCGTAAAACCCAATACAGAAGTAACAGGGGCTTCTGATAATACATCATGTTGAGCAGAAGAATCCAGTCCAGGTATGCCACTTTCTATATTCCCTATGTAATGCACATTTGGTGGCAACAAGATATCTTCATTTACTGGAAAAGAAGTATCAGAAGAGGCTGATAAGCCAGTTGCAAGAACTGCATCTTCAGCTGGAAACATCTGCTGGTCCACCTGATCAGGACAGAATTCTTCACCTTCCTGTCAATGGTGAGATTTTAGTGTAGAATACAATTTTAAAGACTAGATAGCAAAACAAGGAACAGAAATAACGCAATAAGTTATAGCAGATAAATATTTAATCGGTAAAGAGGATCCATACAGTTTCAGTTTTCGGAATGTGAGGATTTATCAGGGCAGCAATCGGTGGGAATGCAGATGACAGTGAAAGAACACCAGCCACAAATGATGGTGGATATTTAATTTGTGCATCACTGCCAACTATACACATGTTCATCACCAACTCATCGGTGCCATCGGCATACGAAGAACCATTTGGTGATATATTATGCATATTAGCCATCACAACATCGGCCAGCAAATCCGCAGAAATACTTGAAATAAGAATCTCTAGAGACCCAATTGCTTTTTCACCCTGAGCAACCAAGGCTCCGAACATAGCAACCAGTTGCTGAACAGGTCCACTATCACTGACTCCTCTGCTATTGCTTGGTCCAGTTGACGTCGAAGTAACCAGCGGTAGGGAGCCAACATCGTTACAATTCGATCCTTCAGTAGGTTCTCCTGATACAGAGGGTGTTATCCTTAATCGTTTTCCACTCAAAGCATCTCCATTCAGATCAATGTTGTATTCTGATCCAGATCTTTTCCTACTAGAGTCGCTTTCCGCAACGACACAACTTGTACATTGAGGATTCTCTTCCACTGATACCTGAAACTAGTATTTTTATAGCCAATAAAAATAGAGATGCATGCACACACAACCATAAACACCTAGATTCAGTTATAGATGGAAAGAGGAACAAACTACCTTTGCATCCTCTACACTGTCTTTGTCCTGAATGCTTCCGTTAGTCTTGTAAAACAGGTCCTCAGCTTTGACTGCGCGACTGCCACCTTCTATCTCTTTCAGAGCACCATTCAACCGATCCTTCCACTGAAAGAAATTGACAGCACATGGATCTAAGTAATTGCAAATAAACTATGAAAAACAACTCCATGGAGAATATTACCAACTCAATATATATAAGAATGGTTATAACTATTCATTGATTAGTAACGATAGGATAGCAAGTAAACTAGGTCAAAAACGAAGCACTGGACTATGGTCGTTTGGTTGCAGTGAATGTATACCAGCCCAGAATAAAGCAAAATAATTAATCGTAAATTAGAAAATAAGAGTGAACTAAATCCTTAAGAGGTGGCAGAAGCAAAACAATACCGGTGCAGCAGCGGGATGTGTACATTTCAAGCAGGAGAGAAATACAGTCTTCAGGGCAAGATTTGCTGCTGCTGCATGCACTCCTTTGAGAAAGCTTAGGGGATCCAAGCTCAGAAGAACAGGCAGAATTCGTCCACAATTTGCAGGACGTTTCAATGCAACTGATGAAAGACTGTATACGAAAAAGAATCAATTGAAGAGGAATACTTGAACCATAAGACAAATTTACATGACATCCTGGATCTCCATAAATACACTAAACACAGTTTTCCCTTAAATACTAGAAACGGTGCGTGAGCAGCAATGCATACTTTCATTTACCCCGCTCTAATCAGAGGAACCTAGTCCTCACTAGATTGGATGCTCTTCAGACAATAAACGTCAAATCTAAGTTTTTCATCCATGTTAGATTACCAAGATTTTCTAGACAAAAGTGATCCAAAGAGTCATAGAACGAAACATATACTCTTGCCGAGCTTCAAACTGACTGAACAATACAAAATTAACTAGCACAAGTATATGCACTTAACAAACAACTCACCTATTGATGAGAACAATAATCGTCGAGCTATTTAGAGATTTTGCTGCAGGGTGCCTAAGCTGATCAAGCAGTAAACCCAATTTCTGGCTGGCCTCAATCGACAAGTCTCCAATATTCAAAAGAGGATGCCCCCCACGAAGAATAGATATATTAAAATCTGCTTGAATTCCTTGAGGACACGTAACTAAATGGTATAAGCAACTAGTTTCAATTATATGATACTAATAAAACAACAAACTTCCAGTTTCACGTAAATAGATAAGTACCTTTGTGACAAGGAGATTCCAAAGAGCCACTAGGGTCAGGTGTATACAAAAGGATAAGCGCTTCCACGAATTTCACAGCGCATAGTTTGATACCACTGTTTCCTTGCTAATGTACAAGTCACGAGAAAAACTACAATCAGACAAGATAGACAACCCACGGGGAAATTAGAGAAAGCGTTAATTCTCACCTGGAAAGCCACGGAGCATATTTCATCCTTGAACTTAACCATCCATGTCCACGAAGATTCAAGAAGCTCATCCAACTCACTAGAATGCAAACCCTGGAAGACAGCCAAATAGCAATAAGCATGCCAAATAACGAGGGATTCACGTACCAAATGCAGGACGAGCAAGTCACAGATGCAGATCCTTCAAATAAAAAAAAAACAACAACCTGAACTGCCACTCTTTCGAGGGTGGAACGGAATAGATCAGCTCCACACGCTATGACCTGCCTCGCCACAGCTGGTGTCTCGTCTTTGAGAGATTTAATCAAAAGGGGCACTATTTCAGGTAAAAATTCCACATATTTCAAGCCAATTTCACCAAGTATCCTGCATTTCAATTACCATCAGAGGTTCAGCGACTTATGTACATTCCTTATAGCTGAAGAGAGGAACACGTCCTTGATTATACTAGTCGCAAAATAGACTCCTTCTAATCATAGCTAATGAGAGAGTAAGACAGACACAAAACCATATCTTATAATCACTCCCTGAAGAGAATTATTGTTCAGGATTAACAGCAAGTAGATACACGAAAGCAAGAAACTGTGCGTCATTTGTATAAACTGTGGATCAACAATTTCACCATCCGGGATGAAACAACAATTCTGGAAATCCATCTATGTCTGTGTAATTACAAAGATATCCAAGAAATTGTAGAAACGGCAGGATTGAAACAACTAATCGGAAAAAGGTTACAGATTAGTAAAACGGAGCTTACTCGGCGACAAACTTGCGGACAGCACCGAATTGATCGGAGAGAAGGTCGAAAAGGAGAGGAAGAAGCTCGGTGGGGAAGACGGAGGCGACTCCTTGCAAATACCGGCGCAAATTACGCAAGCGGTTCAGCTTCGGAGGCAATTCCGTGGCTGATTTGGCGGAACTCGCGAGACCTTGAAGCCTATCTTTAGAATACGAAACCATGATTCCCACCATTATCGGTTAAAGCAATGATTTTACTGCCCAGAGCTTCGATGGCAACGTGAAGAATCGATACGCATATCTCTCTTCTTCTGTGGCGTAGGGTTTAGACTTTAGAGAGAAGGACGATGGAGATGCGTTTTCTTTCTATCTGATACGAAAACAATTGAACTGGTTTCCATTTTTGACGTCTTTCCCAAAAGAGACGATAAATGTATATATTGTGACGACGTCGTTTTAATCTAAGAAATAAATTGCTATATGGTCCCTCGGAATTCTACCGTTTAAGTATATCTTTAGCATTCCTCCTTTTTCACATAGAGATATTTACTCAGATTCAGCTTTAGCTTTTTCTCCAGACTCCATAGACGCAACGAGTTGATTCTCTCTTTTCTTTTTCTTTTTCAAGCTGAATCATGTTTTACTCTGACCAGCTACGGGAGATATGGTGAGTGAAGTTCTATCAGTTAAACGTTTTCAGATATCTCGTGATTTTGATCGTTTTGTTTCTGTGTGGAGTTATTTCGTCTGTTTTGTTTTTAATTCGCCGTGGGGATTTCTGATAGAGTAACGTAATCTCTAACTCTTGTATTGACTATCAAAACTACAATTACAGACTCACGATGCTGAAACAGAGAACTACAGATTACAATCTCATCACGATCATAACCTATACTCTCTAGATGATCTCATATCGATCACCTTCTCCAAGCTCATCTCGCTTGAACAACAACAATCACAATTCAGCATAATGAACCCTTCACTTCATTCCCAGTCTCTCTTTTACTCTTTTCTTACGCCAAGTAAACCTCCACGCCAGCTTCAATATCTCGATGATGCTTATCAATCTCCTCGTCTCGAACAAGCGCTTCAATGGCCGCTCTGTTTTTAACTGTTTGGAGTTATCTGTTGTGAAATGAAACTGAAACCTCTGTTTTATTTTTTCTTTAAGGTTGCATTCCGTAACAAAAAATAGATTATTGAAAACGAACGTGTTCTTGATTATTTGATTCTCTTTCTTACAGCGAAGAGATTCTGAATCCGTTGGTTCCAATGGCTCTCAGGCTCTCCAGGAGATTGATGGGTAGGCTTAACAGTTTAGCTCATGAGATTTTTTTTTTTTTTTTCAGTTCTTTGCAATGTTGTTTGATGATTCTCAGTGTCTTGTCTCTTCCTGAGGTGAGAAATTGCTACTTTCTTGGACATTCGCCCTCAGTTAATCAAATTTTCCCGTCCTACTTTTTTGGCTTCGTTGTACTACGATTTCTACATTCTAACATGACGTTTTTGTCTTCTTTCGAAATCAATACAGAGAGGTTTAAGGGAATCGCCGTGGGCCAACAATTTTGCAGTGAGTTTTAGTTTGGCATTCCAGCTTACAAGAGGGAGCCTGCAGAGAAGATTGGTAGTCGCTTTTCTTGATCTATAGATTCTAGATTATTTTCTATATATTAACCATTTTGTAATTATTAATTGTGAAGTTTTTATTATCAGTAATACAACAATTATAAAAATCTGAAATTAATCAAATTTGGTCACTTCATAATTCAAATATTTCAAAAATGGTCAAAAGAAGTTAAAATAACCTAGTTTTGACCAAATCTATAAATCAAAATTGAAAATCTAGTGAAATCAGAATTCACAAAACAAACGAAATATAGTTCGTGATTGATAAATATTTACGCAATCCATCATGCTTGTCCTGCTTCTAAATTTGTGGAGGAAACATATTTGCAACATCTCTTAAGTCAAAATGTCCATAGTATGTCACGTTGTGGTGTCCTTGTAAAAGACTACGTAAAGAGAAAGTTCATTGGAAGAACCTGTGCTGATGCCGCTGAAAAAAAGACGCCTCTACTTGAAATTGATATGCTAGTCGACATAAGTATGCTTGCGGTTAAGCTTCAGGAAAACGGGTTCCTTGTGATACTCTCAAACGACAAGTACTTCTATAACCGTATTGCCACGAGACTTCGGTTAGAAGAGAACTGAGCATTCAGAGTGATCACAGATATACCGAGTGGTTTGAGTTGAGTGTCGATATATGAGCAACTCAAAGACACTAAAAAATGCCCGCACCTTGTGCCCCTGTGTAGGTTAGGAAGATAAGAATGAGCCTTTGTGGGTGAGGTTTTTATTTTTTTGGATGCCTTTTCTATGTGATATTAAGTGCAAAACTACAAACAACTTTTTAAGAACAAATTTAAACCCAGAACCAACTAGTTTAAATGTTGCATGTGTTTTCATAACAAATCTTGCCTGTGTAAATGGAAATTACGCGGCCATTGTGACTCTATCTAAACCGAGTCTACCTTATCCGTTCCCTAAACCACATGGAGTAGAATTCATCGTACTAGGTCTTAAATCATGATGGACGGCATTAAATTTCTGATTTGGTTAACAATTTGAAATTCCCGGTTTGTTTCCTATAGGGGAGTGGTGGAAATCCGATACCGAAATGGTTGTTAGATATTAAGCATTAAAACCCGGTTTAGCACCTAGTGTCTCAGATGCTCATCTCATTAACGGTTTTCTATCAATTCAAATGAACATCCTCGGTATACTTAAATTTATTTATAATTGTGAAGGTTTTATTTAAATTTTGAAAATCTGAAATTAATTAATTTCGATCACAAATTGATAAGAAGCTTAAATATTTCAAAAATAGTCAAAAAGTTGAAAAATTTTGACTTATTTTTGACCACAACTTTGGTTAGACCAATTATTATTTTTGGTTATAAAGTTTTCGTCCAAATTTTTCATCAGTGAATTGATTTGTGACCAAATTCATACGTTGGTCAGAAATTCATCACTAAATAGTAAGATTTATTTTCTATCAATACTTTAGTTAGAATATGGTTGTCATCAAACTGTTTTCTTGTAGTGTCTTGGCTTCACCAATATAGAAAATATGCAAACTATTTATACGAAAATATGCAAACTATTTATAACAAGATTGAAGCTCTAGTGAAATCACAATCAATCGAAGAAACTAGATATAATATGGAATTGATAAATGTCTATACTATTCTTCATACTTCTAAATATATAGAGGGAACATATCTGCAACATCTCTTACGTCAAAATGTCCATATCAAATACTATGTCAAAAGAAAGTTTATTGACAAAACATGTGTTGCTGCCTTAGGTAACACTCAATACCTAACAATTTTGTTTCAATTTAATTTTTTATTTCAAAAAAAAATTAAATTTATTTCTTTATAAAAAGCTCTAAACAAAGTAAAAAAGATGAATTTTCTAGAGGTTAAAATGCTAACATTGGCATGCATGCAGCTGAGCTTTAGGAAAATGTGTTGCTAGTGATTTAGATTCACTACCAATGTATACAAGACTCAGAAACCCTACGAGATGCCCACACCTTGTGTAGGTTAGGAGGATGATAAAGAGCCTTTGTAAGCTTTATTGTTGCAGTAGATCTTATCAGCTCTGCTTGGTTTTTACTTGTTGGATGCTTCGTGTTCACTATACCTTTTCTATGTGTATATGCAATATGCATTTGGTTATGGTTCTTCGGATTCTTGAATTTCAAATGAGTATGAAATTTAGAAGCTGCAAATGCTATATAAAAATAAAATGGCGAGTCCACTTGTAAGGATATGGATTCACCTGACACCATATATATTATAAATAAAAAATTTATCCATAGACCCACCTTCGAATTTCTACAATGAAACCTCTTATTTAATTTTCAGTCTATTTTCTTTAATAAATAATATTTAACTAGGTGATCGGCTCGCACCGTGTACGGACTATAAAATAATTTATATGTTTAATATATGATTAATATTGTATATTGATGATACTCTATTCGTACATAATATATATATATATTTTTATCTATTGTTAATTAAACCAAATTGGGTTTTACCATTTTTATTTATCTTAAAAGCGGGTAGATGATTGCACTGTAATCGAGGTTAACAAATTTCATGGACGACAAGTTCGTATGGGACTTTGACTTTTGCATAATTAATATTTATATTCATACGCATATTTGTGGAAAAAACGAGTATGGCTTTCATGTGTTAAAAGAAAATAGCAATGCATATATTTTGTAATATATATATATATATATATAATATGTTATGATTGAATTTTATAAAAGAAATAAATATGTATATATATATGCATGTAAGTATGAGCTAAAAATAAGTAAATTGTAATATTTAGGTGTTGATTAGTTTTTTTTTATATTTTCTGCAAACGTTATGTTTTTACACAATACAGTTTTTGGCTTTTATCAACAATCACGAAAATCATTTCTATCGTTTAGTATCAAATCAAAATTTATTATTTTTCAGCGATTTTTGTTTTTGGTAAATTATTTTTCTCCATTTTGTGAAATATAATTTCAAATTAAAAATTAAATTAAATATTAACAAAAATTACAAAAAATTCTAAAAAATTAAAATATAAGATTTCACTTTACCATGAAGATAAATATAGTACATTAGATAATCCATTAGTAATTTTCCTTTTCAATAAAAATTATAATAAGAATTTGTTATAAATTTGTGAATTCATATTTTTATAAAAGCAAGTGTATATTATAAAATTTGGTATACACATGTGTTCATTAAAAATAACGCGTCTTTTTAAGATTTTTTAGATAACTTTGTCAAACAAACTGCAATAATTTTATGAAAAAACTAAAACTGTAAAGATTTATGTTTGTTTTTACTTCTTATTTATATTTGTTTCATCTTATTATCATTTATTCTTTCATTCGATTATTTTTATTTTATTTATGATCTTAAATTCTTGATATACAATGAAAATGCGTATATACATATGAATATGATATAAACTTTTCTTTTTATGTAAAATATGATAAAAGAGAAGATGAGATGGTAACAAAACTATGTAAATTTAAAAAAACAGCAGTATAAAAAGTGTTAAAATTATATACAAATATATGGTCATATTAATACTATAAAATAGTAATAATTAGTATATACTTTATTCATTTGCCATAATAAGTAATGGTTCGAACAAACAAATTATTTTAAGTTATGTTACTTTTTAAACTTTTAATAAAAGTTAATTATTATTTTATTATTTTAAAATCTTTTTATTCGTTAAATTATTGTATCATGATTCTATTTTATTTTAAATTCTACTATTTAATAATGTATCTAATTTAAACCTTTTTAGATGCTATTATTATAAATTATCATAAATTAATAACTTTCCAAAATAAAAATATATCATACTTTAAACATTATTAATATATATAATATTTACTATCTTATTGGATAATCTAATATTATATATTTTTTTTAATATGAAATTATAATATATAAATATGTATATGTATTGTAAAATTTTTGTACTAATACTTTATCTAATTATGAATATATGTAAAAGAATTAATCATAATAATTATCTTTTTTGTTACTTTAAAATTATTTATAATTTAGTGTAATTATGTTTAATTTCAAGTTTCTTTAATTTTAATTTAGTCAATCAAAATATTTTGTTTATTTTAGGAAATTTGACATGTCACATTTACATGTCATCAATACAATACACTAACTTTGATTATGAATGTGACACATCAGCAATTTTTACTAATTCTACTTCTCAAATAATGTGTAGGAATTTAAATTTGACACCACTAATTTTTTTTTCTGGACTCGCCAAAGCTAGAAACAACTCTTAAGAACAAACCTAAACACCAAAGGTAGCCAGCCCACTGATGCGTGGACAATTTGTTATGATGAATATATTGTTTGAAAGCACTTAAGAAAAAGTGATAGATTGAGTAGTCAAAGTAAATTTTTGGACTTGTCATCATTATTGGAGTCAAGTAGTCAAAAGACCAAGTTGGAAGTGTTGGGCCGCCGGGTCGAGTGAGTGGACAAATCTACTGATTGGCAAACGAGAGGCGGGCCTTCCTTTTCAACCACAGCCGCCTATTTTTTTTTTAAACTTTTTTCTTTTTAATATCCTAAACTGCCATTTTTGAGATTTTATATTTAGGATTGTTTTTCTTTTCCTTTCAACTATTTGATTTGAAATATTTCAATTATAAAACTAAAACAATTCTAAAAGAAAATGAATATTTCTCATAAACGATTGTGAATAACTTAAAAAGATTTTCTGCGCAATTTTTTTTTCTTTGTCTTTTATGCAACAATTAATGGGACTAGAGCGACAGTCGTGGATTCTATGAGGTCCAGTTACATTTCTTGGTGTCAGAAGATTTTTCCGATTTTTTTCCCATAAAGAAATACTATGAATTTTATACGTAAAAATTAACTGTTTGACCATATGATTAATATGTTTATACTTTATACTATATATCGGATTCGAAGTTCAAACATTAGTGGTTTATCGCAGACTAATCCATCGTCATAGTTGTTTGATTACGTTACAGATTCGCAATGCATTTAGCACTGATAGAGATAATCAAAATTCGGACGGCTCGCTTCAATCTCTAAACTTATGTTGTTGTATGATAAAATATTTAATTGCAGTCCCACTAAACATGTGTGTTAACCCGAAAATCGAAATCGCGTGTTTTAGATCTACACCGCACGATCATAACCGACCCCACTTTTCCCAATGAAAATGCAATATGATATATATTTAAATAAATAAAAGAAAACATCTACAGTACTAATATATTTTTATCTTTTATTACACACCGCCACAAACACTCACTATAAAGACGAATCCAAGATAGACGAGGACCGGCCAGAAATTGCTTCACCAATCTTCTTCCATTTTCTCCACAAATTTCTCTTTCTTTAATCTCTCTCTCTCTCTCTGATTCCGATTATGGAAGGAACCGGCGTCGTGGCGGTTTACGGCAACGGTGCGATAACGGAGGCGAAGAAATCTCCGTTCTCCGTTAAGGTCGGTTTAGCTCAGATGCTCCGTGGTGGAGTTATCATGGATGTCGTCAACGCAGAGCAGGCTCGCATCGCGGAGGAAGCTGGTGCTTGCGCCGTCATGGCTCTGGAGCGCGTCCCGGCGGATATTCGCGCTCAAGGAGGCGTTGCCAGGATGAGCGATCCTCAGATGATTAAGGATATCAAGCAGGCCGTTACGATTCCGGTGATGGCCAAGGCTAGGATTGGTCATTTCGTCGAGGCCCAAATCCTCGAAGCGATTGGAATCGATTACATCGACGAGAGCGAGGTTTTGACTCTCGCCGATGAAGATCACCACATCAACAAGCATAATTTCCGGATCCCTTTCGTTTGCGGCTGCCGGAATCTCGGGGAAGCTCTGAGGAGGATCCGTGAAGGCGCGGCGATGATTAGGACCAAAGGCGAGGCTGGGACTGGGAACATTGTGGAGGCCGTGAGGCACGTGAGGTCTGTGATGGGTGACATCAGGGTTTTGCGGGACATGGACGAAGACGAGGTCTTCACCTTCGCTAAGAAATTAGCCGCGCCCTACGATCTCGTGATGCAGACCAAACAGCTTGGCCGTCTTCCCGTCGTCCAATTCGCCGCCGGTGGAGTCGCTACTCCGGCCGATGCAGCTCTCATGATGCAGCTTGGATGCGACGGCGTCTTCGTCGGCTCGGGTATCTTCAAGAGCGGTGACCCAGCTCGTCGCGCGCGTGCCATTGTACAGGCCGTGACTCATTACAGTGACCCGGATATGCTTGCGGAGGTGAGCTGTGGGCTCGGAGAAGCCATGGTTGGGATCAACCTCAACGACGAGAAGGTTGAGAGGTTCGCTAATCGCTCCGAGTGAAAAGAAGGTAAAATTTCAGACGAAATGGTTTCAGATTTATCAGACCATTTTCAGTAATCTTCTCTCAAAGAAAAGATGATATTGATAGTTTGTATCCTTTGTGTCTTCCTTGTAGTGTTTTCTTATTGTAATCTCGCAATAGATTTCTTCTATTTGCAAGAACAAAAGTTGTCAGTTATAATAATGTACTCTCTTGATCTTGGTAATGAAATTTTCTTCCATCCATTGCTGTTGAGCTTGTGGGAACCTTGCTGTTCAGTTAAAGGAAGTTTTATCACTAGGTATAGATGGTATCAGATTCGGACAGCAGCTTAGTATCAGGTTGAAATGTTTGATCCTGGAAATGAAATCTTCCTCATACTAAGCTCTGCAACTGTTTCGGTATTAAGTTTGGTTTCCAAGAATTTACATAGCCTCTACTTCTTATATAAATATGTAGTTTCAGGCATAGCTATAACAAGCCTAACAGACAAGATCGTTTTCATGATTTGTGCATCATGCTTGTGGTTTCTTTCCGGATATGTTTGCATTCTTTAGTCGGTTTTTGAGAAAGTGCTATGTTTGCATTCTTTAGTCACCTATTTCATCAGGCACATGTAAACTGAAGTTTTACTAGATAAACGGGGTCCAATTTCTCCAGAGTGAATATAAACAGCACACAATGTTTACCTCACTATAGAAAATGATACCAGTGAGGCCAATCCTACCCAACTTGAAGTGGACACAGAACCAAAATCAAACCGATCCCATATGATATAAAAATATCGCTATAGCACTTAAAAAGAATGAGTAAACCTAATCAAATTGTGTATATATATATATATATATATACACAGAAGAAAAAAATGGTCTTAGGAGCAATCAACGCACACGATTAACCCATTCTCGTTACATAACAAACACTGAATCCTGGATCCATCACCAGAGACAATCCGGCGACTACCTCTGCATCCATCACACATCAAAAACCTGAACCCATCGCACCGCTGGCAACGTTTCTCTCCGGCGATTGGAATGCCCTCAAACAAAGCCCTAAACTTCCCTTGCTCGTGCAGACCCAATACCCTCGGGGCTCCGCCTATGCACCTTCCCTTCACGAACAAAACCGGAGGCAAAACATCCGTTTCCTCCGCCGCTGAAATTCTCCGGAGCTCTTCCCTGTACTGTCTGTGCATCGACACGTCCCTCTCGTAGTACTTGACCTTAAAGCTATCCAGCAGAAACCGGATCATGTTGCAGTCGTCGAATGTTTTTCTGATTCCCCTAAGAGTCGTTGTGTAGAAAACAACGGACTCCCTACCTCCCGGAGGACACCGCTCATCAAATCCCAATAACGGGTCCACAAGGATGTTCCCCTCTTTTCCAGTCGCGTCTTCTCCGATGATTCTTTTCTCCACTCCGACTTCTTCCGTGATCGCGCTTACTATCTGAAGGGTATCATAGTCTTTTCGGTAACCTCCTTCTCCTTGCTTGGCGTCATTGCGAAGGACTTTTTCGTCTCTCCGTTCATCTTCTTCGACGCCTATCACGGGCGGAAGGTTATTCTGGTTTTTTTCGGTGCTCTCTTCCTCGATTTCGCTTACATCGGCGGGAAAGACGATATCGTCTTCTTCATCACCATCGACTCTGGATTCTCGGGATAAATCGTTTATCCTTCTAAAGCACACCACAGCTAATTCAAACGCTTCGAGCAGCTTCGGATCGAAAAGTGTGCTCGAATTCAATTCAGGTCTTCTGAATCCAGATCCGAAACTCTTCCTGCCGATACCTGCATCGGATCCGCATGAAACTGCCGATTTACTATGGTCACTCAAAACTCTCGGAATTTGGTTCACCGGCGGCCGAACGTTCTCCTCATCGCCGACGAGACTTCCAGAAGCTTCTCCTCCTCCTTTCTCGTTTTCCGTTACATCGGCAATTTGATCTTCAAGCCTTTGAGGGGATCTCCACATAGAACCTGCTGTTAACTGGGAAACAGGATTAGATATCCTGGGAAGAAATTCGGAGATCCCATCAGCAGCTGAAAGCACCTGGAGAATCCGATCCTGATTCAGATACTCCCCGGCTTTAATCGATTTCAACTTCTTTGCAAACTTCATCCTCGATGACTTCATCTCCAGTGTTTTGCTTCACCGGAGATCCGTAGCAATCAGATCAAAACGGGAAAAAGTTCGTTGGGGATAAGAAGACAAAAATAGGTTAAAAAGAAAAAGGCGACGATGAGAAGAACCAGAGTGATGATGATTCAATTTCAAGCTCAACGGCTAGAAAAGACGATTCCATCTTCTTTTTTTTCGGGGGAAACAAACGAGAGAGAGTGATCAGGTACGCTTAGGTGCACTGAGATTTTGTTTATTTAACCATTCATTAAGTGGCACGTTGCTATACGATTTAACATTGCACATTTTTTTTTTTTTGACAAAGGGATTTCAACAATGCACATGTCACGCGAGAGGATAAGCGCAACGGTCCCAAAAACTCGCAACTTCCAAGAGACCCTCAAATCTCGGTGTGGTGAACAATTTTGTAATGTATGCAAACAAATGGGAAGATTTCGAAAACCAAAATAAAAACTACAAATCTTAAACCAAAACGATTACAAACCCGTCAACAAGTCTAAGTCACTGAGTTTGCAAGTACACAGACACACACATCTTCGAGTCGTATGTTTTGCTCCACGCTATTTTCTTTCACCTATGGGGTTTAGTTTTCTACAGGAGTTGTCGACAAGCATACCAACTTCTTCTTCCAAAGACTATTTAATTACTTGTTCCGCTGCATCTGGCTCAGTGAATCCTCTCTCGAGTTGGGCGGAGACTAGACAGGCACACGCTTGCCCCGGTACTTGTCAAAGAACTGTGCATCACATAAACAAAAAAAAGGTCAATCAATCGCATAAGTCAACAGCTGCAACAGAGTATTAGCTAAAGTTGATGGAAAATAAGAAAACACCTAGGCCTCGAAACTCAAAGTTTATCGATAACATAAAGTAGTAGTCTAATGGAAAGTATTCGCCCATAAAGTTTGTCTTCCCTGTTCTGATTTCTTGAGACAATGCGTGTTCTTTTGCAGTGAATTTAGAATTGGACACATACCGATCTTATATATGGTTGCTGAATGATCCAACTGAGAACGGGTATCTTTTGAGCAAAAACTGCCAAGGTTGGCCAGAAGCCGCTGAAATAGAAAACGTTGTTAGTAATTGTCTATGTTTCCACATATGCAATAGCAGTAAGGAAGAGGAAAAAGGGAACGGACCTGAAGAGCACAAAAAAGCCATATGTCTCCAGCATCATTCCCAGGATAGGCCATCCAATGACTACAAAGAAGAAGCCGACCCCAAAAGAAATTGTTCCCTGAGTGGATAACATATAAAGAAATTATGTATAACACCCCGTCCTACTGAGCCAGAGATACTGACGAGGAAGAGAACAAACCTTATAGTTTTGACGCTTCATGAAAAACTGCATGGTAGACTTGAGCCCAATGGTTAGACTAACCCCAGAGATGAATAGAATCTAAACAAGGCCAGAAAAGAAACGGGGGCTCAGTAACAGTTTCGAACACAAGCAAGAATAGCAGCCAAAAGCATAAGAAACAGAGACTTTTGAGGCACTTACATTTCCCATGGCAAGTAATCCTTTATCAAAGACAAAGACTATCCCCAAAAACGAGAAAAATACGCCAAATGCTGTCAGCCCTAACCCAATTTCTGTTTCAAAACACATAACAAACGATGAAGTATAGTTAAGAAGGCGATGAGCAAAAGGTGGCCCTCTAAAGCTAAGTAGAACTAAGTAACAGGAAGCTCTTCAAAAGCAGGAATTATTCATACAAAAGACAATGTAGACGTACTTTTCCGATCATTCATTTCGAAGGACATCATGGTTCCAGGAATCAGCTGCTTCTACCTTTCACTGCCACAGGTGAAAATAAGTTGAAACTCAGGAACACGAGCATTGAAAGGACAGCACTAGTGTTTACAAATGTGCCCATGGACTCTGATATAAGCCTATAGAGATCCAAAAACTTTCAAATCAGTTTTGGCGAAAATCAATATTTGGAAACATTCTACGGATTTGAGGTCAACTAGAGATACCACATACGGAATCAAAGGAATAACCCTAACATACTTGTTCAATCGAAATAGTGCATACCCAAACAATAGACTTCACACCGAACGAGTAAAGAGATTCAATGATACTAAAACCGATATAATCACACGAATTGTAAACAGAAAATGCATAAATCGAGCAGAGGCGAGTGAAACGAGGATCATAAGAAACGAAATTAAACGGAATTCAACGGAAACCGCTACGACGCAGAGGAGGATGTGTCGTAACTTACAGATCTAGAGATAGACAAGGAAGAACGCGGAGAAAACCTAGCACGCAGGCTCCTCGAAGAAGATCTAGAAAACATCATAAACACATCAGGCGAATTTTAAGCCGGGGTTAATAGATCAGCGGAAACCAACGTTAGCAGAAATTATGAGGGAGAACAACAGAGAAGGAGATGAAATTAACCTGCCTGGGGAGAGCTAGAGACAGATAGGTGGAGAGAGAAACAGAGGAACAGAAAGCACATACGAAGCACATACGAGTCGCGAGCGCAGAGAAGAAGAGAGGCCGAGGTCGCGATTTGTTACCAGAAATCACAAATCAGAACCCCCTGAGACCCCAAACGGAAATAATGATATAGTGTACATGGAACAGTGTGAATTATGTGTCCTCGCCATTCATCGTATGACACGTGGCACTTTTTCTAAACCGGTTCAGCATCGGCACTATATAATCTGCTAATGTGATTTTCTATTTTTGTTTTTAACAAAAAGATTATAAACTTGAATTATGTTTATGCGTCACAAAACATCGTTTTCAGAAATATCGAGAAAAATACCAACGAAGAAAATGATCCCCGATTAGTAGTATAATGTCACCGATCGAAACTATAAATAATCAGATGAAATTGGACCACGAAATTACGCTGCAAAGTGGAAAAGTGCAAAACAAACAATTCAACCGGAGCTATAGAACCGAAAAATTAGATTTCAGATAAACCGGAGTCAATGAAATATAGTTATAGGTACAACCAAACCGAAACTCCAGAATCCATTCAAATCATATTTCATATAGACAGTAGCAAGTAGCAACACACACCAGCTGCTGGTTACAAAAAGAAAGAAACATTTTGGCTTTCTCACATTCTCTGTCTTTTACCTCTATACAAATACGGTAAATGCGAGGAATAAAGACACAAAATGTGCACTGTATGTGCTGGATTTCGATATGTTAGACGTTAAAGATCTTCTTCACCTTCCTGATCTTCCTACGACACACCGGGCAAAAACCCGAAGTTTCAGATATCCTGCGTATTATAAGTTTTGAAAGCATCATCAATGTTCGTTCTCAGCAATGAAAACTCAAAATACCCAAACCGAAACTCAGATTGAGCACCAGAAAACATAATTAGAATGAAAGGATTGGATGGGATATTATATATTACCGTGTCCCGCATTGGAAGCAAGCAACGCAGTGTCCACAAGAGAGGAAGAAACAGTCTCTGGGCGCATCAAAGCAAATAGCACAGAGATATCTTGTACTACTGTAGGCTTCACCGTGTGCACCTTCCAATTCCTCAGTACTTGTCAAGATAGAACTGTAGGACGAGCACCAGCTCGAGTTATCATCGTCTTTTCCCGGAATAAGAGGGGCTACGTCATCATTTTCATCAATGGTTTCGTCATCAGAGACTGGTTGCCTTTTATGGAAGAGACTAGAGACAATCAACAAGAGTGCTGTCACCACACCTGCAAATAAAGGAAAAACGCAAAAAGTTTATGATAAATTCCAAAAACTAGATCGGTTTACATGACTTCATGTAATAATTGTTTTTAAAACAATTACCCATGCAAACTATGTATGCAATCCACCTTGGCTCGTACGAGAGCTTTGCGCAGAATTCATTCTTAGAATTGTTCTGAACAACAAGAAGAGAGTTGTATTCAGAATGGTTCTCTGGAATATGCATAACAATGTGAACTATCCTTTGCCAGTAAGAGTGAAATAGCAAGACAAGAAATGGGTCACATACCAGCTTTGGACCTGGTGAGGTTAGTACAGCAGCATTAGTTCCAAATAAAGGAACCCTTAAAGTGCACTTGTCATTAGGGAAAGTGCAATTGTAATAAGCATTTGTAGTATCATACAATACTGCCTCAACTTGAATGTCAATTGAAGCCTGAACAACGTAGATATGGTGTGAGAGAGAGTGATGTATAATCCGACAAAACGAGAGCTATTTGCAGTAAAATACTAGTGACCGGAGCTCCTGAAGGAATGCAAATCAATTGTATAGGAGAGAAGATTCCCTAGAAATCTAAATTCCAGCATATATATCATCATAAGTTGCTTCAGCTATATTACCTTCACTTCATTCAGGTATACGTTGCCCACTGCAACGTAATAACTCGACGATTTAGTTATGTCCTGCTCAATGAAACCACTATCTGTGAAAAAATAAAATAAGGTAAAGTGTGAGTGAAGTCTATGAATTTTCAGAGTAAAACCTCTCATGCTAAAACCTCGGGTCACTAACCAGAGATTAGATGCCATGATAATGTCGTGTCTGGACGCGTAGGGTCTTGAACCCACTCAGCGAGCCCATCCACACCTTCAATTATAAATGCATATATAAATAGCTCATTTGCTGAACAACTTTAGCTTTTCTTTCTTAACATACATGAGCATGCTCAAGAATTCGCCAATCAAAAGGAATACAGGAACTGAACTAATAATCATTAGAAATGGATACTTGTGTAGCATACCTTGGGCTATCACAAGATAGAGGGAAGAACCGAGAGATTCAACATTATATTCAACTTTAACTCGCGACCCCTTGTTCAGATACTGTATCCAATACTGAAAAAAAATGCAAAAGAGAATGCATCAGCCCCCGTTTCTAGATACCGGAGGTAAAGGAGCTCCGAGAGAAGTTACCTTGTAAGAATCATTTGGCACAGCTAAATAGTGGACTTCAGACCAATTGGCCAGAACGTCGAGCTGTGGGGGTTGGTTCAATCCGTAGAGCATCATACCGGATCCCTTGTTCCCTAATTCTTCCACCTTGAGAAAATCGACAAGGGGAGGATATCAGAAGATTCAACAATGGCGGATCTTAATTAGATTCAACAATGGCGGATCTTAATTCAAGAGAGGAGAGACCATACAATCACATTTTGGACGAATACTGAGGTTGGCTTGATAAGGAACGAAGAGTTTGGTCCCAGCCATACGTTCGTTGTTCCGTAAAGCCCCAAAACCAAAGTCATCGACACTGAATCAAATCCACGTACACGATCAACGATCAAAGTAATTCAAAGTCCATTGGAAAATTCAATCTCACCGAAGACGCAGAAGGTAGCGACGACGACAACGCAGGACCAAGGATCTTCCGAATTCGAACTGTTCCTGGCGTTCTCCGATGCAACAATGCTCCCGTGGCGGTAATCGTACTCGGAGCGATTCCATGGCGGTCGATCACGATGATCAAAACCGTTGTCTTGGCCGTGTTCAAAACGAATATAACCGCCTTCTTCGCGGGTCACAGGCGGAGAAGAGGAAGACGACGGGAGAGAATCTGGCAGCGACATCTCGCGATCGATGAAGGAATCGAATTGAACAAGTTAAAAACCCTAACCGCAGGTTTGGGGTTAATCTTGAGGACCGACGGATGACAGAGATTTGAACGACGGGTTGGCTTCTTCTTTTTCTTCATCGTCACGTTGAACGGTGGGTTGACAAAAAACTGGAGAGAGAAGACTTGGAAAAGGTAAAACAATTACATACTTTCTCTCTCTCTTCTTTTTTTATTGGTTTAGAATTAAAAATAACAATTTAGATAGAAAATCAATAAGATTAAAATCAATTAGAGCCTACCTTACCAAAAAAAAAAAAATCAATTAGAGCCTAAACGACGCCGTTGTATGATAAATTATTGTGTCTCTAATTAATTAAATCGAAATTATGGTCGAACGAATCTCTCTTTTGGTTCGGTGTCTTCGGACAGGCTGGTCTCGTCTCGACCCGCCCTTGAAAGTACTGTAACACCCATGCCATTATCTGTCACCAGTGACGGTTTTATCGTAAATATGACAAATAAGTGAGGGCTTATGCGTAAATATGATATAAACGCAAAATTCAAGTCACATATCCGGCCGGCCACAGTCCTCGTTTTTCCAGTCTGGTTATCGAGAGAGGCAGGCAAAAAGAAACCAGATCTACAAAAAAAAAAAAAAAAATCCCCCAAATTCAATTTCAAATTCGAATCCCCAAGGAACCCTAAAGTTTCCAAATATAGTTGCTGCTTCTCTCAATCGAGCCGGGGTTTGAGACCTCGTAGATTGCACGCGATGGGCGATTTCAACCTCGCTCTCGTTATTGTCGCGATCGTTGTTTGCGTCATTGTCTTCATCTCCAGCATCTACCTCCTCGTCAACTATCAGCATCCAGATGATGCAAACCAGGCGTATTTCCCCAAGTTCGTCGTCGTTTTTGGCTTATCCATTGCCATGATCTCCATTCTCATGTTGCCGGCAGATGTGGCGAACCGGCATGCTTGTCGACATTCGATTTACAACGGTGCCTGCAATCTCACCTTACCCATGAAGGATCTGTGGCTTGCCGTTTACATTGTTGACGCTGTGCTCGTGTTCTTCATCATCCCCTTCGCCATGTTCTTCTATGAAGGCGACCAAGACAAGTTCGTTTTTTTCTCGACAAATTTATAATTTCTGAGTTATTAGTTGATAGTTGAAAGATGGAAAGTTGCTGACTTTGGGCTTTGCATTTTTACTGCAGGACTCTTGGGAAGAGGATCAAAAGTGCTTTGATTTGGGTGGTTACTACAGCTGTTGTTTGTGCTCTGGTGCTTGGAATATTATACGGTTAGTTGTTACTGAGCTTTAGTTTCTTCATATTCTTCCTGGTTTGATGAAAGTTCTGAGATTTATGTTTGACCAATAGTTTAATCATTTTACGAGGCTTTCAAGTTTGTGTTTTTGGGTTCTAATGCGCTTTCTACAATGTATCAGGAGTCATTGGGAAGGTGGACTTCTCTGTCAGGCACTTGTCGTCTGCCACAACGTCTTTCCCTACTTCATGGCAGTTTTCAAATAATCAGCCTTGCATCGGTAACACTGCTCGTCAGGTAATATTTGATTGCGTTCTTGCTATTAGTTTATATTTCATAAGTCTATGTAATGGCAGATTTCAGTATGTACTAACATATCTTCCCTTCTCTATTGAACTGTTTGACAGTGCTCAGCATATACAGCTAATGCCGCGTCTGAGAAGACGTGGACCATGCGGACAACGTTTCCAGAATATGTTGTTGCTCTTGCTACAATCGTTGGATCAGTGCTTTTCACGGTATGAACATCATTCTAAAATGTTCTTTGGTATTGAAAGTAACACCTTGTTGGCGTGAAAACGCACATACGTGTTCTTATATCATGGCTTGGTTGTGTTCCTCTTAGAGTTAAAAGACTTTTGGTGGCTGTCATTTTGTGGTTTCCCCTAAAGATTCTGAGGAACTCTTTTATCTCTAATGTTTTTAGATATTTGGTGGTGTTGGTATTGCTTGTCTACCCTTGGGACTTATCACTGCGTTCATCAGGCGACCAAAGGCTGTTATCACTCGGTCACAGTATATAAAGGTTCATTTTTCTGGTTATTGTTGTCTCCGCGAGAAGTTTTTTTTTCATTTGCACTCTCAGTGGCCTGACAATTCCTCTAAATGTTTTCCAGGAAGCAACTGAACTAGGTAAAAAGGCAAGAGAACTAAAGAAAGCAGCCGATGCACTTCATCAGGAAGAAAGAAGTGGTGCTAAGGGCAGAAAGTGGAGGAAAAATGTGAAAGCAGTTGAAAAGGTACAACAACATCATATCTGAAGGTTTGGAATCTTATTTCGAATTTGTTCCATGTCTACGAACTTGACTGATGTCTCTGTTCATAGTAGTTATTGATTTGTAGTTTGGTTGATCAATCCTAGTGAAGAGCTAGCTAGAAAGTAGAAACCAGGGCAGCTTTATGCATGCTTGATTGTGGATTCAAATACGTTACGTGTGTCCTGCAGGAGTTGCTCCAATTGGAAGAAGATGTGAACCTCTTAGAAGAGATGTACCCTCAAGGAGAAAAGGTTGGTGACACTGTGACAGTGTCTCGGTACTTTAATTTTCTAGACATCTATGTTATCTAACCATTCCCTTGCCTTGCTATTTTCAGGCAGAAACAGCTTGGGCTTTCACCGTCCTTGGATACTTGGCCAAGTTTATTCTTGGAATCTTAGGGTTGGTGTTTACATAATCTTGTTATTGTTTTACTCTGTCACTCTAAAACCCCTCGGTTCAGCTCTGATTGAAAGATTTGTGTTTGCTCTTTGAAGATTGATCGTTTCTGTGGCTTGGATTGCACACATCATCATATATCTGCTTGTTGACCCTCCACTCTCCCCTTTTCTTAATGAGGTTTTCATCAAACTGGATGATGTCTGGGGTAACTTCATTTTCTTTATTTGTTAGGTTGCTCTATACCATGTTACTTTTGTGCCTCGCCTGGCTCTATGTTGATACATTTGGCATGTTGTTGTTCTATAGGTCTTCTTGGCACCGCTGCCTTTGCTTTCTTCTGTTTCTACCTGCTACTTGCTGTAATTGCCGGGGCAATGATGCTTGGTTTGAAGCTTGTCTTCATTACCATTCATCCAATGAAGTAATTCATCTTGAGGTTTTGCTGTTTCAGAGGTCTTTCTCTTTTATTTTGGTTTCTCATTAAAGCCTAATTTACTTGATTCCAGATGGGGGGCGACTCTAATGAACTCTTTCCTCTTCAATGTGGGTCTCATTCTTCTATGTTCTATCAGGTAGGCTTCTTTGATCTCATAAATACCAATCAGCTATATAGTAGTAACTTTGATTCTTACAATTGATTTTGTTTTGGCTGACTGAAAATACAGTGTGATTCAATTCTGTGCAACTGCATTTGGATATTATGCTCAAGCCACAGCCGCTCAGGAGATATTTGGACACACTTTGCAGTCTCTTCGCGGAATCAAGTACCTATACAAGTAAGTAGTGTTATTAGGCTTTTTGCAAATAAAATTCCTCATTCCTATACTGATAGTTATTGTACTGACTATTAACGTCCTCTTGTTATGTGCAATCGAATGTATCTCAGGTACAACGTTTTCCAAATCGGTTTTGTTGTCCTGGCTGGACTAACCTTTTTATATTACATCGCCTTTGTAAGTCTTGTCTTTGTTCTGTTGTTTCCATTAAAGTTGTTGTGTGTCATAAAATCATTAGAAACTCATGCTCTTGGTTTTTGGCAGGGATGGAGAAGAAAAAAACCGAGCGGTAGATTCCAGCTCTCGACCTAGTGTAGATATCTCTTCTTCCTATGTGTCCTCGTCTATGGGATGGATCTGTCCACAGTGATGGTCACTTGTTACTCAGATTCATCACATGAAAGAGGGGTCTTATATCTTAAGAACAAGCACTTGCTAAAAAGGCTTCTCTTATTTCACTTGAGAATGTAATTTTTATTCTTAATTTTCTCCCTTTCCTTTCTTGTGTGTATCTATTCTCTTTCTTTCAGTCCGATTAGCTTCGAAAAGGTTTCTGTTTTTCTTGTTTGTACCCTACCCTCTTTTTTTCTTGTGTAACAGTTGGGCTGACTTATTATGGTCTATTGTATTAAGTCGGATATGTTAATCTAACCATAATTCGTGTCTAGAGTGAGGCCCGACGTTATGACAATAGTCTTCATGCCATTATCTTTGTTTTTTTTTTACAACATCTTCACCTCATCAAAATTTCTCTTTTTATTTTTTTTCACCGGAAATCAAAATTTCGCTCAAACTAATATTCACAATGTGGACACTAAAAGGAAGAAAGAAAAAAAATATAGATCATAGTAATCGAAAAACAAAATTGATTTGGTAGACGCAAGAGCATAATTAAGAGTGAGAGACGAGACGGTGTCGCATCGACTCTAGAGAACTGCCCATGGATATTGCTCTCTTCTCGCCGTCCTCCCTCTTCGCCGCCGACGATGACTCTTCGGGTCAGTGATACATCCTTGGTCTTTTCAGTTTCTACTTTGATGGAGGAAAGGGCACACGTAGCGAAAAGTAACAGTAATTTTTCTCAGATGGAGAAACGACGGAGACGGGACAGAGCTTCGTCGAGAGGAATCACCAGTTTCCTGGAACCGTAATTTCTTCCCTCCCGATATCGTCTCCTAGTAATTCCAATTCCCGGTTTAGCTTTATCTTCTCCGTTGAAAAGAGTGAAACCTTAGCTTCTGATTTCATAGGTCTTTGGATCGTAATCTACCTTTGGGGTTTAATTTGAGGAATCGTGTTTCGTTGACGAAAGAAATCCATGAATTCGTTTAACGGGTTTCGCTGATTGTGAACCTTGGTTGAACAGGAATTGCATATCCGGGAGTTCGGTTTCCACCAGCTGAACGCGAACTTGCTGTGGCCAGGCACATTTGCCTTTGCAGATTGGTTGGTTCAGCATCGCCACTTGATCCAAAGGCGGCGATGCCTCGAGATTGGAAGGTACTTCGTGATTTCACTCTTAAGATGGTCTTATTTCCATGTAATCAATCATGTTCTTGGGAAGCCCAAAGCTGACTGATTGAGGTGTTCTTGTCTTAAACAATCAAACGGGCAGCGGCACGGGTGCTCTAGCTATTTTTCTTCACAAAGAGTTTGGTCTCGACATTACTACTTCAGACTACGATGATCAGGAGATTGAAGACAATATTGCTCACAACTGTCTTGCAAACAAGATCATCCCTTCTTTGCCGCATGTCAAGCGTGAGTTTCCTTTTTATCACTCTCACATTATCGAATCACCTGATTGATTATCTGTTTTGCTCTTTTCATGACAGATACATGGGGAGATGAATTTCCAATCTCGGAACCAGATTGGGATTTGATCATTGCCAGTGACATCCTTCTGTGTAAATACACACACCTTTCACCGTTCGCTTCATCTGAAAACTATTAGATCAACATTTTTTTCATGCTTTTTTATTTAATTTGTGTTCCCCTCTGTTGTTGTTTGCAGATGTGAAACAGTACCCAAACCTGATAAAGTCTCTCACTTTTCTTCTCAAAGCCCACAAACCAAAAGACACCAACGCCGTTAGCACAGCAGAGTGCAAGCTAAATGGTCAGTATCATTTTTCAAAACTCCTTTCTTTTTCAGAACCAAAAGATATCTTAACATTACCCTCTTTTTACCAGTCACGGGACTGCCTCTGCCGGTGTTCTTAATGAGCTGGAGACGAAGAATCGGGAAAGACGATGAGTCTTTGTTCTTCAATGGTTGCGAAGATGCTGGCCTCGAGGTGAAGCATCTCGGAAACCGAGTTTATTGCATCAAGCTTAGAGAATCCAGCATCTGAAAGAAAAGATAAACTCCTCATGTTTAGGTTGAAAAAACTAATGAATCTTTCCACAGATCCTTGGCCTCCGAAATCTGATGTCTGTGTGTTACTCTTGCAGCTTTTTTGGTTTTTGCTTTTTGGGTGAAGTGAGATATCTTTACAGGGAGGCCCAATCATTTCATCATTAGCGTCGCTTCTCTTTTTTTTTACTAAGTTTCGGTTAAGATCATATACTTGTATTAAAAAAAGAGTTTTTTTTTTGAAAAAGAAGATTTGATAACTGGAAATTAATAATTGAATAGCTCAAAAACATCACAAAGGTCCCAAGTAGGGACAAAAAATTTAGATACAAACAGTTCCGTGGGTTTATGTTGTCTATTTGTTTGTCTATCACTCATCGATAAGAAGATATTTTATTAGAGATTGGTTGTTCAGCATTGTTTCTTTCTATTTTAGGCACCAAACTGTATTTAAAATTCGAAAGCACTTGACTAGATTAAATTAAGGCCACCGATAGATAATATAATATTTTAAAGAAATTTCGAGCGAGTTTCGCAAGGTGAGAAGAAGACTTTACTCATGTGTTTGATTTGTATATAGTAGAAGGACCATACGTCAATTTCGTGTGGAAAAGAAGGACACGGAAATATGACAATCGTACATAATTAGGAATGATGGTTTTTAGACCCGGAAGTTTAAGGAAGAAATACACGTTGCTCTACTGCCACATATCAACTGATCTTTGAGGTTGTAAATTACCTCCAACACTTTAGTTTTCATCACACGAGTAAAACACATAAGAAGTTTACAAAATCATAGAATTTTTCTAAATATGTGTTTAATTTAGAGTTTTATGGTATAGAAGCTCAAGAAAATAAATTTACCATAATCAGCTTTTCATGATATGAAATTATAAGAAGAAACCGAATGATTTAACAATTAATTTTCGATTTTAGGATAAGGGAAATAGAGATTATGATTTATCTGTTTTTCTAAAAAAATATATCAACTAAGTTTCCACATATATTCACACAAAAATATTGACTAAACTCAAAAGATTTATTTTGTTCATTTGTTATCATATAGATTTAGAAAATAAAGAAAAGAATCAGAGAGAATATTCGATTAGGTTGGTTGATTAGACAACAAACATTTGATTTGATGGGGGCAAATGCCCCGATCTTAGCTAATTTAGATTAAATGGTTGACAGAAAAACGTTGAAAAATAAAAACTGATAAACAAAGCCGTCAAAACAAAATATTTATACAAAGAAAACGTTTACACACGTCAATTTTTATATAATAAATACATGTGCATCCGCAAAAAAAAAAAAAAAAAAAAAATCACATTTGAAAAACAGATTCAAAGGAAATTAAAAAGGGGTTTTGGGTTTTTACGAGAGAGAGTCAACGAAGGAAATGTCTTCGATCAGTACGGAATCATCGCCGAGTCTCTCTCTCCTAGAGAATGGCGGTTGCAGCGGCGGAAGCGACAAGCGTACACCGACGAGAGAGACGTCGGAGATATCCAGACGTAACCGGAGAACGGTACAGAATCTATCAGCGACGTCGTTGATAAGGAAGAGATCGGATCTGAAGCTGATTTCGAGAGTACCTTGGGAATTTCTGAGACAAATCTTAACGAATCTTCACCAAGTTCTTCTCGGCACAAAACTGTTTCTTCTCTTCCCCACCGTTATTTCTGCTGTCGTCGCTCACCGCTATGAATGTCCACGTGTACGTTACTACTTTTTGTTTTCTTAATTATTTAAAAAGACTTTTCGGATTTTTTAACAGAGTTTCAAAATCATCGTAACTTTCCCAATTCTGTATCCATATTTATTTACTTATTAGTAGTTTATAGTTTAGTTACGTTAGTTTATATGGTTGTGTTGTGTGTAACAAAACAGGCGTGGGTCTTTGCGTTGAGCTTGCTTGGATTGATACCTTTGGCCGAACGTATCAGTTTTCTCACAGAGTGATTACTACTAAATCTCTTTCTCTTTTTTTTCTTTCTTTTTTTTTCCTTTCATAAAACTGTTACACCCTTAAAAATTTTGAGTAAATATTATTTTTCTTTTCTTCCTTATCAGGCAAATTGCTTTTCATACCGGTCCAACAGGTGATCATTCTTTTTGTTGACTAATGTAGGCCTTTGAATTGAACCGAGTTATCCAATACTAAACCGATTTCCCTTTCAACCGTTGAAATTGGACCAAACTAAACCGATTAAATTAAGTGTATTGATATTCGGAATTTGGAATGTAATGCAAAAATGTAAAAGATGTTTGCATTTTTTTCCTTCACTAATTTAGTTGTTTTCGAATATTTTGGAATATGAAATTAATGGTGGAAATTATTAATTGGATGAATGAATGAAGTCGGGGGATTAATGAACGCGACTTGCGGGAACGCGACGGAGATGATAATAGCGATTCTAGCGGTTAGACAAAGGAAGATGAGAATTGTGAAACTCTCGCTTCTTGGCTCTATCCTCTCCAATCTTCTCTTGGTCTTAGGCACTTCTCTCTTCTTTGGTGGTCTCTCCAATCTCCGCATACACCAATCTTTCGACCGAGTAAGTCCCATATTAATTAGACATATACTATCTAATCTATTTCTTCCTTCTAAACATTTCGAAACATATGAACACATTTTAAATCGAATCGTCATGTCTTTAATTGTTGACAAGAACAGAAACAAGGAGATATGAACTGCATATTGCTGTATTTGGCGCTATTGTGTCAAACACTACCAATGATATTAAGACTCACAACAGAGGCTGGAGGAACAGGAGGAAGAGATGCTAATGTTTTAGTTCCAACAAGCGAAGATGGATCAAATGTGGTTCTTCTGTCAAGAGCAAGCAGCTTCGTAATGCTCTTTGCTTATTTAGCTTTCCTCATCTTTCACCTCTTCTCTTCTCGTCTCTCTCCTCCTCCTCCTCCTCTTCCTCAGGTTATCTCTCTCTCTCTCTCTCTCTCTCTCTCTCTCTCTCTCTCTAAAACTAACTCTTCACAATATTTGTGACATTGTGCTGTTCCTCATACCTAATGTTTGCCTCGCTTATTATATGTATAAAATAAAAGATGGACGTAGAAGAAGAAGAGGATGTGTATGACGATGACGTTGGTGTCAAGGCAGAAGAAGAAGAAGCCGTAATTGGACTGTGGAGTGCGGTTTTCTGGCTTATTATAATGACACTCCTCGTTGCTTTACTCTCCGACTACCTTGTCTCCACTATCCAGGTGTGTTTATATACATATGTATATATACACCAAGGTCACCAAATTTCTAAAAGCCTTACGAAAACCTAACTATACAAGTAGACGAACCAAATCATTAACTGCTAAATGAATTTCAATTTGATTCCATGAACTTGTAAGTATATTCACTAGTTGGTGCAGCTTTGTGCATATGTTTATATTTAATGAAACATCTTCAAAAAGCAATTAGTAAAACTTAATTAACAATATTATGCGTGAAAATGAAATGGACAGGACGCAGCAGACTCGTGGGGATTATCAGTGGGATTCATAGGAATCATATTGTTACCAATTGTTGGTAATGCAGCTGAGCATGCTGGTGCTGTCATCTTCGCCTTCCGTAACAAACTCGTACGTCTTTCTTCATTTTTTTTTTGTTCTCCACTAATTTCTTACAACAAATAAAAACCATATTAGCAAGTGATCAACAATTTACATCAATCTTATTTTCATATTTGCTTATTATTTTGCGCTGAAAAACCATTTTTTTTTATATTGAATATTAAATCCTACAGGATATAACTCTGGGAATCGCTCTTGGGTCTGCAACACAAATTGCTTTGTTCGTGGTAAGCCAGTCGATCTTCATTATATTGTGTATTTAAGCCTAAGTTAAAAGCTTTCTCTTCAATATTTCCATTTTTTTTCTACTGCACCGAGTGTTAAAAAACACAAATTACAAACATTTTCTCTTTTGATAAAAAAAAAAAAAAAGAAACATTTTCTTATTACATTTTTAAATTAGTTTCTACTTTCTTACTTGACTATCAAGTTTGGAGAATATAATAAACAAAGACATAATATAGTGTTTTTTCCAGGTGTTCGCTATTTTCTTTTCTTACAACTTATTATTTAATTCAAGAAGCTCAAATTTGAAATTAGGTACCAGTGACAGTGTTAGTGGCATGGACAATGGGAATAGAAATGGATCTTAACTTCAACCTCCTCGAGACGGCTTGTCTTGCTTTGTCCATCCTCGTCACCTCCTTCACACTGCAGGTGCAATTTCTTTTTTTCTTCAGTTTGATTTTTTTTTCAAATTGATTATATAGATATGATCATACTTTGAACAATGCGGATGAATAATCTTATTTAATACAATACATGATTGATAGGATGGGAGTTCGAACTATATGAAAGGCTTGGTTCTTCTCTTGTGCTATGTTGTCGTTGCTGCCTGCTTCTTTGTCTCTAGTTCACCCTCAAGTAAGCTTTTTTTATTCCCCTTAATAGTGTCTTAATTAATTACTGTGCAATACGATTAATACTACGGTATATATTCATTTACTTTGCATTTTGTCAACTGCAGCCGACCAATCAAATACACCTAGTCATACATTAACGAAAAGGTAAGTTATGTGTACTACTTGGTTCTTATAGTTAGTTATATCCCACCCATACACAATAGCTACAAAAATGAACAAAGAACTTTATAGAACAGCATTTTATACTACTTGGTTCTTATAGTTAGTTATATCCCACCCATACACAATAGCTACAAAAATGAACAAAGAACTTTATAGAACAGCATTTTATAGAATCTATAAAGTTTTTTTTTTGGACAATGTTAATTTTGATTGTCAAGGGGAATAGTTAATAATAATAATAAAAAGTAACTTAGAGGAAATTTAAATCAATTTTAGATTCTCAGAGTAAAAATTATATTATGATATGGTTCGTGTTTTTTTGCAGGTAATGGGTCTATATATACGTTTTCTCCTATTGTTGTATTTTTCTTTTCTTTTCTTTTTCTCATGAATTATTTGTGTATATTATATTAATATTTTATTAAGGAGCCCATTTTTTTACAATTTTTTTGGTTTTCGTCTATTTTTTACATACTTTTTAATTAAGGATTCCTTAAGGCACGCACACACAGCATATAAAATATTTTCACAAGAAATTCCGAAATTCAGTGATCTTAGACTAATACTGTATGTTCAAAGTCTTGCGGAGAAGGCCCAACTGAGCCCACTAATTTGACTGGTTTCCCTTGTGGACACCATTTAGTATTTACAGGAATGCCACCACCGGAGACAATTTATATACATTGGACTCCATTTTGTGCAATAAAAATCTCAGATTCTCCGGCGAGAAAAAAAAATCCAAAATTCGAAAATCTTCGAAGTGATCCGCCATGGGAGGAGAGAAATCTCTGCTTCAATTCCGTAGTATCCCTTCGCTCAGGACCTCTGATTTTGCTCTCACCGAGGAACCTTCATGGAGGCTGGAGAACAAGGTGTTGTCGAATCGCCGGAGAGGAAACAAAAGAAGCGGTGGCATTTTGAGCAATTTCGCCTCCTTATCGGTAGCGATTAGGAGAGATCGGAGGGAATCTGAGTTTAATGGTGGAAATGGGGGCGTAGGCAAAGTGTTCGCGTCCGTTTCGATTGCAGAGAAGGTGATTCCGAAGGAAGAGGACGAATTCGCGCCTACTTCGGCTCAGCTATTGAAAAATCCAGTTGCTCTTTTGTCATTTGTACCGAAGGACGCCGCACTGTTCTTCGCCGGAGCATTCGCCGGAGCCGCCGCGAAATCTGTGACGGCACCGCTTGACCGAATAAAGCTCCTTATGCAGGTAGGCTCTCTCCTCTCATTCTCAACAACTTCAAGGTTTTGTGGCACGTGTTTTGTTTTTGCTCGATTTTTTTTTTAAAAAATAATGTAAAACAAATATTAGTATTGGTATGCTGACTGGTCAGAATAACAATACGCCGTCGTTTTCGGACTAGTTCATTTTTCGACGAGAACTCTATATGTATACTTTAATTAGAAAGGTTTTAATTAACTACATGAAAGCATTGTGTGCGCATGTCGTTTGAATTTGGATCCTTCCTTTAGATGAGTGTTGTGAATTCTCATCGTCTCAAGTCAATAAGATATGCCATAAGGGAATCTACGGGGTATGGGCCATTGTGTTGTTGTTATAGACTTGAAGTTGCAGTAATGTTCGTTGATTCTGACAATCCAATCGACGTCTTACTTGTTCATAGACACATGGTGTTCGAGCTGGGCAACAAAGTGCTAAGAAGGCTATTGGTTTCATAGAGGTATATCCTTAAACATCATGTCCTGTAGAGCATTGGTTCTTCTTATTGTAAACTCTTGTTAAGTTGGTTTTGTGTTTTGGAATATATATATATATATATATATATATAATTACAGGCGATTATGCTTATTGGAAAAGAAGAAGGTGTTAAAGGTTATTGGAAAGGAAACCTACCTCAGGTACATAAAATGTCTGAAAATGGTGTGTAATTTAGAATAATGTGATTGCCCATAATCTTAGCCTGAATGTTTCAGGTGATAAGGATCGTACCTTATAGCGCGGTCCAGTTGTTTGCATATGAAACATACAAGGTATGTGAACTTTGTACATCTGATTCTGGATGTCTTTTCAAAGGTTTCAAAACCGTATAACCACTACTCATTTTATGTTTTTCAGAAACTCTTTAGAGGAGAAGACGGTCAATTGTCTGTTCTTGGAAGGCTTGGGGCTGGTGCTTGTGCTGGGATGACGTCTACTTTGGTAACTAATGCTGTTTATATAGGCCTGAGTGAGTTCGTCTAGTCTCGCGGAAAAAATCTTAAATGCCTTTGTTTACTCTATGCAGATCACATATCCTTTAGATGTGCTGAGACTGAGGTTAGCTGTTGAACCAGGGTATCGAACCATGTCCCAGGTACGTTCATCGCATTATAGACCAACTCTAGGTTCCATCGATTTAACTACAAACATGTCACATTTTTAGGTTGCCTTGAACATGCTGCGGGAGGAAGGACTTGCATCATTTTATAACGGTCTCGGTCCTTCGCTTTTAAGTATAGCTCCTTACATCGCCCTCAACTTCTGCGTCTTTGATCTGTAAGTCTACTAACACTTAAAACATTCTACTATGTTTCAGTCGATTGTTTTTTACATTTTTGATATTATATATATATATATATCTGCAGGGTAAAGAAATCTTTGCCAGAGAAGTATCAAAAAAAGACACAGTCATCTTTGCTAACAGCAGTAGTCGCTGCTGCTATTGCTACGGGTACTTGCTATCCGTTGGATACCATTAGAAGACAGATGCAACTGAAGGGTACTCCATATAAATCCGTATTCGACGCTTTCTCAGGTAAAAAAAGTCAGAAACAAAGTCCTTATCTGCTTTTTGTGAACCCTTTCTCATCAAAACGCAAGACGATAAATTTCCGGTGACTGACCGGTTTTATCCTTAACCGCTGTACAGGTATCATTGAGCGTGAAGGAGTTATTGGCTTGTACCGTGGCTTTGTCCCCAATGCCCTCAAAAGCATGCCGAACAGCAGGTAAATTACATGTATCACTTTTGATAAAACCAGCATTTCGTTTTCTTTTTGTTTCAGTATTCACGTTTTGGAATCCTCTTACTTGTTGTTTCAGTATTAAGCTTACAACATTCGACATAGTCAAGAAACTGATTGCAGCAAGTGAGAAGGAGTTCCAGAGTATCGCGGATGGTAATCGCAAGAAAGCAATTCCTATCACAACCGATGAACAAACCTGAAGCCGCCGTTTGGATTCCCAGAAGCTCATTTTTTTCCCCCTTTTTGTGTGAGTGTGTTTTGTATTTTTGAATGTGTGTCAGTTTATGGTAATAAATGTTCTTTAATCGAATCATGAAGCCCCCCCCCCAGCGAGAGTGTATGTCAGTTTATATGGTGTAATAATAAATGTGTGTGTCCGGCTATACGTTTATTACACCCGGTTTAGTCAATCCTAATAACCAATTCGGACCGGTTTAATGTGTTCGCTACGGTGTTAAACGACAGCGTTTTGAAAGAGATGGAATTGGGTCAATCTATTTCGCGGTTGCAGATGAGGAGGAGATTAGCGTTTCAGAGAGAAGTAGTCGACGAAGTGTCTTGCTTCCAATATCCATCCCCTCTCCAACGAGAGCCTATAACTCTTAAAAACTACAGTATCTCTCTCGTCATGTACTGTACCTTGCGATTTCCGTTGCCTCTTCACGTTCCCCGAGCTCGAACAATGGCGTCCTGTAAGCCGAAACGACGCCGTGTGGAGCACTTGCGGTGCTGCGCTCAATCTAGGCTCCGTGAAGGTGACGAAGACGAAGGAGAAGAAGAGGCAGACTATAAGAGGTGATGCATTTTCACTATATACCCTTTTCCTATTTTCATTCTCGAGAAAATAAAATTAGAATGGATTTTGCTCTTGTAATTTACGGTCGGTGACTGATCTTTAGTGGTAGAGTTCAAGGAGTAGTTTCGATTGTGGTGGAGAGATACGGAAACGGCTCTTCGAAAAGGTCGTCTTCAAATTTCTGGTCTTATTATCCTTCATCTGAACTCTTTTATCTTCGCTGAACACACACTGAGTTTTATTGTGCAGATATTTGCTAGATGATGATGATGACTCGCCTTTACAAGGCTTTCTCGAGGAGCGTGAACCAAAGCCTGGCAACAAATCTCAGGAATTAAATTCCGCAGAGACGAACACGCTTTGGCTTCCTGATGTTGTCAAGGATTTTGTTTTTCCCACCGGCTTTCCTGGTACACTTCCTCGCTTAAAGTTTCGTGGTTCCTTGTATGGAGTCTCAGAATGCTCAAGTTTTGTAGATCCTATTATGATTGATTCTCGTAAAATCACATGGCAGGGTCGGTTTCAGATGATTACTTGGACTACATGCTGTGGCAGTTCCCAACCAATGTTACCGGGTGGATTTGTAATGTTTTAGTCACCTCAAGTCTTCTCAAGGCATGTCCGGGAACTTCTAATTTACTGCCTTCTCTTGATCCTTTGCTACAAAAACTGCTAAGGTTTTGTTATTAGGGCTGCAATTGTTTTTTGAATTTCTTATGCAACGATTCAGGCAGTTGGCGTTGGCTCTTTTTCAGGAACTTCTGCTGCCGCTACCGCTGCTGCCTCTGCTGCAGCCATAAGGTTTTCTTTCATGCGAACTGCAAATTTTGTTTGTTTGCTGCTGCAATTTTTCTTCTTCTTCTTCTCATAGTTTTTTCGAACAATGTGTTGCCTCTTTTCAGATGGGTATCCAAGGATGGAATTGGAGCTCTTGGCCGTCTTCTTATTGGTAGGGAAACCATGGGAAGGTTAATAAATGTTCATGGAGTTATCTAAGAACCTCTTCAATAACAAGGTTTTTTTCTCCAGGTGGACGTTTTGGTAGTCTTTTTGACGATGATCCTAAGCAATGGCGCATGTATGCAGATCTTATTGGCAGTGCTGGAAGGTTTGTTTTAGAGACTTCATATTCTTGCTTTGGTTGAAAGTTATAACTTAAAACTACATATCATTAAACCTTCTCTTTTTGTTGTTGTTTCGCAGCTTCTTCGATCTGGCAACACAACTATATCCAACCCAGTTCCTGCTGTTGGCGTCCACCGGAAATCTTGCCAAGGTATTCCTCCTCCGTACAGTTTCCCCCATTCCTTCCAGCTTAATCGTGTTCGCCTCGGCTAAGTTTTACATTACAGAGTGCAGTACTAAGATTTCAATTTGAAACAGGCTGTGGCTAGAGGACTGAGAGACCCTTCATTCAGGGTGATTCAGAATCATTTTGCTATCTCAGGGAATCTTGGAGAGGTAGCAGCCAAGGTATGCTAGTCATGTGTATACAATCACAAGCATGGAGTAGCCATGTGTTCCTTCTATTAGCGGAGTCTTTGATTCTTGTTCAACGTCTCAGGAGGAAGTGTGGGAAGTTGCTGCTCAGCTAATTGGTCTCGGTCTCGGCATTATGATCATTGTATGTTACTTTTTGTTCCCTCATTTCCTCAAGTCTTGTTAAAACTATTTTCTTGGTTTCATGTTGAGCGTTTGTATACTGTAATCTTGATGCAGGACACCCCGGGCCTTGTAAAGTCATTTCCCTTTGTGTCACTTACATGGACGAGCATAAGACTTGTTCATCTCTGGCTACGCTACCAGTCGCTTGCAGTCCTTCAATTTAACACGGTCAGAGTTTTGAAATGGATTTCCTTACAATCCCAACATGAGAAAACCCAGATAAAATGAAGATAATTTGATTTGAAACATTGCCAGGTAAACCTCAAGCGTGCTCGGATCCTAGTACAATCTCATGTTACGCACTCCGTTGTACCAGGTAATAATATTTCTCCCTTTTTCCAGAGTATTATTCAACTTTCAGGTAAGACCCATCTTTCTCTCTGCACAGGATTTGTTGACTGCAACAAGCGAGAAAACATTTTGTTATGGCAGAGATTCATGAAACCTCGGATCATTTTTGGTGTGTCTCTTGAGGAAGTATCTGGTCTGGAAAAATCTGTTTATAAAGTAATCTTCTCCTTTCATTTTTACTATATCCACATGTACTCTTGAGAGAATCTTCTATTTGTAAGTCCAAGTTCTTAAAACCTTAATGTTTTTTCAGGTCAAAGCACTCCTTAAGATGTACACAAGGGAGAAATATATCCTTACGTTGAATAAGTTGAACAAGGATACCGAGTTTTCTGTAACCTTTAAGGTATGTGCGTGGCCCAAGAAAGTTCTTATCCACTGTTTATTCTCCTCCTCGATTAGTAAGTAGAGACTTGGAAATCTTGAGATTCATGTGTGGGGAATTATTTGAGCATATCAAGTTAGGACTTAGGAGAGATCATAGCTGATTTACAGCTTGGTTTTTTTATTTTACTTGAATTAGCTACTTGAGAAGTATATGGGATAAGGCTAAACTGAGGGAACATAGGTTCTTCACCTTGTTGGAGAGAGTAATCTCGGGTCATCTTTGGTGTCTAGAGTTTATCTTCTGTTGTTTTATCAGTAACGTGTTGCATGGTCTTATAATCTATTGGCCTTTTACCTTTATCATTTCTTGTATAAAACTACCTTACTTTACACAACTTCTGGGTTGCTTCATCAAGTAAATTAGAGGTCTATACCATTTTACACGTTCTTTTTTTCCCCCTCGTATTTATCAGTGTGAAACTAATAATGCAGGTGAATGCCACAAGCAGAGACGTGTTGAGATGTCTTTGGCAAGCATATTGGTTATACGAGAACATGGAACAAAGCTTTAAAGACAAAGATAGTGTGTTCCACTGGCTGAAGCAAAGCTTGTCGGAGATGGACAACAAGTTTGATGATTTCTTGGTCAAGTTGGATACTGCTGGATGGAATTTACGTGAATCTAACTTGAAGATTCCTAACCATATCCTCATCGACCACGAATCTACGATCCCTCCCTAACATTCGATTGATTTTCCCAGGGATCGTCAGGCTCATCGCGCAATCTCTTGGACAAAGGAAAATAACACTGAGGTAAATATACCAAACCCTATCGATTTGAACATGGAGTAATCTGTTACTATCTTTAGGCGTCAATTGAATATAGGTGGTTTATAGAATATCAAAGTTTGGTACAACTAGCAGTTAGGATATATCAGGAATTGTATGGCAACTTGTATTCTATGACATGATCCATATAAATTAAGAGCGAAAAGTATATTTGCTATATATATATATATATATATATATATATATATCTAATGAGCTAGTGTGGATAATGAGACAAATGGTAAGGTTTTAGGCCAATCATAGAGAATGATTGTGATTATGCCTGCTTTGTTTGTATTTGAGTCGTCACTATTTTAAAATTTAGAGGTGGCCTTGTGGACAAAAAACAAAAGATGAAGACATTAAAGAATTTGATTTCTGCATATATAATAGAACCAAATTATGAGGTTCTCAGCTCTTAGTATTTACGTAATATATAATTTTTATTCAAGGGAAGTATGGATCGGCAACTGTAGTCTGGAGCTTGATTTTTTTTATATTTTGTAGCCTAATTGATTATCTACGGATTCATTTGTAGTGTTAGTGATCTAAAACTACTAAACCGAGCTAAGTTAATTTGCTATCTTGTCTTTTACCACCAAAATTTGTTTTTTGCTATTTTGTATTTAGTGAGAAGTAAAGAAAGCTAATTTGCTTTATTTCTGTCTTCATTACCAAGTTGAATTAGTGGTTTGATGTGAGTGGTTACCGCGCTATTAATTTTTCCGAATAATGATAATCAATCATGTCACCGTATTACTATTTTTGTTTAGATTTTTTTGCCCTCATCCATAATCATTCATTGTATTAAAGCACACACGTAGGTCACAAACGTACCCTAAAAACCCAAATGAATAAGCGATTACATGGCCTTGCGAGAATCAAGCATGCGGGATGAATGTTGGTACCGTAATAGGACAATAAATATTTTTAATCTGTATCCTTTTGGGGGTCCACCTGTACCGTATGGAAACCTAGACACGGCAAAGCTAGCACTTGGCCTACATATGGACACGTGTCCCGGTCCCCAGAGACCCCCGAACACACGTCGGTCATATACATCTAATTTCTAGTGGCCTCACACTTGCACACACACCGCCGCCTGAAGCAGTGACACACGTCGGGTCACGGGCATGTCACTCAATAACTATCATCATTTTTTGGTTGCAAATAAATAATATTATCCTAGATTTGTTAGGTGGAGCCCAAGGGAGGGCTTGATTGTAATTAAGCTAATCCCAGAAGCTTTTTCCTAATGCCTATTGCTTAAGGGGGAATTGTTTCCCGTTCCTTCTCGAACAAAAAAGAGCTTTGAGACGCTCCCTTTGTATTTTCGACCTTACGTGTGCGCTACGCGAATTTAGCAAGTTTCTGTCCTTTTCTCTGTCCCTTGGGTTAAGTAAGTAAATCTCAAAATCTTCCATGGAAATGGGAGAGAGAATCAATTCGAGTTGTTAGGGGTTTGCGATATTTTAGGCTCGTGTCGGTGTATTTTGATCTCGAGGATTAAAATAAACAAAGGATTAGGGCTTTGCGGATTTGGTTTTCTGGCGCTCGGAACTCGGAAGGAAGCTGGTTTATGTTGGATCGTCTCCACTTGAGTGAAGGAAAGATGCGAAAATCGTTCAAGGATTCACTCAAAGCTCTCGAAGCTGATATCCAGTTCGCCAACACCCTGTAAATCTCTCCCCCTCTCTCTCTCTTTGTTTGGGCATCATCTGATCATCGTGTTCTTAGTCGAGAGTGGCTAATCGCTTCGGATATTTGTTTGATGCCCTGATTAAAGCGGTTTTAAGCTTATTTTCTTCTCTTCCGATTCGATAGTTGGGTTTTGATTTCGTATTTGTTTACACGGTTCTGAGATGGTTTGTGAGTTTGGATACTTGTGAATCTGAATCTCTGTTGTCTGCTGGGTTTTTTGTGCTCATGTCAGAGATCAAAATGAGACTTTGCGTTTACGCGATCTAATAAATCCCAATTTATTCCTTGGCGAGTCTCAGACGCCACCACTTTTGGTCTATCAACCACAAACTATATACAGTATTGTGTCAATTTATATTTCTTTAATCATACATACTCTGATTCTATCCCAAGTTGACTTTGGTATAGTGGAATAAAGCAGCTGTGAATAGATATGTTCATGTTGTTTAATAAAAAAAGTGTGATATGTGTGTGTTTGAAGGGCATCTGAGTATCCAGAGGAGTATGATGGTGGCTGCGTCCAGATGAGACTCTCATACAGCCCAGCGGCTCATCTCTTTCTCTTCCTTCTTCAGTGGACAGATTGTCATTTCGCAGGCGCTTTGGGATTGCTTCGGATCCTTATTTATAAGGTTTTTGGCTTTTTATTCTTTCCGAGTTTTCGGATCTTGATTTCTTGCCTGCCTGATTTCATTTGTGTGCTTTTCTCTGTTTTTTTCTTTTATTTTCTTTTATAGGCATATGTTGATGGGAAGACCACAATGTCGCTACACGAACGGAAAGCTAGCATCAAAGAATTCTACGGTAATGTCTCTCACCAGTTATCTTTTAGTGTCTTGCAATCGTAACATATTGAGATTAGGCGCTGATCCAATGATGCCCCGTTCGATATGTTCAGATGTGTTGTTTCCTTCGCTATTGCAACTCCAAGGAGGGATAACAGACGTGGAAGAGAGGAAACAAAAGGAGATATGCGACAAAAGGTACCGGAAAAGGGACACAACAGAGAAAGGGAAGATGTCAGAGATCGAGTTGGAGAGGGAAGAGGAGTGTGGCATTTGCTTGGAGATTCGAAACAAAGTGGTTCTTCCTACTTGCAATCACTCCATGTGTATCAACTGCTACAGAAACTGGTACAAAAAAAAAAAGAAACGCTTCCTCTTTTTCACTCTGTGTGTGTTTCTTTTCACTACTCAAAATGTTTGTTAATACTAGAGAATCCGTTGATGATTGAAACAGGCGCGCAAGGTCACAGTCGTGCCCGTTCTGTCGAGGCAGCTTGAAAAGAGTGAATTCTGGTGATCTCTGGGTTTACACTTCCATCAAAGAGGTTGTGGAGTTGCCTGCCATTTACAAGGATAATCTCAAGCGGTTGTTAATCTACATTGACAAACTGCCTCTCGTTGCTTCTGACCCAACTCTTGTTCCCTACGCTCCTCTTTCTCGCTCTTAAGCTCTTCTCCTTCTCCTGCACATAGCAATTTCCATCAATAATTCAATATTTCATCTCTTTCGTGCCCCCGTTTTGTATATAGTTCATGTGTTTTCTCTGCTCCTGCTTTAATTAGCTTTTTATGTTTTTCAGTTTTCTGCCGACTCTGATTTGGATTTGTGTATAGCAACCTCTGGTTATTGACATTTATAAATCCAAAAATTCAACCTCTTTGGAGTATACATACGTTTTCTGATTGGGGCAGTGTCGTTTTTTGTCTTGGTTTAAATTATAAATATGATATTTCGGTCAAACCGATTTGGTTTATATGTTTGTTCAGTTTGGCTCGGTATGGTTAAATCGTAGACTTTTATTTGTGCCGTTGTGGGACAGTATTACAGTTACACGTGGCGCTGTGTAGTTCGAAAAGAACTTAATCTACCCAATCAGATTATAGCTCATCCAGGTTCCATCGACTCAGATAACGCAGGATTCAATAGATAAGGTAGATAGTGTTTTCCACCGAGAGATGGATTTTGTTAAGCGATCCAACGGTTATTCTCGTCTCTCCAAGATCACCCAAGCTCGAATGAAAAAATCATCTTTGCTGCAATCTATAATCGTGGATTAAGAAACACAAGTTTCTTCAGTCTCCTGAAATCACAAAAAAAAACAAAAAAACGCAGAGGCTGTGATCTAACAAAACACCTCCGGAAATGGCCGCAACTTCCACCGCTGCCGCTGCCGCTGCTTCTTCTATCATGGGTACTCGGGTCGCTCCCGGTATCCATTCCGGTTCGGGTCGGTTCACTGCCCGGTTTGGGTTCGGAAAGAAGAAGGCAGCTCCCAAAAAGACATCCAAGACGGTGACTCCTGACCGGCCACTCTGGTACCCAGGCGCCAAATCTCCTGAGTGGCTCGATGGTTCGTTGGTTGGAGATTACGGGTTTGATCCTTTTGGTTTAGGCAAACCGGCCGAGTATCTCCAATTCGATATAGATTCCCTGGACCAGAATCTGGCTAAGAACTTGGCCGGAGACGTGATCGGAACCCGTACCGAAGAGGCGGCCCCCAAATCGACACCGTTTCAGCCGTACAGTGAGGTGTTCGGAATCCAGAGATTTAGGGAATGCGAGCTGATTCACGGACGCTGGGCGATGCTTGCCACTCTCGGCGCGCTCTCCGTCGAATGGCTCACCGGCATCACTTGGCAAGACGCCGGAAAGGTAAGGATTTCGTCCATCGCTTTTTTGTTTCTCGCCGGAATATTAGATCAATCTGCTTATCGGTTAATTGGATTTTACCTTAAATCATTTCTGATAATCAGTGCCGAAAAAATGCTACTAGTAATTTAGATTTGCGTTCTACGAGTTATCCAATACTTGCGTTTGCGCTTGCTTGTGGCTCAAATACTTGCGTCCCAATAGTTAATTGTGCGGTTGCGTTAGCGTTAGCGTTGACTGTTCGAGACTCATATCTGATAACAAAATTGCAGGTGGAGCTTGTAGATGGATCGTCCTACTTGGGGCAGCCACTACCGTTCTCGATCTCGACATTGATATGGATCGAAGTGTTAGTGATCGGCTACATCGAGTTCCAACGCAACGCAGAGCTAGACTCAGAGAAGCGTTTGTACCCAGGAGGCAAATTCTTCGACCCGCTAGGCTTAGCGTCTGACCCAGAGAAGACGGCTCAGCTTCAATTAGCCGAGATCAAGCATGCGCGTCTTGCGATGGTCGCCTTCTTAGGATTCGCGGTTCAAGCGGCTGCAACGGGTAAAGGTCCACTCAACAATTGGGCTACTCACCTCAGTGATCCACTCCACACCACCATCATCGATACCTTCTCCTCTTGAAACCAATTCTCCATTTTCATCTGATCGTAATGTAATTTGTCGTGTTATGGAAAACAGATTTGTCCCTTTTTGTATAAACAGGGTTATTATGATAACTGAATCGCGTTTGGCATTTTGGAGTTTGAACTGGTTTTGGGCTTTTGTTCGTTTTGTTATATTTGCTTGGTTGGCCCATGACACTATATTGGCCTAATTGACCTTCCTGATACAAAAGACATTGACATACCGCGTGTGATTTGGATGAACATGGAGTATCCCTGTCACGTTGAATTAATGTGTTCGATTTTGACACATGCATCTAGCAAGTTCGATTACTTGCCCGTATGCACCTAAGAAAAAGTACAAAAAATGACTTCAAATTATTGTACCTAAAGAATTGATTGAAATATCCTCCGAAGAAATATTCTTAAGACCTAATGAATTGATTGCAATATCCTCAGAAATAAATATTCCTTGAGGATCGTCTTAACTGATAAAAACATATCTAATCAGTATAGAAATGCCTGATTCAACGATCAAAATGGACATATGTCTATATAATAATCCGAGTAAAGGAACAACATTAGTGTCCTTGCCACTGGGACCATAAGGAAAAAATGCTGCAATATTTTGATGTATATAATAATGTTTGAGAATAATCTTCGTGTGACATCAGAAGGAAAAAAAGATTATTCAAAGCCTAGCTGAAAGCTAAAACTAAACGGAATGTATCTGTTGACCAAAATTACCCATTGGCAAATTCAAACATGGAAAAAAAATTTCAGTGTAAATGTATGTCGAGTTATAATATTCTACTTTGCAAATAAAGATATGAATACTGGTAGTATAACTTATTGGAGTATTTAACTGTAGATTTTCGTGATTTTCTTACACATTGTTGTTGGGAAGACCAAACAAAAAAAGGTTGGATATCCTTTACTACCAAAAAAAAAAAAATTGTTACCAGAATAAGAAACTCGAATTAATTAAGAAAATAAAAAAAACATTAGAAGCGAGTGAGTGTACACTATCAGACTAGCCACCACTAACAAGAGAAGTTGAAGAATCTTTCGTGACGAACGAAGAAGCGATTGAATTCGACGATACATATTCTACAAATTTCGATCCGAAATCGCTTCTCGAAGAATTTGAGTGTCCCCAATCATCGTCAATCTCAGCAACATCCTCATCTCCGTTTAAAAACCTAAGAACGACTCTCATCGACGGCCGAGACACCGGATTTTGGTGGCAACAGAGCAAACCAACGGCGAGAGCAGTCCTTGCTTCTCCGCCGTTGTAATCAGATCCGAGTCTCGGATCCACTGCACTCATAATTTCACCTTTCTCATGAAGCTCCATAACCCAATCGACTAAGAAGAAATTACCGGAATCCGATGGCTTTCTCCCGGCGACCACCTCTAACAGCAAAACGCCAAACGCGAAAACATCAGACGCAGAAGAGCATTTGCCGTTGCGGGCGAGTTCTGGCGCCATGTACCCAATCGTGCCCACGAGTGCTGTCGTGTGCGATAGCGTTCCGCGTTCATAAAGCCTCGCGAGTCCAAAATCTCCCAATCTAGGGTTCATGTTGGATTCAATCAGAACGTTGCTTGGTTTCACGTCTCTGTGAACCACGATCTGTTCCCATTCCTCGTGGAGATAAAGCAGCCCCGACGCGATTCCTCTGGCGATTTGAAAACGCGCGTTCCACGACAGAACGGCGCCGCTTCTTCTCGGAACACTGTAGAGCAGCGAGTCCAAGCTTCCGTTGGGGATATAGTCGTAAATCAACAAGAGGTCGTTTTTGTGTTTACACCATCCTTGGAGGTTCACGAGGTTCTTATGCCTCACCCGCCCTAAACTCTCGATCTCTGCGACAAACTCTCGAACACCTTGCATGCTGTTTGGAATTATCTTCTTCACGGCGATGAGATCGGAATTCGGGAGTTTGCCTTTGAAAACGGTTCCAAATCCGCCGGTTCCGATAACCCCAGTCTCCTTGAATCCATCCGTAGCCGCGTAGAGATCGCCGTATCTGAATCTGCGAGGATGATCGATTTCCCAGTCTTCGAGAATCTCTTCTTGTCTCAGTCGCTTTTTGTACATCACGAAGAAGAAGAGTAACACAAGCATGATGAGCATAACGGCCGATAAAGCCACGATCAAGACGATGACCTGAGAACTGAAGCCTCTCTTCTTGGCCGTATTAGGAGGCGGAGGAGGAAGCTCCGAGAGGTCGAGCGTATCTGCAATCGGATTTGCTCCGCCGCTTGAGAAACTCCAACCCATCACGTAATGAGCACTCGACTGATCTCCTCTCCCTGTGGCTGCTGTGAATCCCACGTACATTTCTTCTTGCACAATGTCTGACAGTTTTGGAATCTGCCGTGAGATCAAAGGCTTTGTGGGTTTAAACCCCAACCTCGCCGGATAAACGGTGACGTTTAGCGTTTGTGTGGGTCCATCATAATCCAAAAGAGCTTGAATCGGATTGCCGCTCTCCAGCTGGAAATCCTCTCTTTTGTTAGGATCATCATTCTGGTAGTACACGACAGGCTCTTGGAAATCCGAAGTGCGGCTGTTGAAATTCAGACCGATGTCGTTTCCAATCCTGTCGGTATCGTCTCTGGCTCCTTGTACAGTGTCGAATTCCACTGCGAAAACGTGGTTACTCGGATTTCCATCGTTGTCTTTGTTGAGAACTCCCAAGTACTGTGCGGATCCAGCATTGGGACGATTTGGGGTCGGGGATAGTGTGAATGTGAATCCGAAGCCTCCGTTGCTGGAGCTTGAAGGGATTATGACAAAGACGAAACTAGTGCTGAATGAACCAACCGTCGCATTTGTGGAATTTCTACTAGTCTCGAGCAACCTCACAGGTTCGTGGTAGAAAGCTGTACCGGTAACGTTCGGGTCTCGGTTTGTTAGCCTCAGTAACCCGTCCGGTTTGATCATCGCAGCTCCACCTGCAATCCGAATCTCTGATTCGTTCCCGCTAAAACCTCGGAAAGTGAACTCTGTTGTTGTTCTTTGAGATCGAACAGGGACGCTCAAAAGCAGGAAAAGCCTGAATAAGAGTGAGACTAAGACCATGATGGATCTTGCAGTACCCATGAGTGAGCGAGTTAAACAATGAGATGAGAAGAGATACTTGTGGAGATTTCTGGTTTAGAGAGATGTTCTTTTATTGGCAGTAGAGTTTACTTTTTCCTTAAAGATTCGGCGATTAATATCAGGATCTAACAAGGAAACAAAGAAGAAAGAGAATTATACCCTCCCCAAAAGAAAAAGAAAAAAGAGAAGAAGAAACTTCATCATTTTCTACTCAATGTTCACACCACTAAATATTGGTGATTGATATGAGGATCTAACAATGAGACAAAGAAGAAAGAAAGAAAATTATACCCCCAAGAAAAAAGAAGAAGGTAATGTCATCCTTTTCTACTCAATGTTCAACATCGCTAAATATTGAAATTATGACCAATGTTTTTTTTCTGAAACTGAAAAGTCAACCAACTAGTACTTTACGATGTATTTCTTTCTCTCTTTTTGTCGCGCGGCCACATATATATTAGGAGGATGTTGTTATCATTAATACAGGGATTTATTTTGGCAACCTTTCTTTCATTTTTGTTGCTTGAACTTGTTTCTAGAAAGAGGTCCAACGCAGCTCTTTGGCTGACTTTGACAAATTCTACGTTTACTTCAACTTCGTGATATCTTTCTTCCGAAATTAAAAAAAAAAAAAAAGAGATGTGTGGACTAGGACAATTGTGTTTACCCAAACCTCAAAGATAAGTCTGTCCTAGGAGACTATTGTTCAACCCCTCTATAAGCGTTTTCTCTTGTTATATCTGCCTGTCGATATCCTAATGAGTTCCAAATATCTCTACGGATTCGATTTTCCATAATATAATCGTTATCAATCTGACTTTGTTCTTAAGTAAATGTCCGAGTTTTGCTTTTGTCCATGCGCTCCTTCTGTTTCGTCATATTGCCACGTAGGATAAACCCCACCTCATCTGTTCGGGGGTTTCGGACCGGTTCATCTATCAGTGGCTAGACAACAATCAACAAAATTCGACGACCAAATCTCTATATTTAGTGATTATTGAGTTGATTATATTATCCCCAAAATGAATTTTTCTTCCAGGATCGCCTTTAAACAAAAATGGCTGATTTAACATCAAAGTCAAAATAAACAAGTCTATAATTGAAAGTTCAAAACCAGTCATGATTTAATGACAGAAACCAAACTCACTCTACTGTAATTTTATATTATGGTTAAATTCTTTTTCAACCACACATTCAATTAAAATTGACTATTTGCTTAATTAATTAATTGTCCAATTAAGTAATTAGGGGGAAATAGTTTATAAAAAAACTAGCTTGGGTTATTTACCATTTCCAATTCCACACGAAGAAAACATGCAATAATACTAAACTATCGATGTTAGTTTTAAATAATGTATGTATATTTAGCTTTTGCGTTTCCCTCAAGCTAACTTTTAATTAATCAAAAATCTGACCAAATACTATAACATTAATACAAAATAGACGTCCCAACGAATTTATTTTTAAATGAAGGTTTTGTGGATTTGTTCGTTTGAAACTTAACTAGTTTAATTGCTGGCTGATATCCTTATTTTCAAGTGCATACCCTATTATTAATTTGAAGTAGATTGAGAGATTTGAGAAAACAACAATATATTATATATACATACCGTTAAAAACACTGTTGACACTTTGACACGAGAGATGCCAAAACACCAAAACAAGATAAAAAGTAAAATGAAAACTAATACTAGTAAACTAAGAAATGTTTTTAAATTTGTACTATCTACCGCTCATAACAGAGCTCGAAGATATCCTGGTGATGGAGAAAGATGCGACTGAGCTAGAAGCTTTATCCGACGAAACATAGCCTTCAAATTTGGATCCTGAATCGCTTCTTGAATAATCTGAATACCCCCAATGGTCGTCTATCTCAGGAACATCTTCATCTCCGTTCAAGTACCTAAGCACCATTCTCATCGACGGCCGAGAAGCCGGTCTTTGATGGCAACAGAGCAAGCCGACGGAGAGAGCGAGCTTTGCCTCTCCTCTGTCGTAACCAGATCCGAGTCTCGGATCGACCGCAGGGAGAATCTCACCACTAGCACGCAGTTCCATTACCCAATCGGCCAAGAAGAAGGTTCCGGAGTCCGTGGGTCTTCTTCCGGAGACGATCTCTAGTAGCAAAACGCCAAACGCAAAAACATCAGACGCAGTCGACGATTTACCATTGCGGGTGAGCTCCGGCGCCATATACCCAATCGTGCCGACGACTACGGTGGTGTGCGATAGGGATCCACGTTCGTAAAGCCTCGCGAGCCCGAAATCTCCCAGCATAGGGTTCATGTTATCGTCAATCAGAACGTTGCTCGGTTTCACGTCTCTGTGAATCACGATTTTTTCCCATTCTTCGTGGAGATACAACAAACCAGACGCTATTCCTTTAGCGATACGAAAACGCGCGTTCCAGGACAAAACGGCGCCGCTTTGTCTCGGTCTACTGTAGAGCAGCGAGTCCAAGCTTCCGTTGGGGATATAATCGTAAATTAGCAAGAGATCGTTTTTGTGTTTGCACCATCCTCTGAGGTTGACCAGGTTCTTATGCCTCAAACGCCCTAAGCTCTCGATCTCTGCCACAAATTCCCGAACACCTTGCATGCTGTTCGGAGTGATCTTCTTCACGGCGATTTGGTCAGACGAAGGCGTAGAGATGCTTCCTCTGAAAACGGTTCCGAATCCTCCGGTTCCGATGATCCGACTCTCCTTGAACCCGTCAGTAGCAGCGTAGAGGTCTTTGTATCTGAGTCTGTGAGGATGATTGATTTCCCAGTCTTCGAGGATCTCTCCTTGTTGCAATCGCTTTTTGTAAATCGCGAAGAAGAACAGCAACGCAAGCAAGATCAGCGTTACTCCCGATAAAGCCACGATCAGAGCGAGGACCTGAGGATCGTAACCTCTCGTCTTCGCCGTATTGGGAGGCGCAGGAGGAAGCTCCGAGAGGTCGAGCGTATCTACAACCGGATTTGCTCCGCCGCTTGAGAAACTCCAACCCATCACGTAATGAGCACTCGACTGATCTCTCCCCGTCGCTGCTGTGAAGCCGACGTACATTTCTTCTTGCACGATCTCCAACAGCTTTGGAATCTGTCGCGATATCAAAGGTTTTATGGGTTTGGACTTCAAATCCGCCGGATAAACGGTGAAATTAAGGGTTTGTGTAGGTCCATCGTAATCCAAATGTGCTCGAATCGGATCGCCGCTCTGAAGCGAGAAATCCTCTTTGCGGTTAGGGTCGTCGCTGTCGTAGTACACGACGGGTTCTTGAAAGTCCGACGTGAGGCTGTTGAAATTCAGACCAATGTGATTGCCTATTCTATCTTCGCCGTCTTTGAATCCTTGCACCGTGTCGAATTCAACGGCAAAAACGTGATTCGTGGGGTTCCCATCGTTCTGCTCGTTGAGAAATCCCAAATATTGTGCGGATGCGGCTCCAGGGCGATCAGGGGTCGGAGATAGCGTGAAGGTGAAGCCAAAGCCTCCGTTGCTTGAGCTTGTTGGGATTATGACGAAGACAAAACAAGTGCTAAACGAACGAACCCTTTGACTGGTGGAATTCCCAATACTCTCGAGCAATCTCACCGGTCTACGGTAGAAACCTGTGCCGGTAACGTTTGAGTTTCGGTCAGTGAGTCTCAGCAGTCCGTCGGGTTTGATCATCGCAGCTTCTGTCGTCAGAATCTCCGACTGGTTTCCCGTAAAACCTCGGAAAGTGAACTCTGTCTTTGTTCTCTGAGTTCGAACAGGGACGGTCAAAAGCAAGAAGAAGGTGAATAAGACCATACATCTTTCAGTTCCCATTAATGATCGATACACAGAAGAAAAGAAAGAATATCACAGAAAGGGGTCTGTAAAGAAAAGATAACTAGAGATGCTTTTCTCTGAGATTTAGGAATTATATATGTTTTTATAAGGAGACGAAGATGAGTATTCAACAAGAAATTGCGTATGTTCTTCCTCTTCGCTAACTGGTTCACATTAACGAAAATTGAAAAATAATACAGTTTGTGATGTTGATCTCTGCGGAAAACATTGGACATTATTTCTCTTATGCTATAATTATTGTTTTATTTTTTTTTTATTTTATGAAAGTCCAATGCCAGCTGACTTTGACAAATTACACATTTGCTTTGAATCTGCAGGTATTTTATATTTCTGGGAAAAGCATATTGACTTTTGGATTTGGAGATTTTGTCATATACTCCTATAGACTTACAAAAAGCATAAGTAGTGTGATTTTATGAATTCCGAACTTATAGGACTGCAGTAATTTTTCTTCCCTTTATACAAACAACTACGAATCCAAATGGTTGGTAACAGTCGTAAGATCGAATGATTACCTTTAATCATTTGAAATAAAAGGTCGTGCTTTATTCCTTTTCACTTTTACCAGAACAAAAACGAGCTTGTATGGTCACGATTCATCATGAGTCTATTGTTATTACTACCCACACCACATATAATTATTTAAATATTCTTTTGATTACGAGATATCACGAATTCAAGTTTCTACCTTGATTTGGTTAGTCACATAAATCATTATCACTTTGACTTTGTAAATGTTTTCATAACTTCATTTCGTCCATTTGTCTATATACTTAATCCATATGAAGTAATATAATTCTAGAAGATCATGTCATGTGGTCATGTGAGATGGAACACGCCAGTGATTTTAAACATATCTGATCTAAAAACAAAACCATTTTTTTATAAGTTGTTACTGGTTATAATTCAAAATATATCAGATTAGTGTATAGTGTTGGAGTGTTAACAACACACATATACAACGGGGAACAAAAAAATTGCAACAAAGGTTTTTGTGTTCAACCAAATAAAATGAATAAAAATCCGTTTTGAACATTTTGAATCAGATGTGATTGTAATATTATTATGGTTCGTGTCCTTTTTCTATGTATACATTAAATTATTAAAAACCCTTTGTTTGTTGAAGAAAAAGAGAAATAGGAGTTAGGTTTTTGAATGTGTTGCTTACTACCTACCACTGATGAATGAAGCTGAAGAAATCCTGGTAAGAGACGACGAACATGTGTGTGAGCTCGAAGCTCTATCCGACGAAACATACCCTCCGAATTTCGATCCTAAATCGCTTATCGAAGAATCTGAATATCCCCAATTTTGGTCAATCTCAGGAACATCCTCGTCTCTGCTCAAATACCTAATCACCATCCTCATCTGCGGACGAGATCCCATTTTTGGGTGGCAACAGAGCAAACCGACGGCGAGAGCAAGCCTTGCCTCTCCTTCCTCGTAGCTAGATCCGAGCCTCGGATCAACGGCACCTAGGATCTCACCGCTCGCTTGTAGCTCCATAACCCAATCGGCTAAGAAGAAGCTCCCCGAATCCGTAGGCTTCCTCCCGGACACCATCTCTAACAGCAGAACGCCAAATGCGTAAACGTCGGAAGCCGTCGAGGAGTTTCCGCTGCGGGTTAGCTCCGGCGCCATATACCCAATCGTGCCCACGACTACTGTGGTGTGCGATTGCGAACCGCGTTCGTAAAGCCTCGCGAGTCCGAAATCTCCCAGCCTAGGGTTCATATCGCCGTCAATTAGAACGTTACTCGGTTTCACGTCTCTGTGAATCACGATTTGTTCCCATTCCTCGTGGAGGTACAGCAGCCCAGACGCGATCCCTTTGGCTATTTGAAAACGCGCGTTCCACGACAAAACGGCGCCGCTTCTTCTCGGTTTGCTGTAGAGCAGCGAGTCCAGGCTTCCGTTTGGGATATAGTCGTAAATCAGGAGGAGGTCGTTTCTGTGTTTACACCATCCTTGGAGGTTGACCAGGTTCTTATGCCTCAAACGCCCTAAACTCTCTATCTCTGCCACAAATTCTCGAACACCTTGCATGCTATTCGGAGTTATCTTCTTCACCGCGATTTGATCAGGCGAAGATGATGAGATGCTTCCTCCTCTGTAAACGGTTCCGAATCCTCCGGTTCCGACGATCCGGCTCTCCTTGAACCCGTCTGTAGCAGTGTAGAGGTCTCTGTATCTAAATCTGTGGGGATGATCGATTTCCCAATCCTCAAGAATCTCTTCTTGCTGCATTCGTTTTCTGTAAATCATGAAGATTAACAACAACACCAACATGATCGAAATACAAGTCGATAAAGCCACGATCAGAGCGACGACCTTGCCATTGTATCCTCTCTTCTTCGCCGTATTTGGAGGTGGAGGAGGAAGCTCCGAGAGATTCAGCGTAGCTGCAATCGGATTTGCTCCGCCGCTTGAGAAACTCCAACCCATCAGGTAATGGGCGCTCGACCGATCTCTACCGGTCGCTGCGGTGAATCCGACGAACATTTCATCTTTAACAATATCTGACAGTTTTGGGACCTGCCGTGAGATCAAGGGACTTGTCGGTCTAAATCCCAACCTGGTCGGATAAACAGTGAGGTTAAGAGTTTTGGTTGGCCCGTCGTAGTCCACAGAGACTTGGATCGGCTCGCCGCTCGCGAGTTGGAATTCTTCTTTCTTGCCATCGTCGTTGTAATAAGCCACCGGTTCTTGGACATCTGAAGAGAGGCTGTTGAAATCTAGACCGATGTGGTTGCCTATTCGGTTTGTGCTGTCTTTGAATCCCTGTACCGTGTCGAATTCAACAGCGAAAACGTGATTGCTCGGATCACCGTCGTTTCTTTCGTTGAGGAGGCCCAAGTACTGCGCGGATTCTGCGTCTGTACGGTTTGGGGTTGGAGATAGCGTGAAGGTAAAGCCGAAGCCTCCGTTGTTTGAGCTTGAAGGTATTATGATGAAGACAAAAGAAGTGCTGAAGGAACGAACCGTGAAGTCGTTGCTTTTGTTGAGCAAACTCACCGGTTTGTGGAAGAAAGCTGTTCCGGCAACGTTTGAGTTTCGATCGGTGAGCCTCAATAGTCCGTTGGGTTTGATGGTTGAATCTCCTTGGAGCTGAACTTGTGATTGGTTTCCTTTAAAACCGTGGAAAATAAACTCCGTTGTCCTCTCTGTTGTTGCTTTCAAGAGGAGTTCAAGGAAGAGCACAAACAAGAGTGAGACCATGGATCTTGCTTTGCCCATAAATGGTGGAGAGATGAGCTACCAAAAGCAAATTGAGGTAAATGAAGATGTATTATTGTAGAAAAAGCGGAGCAGGAAAAGAAGAAGATGACAGCGAAGGTTACAAGGGAGTTTGGTTTCTCATACAGATTCAATGAAGAAGAAGAAGAAGAAGAAGAAGAAGAGAATGACAATAACTTCCTAACTTGCAGGTAGTTGATGGAATAGTTTTCTGAGATGGATGCTCTCTATACATTAGGGAAGTATTTCTTTTATGATTAAAAGTCCAATGAAAGCATAGGGCTGACTTTGACAAAGTCCAAGTTTACTTTGAATCTCCTAATATATATTGTATAGTTTTGGGTGAAAAATAAGAAGAAACGAGTCATTTGGACTTGGACATTGTGTGTGACTTAACAATAAGCATGACCAAATAAGAAGATCTTGGGGATTAAATGAGCCCCGTGGTACGACTGTAGTAAAAATTCCTTAAATTTCGTTTGATTGTCCTTCTTATACAGTATTAGCCACATCCACATGTGATTATTTAATAAGCATTTCTCGTTATTTGTTTGTGTTTCTCAGTTGATTGGATTGGTAGGAAAAAAGTCGTTGTGAATTTGACTTTGTAAAAGTAGTCGTAACTTCCAAGGATTGTGGTAGCAGTAGTTGAAGGCTTGAAGCCTGAAGCCTAGACGAAGGTCACGTCACGTGGTCACGTGAGATTGCCAGACATGTAATGTCGGCTTAATTTGATTTTGTTGGATTATCAACTGGGTAATAAAAAGCTTTGATATTTCTTATGCTCTTTTTTGGTCTTTTGCAGGAAAATTCTGTCTATGTATGCTTGTCACTAAAGTCATACCGAACATTGATGATCCATTAAAGAGCTCAGGCTGTATCCTTTGCTTTTAATTCCTCTCTACTCTGCGCATGTGATTTCAAGCTTATTCACCCTTGTTATAAGGGGTTTTAATCCGAGACAAAAGGGTTAATTGACAAGTTTGAATTCGATGCAGGCAAGATGACTACCTACGAGACATGCAATAGCATTTGGCAAACATTTTTATTCATTCATCATATCTTACTGGTTGGAATAGCAAACTTGGTGACTATAACTTAGCTTCTCCACTGAAGTGTCGTTGAACCTGCTTAGTGTCTCCACCGAATGGTTGCACGCTTCTGGCACCTGGTTGCTTCCAAAAGCCTTGCATACATACATTACAAAGTTCTGGTACTTCTGTTCACCAAAGACACCGAGGCTAATAAGTTTGTTTCTCCTTTCATCTTGCAAGTAAGCAGCTTAATGTATGGGACTAACCTCCTCAAGTGGTTGGATATTGTTTACAACCACCCATGGCACGAATTTATGTGCTGGATAAAGTTCCGAGGTTTCTTCAGCATACCTCAGTTCAAGCTGCAGAATTGTCACAGAAATGTCATATTTTTTTTTGCTTATTTGTTTCATTTGGTGTCAGCAGGATTTACCTGGTTTCCGTACCCATTGATGTAACAATCAAGCGCTGCTCTGCTCAGTCCAGCCATTTCAAAACAGTCGGCCCATTTTTCGAGCTTGTTTTCCAAGACCAGTCGTTCCGTACAGTAGATGTACCCAAAATGCTTCATCTGCTAGGGAATCATTAGCACGCTTGTTCCGTATGGTCAAGACTTTTTTATATGGAGATTTCATCGGTCTTTAGAGGCTTACCACATCAGGGTATGCGCTTATTGCACAGGCGTGAATTGCGTTGAGCGCACACTCAGCTTCTCCGTGCTATAAACAGAGCAACAAAATGCATTAATCGAATGCTCATGTACTACAATGCAAGTGCAGACAAGACAAGAAGAGTGCAAGACCTGGCAGAGAATGCTGCCATCTGGTCTTATCACTGCGTTTCCCCATGGGACGAGCTGGAGATCAATGGCTGAGATTAAGCCGCTTTCGAAGATCTTAGTCAAGTGGTTAACAATGAACTCTGCACAGTAGGGGCACAGAGCTTCGTAGTATAGACTTAGTGTGACTTTCTGGCTTGAAGACGGAGATATGAGGCATAAGAAGATTGTGAAACTTGTGATGCACAACCTGAGATATATCGCCATTGATGAAACACGAAGAAGAGGTAGAATTGTTTTGACACTTGCTTTATTTTTCAAAAGCTGTTTCAAAGATTCCTTGCTGTATTCATTGTATAAGGCATCTTCTAAGCTTCCGAGTTTTGACGTTATAACGTTCACTGTGGCGCTGCTTCGTCAAATGGCACGTAGTTCTTTTGTCTTCCATTTCTAAACGGCGTGATGGTTCTACACAATTGACTCTTATATAACTTTCACACATGATTTTGTTTGTATTTTAAATTTACCTAAATATTTCAAATTTACTTAGTGGTGTTTTAAATATTGTAGAAAGTCGTTATAAAAACCCTTTATTTGCAATTATGAGAATATTATCCTTTCTGATACTTTTTATTTCGATTGTGAATTTGCCATAAGTATTTTTATAAAATCTCACTTAATATTACTAGGTTAAACCTACATGATAATTAAATATTTTAAAGCTAAAATTTTTTATAACGTACAAAAATACATTAAATAAAAATAGGTTTATATTTAAAATAAGTTGTATAAAATGCGATTCTAAAACAATCGCACACAAAATTAAAAAAACATATATCATAAGTTTGTTATATATAAGTCTCACATGTATATTACCATAATCCATTTTTTATTAGGTGATAACCTGAGATTGACAATAGTACATATATTTAGGTTAGAAATTCATGTCAAATATTGTTTTATTTTATTGTAAAACTTTAATATTAATATGATTTGGAAATTTATTATTATTTTTTGATTCTGCAAGCGCATTTCTCGATTCGCCATTCGCACACACACTGCGGACGTCCAACCGAAGGTCCACCAGGTGCAATGTTGCAAAAAAATCTCATGAACCTATCTCCTTTATCCTTCATACATGTAGCCTTACACTCGTTTTCTTGACAGTAGTAACGGTGTGGAACATCAATACATCTATACAAGACAACCTCAACTCCTATGACAATAATAAATGTAAAACATAAAATATTAATTGATGAAAATAAAACATAAAATTTTATGTGTATTTACTATAAAAAAAATTATTTTAATTTTATAATGATTATATTTGTATGAAAAATGGAACATAAAAATTTAAATAAAAAATATGATATATTAAAATATTTGAACGTATCATATAAAATTAAAACTGTATAACATCAATATTTATAAAATAAATGTAATATGAAACTGAAACAGTTTTCTATGTTGCATGAGAGGAAATAATTATTGATGAAAAAAGATAATAGAAATATATTTAATCAATTGGTATTGTAATTGGAAGCAATTATATATATTCCATGAGAAGAAGTAATTATTAATATAAAAAGATGGCTAAAATATGTTTAGTCAATTGGTATCACAATAAAGTTTATAATGTTAAGATCATATAAATTTATAAAGTAGGGAATGAACAGAAAATATATGAAGAAATTTTTTAAAAATATCTTAGGTTGATTTCTTAGGTCTAATAAACTCAATTCCATCTAATATCAAAAATGTATTTTTAACATAATATATCTGAACTTAGCATTAAAAATCTTGAATAAGAAATATGTTTAATAAAAAAATATAATATTGTTAATTTGATATTGATAGATTTAATATGATATCAAAAACTTGTTTCTTCTTCAAATTTCATATGTAAGCAATTATTAAATGTAAATGCATACCTAAAAGAAAGATTGTGAAGATAATAAGAACGGTAATGAAGATTGAAAAAATAATTTCATCGTAAAAGATATAAATGGATCTAGAGTGTTTTAAAATTTAATAAAGAAAAAAGAAAAAGTAATGCTATATATAATAAATTGGATGCATCCCAAACATTTTCTAATTAAGGTAGGTATACATACCTTATATCCTGAATTGTAGGATTTAGTTTGATCCAAGTTCATAGTTTTTTTAAAAAACGTGAAACTTATTAATATTATTATTTATTTTTATTATTTTTTTAGCTTTCTATTCATACATTCTTTTTACTGAAAGAACCATAGAAAATTTATTAAATTTAAAATAACAAAATAGTAATTTTAATAAAATTGAAAAATAAATTAAAATAACAAATTTATCTGTAAATTAAAGTATAAGTATAATGATAATAGATGTAAAGTGTGAAATAAATTATTTATCTATTTAGTATATAATTAACAAAATTTCAATACATTTAAAAATTTAGAATTATTATGTATAATTTGATATTTTCACGTAAAAAATAATATAGATTAAAATCTGATATTTTTAAAATTTAAAAATTAAAGCTGTTTCAAGAATGTATGATGATGTATCTATTGTATAAGACTATAGCATTTTCTAAGTTTCGGCGTTATGACATTATACCGTTTATCAAGAGACTGTTTGGTTTGATTGCAAACGGCGTGATGGTTCTCACAATTGGCTTTTTTAAAACTTTGATGTTTTCCTTAATCATACTTTATATAACTTTCACACATGCTTTTGTTTATATTTAATTTACCAAAACATTTCAAATTTACTTAAGTCATTATAAAATCTTTATATGAGATTATGAGAATATTTTGTCTTCCTGGTGCTTTTTATTCTGATATAAATTTGCCATAAGTATTTTCATAAAATCTCATTGAATATCACTAAGTTAAACCTGTATCAAAACTAATATTTTTTAAAGTTAAGTTTTTTTTATAACATGCAAAAAAACATACTAAATAAAAATATTTTTATACTAAAAATAAGTTTGAATAAAATATGATCCTAAAACAATCACGTACAAAATAAATTAAAAACATATACTATAAGTTTGTTATCTACTACAAGTCTCACACGTATATTATCATAATTAAATCTTTATTAGGTGATAACCTGAGATTGACAATAATACATATGCCTAGGCTATAAATTCATGTCAAATATTATTTTATTTTATTAGAAAACTTTAATATTAATATGAGTTGAATTTTATTATCATTATTTGATTCTGCATTTGCACTTCTCGATTCGCCATTCGCACGTACATTGCGGACGTCCTGACATAGGTCCACCATTTGGAATGTTGCAAAAAGCTCTCATGAACCTCTTTCCATAAGTTTTCATACATATATCCTTACACTTGTTTTCTTCACAATGGTAAGGGTCTGCAACATCAAAACATCTATTCACAAGACAACCGTCCGCCCCTATTACAACAATAAATTTAAAACATAAAATATTAGTTGATAAAAATAAAACATAAAATCTTAATTTGTGTATTTACTATAAAAATATATTATGTTGACTTTTATCATGATCATATTTGTTTGAAAATGAAACCTAAGATTTTAAATAAAGAGATTTGATATATTAAAAATATTTTAATGTATCATATAAAGTTTCATTAAAACTGTATAGCATCAATATTTTAAAATAAAATTTAATATGAAACAGTTATATATGTTGCATGAGAAGAAATAATTATTGATGAAAAAAATGGAAATATATTTAGTTAATTGGTATTGTAGTCAGAAATAATTATCTATATTGCATGAGAAAAAGTAATTAATGATGAAAAAGACAGTTGAGATATGTTTATAATGTTAAGACCATATAAATTTATAAAGTAGGGAATGAGCAGAAAATATATGAAGAAAATTAAAAAAATATCATAGGTTGTTTTTTTAGGTCTAATACAAAATAATTGAACTCAATTCAGTGTTATATACAAAATGTATTTAACATAAAAATAGCTGAACTCAACATTAAACTTTTGAATAAGAAACATGTTTAAAAAGATATAATATATTTATTTGATATTTATAGATGTAATATGATATCAAAAATTTGTTTCTTCTTAAAACTTTATATGTAAGAATGATTAAATGTAAATACATACCTATGAGAAAAATTGTAAAGATAATAAGAATGGTAAATAAAGGTTGAAAGAATTTTTTCATCATAGAAGATATAAATGGATTGATAGTGTTTTTTTTTTTTTGGTTAACTATTGATAGTGTTTTAAAATTTAATAAAGAAAGAAGAAGATTACTGCTAAATATATAATAAATTGGAGGTATCCTAAACATTTCTAATTAAGGCATGTAATACCTTAGATCCTGAACCCTAAGATTTAGTTTGACCCAAATTCATGGAGTTTTCCCTATATGAAAGGTAAGAACTTAGGTTGCATGGAAACTCTGTCCGAGGTACGTTTCCCGTTTTCGAAACGTTTCAAAAATCGAAACTTTCGGAAACTCGTTGGAAACACGAAAAATCACGTTTCCTAAAAATTCTAATTTGGAAACACTTTAGAAACGTGTTTCCATTTTAGAAACACGTGTTTCCATTTTGGAAAGAAAATAAAAATTAATTTCTTATTTTTATAGAACAAATAAATAATTATAAAAATTAAATTAAATAATCAATTTACTTATTTATAGTAAATAATAAATATTTTGATTTGGTAATTAAGATTAATTTTGAGATTACTAAGTTTGAAAATTATTCTCTAGATGAATTAGAATTAGAGATAGATTGGTTAATGAAACTAATAAAATTGATAATAAAGAAAATCTTCTAAATTTTTGATTTTACATATTTTAAATTTTATAGTTTAATAATTATGTAAAAATTATATATTAGATTTTGTTGATTAAATATTCTACTTATAATTAGATCTTTAATACTTAATATATATATATATATATATATATATATATATATGTTTCCAAAACGTTTCTATTTCTATATTTTTTTAAAATAGCGTTTTTGTGTTTCGAAACGTTTCGCTTCCACGTACTCGTTTCCGTTTCAATGCAACATAGGTAAGAACGCTAAACTAATTTATATTTTTTTGGTTGTTAAATTTTTTTAGGCTTTCTACCTGTACATTCTTTACTGCCGCAAAAACAATAGAAAAATTAATTAAAAAATAGCAACGAAATTGTAAATTTTTTTATAAAAACGGGAAAATATTTTTTTTAAAAAATGAATTTATTTGTAAATTAAAGTATAAATATAATAAAAATAGATGTAAAGTATCAAATAAATTATTTTTCCATTTAGTTAAATAACTAACATAATTTAAGTTCATTTAAAATGATTATGTATATAATTCAACATCTTCACGATTAGAATCTGATATTTATTAAACTTAAAATTATAGCTGTTTTAAAGATTTGTTGATACATACGAGGCATAGCTTGGGCGTTTTGACGTTATAACGTTTGCTGTGGCGCAGTTTGGTTTGATTGCAAACGGCACGTAGTTCGTTTGTTTAATTTTATAAACGGCGTGATGGTTGTGATAAATGGGGGTGGGTCAGTCACTCTTCATCTTCTACATCTAATCCACCTGAGCTGCTTGCTGATGTGTTTTCTCAGAAAGCCCTGAACCCTAATTTGTAGAAGGACCGAATGTCGTCGATGAGCTTCAATCCATTTCAAAACTGGTTCGAGAAACCACCGAACCCAGTTCCTTCCCTCAATTTCGTATCCATCGCGGATTCGTTTTTCCCCAAGTCGCAGTCTCCGAATTTCGCTTCGATTGGACTTCCTAAGTTCTCCAAGAAACCGGAAACGGAAACGGAGGACCCTGGACGATACAAGCGAATCGCGGAGCAGTTCTTGTGGGAGTGCGAGAACATACCGGATCACAGGCACGCTCCGGAAGTGGATAAGATTCTGAAGGAAGATCCAGTTTTCGAGAAGAAGGAGAAGGCAAGCGCAGAGGAGGTAGAAGCGGAGGAGAAATGGTGGGAGAGATTCCGAGCGAGCCCCGTGGTTCAGTTCATGACTCGCGCGGAGGAGATTGCGGACGACATGAACAAGATGGAGCTGGAGGAGAACGAGACGCCTTACCGGAAAGAAGACAAGGAATTATGGCGAGCCGTGCCTCATGTGCCGGGATTCGACGGGAGGCCGATGCCGAGGAAGGCGATAAAATCGAAAGAAGAGAGTGATGATAAGTTTTGGGATTTCATGAAACAGTTCCTCTTCGGGCTCTGGGGTTTCCGCCAAAGGCCTTACCCGCCGGGTCGACCCGTAGACGTGGCTCAGGCCATCGGTTACAAACGCCTCGAGAAGCGCTACTATGACTGTAAGTGCCTTCTTCAGTTTCAGATTGAGTGGCTATGGGTTGTTTAGTGTGCTCACACATGTGTGTTCATCTCTTTGGATTGTAGTCATAATGAAAACCGGCGGTTGGTGGTACAAAGACCGACTTGGCCGCTCGAGAGGCCCTTGCGAGCTTATCACCCTTAAGACGGCTTACGGAGCTGGAATCATCGACAGTGATACTTTCATCTGGGGCGAGGACATGGATGAATGGGCCCCCATTCACATGGTTTACGGTTTGGAACCTGCAATTGCCACTTGGGAAGGTCAGATGGAACCTTTTGCTTTTTAGTCAAGACTCACTCCTATGGCTTTCGTTGTTGGCTTTGTTTTGTTGACCCGAGTGAGATACTATACTTTCTTTCCCAGTGAGGCTTGGTGCTGCGGCAACGGCTTTCCTACACAAACTCCAAAAGGGAATACCGCCATGGGTTCCTCTCAAGGGGAGAGAGCCCAAAACATACAAGCAGCTTCAAAAAGAAGCTATTGAGAGCAAGAAACGCGACATGGCAGTTCTTGAAGCAAACGATGGTGTTTGGCCTGGACTCAGGACTCCCAGCCATGCTCTGTTTCTATGGGCTAGTGGCTCTGAATTAACCACTGTCCTGGAATCTGATCACATGCCCAACAAGTTCATCCCCAAACAGCTAAGGTATTAATTTAAAGTCCCATTGCCTTTTTTTTAATAGCCGAAACTGGATATTTTGATTCCATGCAAACTCTTTTGATTTTAGGCAAGAGCTGGCCAAAGTAATACCAGGGTTAAGGCCATGGGAAGTGATAAGCATAGAGCAAGCCATGGATCAGATCAGCTATGGCGGAGAGTGGTACCGTGAGCCACTTGGTACCTACACTACTGGTCCTCCTTACATCAGAGAATGGAATAGGAATGTCATGGTCAGTTTCTTCTCCTTTCTTTTCATGTCTCATCGTATCTTGGTCAGAAATTGATTCCCGTACGTTTTGGTTTGCAGAGATTGTTCCGGATTTACTACAACCTCAGTGTTCGAGTAGGCCAGAAGCTGGAGAGGACAATCCCTGGTTTCAACACTATAATGGAAAAAGTTCAGAAAGATTATGACGCTCGGATTGCTCGGAGGATGAAGCGCAGGGAGGAGGAGATGAGAGAGGATGACCTGATGCATCATTCCGGCCGTAGCGATAAAGATGAAGATGACGAGGAGGACGATGAAAGTGACACCAAATGATGTACGCAAAGCCTTGTGATGACTATAGAAGAAAACATCGTCTTGTTTTGCATTCTTCGCCAGCAATGTACGACATTTTTGCTTACAGTAAAACACACCATGGCGTTTTCGGCGTCTTGTGTAACATGGTTTGGTTTCCCTCTGTTTTAATTTTAAGCTTTTAACCAACGTGAGACGTGGCTTTATCACAAAAAAAGAATTCAGTTCATTGTCTTTTTACTCTCATTTTTTTTTTTTTAACGAAAACATATTTAGTTATTAAGAGTTGATATATATAATCAGAGTACAAAGTATTGGTTAGCCAATATGGGGGATAGTTACAGTCTTTTTCCTCTCATTTAAATGTTCAAATTGAAATCAAAATTTCAACGTCTATCTTTTGTACACTCGCAGCCCATTGGATCATTAATGGGCTCAATAATTGTTTAATGGGTACGGATAACCCGACCCGTACACAGGATAACGAAATTGGGAATTGTGTTTTTTTTTTTTTGTGTGTATATTTTTCTTCACGGATGGCCAAGCCATAGCCACAAGCTCAGTGGTCGGAGATTGATTTCTCATTTGGCTATCTTACAACTGTGGTCAGTTATGTTCATATCTTTTCCAATTTCATTGTAGTTTGGTCAATTCGATTGCCATATCTCCTAGTGAGTCTGTGTGAGTTTTTGATTCAAAATTGGTGGATTATCTACAAGCTTCTCTATGGTTAATGATAAGTATGTTGATTTTCCTTAGTCCTTTTCGGTGTTGCTATGATTTCCGGAATGATCTGACAGTTCCCCTGGCTTTCGATTAGAGCGTTACTGTGATAGAATGATTTTTGCTTGGAAGGAACAAGCTGAAAAAGGCTCAACTTATTCTTATTCGTCCCCCATTATAGATTAGATTCTCACTGTTTACTTATTGCTGAGCGGTGTGTGAAGAACCTTTGATGAAAAGATTCTGAGGGAGAATTTCTCCATTGATAGCTTAGTGGTGATTTCATACGTCATGATGGATACGCATCTTGTAGAAACAGAGAGGTGTGTGTATGTTTGGTAATAAAAGACTGTCTAGTGTTGAAGATAGAAGATACTTTGCGGATCAAAGCATAGTTGATTGAATACTCACAGTCACTGTTTAGTTATGTTAAATCTCAATCGCATCACCTTGTATCCTTGTTGTTTGCTTTTCAGTTATCCCAGTGACTACCTTCATCAACAGGTTCGTTATGCTTTCCTCCTTTTGCGTTACGTTTTCAATTAGAGGGATCTATCTATGTTTTTATTCTCCGTTCGGTCATAGATATTAGAGTAGAAAAATAGTAAAGCAGAAGCCTTGATTGATTAAGCTTAAGGAAATTATTACAAAAAAACCCATCTTAAACACAGCTTGATACTACAATCTTATTCCTCCAAATCTAAAACTTGTACAGAATCTTCGGGTTCTTCTGTTCAATCCCAGCATTGGCCAACTAAAAGTGAGGTGATAGAGCTCCAGTCTAGTTCAGAAGCCTCTGGTCGAAGTGCCAAACTCCTGCAATAATAAGATAAGAGGCTTTTAAAAACTCAAATTCAAGTCTTACAACTCAATCTCGATAGAGAGGGTTTTGATTTCGTACCATGTCCTTTCCCAACCATCCTTAGCTGGGTGATGAATTCCGAGATCTTCTTGATTGCTTCAATCTTTAAACATTTAAGAAAAAAAGCCAACCAGTTAAAAGCAGCTACTTAGAAAGATCACTAATTCTAACCCAAACCAATAGAAGCAGATGCAGAAACTCACCTGCTCTCCAAGAAACTCACTCTCAACGAAATCAGCTAACTGGGGATCGTTGTTCTCTGTCGCTACCTGTTTTTTTTTTAAATGATTCAAATAATGGTAAGAAAATTGACTATAATTATCTAATCATATTGGGTTAAGTAGAGACAAGTTTGGGAACTTACGCTGTGAAGGTTTAGAAGCTTCTCGTTGGTAAGTTTCTCCAGAGACAGAGCCAACTCCATTGCTGAAAAGACACATAGAGGAACAAAGATCTTAAAATTACTTTAATCATGATATTGTGTTGCTTATTTTTATATGATGTATTATAAATTACCATATAATGCATCTCCTTTTTCACCATGTTCGAACTCTGAGATAGGTGACACGATCGGGTGAAGTTTCACTCTTCCTCCTCTTTTGTTCTATATAATCCCCAATAAATCAAAAATCAATCACTAATACTTTGCTTTTAAGAAAAAGAAATACAAGGAAAACAAAATAGGAAACCTGGTACTCCATGAACTTCTCTGCGTGCTCTCTTTCTTCATCACTTGATTCCTTGAAAAACCTGGTAACCGACGAGGTTAGTAGCATGTTTATCTACTGTGTAAAGTATAATTAAAGATTCACGTTAGAAGATAATTACTTGGCTAGTCCCTTAAGAGCAACGTTGTCTCTGTCGAAGTATGCGTACATTGAATGGTACACATACGAGACGTTGTACTCCACACTGTAAAACAAAATCAAAATCAAAATCCGTTAGATCTAGTCTTTTTTTGACATATTTTCATATTAACAGAGGTACAAAGAAACGAGGAAGCTTACTTGATTTGCTCATTAATGGCGGCCTCGCTAGCGTCGGCAAACCTCTGGCGAGCGAGGGAGACATGAGATGTGATTGGGATGGCCAGATCGGCTTTCTTCACCTCCTCGAACGGCTGGAACACCACTCCGGTCATCGGCATGTTGTTTGTGTCCACCGTAGCCGCTGCAACCACGAGTGCTCTGCCGCCGCCAGTTTTCCTCGAGAATCCGACAGAAACCGCCGGAGAAGCGGAGGAGACGCCATGGGGGAGCAGTGGCTTGGGAGAGGGAGCGGGCTTGGTGGTGAAAGACGAGAGAGCCCTTGAGGCCATCTGTAGAGAGATTGTAGAGGATGTTTCTGAGGGGATATGAGGCGCCTGAGATTTGGTGGTGTTGTTGATGATGATATGATGATGATGATAAGAGGAGGAAGGGTTTATATAAGGGGGAAATGGCGTGTGGTCACCGTTGGATTGAGGTCCACGTGGAGGGAGGAGATAAGGGACAGATGTAGAGGCGTGTGGCGGCCTCGTGCTCCATCCAATGGGATAGTGTGAACGTGAGGATATTCGATCCACGTTAGCAATCTCAGCGCAACTTATTATAAAAGTTTGTCTGTTTCTCCGCTTTCTCTTTACCCTCAGAATCTTTTTACCATTTCCGGTTCCCTACTCTCGCGATGCCACATTTCTATTTCCTACTCGCTCTCTCCCCTATTTCTCCAAGCGTCCATTTTCTAATTTTAAGCTATCTATTTATGTATATATAACTACAGGTAAACTTGAATATAAATATATCTGAGTCTAAAAAAAACTTAAACTTGAACCATTTTAAAAAAACTAAAATCTGATATCCAAAAATCAAATCCAACACTTCATATATTGCTTTCTTTAAAAAAAAAATCTCATTTTGATTTAATATTTGATTTATCCCTTGTTTGTTTTATTTTTGTTGTGGATAACTCTCATTTTCATAATAGTATCTGTTTGGAGTTGTAGATAATAACAAATAGTCAAATACAATAGTTGAGTAGAAAAGTCGATGATAACACGTAAGCGAGGTTAGACGTGTAAAAATAAGTCGATTTACATCACATAAACTTAGTCGGTTTATATATATGAATGCTCCAAACCATTTGATGCTTTTGTGTGGCCTATATATATATACTGTTTAGTTTATTTACAAAGGCAAAAAATCGATACATTCGTGTCTCTAGGAGATTTGATGGAGACGGAAAACAGATTCAAAGAGCGAGTAGGTACAACGTATCTCCACTCAAGCGCGTGTGCGTTTCCAAAATCCAAATGGTTCCTTGTCTTTATCTGAGACAATTACACGTGGGCCTCATTAGTCACCGCTCGGCAGAAAAAGTTCACTTTTTTTTAGTGAGTTCATTATTTATATTTTTGGCAAAAAGTGAGTGAGTTAATCAAAATATCAGGGTTATTATTAAGCTTCAATCAATGTTGGCCAGAACAAAATTTTAATAAGAAGCTCTACAACAAGAACTAAAAAGCTTTGAAAAGGTGGAGTTAGGTCAGATTTTTCTTTCTTGGCTTGATATTTCCCCTGATTTGATCGATAAAGTGTTAAAGATATTTTATACTCTCAGTAGCAAATACATATAGAGCCGAGGTTCGTCTTAATCCCATTCAACATAGATGAACCAACTAATGAATGGAATAATTTTAAAGCTGTTTCCCTTTAAAGGAAGGAGGGATACAGCCATGTGGTTCAGGACTACTGGTTGCAGTTTTCTTTAATGTGAATATGTCTTGTGCCATGTGGTTCAGGTTCCAATCTGTGTTGTGGGCAGTTTCATGAGATTAATGATTTTGTTTAAAAACAATAATTATACTTTTTTAGTGTTTATGTATATACAGTCTTCATATATGTATAACATTTTTTTTTTGGTTAGATAATATAAGTAGCATTTTGTATATAAATATAAGTAGCATTTTGTAAGCCTTTATGTTTTAGAATAAGAAAATGCAAGCCATTCTTAATTGTTTTTCAAAAGAAACCAAACAATAAAAATAAATGGAAGAAGATATGTATAATGCAAAATTATGGAGAAAGATTCAATGGCAATCTGAAAGCAGGAGGGGTTTTGCAATGACCAGGTGTCATAAAAAAGAATCCAACGGTGCAAGACGAGTGGTGGTACCCCTCAACGCGGGAGAAGACGAGCCCTTTGGGTCGTCGTTTCTCTAATAAAAAGTCTCTCTCTCTCTCTGCTTTTCCCTTGTTGATTTCTGAATAAAACCTCTCGGGAGAATGGATCAGATCTTCGGCAAGGTTGGATCCTACTGGATGGGCCACAAGGCGAACAAGCAGTTTGACTCTGTGGGCAACGACATCAACGTACATTCTTCTGTTGCAGAATTCATCATCTAGAGTCTGATTATATATATATATATATATATTGATTCTCATTTTGATATTATAATTCTGTGTTGATGATTTAGATTTTCTTTCACCCTAATAAGAGCGAATTTTCTTGTGATCTCTGCATTGCCTATGAGTTCTTATCGTAGAATCCAGAATTTCCATCTGCGGCCTGACCTTGAGTTTACTATATATATATGTATATACACGATTATGATCTTGAGTTTTCTTTCAACATTAATTTGTGTTGTGTGTTTTGGCAGTCGCTGTCAACGAGCATCGAAGGAGGGACAAAATGGTTGGTCAACAAATTCAAAGGTATCTCGAGTTTTGACATTCCTGTTACATCCACAGATTACAAAATGAGGAATAACACGTTTCTTCTTTCTCTCTATTGGCTTGGCTTGGCAGGAACAATGCAGAAACCGTTGCCTGAGCTGCTAAACGAGTTTGATTTGCCAGTGGGGATCTTCCCACGCGATGCTACGAACTACGAGTTGGACGAGCAGACGAAGAAACTGACCGTGATGATCCCAACAGTGTGCGAAGTTGGCTACAAGGACTCATCCGTCTTGAAATTTACCACAACGGTCACAGGAATTCTCGGGAAAGGGAAGCTGGCTGATGTGGAAGGAATCAAGACAAAAGTCATGATATGGGTTAAAGTCAGCAGCATCTCTGCGGATTCCTCCAAGGTCTACTTCACTGCCGGGATGAAGAAGAGCAGAAACCGAGATGCTTACGAGGTCCTCAGAGACGGCGTTCGAGCCGATAAATTCTAACCGGTACCAATTACCGATTCTTACCTTTCAAAGTTTTTTTTTTCTCTTGCTGTGTCCTGACTCCTGAGTGTGTATGTACCAACTTTGTTAATGAAACGCGGAAGCACTTCTTTGTTAACACTTGGGCATATATATATACATGTTATTCGTGTGCCCAATGATTTGGTCTTGACTTTGTATTTTTTTTTTATAATAGAATCAAATTGATATATAAGTAACATTTAAACCAAAAAAAAAAATTTGATATATAAGTTCATCTTTTGCAAGAAATTTGTGTTAATTTCACACAGATAAAATTGATATATAAGTTCATATAAAAAGATGAGTAGTACACCAAAAAGAGCATGATAACCATCTTAAAGCTAAGATTGAAGAGACAATCAATAATCATTCTATAAAAAGTTGGTGCATGAGACTAGTTTTTTTTTTTACTATGATCAGCATAAAATTAGTGTTTTGTACAGCACACTCGCAATTGAAGCGCGTTGACATTTCATCCCTTCAAAAGATGCTTCAAAATCTTTAAATACAACAAACTCGATTTCTTCAAAAAAGAAGAAAAAAAATTAATTTTGGTGTTGAAGAAACAGCTCGACGGATTCAATAGATAGATCTGGCGAAAGCGTCAAACAAAAACCAAATTGGGAATATAAAAACAATAAATAAAGAAATAGCTCAAAAAATGTTAAAAACAAGTAATCTCTGTGCTACTGGATCGTAGCTCTAAACTTGTAGAGGTCAAATCGAAGCTGAAGAAGAAAGCTCGAGCACGGTTCTCAAAGGGGTGTGTGTGGGTGTGGGTGATGTCGCAGAGATGGAGCAGAAAGAAGAGTCGGCTTCCACTAGCGGGTCTCCTCTTTATGCTCCTAGTCTCCTTTATGATTCTCTACAACGCGCGTCGCATCCAGCAGATCCACCCCCACCTCACCAGTCGCGAGCAAAACCTCCGAGAAGCTTCCACCTTCACTTTCGTCCAGCCCAATCTCCCGCTTCGAGCTCCCGGTACACTAATTTTCTCTTTTTGATGATGAAGAAATTTGATCCAAAGTTGATGTCATGAGTTTCCAATAACACCAACGACTAAAGTATTGGGCCAAAAACGATGCAGAGGTTTTGGATCGATTCAGCCGATGCAACTCGACGAATGAGTACAGTGGGAAGAAAGTCGGATGGGTTGACCCGTACCAAGACCCGGGTCAAGGAGCAGGGGAGGAGCAATGCGATGTCTTCTCTGGGAAATGGGTCTTTGATAGTTCATCATACCCATTGCACAAGGAATCCGAGTGTCCCTACATGTCTGACCAGCTGGCTTGCCAGAAGCATGGGAGGCCGGATCTGGAGTACCAGCATTGGAGATGGCAGCCTCACGCCTGCAACTTGAAGAGGTGTGATTTGACTGACGGCCAATATCTTGCTTGCTTCTTGTCAACACCTTTTTAATCCTCAATCAATTGGTACAAGATAATCAAAACCCATGATTTGGCTGCTACTGTGGTTTTCATTGTCTTTGTTTTTGGTGGTGATAAGGTGGAATGTGACTGAAATGTGGGAGAAGCTGAGGGGAAAGAGACTGATGTTCGTTGGAGACTCATTAAACAGAGGCCAGTGGATATCAATGGTTTGTCTGTTACAGTCTGTAATCCCCCGTGAGAAGCAATCCATGTCTCCTAACGCTCCCCTCACCATTTTCAGGGCAGAGGTAATAACAAAGACGCACTTTTTATTTCGTGCTCTCTGCTTGCTCCTGTTATTATCATTGGTGTGATTTACTACCTTGCTCTGGCAGGATTACAATGCGACGGTGGAATTTCTGTGGGCTCCCTTGCTCGTGGAATCGAATTCTGATGACCCGGTTAATCACAGGTTGGAAGATCGGATTATCCGGCCAGATTCAGTTCTGAAACATGCATCCAAGTGGCAACATGCTGATATCCTAATCTTCAACACATACTTATGGTGGAGGCAAGACCCTGTCAAGATCCGGTAAGTAGACAACATTTTCTTCTTCTTCTTCTTCTTCTTTAAGGTATGAGTATTTTTAAAGACAGATAAAATACAAACTCTTAAAATTGGGTATTGGAAGTAAAGATGGAGCAGCGAGGAGAAAGGGTCATGCGAGGAGGTGAAGGGCGCCGTGGGAATGGAAATGGCTATGAACGCTTGGGCTGACTGGATTTCTAACAATGTCGATCCAGACACAAAGCGGGTTTTCTTCGTGACAATGTCTCCCACGCATCAATGGTAACGATCAGTTATTCCGATTATATACATACTCTCTCATCAATCAAATTTGACTTTGCGTTTGAACGGATCAGGAGCCGAGAATGGAGCCCGGGAAGCGAGGGAAACTGCTACGGGGAGAAAAAACCGATAGAGGAAGAGAGTTATTGGGGAAGTGGGTCGGACATTCCGACAATGAGAATGGTTGAGAGAGTTTTGAAGAGATTGGGACCAAAGGTTTCAGTTGTCAACATCACTCAGTTGTCCGAGTATCGTAAAGACGGCCATCCCTCCGTGTACCGCAAATTCTGGGAGCCTCTTAACCAAGACCGGTTGAATAACCCGTCGTCGTATTCGGATTGTACTCACTGGTGTGTACCGGGTGTTCCTGATGTCTGGAATCAATTGCTTTTCCATTACTTGTGATACTTGAAATGAAATCAATCCTTTCTTTTTTTTTGTGACCAAATTCGATTACACACGCGCACTGTGAGTCGCACCGCCACAAAATTCCTGAGTTTTATCATCTCCTCTGGATGATTTCTAGCCGATTTCGGTTGTTTTCCCTTTTTAAAACAAAATCTCTCTTATTTTGAAACTTGAGTCTTGTCTATAATTACAATGCCAAACGGAGTAAAATCGTCTTTTCAATCAAACATCAAAAGAAATCACATAGGATCACAGAGAAGTGACATTAATTACGAACCTCCTCCGTCAATTTTTTTACCACCCAAAAAACTTCCAGGTTGTTATTATACGGCGGAAGTTGCGGCAGAGCCTGATGGTACGGAGGAGGCCGTTGGGACTCCGATGAATGAGAGGAATCCGGCGGCGGCAGGATCTTGCTCGTCCAGGAAGAGATCATCGGGGGCTCTGAAGGCGCCATGGACGCAGACCGTCGCTACTCCAATCATGAGGGCTGATATGAGTACAGATCCGACGCTAGTGAAGAAGATGACGGCAATGGTGCAGAGGATTAGGCCACCGAGAGTTTCGAGGTCGGAGAAAGATCGGCCGAAGAGGATGAGAGGTCGATCGGCGGGACGGAAGAGGTAGAGGAAGAGCCAAGAGGCGGCGAGGCATAGGAGGAGGACGAGAGAGAAAGGATGGGCGAGAAGAGAGAAACCGAGGATGAGAGATACGATGCAGACGTAATTCACCCTGAAATAAGATGAATTCTTCCGGAATCGCGTCGCCGCATCGGAAAGAGATTCCGGCTTGGTGAAGGCGGATCGATCCAGGAGCTCCGACCATGGACGGCTGCGAGAGAGGCCATTACGGACCGTTTCGGTTACGCCGTTCACAAATGCACGGACGGCTGGAGGTTGCGATTCAGCGGTTACGATTGGTGGTTGAGTGGCGGTGGTGGAAACCGGAAGCACACGGGGATCTGACGATACCATCCGGAAAAGTTTCAAGGGATTTCGAGATCCGATCGCGAGAAAGAGAGGGGAATGATTGATTTGGAGGCCGGTCAAGTTATTACAGCAGATCGAGACGTTACCTTACGAATACACACACGCCTACTCTTTGTGTATTTATAGCTTTTCAATTACGCGTTTTTCAACTTTCATTTTCATCCATATATCTTCCAGTGATAGGAAAGTTTAATTTACGAAAACAATCGATATTTAAACTATTAACCAACGCCCTAAGTGACATTAACTCCGCCAATCATAGTAGTCGTAACTCTTTTAAAACATCAGGTTTTGGCAATTGTGGAGAGGTCTTTTATATTTTCATATCTACCCTTACCATTGTGAGCTCACTAAGAGCATTTTCTATATTAACAGGAAATATTTTCTATTTATTGGACCTTTTCAGATTCGAAATATACAAAAACAAAGATAGATGTTTGGTTGTTTTGATTGATCACGCAAATGAGTTCTTTTGTGTGTGAGTGTTGTTTGTTGGGTTTTTAATGCAAATACTTCTCAATTAAAGATGTTTCGGATAAAAACATCTGAATTAAAAATTTAATGTCGAAATCCTCCAAGTAATTTTTATTTAATGTATAAACTCCTTCGTTATTCGCCAGCCGATTGATGTAATTGAATACAATTAACTTTTTATATTTTCTCCAGCATATAATCATGTTTATATGCTTATGAAATTGTGCCATAAAAGGATATTTGTTTATGAATCAGTTGTGAATTGACCTAATGATAGTAGTAGAATATAATTTAGGCGGGTTATTGGATTTATAAGTTGGATTGAATTGAAAGGAATTGAAGTTTCCATTAAATATTAGTGTTATTCAATGATATATTTTATCAATTTTTTAAAATATATGTGTTATTGGATTAAGTGTTTCCATTCATTATTTTAAAATCCTTTAAATATCATTGTTATTCAATATACTAATTTTTCAATTCTATTAAATATCAGTGTTATTCAATTTTGTAATAGCTTTGATTGTATTATTATTTGGAAAAAATTTAATAGAATCTCACATAAAAATTGTTAAGAACCAATTCCTACTATTTTTACTAGAATTTTGATAGAATTAGTTTAAATTCCTACTAAATACTTTTAATTACTTAAAAATCAATTATTTTTGAATTCTTATACATTTTATCAAATTCTATCATCTAATACCACCTTCTTAGATTTTTAAAATAATATCGTATAGAAGTAGATCCAAGGTTTCTTTTTTTTTTTTTGATTCTTTAGTGAGCTTTTGTTTAAACTCCAAGATGATTAATGATTAATGGCCTTGTCTTGATCCAACTTTTCGCCAAAACTGATTCAAAAATTTTGGATTTATTTTTGTGCACAACTTGTTCAAGTAAAAATGCTACAAATGCTGCGGTGAACAGAATGATAGTGGTGGTGTGTATGGCAAACAAGTTAGTGGCAAAGGAGGTTCAAACATAGGCAAAAAGAAGAATGTTGTTGATGATTAAAGATATCAACGTCCATTTCCAAAAGTGGTAGAGAAACATCAAACTTTGGTAGCTATGGAGAGAGTTCAGATGAGCCACTAAAAAAAGGACTGAAGAGTGAGTACAAAAGAATGACCTAGTCCAATTGAAAATACTTGCTGCAATGGGATTTCACGCAAAGAGGTTAAAAGAAAAAAGTTATAAGAAGCCTACGATGATGATTATCTCAAATGATTCAAAACTCTCCATCGATGTACAAATGAAATATAAGAAAGTTGGAGTAAAGGTGTTCGTCGGATCTCTTAATGGTGTGGAGAAATTCAAATGTTTCAACCTGTGTAGTTATTTCATTTTTCTATTTTGTCCTTAGAAATGAAAAGATTAGTATGTGATAAACAATGTTACTCGTTGAAAAAAAAAATAACAGGATTATCCTAATTGTTGAATAAAGTAAAAGTTTTAATAGTAAAGGTCTTAAACAAGTATGACCTATATTTTATATTGTTTTTGGTTTAAATGATTTACTCTAACCCAAAATGATTTATGATGACATCATCATTTGCATCACTCAAATACAACCATAAAAGATATCTAACGAGAAGCATGGCTTGCTCTACTATTATGCTGTAGCATCATAAAACATTGACTGTAATTTTTTAAACATAGTTTCAAAATCATCGCAACTTTCCGAATTTTGTATTATTCTATACTAGTAGTAGTATATAGTCTAGCTACGTTAGTTTTTACATGTTAGCTTTAAGTCCACATAATCAGCAATGACGTCTTTCTTGGGCCGTAACAATAGCTTCCGAGCATTCGCTTTCCGAACCAAAAAGGTATGCTTCATCTAATACATGTAGAGGCCATTCAGGGGTTTCTGGTTTGTTCACGTCCCGAGTCGGAGCTGCTAAGAGAACATTGTAACGTCTCGATTCCAAATATCCAAGCATCCGGACGAATAACGGGTCTTTGACTTGATCTGAGACTAGGATCAAATGTGCTGGACTAGAATGGTCCACAGGAACACGCGAGTCCATTCCCCACAAAAGAACATCATTTAACAATCTCGAGGCCCCTCCGGGAAGAAAGTAGATTCTTGTTTCCCACGTCTTCTTACGCAGATGATCACCATTCCAAGACTCGTTGTTATTCTCATCAACATAGGCCCAAATTGATATCTCACCAATAAAACCCCTTTCACCAAGAGCTTCGTGGATTCTGCGATGGATCTCGTCAGGGTCGGAACAAGGAGGGAATGGGCAATCCACGGCGTCCCAGAAGACGGCCGTGCTCTGCAAGGCATAAACGAATTACGATGTAAAGATACAATGATGATCATCCGTTATTTGATGAAATCTAAACAAACATTTTCGGGGGATTACCGGAGAAATCTTGGATCTTGAAGATATCGAATTGGGGGCTAGCATCAGAATAACAAGTGTCTAGACTTTTGCTTTTAGGCTTTCCTTCACCTAAAACTTGTGAAAGATCTCCTCCGCCTAAAACTTGTGTACAATCAGGTAATGATAGTAATGAACATTCTTGTGCGGTGTCATCCAATACGAGAAGAGAGTGATCTCTCGATTTCAAGCACTGCAACTCCCCTTCTGGCCTCTGTTTTGCGATTACCAAAAACTTTGTTGGTCCCGTCTCGGCTGCGCATAAAAGCATGTGCAGAGGCATTCTGGAATCAGGCGAACCGTCACCCCCTTGAACCTATATATCAAAAGACGTGTTTGGGATTACAGACATATCATTAGTAGAAACGACAAGAGTGTTAGGAGAATAGGAACTCACTTTCGGATAAGTGGTACTCGATTCCGGTCCTGCTCAATCTCTCCATGTCGAAATTCGGAATTTCACCATACGCCCAGATTTCCGGAATCCCTTCAAAGCCCATGTGCAGAATAGAATTATCGATAATCAAAACAATAGAACAAAAATCGAAACCATCAGGAATTGGGTAGTCGTCAGAGTTCCAGAAGACTTGTATAACTTCCTCACGTCTTGTCACGCAGATGCGGCCCGTCGTTATTCTCATCGACATAAGCCCAGATTGATATCTCACCCCAAAAAACCTCTTTCACGAAGAGCTTACTCGATTTTGCGATAGACCTCATCAGGAGGAGGGAATGGGCAATCCTCGACGTCCCAGAACACGGCTGCCTTACGATCTCCTATGATGCGCTCTGCAAGGCATAAAAGAATTACGAGATACAGATGCAATAGGTTCATTAACCATTGTTTTGCTTTATCTGATTCTAAACAAACAATGAGAGCTCTTACCGGAGAAATCTTGGATCTTGGAGATTTGGGGGCTTTTGCTTTTAGGCTCTAAAACTCGTATACGTTTAACTACTGATTCTAGAGATCGCGCGGTGTCATCTACTACGAAAGCAGTGTGATTTCTCGACTTCAAACACTGAAGAACCCTGCGCCACTCCTCTCTGGGCTTTGTTTTGCGATTATTAAAAATGTTGATCGTCCCCTCCTGTCTGCGCGCATAATCATATCCAGAGGCATTTTGGAAACAGCCGAGTAGTCACCACCTGAAGTTATATATCAACAGAGACGTTTGGGATTACAGACATATCATAAGTAGAAAGGACAAGAGTGTTATGAGTTTACGTTCGGGTAAGAAGTAGTCGACTCCGGCCTTCCGCAACACAGCTCTGCCGTGGTTCAGACGGTCACCATACGCCTGGAAGTACGTGTGCCCCTCAAAGCCCATTTTCTATAGAGCTTTTTCGATATTACGGCGAAAAGAAGTAAGACGGAAACCATCCCCTTCATGCCTTACGGGACGAGGTTCAAAACAGTATGCTTCATCTATTAGCATTCGTGGCCATTCAGTGCTATCTGGATCGTTGATGTCCCGACTCGGAGTAACTAAGAAAACAAAGTCACGCAAATTACTGAAATATTCAAGCCTAGTGAAGAAGTAGGTGTCATCTCTGCACTGATCCGAGACTACGATCCATCTTGTTCTATGACAAGCGTCCAGAGAAGAGTCCAGTGTAAACAACATAAGGATGGGTCTCGAAGCCCCTGGAAAATAGACGCAAGTGAGATATAGATTACAACATACATATAAGAAGAAGATAGTGTTGAATAAAAGAATTCTCACCTCCGGGAAGAAAGTAGATTCTGGAATCCCACGTCTTGTCACGCAGACACGCACCACTCCAAGGCCCGTCGTTACTCTCATCGACATAAGCCCAGATTGACGTCTCACCCCAGGGATGAAGAGTTTTGTCGATTTTGCGGAAGATAACATCAGGATCGGAACGACGAGTAGGGAATGGGCAAGCCACGACGTCCCAGAAGACGACTGTCTTAGCCCCTTTGACAGGCTCTGCAAGAAACACAGATGCATTAACCATTATTTTACTCATCTAAACACACAATCTCGGGGTCTTACTGGAGAAATCTTCGATCTTGGAAGAGGGATCTTCCAAGATTTGGGGGACTCGTCGTGTACTCAGAATTAGTGAATCTACATTCATTAACGCGGGTGACATCAGGCGGCGCTAGTACGCGAACAGTGTGATTTCTGGACTGCAAACACTGAAGGACCCTGTGCCACTCCTTTTTAGGGTCTTGTTTTGCGATTACCACTAGACAACGCGATGCTGCGCAACCAATCATATCCATAGGCATTCTGGAAACAGCCGAACTCAAACCCTCTGAAGCTATATAACAACGAGCAGAGATGTTTACAGACATATCATAAGTAGAAACAACAAGAGTGTTATGAGTAAAGGAATTTACTTTCTCCACGTCCCCACGAAGGCCCGTTCGATCAAGAGCTTCTTCGATATTACGACTAATAGAGCAAAGATCGTCGGCACTAGAAGGGATTGGGTAGTCCTCCGAGTTCCAGAAGACGATTGTACCTTGACAAAACGGACAAAGACATAAACAAATTGCGAAATAAACATGAAATCACTAACAAACAATTTCGAGTAAAAGATGGAGAGAGATCTTACCGGGGAAATCTTCCATCTTGGACGCTAAATTAGGGTTAGGCCGGCCTTTGAATTCTTTTCATTAACTCAAAAGACGAAGACGCAGCGACTGAATTCAGCGTCCGGTTTAATTAAACGCAGCGAGTAATTTGCCGTTACTTGAGTTCCAAGCTGTATTGTATACTATTTTATTTTATTTTTGTCGCTCAGGCAGACGCAGCCTTAAGCCTTTGAGGGTTTTATAGCTACGGTTGAGAGATGTATCAGCTGTGCTTACAAACACTTACCGTCTTTAATTTCCTTTTTTTCTAAAACCAGAGTTTTGAGACTTTTTTTTTTTTTTTTATATATATTTAAGTCGCAGCCAAAAAATTAACAGTATTATCATAAAACATTAATTGGTAATCTCTTAATGCAACTCCATCAAACATTACAAGGGCAATTACTTGATCGATAAGAGTAGATCATAGAAGGTACAAGTAGTAATATCACAGACGTTCACACATTGCAGGGCATTCACATGAATCTCTTACCTGCCACGGAACTAGAAAGTCGCCCCGTTCCAACCAAAGAAGGATCCCTGCATGAAGAAGAACCATACGAGAAAAGAAAATGTCGATATCACATATCAGGGTGGCTATGGGCATAAACAATCCACATGATGAATGCTCGGGCTCTCTAAACTACTCACAACAAACAAAAAAGTGACATACTAGTCAAACCCTAAGTGTTTATTTCGGCCTTAATTTAATGATGAACTTACACAAAAGATGTAATTGTTCCCTATTCATGACCTAGTAGTGCTGGTGTGAAGCGTGTAAACACTGTGCGTATTCTTGGCTTTGATGGGCCTAGAGAGACAACGAACAATGAGAATGAGACATGGATGCGTGAAACCATCAATCATCACATCACTTGTGATTATGTTATGCTAAGTGCATGACACAAGGTTTCAGGGAGGGAAATCGCTTGCCTTGGTGTCATAAAACTTGAGGAAGAACCGAGACTTGGGCACTGATAGCTTAGCCTCAAGAATGGCGGAAACGGCAGCGCTTAGCTTCTTGTTCACATCCGGATTAAGGCCACCGATAGAGACGAGTTCACCATAAGCTGCAGGCTCCTCGGTCCCACCAAATGCCATAGGCACTGAGCCTTTCAACACAATCATTACATACTGCAAATTACGATGCAAAAATGCAATCAGGTACATGATGAACAAACAAATACAGAAAACCAATCAAATAAGACGGATCAACAACGGGCACAGATCAGTAGCTAAAATTGCTAAAAGGGTATTCAATATTCTTTCTGCAAAACACTAGAGATCCCTAATGCCATTGATACAACGCGATCTCAGAGAAAATGAGGAATTCGTACAGAACAAACTACTCGGGGAACAAACTGAATTCAAAATTCGAACAACGATCGAGCAGATTGAAGCGAATTACAGGTGAAATCGAGAGAGAGAGAGAGAGAGAGAGATTACGTTCTCAGGCTTGCCGATGATTTTGGCGACGGTGGAGGATGCTTCGGAGAGAATGGAAGAGGTATCGACGCCGTCGAGGCTAACGTTGGTCGAGATGTTAAGGCACGGCATTTTCTCTTTCTCTCTCACACCTTCAGTGCCCAATTTTTAGCAAAGCGGATAGAGTGTGAGACAGCTCTGGAGTTTTCCTCGAAGCGACGGGATGAAGCCTTTATTATTCGCATCGGCCCAACTTCACGAGCCCAACTTCTCGAGCCCAACTTCTCGATGTCGAGCCCAACTTCTCGATGTAGAGCCCAACTTCTCGATGTCGAGCCCAACTTCTCGATGTCGAGCCCAACTTCTCGTCATCTATTTACGTTGCTTCCATGTATAGACTATAGAGAGGTTGTTTTTTTTAACTGATAAGTTGCTTCCATCTCATATGAATTTACTTTTCTACTTTTTTTTTGTTACTTTCATTATCAACGGAGATTTCAACTTGTGATTCAGACAAATCAATTTCTCTGATTTTCGAAACTTTTAGCCGCACTGTTTTCACTAATACTGCAGCTTACAAATTGGAATTGGTTGCCAAAAAAGGAAGAATTTTGTTTTTGTTTTCTTCTAATATCTAGAGAATTGATTTTGCCTCTTGTTCACAAAATAAATTCCTCTCGAAAAGAATATGAAGGCCTATGAATGGCTTGAGTAACGTGGCCTAAAAGGGAAGAAAGGCTTTCACTTACAAAGGCACTGCTGATAGAAAGCCACGCCTACCCATGGATGAACAAGACACGTTTTTCCACCCTTGACCTTCCTTGAAACACTCAACCTGTAATAACACACATGATCAAAGATCTGTTGATTCTGAGAATGCTCTGTCTCCATATCAAGTAAGTTGAGAAGTAATCGTACAGTGTCTAAGAAATCAACTCCTTCTTCCCCCTTGTATCCTCCGATGACATATATGGAGTCTTTAACCACTACTGCTGCTGAATATCCTCTTGATTCCTTCATTGCTTCTCCGTCTATCCATGTCCCTGTCCTTGGATCATATATCTCTACACTCGCCACCATTCTCGATCCATCATACCCACCTATCGCATATCTGCATACCAGCAAGAGAATGTCAGCCTCTTCTTGTCATATCTGCCTCGTTACTGAAACAGTAAAACAATTAAATGAGGGAGAAGAAACTCACAGTTTCTCGTTCAAAACAACAAGAGAATGGCACCCTCTTCTTGTCTTCATCGACGCAATTCTCATCCACGAGTGCTCTCTAGGATCAAACCTTTCAGCTGAGCTGCAAAAAGCAACCGAGAGAGAGTTTCCAATAAACTACTCCTTCTTAGCTTCACATTTTAGTGTCGCTATTAGGGCAAAATACAGAAGAGAAGTCTTTTCATGTTCTTACTTCAGGTACTCCTTCTCATCAAAACCACCGACAGCATAGATCGAACCGTTATGCTCCGAGGATGCAACTGCAAATCTCTGAGATCACAGAACAGTGATAATGACGCCGACTAAAAGGTCAATCATATCTTACGGTCATCCTTGAGACTCATTACTTGAAATGTACAAGTCAGCGAAATAGAGTGTAGTTTTAACCATGGATTCTCACTGCAACTTATGTCTTCAGCTGTGAGCTTCCGTCTAAATTTTGTTCATTGGGGATCTATTTGACAAGTTTTCAGTCTTTTAGCTTTCACCATATGTCATGCGGATAGAGAAGAATGTTTACCTTCTTCTCCATTGACCTTGTTCTGATCCATCTCCCGATATCTGGATCAAGCATCTCAACATCTGAATAGTATTCCCCCTCATTCCCACCTCCGATTGCAAATACTTTTCCATCCAAAGTGGCTCCACCTAAACTTCCTTTTCGCTGGTTCAAGGGAGGGCAAACGCTCCACCGGCCATCAGTCTCGCTATATGATTCAACTTTCAACATAACCAAGAAGAGGCAAAACAAAGTCACACTATTTTTAATTAGGGAGAAAACACGACAGGAGAGGAAGACACTGATTTAGATATGCACAGCTGAAGTCAAGTGTATGACATCGATACACCTCACTTAAATTGCCGAAAATCTTTGAGACACTTGGTTTAGTAATTTGCTGAAAATCACAGTAATATGCTGTGTACCCATATTCAGTTCTTGTAGTTCTTTTGGTTGCTTGTAAGAAAATCTCTAAGGTTTGTATATGTGCTGTATGCAGGCTCTAATGCATTCAAAGTTCACACATTTAAACAAATAAGAGAAAGAAAAGAGAGGACCTACCTGTGTTGGACCAGCCATGGCCACCCACTTCACCTCCAAAGACGTAAATTTTACCATCCAATTTTGCCACTGAAGCATTAGAACGGATACAGCTCATTGAACTATGAGCCTTTACAACATTCCTGGATGGAAAATATGACATCACTGATGACAACGCTGATTCAGAGTAACCATCAAATCCCCCCAAAAGAAGAATTGCCTCAGTTGAATCTAAGCTTGAATCATCTGGTGAAAAGATCTCCATATCACTACCACCATCTTTGGCGATTAAAGGACTTGATAAGGACTCCAGCATGTTGCAATGCGCTCTCAGTCTATGAATTTCCTTGTGTGCTTCATCCTGGAATTCCAAAAAAAACAAAAACGTAAAAGCGCCATGGTTTCTCCGCCACCAAAATTTTGAACTTACAGGTTTCAAAAACAAGGAGAAAATAGCAACTAGCGGAACACCAGACTGGAAATGACAGAGAATCATTTTTACTGATATGATGACTTCCTACACATTTAAACCCGATTAAAGTGCACAGACTATGATAGTTCTGTGGAATACCAGTTCCTTTCAACAGGGGGGCGTTTTTCATGACCAACATTAACAAATGCAAACAGGGTTCCAGCAGGAAGGATGAAAATCCACAGTTACTTCCGTTAAACAAAAGCTTACCAGTTTCTCTTCCAAGTAACATACTTTGGTTGAATATTCTATCCTGTATGCCCTGAGTTCCTTCACCTCATTCATCAGCTGCAAAAGAGATTAATGCAATACGATCCCATCGATTTTGATACGCCCAAGAGAAATGATAAACTTGTGAAAGGGAATTAAACGCTCAATCAGCTGTGGATCATGAATAAGAAGTTGGGTTGACTTTGAGCATTTTCTGCTTAACGATTCCTTCAATAGCTAATTCAAACAGTTCTACACAGTTAATAATTGACAGCTTGGGTACTGTAGTTGCAAGAGTTGGGGGTTATCCAGAATTAATCCCTAGGTTTCGGGTTTCTCACGGGCTCTGCGTAGAAATAAAGGCTAAAGGGTTGACTCTTGCAGATTTAAACATAGACTTGTCTAGGAAGTAACACTTCAAGTATTATAACTGTAGACCTAGTGTGGATAAGTACCAATCATGTGTAGATACCAAAGTACCTGGCTTATTGTAGGTTGACGAGGAGATGATACAAGAGGACTGCCATCTCCATTAAACTCTGAACATATTTCCTCTTCAAGTGGGCCTCTGTCTTCCAAGTTCTTGCAGGTGGGAATATTGGCTTGGTCAACATTTTTCATTAGACTGTTGTCTTGATGCTCATGACTAAGTGTAAGATTCTTAAGTTTCTCAAGAATACAATCCTTATCCTTTTGCTTGGAGTTCTGTACGTCTGGATGATATTCAGAGATATGAGGATGAGAAGCAGCAGCTGAGGAATCAGATTCCCTGCCAGAACCGAGTGACACCTCCAAGACATCCAGCGGTTCATGCCTAGAAAGCTTAGACTCATCAGCGTTCTCTTTAGTTTCACTTGATGGAGCAAAGTGAAAAAGTTGTCTGTTGTGTGATGTACTCACGGGAGGATTAGGTTTCACAGCAAAAGATGTTAGCAGACACTTCAACTTATTTGTCTGTAAATGATCAAGCTCGAACCAAAAATGGTGAGAACTGTAGTAATTATCTTCAATCGTGGGTTTGAATTTTTCTTCGGAAAGGGGTTCACACTGTAACCGAAGACTGATTTGAACCTGAAAGACCATAAAAGATGATTACATATATTCATTGAAAAGGTTAGCAAATGTGAAGCCAACAATGTGTAAACCAATGTATCATAGAAGAAGATATAATGAAAGGTAAAGCGTGTGGTACCTGTGCAGGATAGGAGGTTCTCTCAGAACCATTAGAGGTCCAGGCATAAGGGTCGATATAGAGCTGGCCAGGACCGGCAGCCTCAAAGATTCCATGAAGTTTACGATCAGAGTAGTTGAAAAGAAACAACGGCAAACCTATATCAATCCTCTGCACGTATGACATGTGGTTGTAGGGTAGACCTGTCAAAATCATCAGCAATGAGAAACTGCATATAGAAGTCTAACATGGCGGAAACACGGTTTAGAAACGACAAACTGCATCGATATACAAAAGCATAGAATTAGAAAGAGAGCAGTTGATTTCGCTCGTCGAGAAGACTCACCAAACAACTGTTTGGAGATACATTCTTTGAAGGTATGCTTGGTGCAGCCAAATACTACACCGCCCAGTTGGCTTTTGGTGAGGTTTCTGCATGAAAACTTCCCCCTCCATTGAGACATCCTGTCAAAATTTCTACAGAAAGGAAAGGAGGAAAAGCCTCAAACAGATGGTGTGCATCACTGAAGGAGACGAAATCAGGAAGATGAGGAACAGATAATCCTCACACAGAAGCGGGGAGTTCAAATTTAATAAGCGAATCCTATACAAGGCAAGATCAACTCCTCGAATAATCAATCGCACGCTCGGAACCATGCGATGAGCTTCTAGCCAGAAATGCGTGAAAACGTTCAAAGGAAATCAACATCCGACGAAACAAACAGTGCCGGATAATAATAAACCTAGGAAAAAGCACCGTAACCTAAATGCCGGAGAAGCAAAACTGGAATTGGAGCTTGATCAACACAAAGGCTTGACTTACTTGAGTGAGAGCGGTGAGAAATCGAAGAAGACGAGGCCTCGGGAAGAGCGCTAGAGACGGAGCGCCCTTTAGTGACTGATGGTTATGGAAAGACGATAGCTTAGCCCAAGCGACCAAAACACTGAGTAGCACCTTTTTCTTCGCTTTTCACTCTACTCGCAAATATTCATTTTTTCCTTCCGATTTCTTTAAATAATGTATGTGCTTTTTCTCATTTATGAGAGATTTCACCAATTTCAAAAGATCATAAGATAAGTTATCGATGCAAATGAGAACAACTTTGCTAATAACTTCTCTTTTGCAAATTTCCCTTCTTTTTGTCCATAACTACAAATTCGCATAAACTAAGTATATAGTACATAGTCAAATCAAAAAGTAAAATATAGTAATATATATATATATAAAAGCATGTGTTGTCAAATCATGGCTTACGAATTATGATCTCATAATTTAATATAAAGCAACACTTCGATAGTAAAATATTGTTTTGGTCTTTTCTAGATAAAGTAATACTAGTATTGACATAGCTGCAGTAAAGAAAAAAAAAAGGTACATTTATTGTATCGGTAGTGAACGTCAACCGTGAATGCTATTCTATTTTTGTATAGCAAATGAAAAAGGAGATGCATCTTCCTTTTTTTTTTAAGTGTTACTCTTTATTTATAGGTTGAAGTTGAAACAGAATTAGTTAGAATGTGGACATGCATAACCATAAGCCAAATAATAAAAGGATTAGTAACTAAAACTGTAAATGCCAATAAAATAAAACGTACCATGAAACGAAGAGAGAACAACTTAAAATAATCTCTGGTTCTGTACTTGATAGGAATAATTGACCATGGTACGTGCGGTCGCTATGTCCCATTTTTTTATGATATTATTGTGATTACCGAGAAGCTCAAAACAATACATCATATAGCTTCATTGTACATTGATGAAGGTAGATGGGCCTATACTCAAAATTAAACAGACCTAAAATTTTGGGTGGGCCATTTTGGAGCCCATAATCAATTAATAAAATTTAGAGTTAGAACTCCATGCGCCTAGTATCCAAGCCTACTTTGGAGCCCATTACTCCACATGTATGCCTCTAGTAACTTTATTATTTTTACTGCTACACGATTTCTCGATGATAAAGTGAAATGAAAAAGTGTGGTATGATGGGACACGCGGCTCTTTGATGGCTGTCTTCCGCCGCGTGTATTGCAAGAGTGTGCGCCGTGGCGGTGGCTGCTTCTGCATAACTAGAAGGGTTCATTAGTAGGAGAAGAGAGAAGAGAGAAGACAAAACAAATATACAGTACTACGGAATAAATGGCGCATGCCACGTTTACGCCGGAAGGGCAGAAGACGGAGTCGTTTCGGCTCTTGAGCGGCCACAAAATCCCAGCCGTTGGATTGGGCACCTGGCGGTCTGGCTCTCAAGCCACCCACGCCGTTTTCACTGCGCTCGTCGAGGTCACTCATGATTCTTTTCAAAACCTAACCAGTTGATTCTAGCTCACTTCTTCCAGTTGAGTCAGACAAGTCATTTGATGTTCTGTATAAATATTATGTAGGGTGGTTATAGGCACATAGATACAGCTTGGGAGTATGGAGATCAGAAAGAGGTCGCTCTTCCTCTCTCTCTTCTCTCTTTCTTTTCTTGTTTTGAGTTTAGACATTAACAAAATTGTTCCTTACTCTGTACTAAAGGTGGGTGAAGGGATGAAGAGGGCGATGCACGCTGGTATTGAGAGGAGGGACCTCTTCGTGACCTCCAAGCTTTGGTACAACATAACAAAACACGATTTCGTTTCCTTGCTTCACTCTTTTCTTTTGTAGCCACTGATTTTGGGGGTTACATGTGGAAATAAAGGTGCACGGAGTTATCTCCCCAGAGAGTGCGCCCTGCTCTGCAGAATACCCTTCAAGAGCTTCAGTTAGATTACCTTGATCTCTACCTGGTATGTATGTTACGTACTGCTCTTGAGTTTTGAGTTAAAGTTGTGGACTTTCTCTTTACTGCTCTGTCTCTCTCTCTCTTTTCTACAATTCAATTCGTGTGCAGATCCACTGGCCTTTCCGGCTAAGGGAAGGAGCCAGTAAGCCACCAAAGGCTGGGGATGTCCTTGAGTTTGACATGGAAGGTGTTTGGAGAGAGATGGAGAAGCTTGCTAAGGACAATCTCGTCAGGAACATCGGCGTTTGTAACTTCACCATCACTAAGCTCAATAAGCTGCTAGGCTTGGCTGAGTTGGTCCCTTCCGTTTGTCAGGTACAAGGTTCTCCGATATATTCAGGATTCTTGTACATGTATCGAGTCGTTTGTTATGTTTTGCCTTAGATGGAAATGCATCCTGGTTGGAGAAACGATCAAATGCTCCAACTCTGCAACAAGAATGGTATCCATGTTACAGTGAGCACTGATATCCCCATGATCTCTCTGCTTTTATAAGGTTGAAGGGGTTCTAAATAAATTTGTGCAGGCCTACTCGCCACTGGGATCGCAAGAAGGCGGGAGAGATCTGATACACGATCAGACGGTGGATAGGATAGCCAAGAAGCTGAACAAGACCCCTGGACAGGTGCTAGTGAAGTGGGGTATACAGAGAGGTACGAGTGTCATCCCCAAGTCGTTGAATCCAGACAGGATCAAAGAGAACATCAAAGTCTTTGACTGGGTCATCCCTGAACAAGACTTCCAAGCTCTCAGCAGCATCGCTGACCAGGTCATGACCCTAGTAATTAGTCTCTTTATGTTTGTGGGAAGCAGAACAGAGTGAGAAACAGAGCACTTTGAAATATAATATTTGCCTTTTTGCTAATTCGCTCTGTTTTGATCTGCTGCTGATGTTCACACTTCTGATGCAGAGACGAGTGATGGACGGTGAGGATATTTTTGTCAACGAGACCGAAGGTCCATTCCGTAGCGTGGCTGATCTATGGGGCCATGAAGACTAATCGAGTGATATCAAAAATAAAGGCATATGTACTATATTGTAAAAATAAAAAAACAATGTATAGTTTCTAAAATAAAGAAAGGAGCTAAAACTAGGAAAACATTATGCCATAAAACGCTCGTCGACGACGGAGGAGAGCTGCTGTTGGACGGCCAAAACTGATGCAGAGAGCTGGAGATCTCTGGAGACGAGCAGATCTCCCATCTCTCCAAGCTCCTCCTTCTCACTCCATACCGACAATCCTTGAAGCATTTCGAAGCTGGCTTCGTGTCTGATTCCAACCATTATTAGATCGCAACTGTTCCCTTCTTTCCTCAGTAGGCTCACCAAATCACTCGCTTCCTTTATTTTTACCTAACAACAATGCCAAAGAAAAATCTTGAACGGACGAATCTAGGAAAAATCTACTTTCCGAATTATTTATTAAAAAATGGTTATACCTCTCGTAAGGAGACGTTGTGTTTGTTGAAGGTGTCTTGACGGAACTTTTCGATGGCTTTGAAATCGAGCCTTCTCTCTATGACGTGGTTCAGCTGCGACACGTTTTCGCTGTCAACGAGTTTCAGAACGTTTAGATCTACGCGCGGGTGGTTGGTCAGCCTAACCGCAAACGCCAATGTCTCCCGGTCGTCCGCTCCACCGAGGAATATCGCGCAGAGGTTGATTCTCACGGACCCCTTCTCCATCGTCGTTCCCACGTTTTTGAAATCTGGGAGCCGTCCTTGGACCGAGAGAATCGCCACAGAGCACGGCGAACCGGCCAAAACGTTGCGGCAGAGGCGCCGCTCTGCTGCACTCGCATGGTCGACGGCGATGATAATGAGATCGGTTTCTTTGTCGAAGGCCAACGCGCAGACGTCCTCGTGCATCGTCTTGCTCGGCGCAACCGCGGTGAAACACTCGACGGAAACGTCTTCCTGCAAAAGGTGTCCGTTTTCGAAATTCTTGAAGGCGTTGGAGATCTGATCTCGGCGGCTGGAGGACACTGACGGGTCGTCCCTGTGAACGGAATGGTGTTGTATAAGGAGAGGGACGTCATGGTGATCGAGCTCCTCGAGATTGACGGAAACGACGGAGAGGGAAGAGGCGGTGGAGGGAGAAGAAGAGAGCTCCAAGATGGTGAGGATGGAAGGGACGGTTTCGAGGTGGTAGTAACAAGTGAGGATCTTGAGAGTGGTGTTTGGTTCGTAGTGCTGAACGGTTTGTCGCCGGTAAGTGATGTGTTTCCGCTGCACCCAGCCGTGGAGGTTTTTGACTATGGCCGTGAAAATGGTTGAGTGAACCATCGCAGTGACCACCATTATCCCAAATGCTTCCTGGCTTATATACTGCATCATCATTTTATATGATTATTTATTGGCTCAAAATTTGAGTTCATGATATATATATATATATATATATATATATATATATATATATCTCTAATCAATAATGTTTTACCTTGTAGTTCAACAACTGTTTGAAGATTTGGACATCGTAGATCCCTTGTATGCAGACGATGAACCCGACGATGGTGGCGTGTGATAGAGGAACGTTGAAGTAAAGCGATGGTATGACGATGGATGCAAACTTTGCAGCATTGATGATGAAGAAAAGCAGCTCCAAAGTTATGACGTCTCGTTTTGCAAACGCAAAGAAATCGACTTTGTTACCGATCGACAGAACGTAACACGGCATCAGAACCGCCCAACAGAAGCAACCAATCTTGTTGGTGAGACCAGTACCTAGAGGAGGCGTCTTAGGAGTGACAAGCCCGAGAACCACAGATCCGACAATGTACGGAAACCCTACGGATTCGGACAGGAAAGTGGTGGTGCACAGCATGACGCAAATGATGCATAGATGCGAACCCTTTAGTTTCTTTCCTTGAGGTGTTCTTCTCACTATCCACTTGAATATTGGTCGGCACACGACTACTATGCCAACGATCAGTAGCACCTAACCATTAATTTGTAGTTATATAAATTTGGAGAAAATAATAATAATAATAATAATATCATATGCATGCATGAAAAAGAAAAAAAAACTTGTTCATACTCTAGATGTACCTTTGTGAAGGTAGGGAGATAAGTAGTCTGGGAGTATTTGTGTTGCAAGAAACTGCTGAAGGTAATCAAAAGGAGGAAAAACCCCCAGCCGAAGCAGTTAGCCACCATAATGGAGAAGAGGGCTAACCTTCCGGGCTCCGAGTTCAGCATCTTGAGATTGGATAAAACCGAATACGCCACTTGAAAATACACTATAGCTTCGTTTGTCAGTACATCGTGAAGCTGCGTGGGCTTACATTTCGCCACGCTTCCACGTATGTTGCTCGTGATGACTGTAGTTGCCATGGAGCCCACCGTGTAAGGAAATAGAAAAAGACAGAAACCATTGATGATTGCGAGCTTGCCTCCTCGCTTTATAACCCCCATGTCCACTTGCGCTGTGCTTATGTATGAGATGAACATGAAGGATATTGCCTCTAATGATTCAATTATGAAGAGGCTTCTTGTGTTGAAAAGTTTTCTTACTAATTCTATGTTTTGTCCCAGAACTGAGGGCCCTAAGAATATCCCAGCCTGTTTCATATCACAAAGATTTCACTTAGCAAAGTTAAAAGCAACGACTATTCGGATCATAACCTGACTGTTGATATACTAACAAACAAATTGATTCTCTTCTTGTAACATGACATAGTCTTGTTCATTTAAATATTCACAATTGTCCCAGAATGGCAAGACGACGTTTTAACCAATTTAAAAAGCACAATTTCTCCTTTTCTGCAAAATTAAATTGAAATCAAAACAGTTGTCCAAAAGCAATAATGTAAATAGACGAAATTGCCTTCAGACCCTTTAAACACCTTTCTATGTTCTAATAAACATAGAAGAAGAAAGAAAAAACACATGTCAGAAAATTTGATTAACTACCATAATTTGAGTGACAAAGTCGACGTTTGCGAGAGGACGAAGAAGAGCTTGGAAGAAGGAAGAGAGAGAAGAGACGAGAGAAATGTGAAGAAGAAGAAGAGGAGTCGAATACTTCAATGGGTCATCTCCTCTAAATAAACCGCCAGAGCTTGATCCAAGCCATGGCTCACATACAAAATCTCTTGTTCCATTTCTAACATTATTATTGTTCATTATCATCTTCTTCTTCTTCTTCTTCTTTTGGTTGAGATATAAAATAAGTTTATTAATTATTATTTTCACCCAACCTTGTTTATCTTGCATAATCCAGTTTTGTTTTTGTTTTTATATTCAGCATAATGCTAATTAATGACTGAGCTAAAGAGAGGTTGTTGAGCTGGGGAAGAAGATGCATGTTTCTTTTTTAAGATTGCAAACAGTTTTTGTTGTTTTTCCAAGGAATTTTTGTTGACTTTATAACCGTAATAGCAAATAACGAAAAATGTCATTCTCAGTTCCGCCAACATAATTTGTACTTATAATTTTATACATGTCAAAAAAAAAAAAGTCTAAATTGTGTGACCATTCAATATAGAACATAGATTGACCACAAACATGTTTAATTAATTGACGTATGAAATGTTGCGATATATATACCGATCATTGACAATGTATAAATGTGACAAACGATTAAGTGCTGTATATATATCACCATCCATTTACAATGCATGATAAAGTAACTATTATAACTACTTTAACTATGATTACATCATTTACATTACATGTTAATTTGTGGCGATCAGTCTCAAGACTCTCAACTCTCAAGCTACAATGATTATGATCTACATGCATCTTGGACCACACAGAAGCAGATATAGAAACCTTAAAAGTAGGATGACCTCTCACGAGAAATGAAGAACAAGAGGATATACGACATCAACAATTAAACCGCTAAATATAGAGAAAAATAAAATAAAATCAGAATCGTTTATACTTTGTCATGATGATTTTCTTCTTCAACTCTTACAACCTCTCTGTCTCTATGGTTTGACTCTATAGGGAAATTAACACCTAGATGGAGAAAATGGAAAATGGAACGAGCACTTATAACTACGGAGGAGTAGAATGGATATGCGAGCCATGGTTAGGTGCAAGCTCGACGGGGGTTGGGCGTGGAGACAATCCGCTCAAGTTCGCTCTTCCTCTTCTTCTCCTTCAGATATCTGTCGTCTCCTTATTTGCCGCCTTTTTTCAGTTTCTTCTCCGGCCTTTCGGAAAATTTTCATTCCTCACTCAGATCCTGGTATCTATACGTACATACATCTCTAATTGCTTCTATATATCACAAGTTTCACGATCGGTAAAAAAAAACATATAATATGATTCTGCTGTTTAATTAAATACTAATTACAGGCTGGGATCTGCTTAGGACCGTCGGTTATAGGACGTAACAAAGAGTACATGTCGACATTTTTCTACAGGAGAAGCATTTACATAATAGAATCCTACGAGGCCATATGCTTCCTCTTCATTTGCTACGTCACAACATGTCAAGTAGACACGAGGATGATAAAGAGGGTAGGCAAGCTAGCTTTCATAAACGGGATAATGCTTTTCCTCATACCCTTCGTGTGGGGCCAGTTCGCGGCCATAATGATCTCCAAGAGGCTCGGAGGTGGGCCCGCGGGGATCCCTCCGGCGGAGTTCCACCACGTGGCGATCGTGCAGTCGACCATGTTCTTTCAGGTGGTCTACGGAGTGTTGTCGAGCCTAAAGATGTTGAACACTGAGCCAGGGAGGTTAGCACTTGCCTCCATGATGGTGCATGACTGCCTCTCCTGGTGCTTTTTCATGATTAACATCGCCGTTAAACTTAACGTTGACTTAGCCGATAAAAATCGAGCCTATTTCTTGTCCGCCGCGCAGATGCTAATGATAGTGGCAATAGTGTACGTGTTCCGACCAATAATGCAGTGGATGATGAAGAGAACACCAGAAGGACACACTCTAAAGGCATCGTACCTGTCGGTTATATGCGTGTTGCTTTTCGTGTCCTCACTGTGGGCAGAGTTTGTGGGCTTACCTTACTTCTTTGGTGCGGTGGTGTTGGGCCTAGCCACCCCAAAACGCCCGCCTCTAGGCACAGGGCTTTCAGAGAAAATGGGCTGTTTCATCTGGTCGGTCCTCATGCCTTGCTACATCATCGGGATTGGCTACAACATCGACCTCTCTCTCTTTTCCTTGAGAGACATTATCCGTTTTGAGCTACTTTTTGGCATTGTCCGCTTCGCCAAAGTCGTGGCTATTACCTTGCCTTCCCTTTACTTTAATGTCCCGCTCTGGCACGCCATTCTTGTCGGTTTCATCGTCAATATCCAAGGAATCTACGACGTTCAGATCTACAAACAGAACTTCAATTACACGGTAACTCAACGGTTTCAATCACAGAAAAAAAAAAGTGGATAAAAAAAAAAAAAAGTGTTATAATAATGGATGACGTACTACTACTTTTGTTCAAGGGCTGCAGAAAATATCAAGAAAATCATTTGGAGTGATGGTGATGTCAGCAATGGCAAACTCAACGATTCTCATAGTGATAGTCAAGAAAGTGTACCACACCATGAGCAAACGCAACCCTTACAAGAGACGAACGGTTCAACACTGCCGAATGGAGGCTCCGCTGAGGATCCTCGCTTGTTTCCGGCAGCGGGAGGCGGTCCGTCCGGTGCTCGACCTGGTCGAACTCTCTCGTCCAGTCATCGGATCTCCTCTCTCGGTGTTCGCCGTGAACCTAGAGGAGCTCAATAACCATAGTCTTCCTCTTCTTATCCATCACACGCAAGAGATAAGTCCCTTCATCGTGCCTAGCCGAAGAGACCAGATCGTTAAGGCCTTCCACAACTACGAGAAGACTAATCCGGTAAATCTTCTCACACAACCTGCCTATATATATATATATATATATATACATGTAAAGGAGGAAAACAAGAAGAGACTCATTCGATAAAATATTGTTCCTCAGGAGACCGTATTGATAGAATGCTTCACGGCTGTGGCCCCTCGGAAGACGATGCACGAGGACGTGTGCACGATTGCCTTTGACCAGGAGACAGATCTTGTGGTCCTAACTCTTGATGCCGGGATCGAGTCTTGGGAGAGGCAGTTGTGTCGGAATCTCCTGCAAAACTGTCCTTGCTCCATCGGGCTCTTCATAGACCGAGGAAGGCTCCCTGATTTCAGGTTCGTTCCCATCAAAAAGCTTAGCATCAACATCTGTGCCATCTTTTTGGGCGGCCCTGATGACCGCGAGATGCTTGCGTATGCTACACGCTTAGCCGACCATCCCAGCGTCCAGCTCCATGTCTTCCGGCTCCTGGACCAGAACGGCGCCTCTCCGCTCAGAGACATGGTCGAGAGCAAGCACGACATGAGAGTCATCAACATGTTCCGCAAAGAGAATTCCGACAAAAACATCGTCTTCAGAGAGGTATAATGAAAACCCTTTTGGAAGCTTTCTTTCTTTCTTGTATTGACACCTCTGTTTTCTTATCATAATCTGTTCCCCTGTTTTGTGACACTCTAAAAGGTAAGAGTGGAGGAAGCAGTGGATCTAATGGAGCTGCTAAGGAAGGAGGGAGACGACTTCGATCTGATGATGGTCGGCATAAGACACGAAGACAATCTAATGATCCTTGAAGGATTGTCAGAATGGAGCCATATGAAGGAATTAGGAGAGGTCGGAGATTTGTTGATCTCCAGAGATCTCGAGCTCTCTGTTTCGGTTCTCGCAGTCCAGCAATGAGCCTCCACTGTTTTTCTTTTCCTCTGCGGTTTTATGGATGTGTACACCCTTTTGTACGTTTTTTAGAGGTTAACTTTGTAGAATGTTTTTGTCTTCTTCATTACCAAAAAAAAAAAAAAAATGAACCGATTACTGCACTATTCAACAACTTATGGATTTGCAGTGTCTTGTTGGAATCATTCCACGATTGATGAATGATGACCGGGTATGATCCACTAGTGATAAGTTTATTAGAGATTAACAAACCATCTTTTGTGTTACTAGAGAGATTCATACCATCCGTGTAAAAATATTTTATTCAATCATCTTCTTAAAAAGACATTAATTTACCATCTTTATGTTTTAGCTATTTAGGATAGTGCATTTGAATATAATTCCTTTTTTTTTTTTTAATCTATTTACAAGCATCTTGTAAAACTGAGAGACCGAAAAAGAAAACTAGAAAGTCCATTACTTTTTGTACAGCCTACTTTTATTTTAGTTTCTCAATTGCTTTATGGAACAAAACATAGAAAACAAATTTAATTTACAAACAAACAAAAGCGTGATGTTGCGTAGCATCGACTCACACTCAACAGGTTCAAACGTTTCAATTTTTACTAAACAATTAGTAACAAGTAAACACTATGAAACCCTTTGTGGTAGAATCAATCCATAACACTCGTTATTGCTCTTACTTGATCTCCAGGAAATAGTCGAGATCGCTCGGCTCACGTTTCCTTCTCTTGGGTATGGCCGGTGGTTCAGGTAAAGCACCACCACGGCGCAGTCATCAGCTTTAGAGGCTGGAAACTTGGTTCTCCATGTCCGAGCGGCTCTCTGAACCAACGTCTCAGCTGCCACTGACCGGTCCTTACAGGCACCTACGATCTTCACCACTTCTTCGTTTGACATAACATCCCAAATCTGTTCATCAAAACACAAATAGGAAGTCGAGTTTATTTACTCAATGAATGCACTTTTGTAACAAGACTGAAGAACTCCTTCAAGTTGTTTACCCCATCGGTGGCTAGGACCACAAACTCGTCTTCTCTACTGACTTTTCTGCAAAAGATCTCAGGAATGCAGAGAAGTCCATAGTCTTTGAGGCAGAAATCACCAAAAGCCCGTGACATTGCGAGTCCCGGGCAATCATCATCAGGCATCCACACTCTATACACATCAGGTTCCTCTTCCATAGCAAACACCCTTCCGTTGCATGACACTATTCTCTCTGCTTCACCTGTTGAAAAATATTAAACACGGAAATTTTAAAGCAAGCCAAACTTCTTCTTACAAAAGGTGTGCTGAAGAAGGAGAAGATGCTAACGCTGGACACAAGGTTTCAGATCAACCGTTAGTTGGACAGCTTTGATATTGTTCTTGCTTCCACGGGTGCCAAGAACCGCTCGTGAATCTCCCAGGTTGGCGATCACCAAGCAGTCACCCTGCAAATGTTTGACGAAACAACTTTCAGCACTGTTTTATTCTACAAGAACCCATATAAAGGTCAAGAGACTGATGATATTTACCCGTTTAAGGACGGTTACAGCAGTTGTGCCGCTACAAAAACTATCGTAAGGAGAGTCAAGACCAAGTTCGCTGTCTATTTGCTTGAAGAACGTCAACAGAACTTCCTCCAAGAGTCCCTCCTGAGTCTGTGAACTATTATCATTCTCTACGTTTTCATTGCCGCCAGATTTTGAAGATCTGATTTTCGAATGGACCCTTGAAGGTAGATTGTCACATATGTGACGAGAAATCTTGTGACCCATGGGGCCGTGGCCGTCAAATACACCGCAAAAGATCATATCTTCCTCCCCACCAAAGTTCTGAAACAAAGTTTAAGATGCAAAAATGCTTGATCCTTGCCTTCAGGGAGACAGCTTCTAAATGTAAAATTCCATGTAATAGCAGGAAAAAAAAGCAGCAACGGTCCCAAATACTAGCGCCTGAAACTAGGAACAAATGAAATGACCCAACAAGAAAAGAAAAGAAGAAGAAAACGCGCGGTTACCTCCCATACTGTCATGGCGTCTTGATTTATTCCTTTTTTCCCTTGTTTGATTGCCATGGAAACGTTTTTGGATGATCCACGGGACCTTATAACGGCACCATCATTTGAGTCCCTAACCTCAGCCTCGCCATCTCCATGTTCATGGACATCATCCTTGCCACTCTCCACAATCAGCCCTGTGCCTTTGCTACAACAGACCCCCATTTAGACTGCAAGAGGCTGGTACGCAACAAGAAACAAAAAGCAGGGCAAATCCAAACACACAAGATCTAATTCCTTAATCTTTTGGAAACGCAGCGTGTGGTTAGGTCCTGTGGAAGAAGTAATTGAAGGGAGGAGAGCAGGGTAGAACAATCACATAGTTGCAGAAAAATAGTATTTCCATGGCGTCGCCTTGTGAGGCCTTACCGGGGAAAGAAGTCAAAGGAAGAGGAGAGGAGGATAAAGAAGGGAAACGAGAACAGACAAGCATGAAAGAAACCTTATGAGAAGAATGATTGCTAGATCAGACACGAGATTACAATAATACAGAATGTCATTTGTCTCTTGTTGAAGCTTGAATTGAAAAATATAATGGATAGGTCAAAAAGGTTTTTCTCAGATGAACAGAGAGAGAGAGGTAGAGGGAGAGGGAGAGAGGGAGAGAGAAAGATCTGTTTATTCTTTTCCTTCTCTGTCTAATTATAGATGGAAATCTACATGAGCATCATCCAAAATTGGATAGGAAAGATTAAAAACAAAATCACCTGGCTCGACAGATTCTCCTCCTTTGGCTCCTTTATTTATAATCCACAGCGAAATAAAATCCAACTTCTTCTTCACCAAATCATTTCTTCAGTTTTGAAAACCAACACTAACGAACAGGGGAAAGGATAATACCAAAAACTAGAATAAACAAGAGGCTGTTTCTTGTTGTTTCTCATATTAAGCGCACGATACCGATTTGTCGCTCTTATTAAAAGTTTAGGTTGTGTCATAAGTTTGTAAGCCTGAAGGTCAGGACTACAATTCCGAAAACGATGGTTAACAACTCTTCAATCTTTTCGAAGATAAAAGGACAAGGTCAAAGGGAGAGGTGAAAATACCTGATTCAAGGCATTTGCATTGCCCCCCCATTTACAGCCTTGGCTCTGTAGAAGATCCTGGAACATAACATTTTTACATCTACCAAGAGGCAAAATTCCAGAAAGCAAACTTGTGTTCTTCCTTCATATTTATATAGCCAAAGAAAGCAGACGTACTTATAGAACTAGATCATATATAGATTAGCTGACCAAATGCTTGAACACTATCAGAAAATTTAAGAGAACTGGCGATTGTAAAAGTGAGAGAAACTCAGATTTCCATTTCAAGCTAAACTTCTTACAGTAAAGGGACTTTCAGCACAGAGAGAGTATTTTTTTTAATAGAAACCTACAATATCCGCTTTATATTCTAGAAGAAGAAAGTACATTTATAGATTTGGCGAAACGAAATTCACCCAAGCATGACAGATAGATGGAGATTATGCAGCGTCCTAACCATTACCATTTACCACCATTGATGGACAAGCACCCCACTTTGTCTGAGCGAAGTGAAGAGCTCTAAGCATTGGTTATACGTCTTGTTGTACTTTTGGCTCCTTTGACCAGGACAGCATCTCTGCCACCTGTTGTAATGGCATTCGAGGAACAACTCGTCGATCAGGCAAATGGCTCCCGTCTTGATGAGCCTGGGGATTAGATCGAATTCGGTTCCTTCAACATCCATCTTCATCACAACAAAGTCCCTCTCTCTCACACTCTGCTTCAACCAGGCAGCGAAATCAAACCCTTGAATCAAATTGACCTCTCCAGCTAAGCTCGAGGAGGATCTTTTAGCTGGCTGGATTCTGCCCATTCCCCTGCCCATTGCTTTGGCTTCGGCTTCCTTCCCCGGGTCGTGATTGATCTCGAATGACAACGTCTCATTCCTCACCCATGCTGCATATGGCAACAGCTGCACTTTCTTCTTCACCTTATACTCTTGGTGGAAGGCTTTGTCAGCCTCGATGGCGAACACATCAAAAGTTCTGTTCTGCTTCGGGTACTCTTTCTTGAACCAGCTCCCAATACTTGATCCATAACTTCGAGCACCAACATCGACGTATACGTATCTACTCTTGAAACGTATGTCTACCATGGAAGGGAGGTACTTGATGTTCTTTATGTTCCTCTTGAGGGTAATCCACGGCTTTAGAGGCTCCTCTTTAATCAGTGGCTCTGCATCCCGAATCAAATCTCTCTTGTAGCCAGGGATCCAGCACTTGCCACCACCGGAATCACCGTTCCTGTGATGATCACCGGCTTCAATCTCGGAGTATTTCTGAATAACAAATTCTCTGATATGAGGCATCGAGGTATCAAAGCCATCTATATCACGCATCTTCACCAATTTGCAAGAATTAAACAAATCAAGGAATGAATTGAAACTGTACGTATCCGTAGCACCAACATGAACCACCGCATACCCTTCGGGTTTCAGGGTTCGAGTAATCTCGTCGGCAAACTCCAACTGCTTCAACGACTTCCCAAGGCGCCCACCACCGGAGAAGACGAAATCGAATGTCTTATCCTCGAAGGGCACAGCGTGTCCTTCGCCTCTCACCACCAACGGCCGAAAAGCTTTCTTAGAGATCCCGACCGAGTCCTTCACCCCAATCTCTCTCAGTGAGAAAACCTCTTGCCCAAGAGCCGTTTCTACACACAGCGTCTTCGATTCCGGCGAGAGATAACCGTCGGCGATCAGATCCTGAAAGATGGAGGAGTAAAACTGAACGGCTTTGATCCAATCCCTGCTGGTGTACAGATCATCGCTCGGGGACCCCACGGAGGTAGATCTGATGGCGTCGATAGCAGAGGCGCCGGAACCAGCGCCGGAAATGACGAAGTTGAGATTCTCAGGGAGAGAGAAGAAGCAGAAGTCGCCGCGATTGCATGATTCTCCAGTGATGGTCACAACATAAGCAAATCGAACAACGATGATCAGAACGCCAAAGAGAAGCACACGAACCATGATATTCCGCAAGAAGCTCGGCTTCCCCATGGAAGTCTCCATCATATCTCACTCTAAAACTGATTTACAATCCCCAGAAAAAATGTTTAAAAAAAAAAAAAAAAATCACACACACAGAGAGGAAAAAGAACGAAAGAATAGCTCTCGGTTGTTAATTGGAGGTCAACCAAAAAAGGAAACCCTAAATATGAGGAGGCGGAACAAGACTAACGAGAGGAGAAACGAGCAGAGGTGTGATTAGCTCCGATTAGGGTTGGGAAAAGAGAAGAAAAATTGCAGATCCGACTCGTAGTAGGAGGAAATCTGGAAAAGCAGCGCATAGTTCGCGAATGTTTCCGATGGCAAAGGGGAGACGTTGTAATTTTTGTTCCCGGCGACTATACGGTGGGGGAAAGAGAGAGAGACATGGAATCTAGAGTGAGAAAGCAAAGGTAGAGAAGAAAACGAGAGAGAGAGAGAGAGGGGAATCGGAAAGGGACAGAAGAAGATAAAGCGAGTGGGAATCGAGCGCGTTTCTCTCTAGACGCGGATGCAACGGCGAGATCAGGTTTATGTTTAGGGCAATATTCCTACTTTATTTTCGAAATTGCCATGCTGACTTTTTTGCTGACCCGAAGTAATTAATCTCTAAATTGCAATGATTAGTGGGGCGAAATCGTAAATTGGAGTTTCGTGTAGCTTTTACTCGGATTGTTTGATCCTTCCCGTTTTTTTCTTGGATAAATTAAAAGTTAAAGTTTGGTGGATCCAATAAAGCTAAAGCATTAATGATTAAACGATGCTGAATGTGGACGTAAGAGTACTAATAGTCATCACTAATGAACTCAGTACCAGTAATGTTGAAGTTTTAGGGAATTTTATTTGGATCATTTAGTTTATACTAATGATTACATAGGTCAAATACTGAATTGCAGTTTGTATGACAGTATTAATTTAATTTTCTACGGAGTGTTATCTGTTGCACATTACGTAATTTAAAAAAAAAAAAAAAAATCAGGGTGATTGAAAAAGAGGAAAAAAACACATGTAGCTGTATGTTGTGATTATATTCGTTTTAATCATAATGGAGAAGAGGTGAAATATTATAATTTGATTTAATAATGTTGGGATGCATTTAATAGAATAAAAAAAAAATATTAATGGAAGAAAATGATAGGAGTGTTTAAGTTTTGGGCGGTTTCATAATCACGCAGGCCAAATTTATAGAAGCAGGTGATTAGGGATGTAATCATTTGGTTTATCTTTTTGTGATGATCGAACAAAATTTGCCGGTAAATGACATGTGTTTGTTAGGTAGTTAATATTCCAAAAAGAATTGGATTTAATTACAAAGAAGGAAGACAAAAAAAAAAGAAGATGTGGTGGGCCCACAGAACGGCGGTATAGCTAGCAACGGGGGAGGGAAGGGAACGGTGGTTGTTGTTCACACGGCTGAGTCGCTGGCTCGCTTTTTAGAAAGACAGGTGGTCACAGGTGGAGAGATAGCCTGGAGTGGAGTGGACTATTGCTTCCCGGGCCTGGGCCCTACCCAGTCACGGTCTTTATGCGAATTAGCAGACGCGGAACAGGTGGGCCCTACCACCGAGGCGAGTTGATAGAGAGGCATTAACGATGAATTATGATTATGAGGAAAGAGGAAAGAGGAAAACATTTAAAAAAACAGGGTGAGGAAAAAGTCAAAAAGGAACAGAGGCATCATCTCTTGTGACTCTGTTACGTCCGTTGATTTCGGCATCATCCCAAAAGAAAAAGAAGAAAGAATAATTACGAAAGGGTACTCACTACCTACATGTCAACATGTGACTGAGACTCTGACTATATCGATGTATGTATGTAAGGGGTGTGTAGGGTACACGCGCCGTCGACAACAACATTCCAGCTAGCGATCGCTATTATTAGCCTATTACATTCCTCCTCTTATTCTTCTTACACGTGGCCAACTCCCAACATGGGCCTGTCCTTCTTTATTTCTTTCCAAACGTGATGGTACAATTCAACCCGATAGAAGCCTCTTTCTCATTCAGAATGTTTAAGGCACGACGTCATCGAGCTGCAGCTTCCAGTACTTGGGATCTAACTCCGCCTGAAGGGTGGTACTGTCTTTCCAGAGGAAGGCGCAACCACGAGCTTCCAAGTGTTGGATCAGCGACGCAGGAAGTAGCGACCTGAGGGAAGCGTGCAGTTTCGCTTTCCTTAATCCTCCACACCCCACCAACGCTGCTGCTACTCCGCTCGGGCTTAAACCGCTCCCATTCACCACCGCTATATTCTGCAAACACCTTATGTTGGCCAGCGACACAAGTCCCACCTCAGTCACCGCCGTCTCCGACACACTTATCTGCAACATCAATTCCTTATTTTAACATCAATTCCTTTTCTTTCTTTTCTTTTTAATAACAACTCCGATTTCGGAGTCTTCTTCACCTGTTTGAGACTCTGTGAGAAGTGAGCGAGAGTGAGCAACCCGGAATCATTGATGTATGGGCACTTCTTCAAGTCGAGCTTGGCGAGTCGCTTGCACCGAACAGCGATGGCGGCAAGTCCTTGGGACGTGATGTTCGGACATCCCCGGCTCTCGAATGTTTGTAACAGCGAGCATTTGGACAGTGAAACCAGGGACTTGTCTGTGATGTCTTTGCAGTATGATATGTTTATTGTTTCGAGATGATAGCAGCCTTGGGCGATCCAAGAGATTCCTATGTCTGTTATTCCCACTGACCTGGATTAGATATGGATAACAAGAGACTGAGATTGGATAGCCGCTAAACAAACATTTGACAGAGAAATTTTCTTATTAGGTGACTAACCTGTAAAGATCAAGTTCACGCAGATTTGAGCATCCCATACCAATGTACGAGAGCCCTCTGTCTGTTATATTTAGACAAATTCCCAGCTTCAACGAGGAAAGACTGAGACAGCTAGATATGGATTTTAGTCCTGCAACAAACAAGGAAAGACAAACACGATAAGGCTCCTCGAGTAATCTTATAGATTCAAAAGATTAATCTCAAGAAAAGAACGAACCTTCGTCATCAATCTCATTGTCAGTTAAGTCAAGCTCCTCGAGTAGCCGACACTTCTGTCCGATCAACCAAAAGGCTTCTCTGGAGACAAGAGAACACGACTCCATCTTCAAAGATACGAGTAAGGGACATGAATTGGCTATTTGTATGATTGAAACTCCACTTAGTTTCCGGCAACACGTGATGTCAAGTTTTCTGAGGTCCTTCAGTTTCGTTACTAGATGAGAGAGACCTTCATCAGTTACGCTCACGCATTTGCTTAGGCTAACCTCTCTCAGTGAATTGCACAAAGCCCCTATCGCTTTCAACCCATCACAAGTAACAGAACAACCATCTAACCTGATTGACTGTAATGCGGAAACCTTCTTTAAGCTACTTGCAAAATCCAATGATATCACCTATATAAGCAAATAAACGTCATATAAGGCATCACAGACTCACGGTGTGGCTGTGCATTAGTTGCTACCGATCCATGACTCAAATGGTCTATTCAGTAGTAGGTGCATTTACTGCTTCGGCTACTACTAATCAGTTTTAGTGCACAACTAAGCTGACCCAGCGATTTAGCTAATACATGTCATAACCATAGAACATAGCGAGCAAAGCAGGTTCTGGTGATAATAAGCAAACGAACAACTTACAGAAGAGAAATGTGCTACATCAAGGCGCTGAAGACATCCGGCCCCGCTTAAAAGTGAGGTTAAACCTCTCTGAGTTAAATTCTGGCAGCTCGATGCATCAAGCTTCTGCAGAGAAGACAGGTTTTTGGTCAGTAAAAAATCTCAAATGTCAGTGGATAAGATGGAGATTAACTATAGCCTTGCAGTTATCAGACTTTCAATGACAAATGTCTCTCTGAGTCTAAGAAAATATGAAAAACCGGATACAATCTGCTCCTTTGTTGGACATACAAACTCTGTTTATACAGATTTCAACAGTAAAAGTTTCGGGTTCATGTGGATTCCAATACTAATATATATATATATATATATATGGCAACACGTAGAAGAATGAAACATGTTTCTTGGAGAAGAGGTAACCTTCAGTGACTTGCAATCATGTCTGAGTGATTCAAGACTGTCATCATCGACTCCGAAGCACCCTTCTAGAAGAAGTTCTTCAAGGTGTTGAAGTTTCAGAACATCATGTAAACACTTGCCTGTGATCTGCAGAATGTGGAAACAAAGGCATTTCATGTATATTCTCTCAAGGATCAGAATCCCCAGCTGGAAAGTTACTAAATTGAGTCACCAAATTCACCATTGAAAGAGAGAAAAAATTACGGGCAAGTAGGAGAGGTCTAAGCAGCGAATGCCCCTGCACTTGACGGCAAGCAAAGCAACGCCCAAATCTCCGACGCCTACGCACCATTTCAAGCTGACGATGTTGAGCTTCCGGCACCCAACGGCGATGCATCCGATTCCCATGTCCGTCAGCATCTTGCATCTCCCAAGCTTGAGGCGCTCCAGGCTCCTCGCCTCGGCGACCACAGCCGCAGCCGCGTCCCTCATCTCCGTCGCGTTGGACAGGTCAATCTCCACGAGATTCACACATTTGACGGCCAGTCTCAGCAGCCCCGCGGCGGAGAAGGAGGCAGAGCGCGATAGGTCGACGGAGAGGAGCGTAGGCCCGCAGAGACAGCCAACGACGCTGAGCGCGTAGTCGGTGACGCGCGGGCAGAGGGTGAGGTCGAGATGGGCGGTGTTCCGGTAGCGGGTCAAGATTCGAGGGAGGTACTCCGGCCTGAGAGGTTTCAGGGACTTGCGGTGCCTGGCCTCGACTTGGTGGAACCATTTACAGGTAAGAGAGAATGATTTCAGATCGGAAGGGTTCTGGGCGATGAGGTCCAGGATGACGAACACGAGCTCATCCAAGAGAAGCTCGAAAGGCTCGGAGATGTGAATCTGCTTCGCCTTCTTCCTCATCGGGAAAATCTGTTTGAAAAAAAACCCACAGATTGGGTGGAGTAAATATAGAACCGTACGGTGAAGGACAGAGAGGGGCAAAACGGTCAAAAGAAGAGAAGAAAAGTCGCAATCAATAAGTTAGGCCATTGGGTAACGGATATATGGTGGAGTAAGCATGCGAGGAAGGACAGATTCGAGTGCGGACAGTACGAACCCCCTTTCTCATCCTACATACGTATCTCTCTCTCTCTCTTTTTTTTCTTTTTAATATTCCAACATTAGTAGGTATTCTATGATCTTAAAACTTCGGTCGCGATAATAGATTTATAAATTTCCAACAGTATCTAAAAATAGCATTGATCGCAACATCTATAAAATTCTCTCTTTATATATTTTTACATAAACCATAAGCCGACCAATAAAATATTCAGGAGATACGTATATGTTCTCTTTCTTTTTTTTGTTTCTTGCCTCCAACTTTTAAATCCAGTGATTGTCAATTAACAGTGTAATAATAATATTCGATATCTCAAGCTGATATTTTTCACGTTTCACTTAATTACTGTGCCATTTTTTTGTCCTCACCTAAGAACATTTGGCTATGTGTAATATGTAAGGGATCTAAAAGTCAAATACATATACTAGTATATAATTATTCTATGGACAAGTTGTCAAAACAAAAATGATTAGTCTATGGGCAAGAAGTGCGCACCAAAGACAAAACAATAAATGTAAACTTGGAAATATTATTTTCAAACACCAAGGTGTGAGTCGTGACCGTACTTATAACCAGACTATTTTAGGTGATGGCCGAGTTGTAGTCAGTCTATGAGGAAGAGGCACACAGAATTACACTTATAAATTCATGTCGTCACTCACATACATTTGTTTATACGTGTAATAATCAAATACGTTGACAGAGTATTTATCGCCAAGTCAGGCTCTTTCATTTCTGGTTTTCTAATTATTACTTTTCTTTTTGGGGGAAGAAAAGCTGTGAATTGTATAATAACATCTCTGTTTAGGTATCAGCATGCATAATTCATCGAAACAGACGCATGGAAGAGGAAACCCGAGTTATCACTGCGACTAAACACACATGCAATACCCAGAGACAAGACTGAAAAGTGGGCAGGAGGCAGGTGGAACTACAAACCAAAAATCTGCACAAACACATAACTAATCTCCATGCAACTGCTCTTCAGTTGACGGACCAGTTTTATTAAATCCGTTAGACATACTTTACTTATTCTAGTGACAGATCCAAATTTGAATATCAACTTGTGTCATGTATCAGATGCGGATGATTTATTACTCCAGTTTTCATGTTTACATATTAGTGTCAAATATGTATATATATATAAAAAAAAACTGCTAACAAAAACATATGGTTCAGACCCAGTGAATAAATTTTAATGTCTTTCTAGCTGAAAACAAATGAAATGACTTTTAGTGTTTAACGATAGAGTATCAATCAGATCAAACTCCTAACAATGTTTAACCCGTTTCCCTCCTTGTATAAAATAGTAGTGATCAATGATTTTCAGTTTAAACTTTTTACCAAATAATAAAGTTTTATACAGTATATATAACAAAAAAACAAACAAAGGCGGTGGGATTTGGACGACTGCACGTATTGTTAATGAAATAACCAAATTACAACAACATCGAATCTGGTCAGTAATTTGGTGTAGGGTGAATGCGTCCAGGAAAACAAGTTGTCATCGTAAGACACGTGTCAACGAGTGACGACACCACAAAGTACAGAATGCACGAGTCTCGGAGTCGTGACTCATGACCGGTTCAACTGTTAGGCCGACCTTCGTACGGAATATTCCTCGGATCGTACCGTTTTATTTTATCACTATTTATTGTACCTGAAAGTGAAAGAAAGAAAAGTCAGCTGTTTGATGAAATTGACTTTTTTTTTTTTTTTTTTTTTTCATTTTTTAACAACGTTTTTTGCCAAGTTGGAACAGATTGCCTCATGTAGGAGGATGCTCCTTCACACAAGAAGTGTCCCTAATAATAAGAAACGAAAACAAATCAGAGAAGAAGTTACAACAAAAACTAGCTAAACATTTTTTTGTCTATAAATTTTTCCTGCCGCACTCTGTTTCTCTCTTATGTTCAGTGTCATCTATTGTCGCTATTTATCATACTTGCTTGGTACTTTTATGCAGATAATTGAAAATATTGAAGGTTGAACTGGACTTATATTTAGATTTATTCATTCAAGTATCTGTTCATAGGAACGATCAAACCTACAGTATATACAAAACATTGATTGTTTCTACTTCTCTTTTGTGTTTATCATAAAAATAAGACATTTTCGTGTGTCGACGGTGCAAATTTCCACGTGATCAGCCCTTTGTCACCTTTTCAGATTTTTTTTTTATATATTATATTCATTCACATGTAAAATTTCCACCAAACAAATGTTGACCATGAAACATAAACGGAGAAGTCAAAAATGAATATAGGTGGAAGAAGCAGAGAGACACAGATTACATATGCATAAAAAAAAGAGAGCAATACAAAGAATACAGTATGAGAAGAAGCTAACAATTCTTCTATACAGGTTACAGAGAGAGAGAGAGAGAGAGAGTACGTGTGTGTATGGTCAAGTATGTGTATCATTTATAGCTCAACCGAAGACTCAATCATTCCAGCTATCTGAATCGTGGTCGTCGTCGTCGCTTCCCGCCATTGCCTATATAAATGTAATTCACATTAATCGCTTTTTCCCCCATATCGTTTACATTAAAATTGTCCAAATAAAACCAAAAAGGCCAGAGAGAGAGAGAGACCTGGCGAAGAGTGTTGGCTTTCTCAAGAATTGCAGCGACCTTCAAGTTGGTCACGGGAACAGCTACTTGGAAGTTTGGTCTCACCGACGCATCTGCTGGTCTCAGGTTGAATGACTGCTAATGCATTTTATTAGTTAGTGGTTTATACACTCTATAGAATCGGAATGATATCAAAGTCAAAGATGAGTTGAGAGAGACTTCACCTTGCTCCGTATGATCTCCAGTAGTGAATCATTCTCCTCCACTCGTTGTGTTTTTTCTCCTTCGGATACCTTCCTCAACTGTAATCAAACAAATTCGAGTCACTAGATACAGAGAAAGAGGCCATTCGATCTAGACTGGTATTTGATTGATATTTAAAGGTATAATCACCATGCTTCTATCAATGCCAATAACAAGCGATTCCTTGTCTCTTGGCACCTTCCCAACTTTCTCACTCTGATCATATGAGTTATCAATGTCTCGTAAACTGCGTGCAAGTCTGGCTTCTTCTACTTGATGACCAAGCTGAGGTTCGTCTTCTATCTTTGCACAACTGGAATCGGTATGCTCTCTTAAGTTCTGACTAAACCATTCAAGTGCCATTGCTTCACTCCTCCAGTCAGCTTCTAGGCCTTCCGCTGATTCTGCCTCTCGTGCACACTTTCGTGGTGTACCTTCATCGTTACACATATAGGTGTCGCTTGTTACATCCATTTCTGAAGGAGAGTACTGTTCCTCGCTTGCTTTTAATGCTTCATTCAGAATATTTTGAGCACAAGTTGAATCTTCTGTATGAATATTGTGGTTTCCCCCTGCTTTAACTGACGCTGTTGGCGGATCTTGTGCCTCGGTTGCTTCAACCAATCCATTATGTGTGCTTTCATCCCTATAAATGTGGAAACTGTTGCTTCCTCTGCCTGCAAGCGATGGCTCTGGAGAGAACTGGGATTCGGTTGTTTTAACAGACTCAACCAGCTTCCCCATCCACCACTGTGTCGGAGGAAGAGGCGGAAGCGGAGGCATTATCTCCGGATCTGCCTGAGGTGTTTCATGGAATGGCGTGGTGAAGGGAACCATGGACACGTCCGAGCAGTTTTCTTGATCAGTTAGATCCATGGAAAGAACAGACTCAGAGATATGATCACTTAATGATGTGAAAGTTTCTTGCTGTAGTGCATGAAGAGTATCTATTTCAGTTACGCTTGAAGGGAAAAGCTTTTTGTTGAATGTTAATGCTTCCTCTGGAGGTGAACCCTGAACACCAAGAGGTACACCTTGTGGAGGAACAGAATTGGCTGATGCTCTTATTGGATTTTCTGACCCGGTTTCGGACGGATTCTCTTGCCCTTGGTCCCGTCTCTGTATGCTATACTCAGGTGAAAAATATCCCTGAGTACCTAAAAGACTCTCCTGTGGATCACTAATACTTTCCAAGTCTATTTCGGGCACGGTCTCACTGGCCTTATCATTCAGCCCAATCTGGTGATCGACATCATCTGCAAAACAAGTAGCATGTCTTTGAGTATCGGGAATTGGTACCTCAGGCTCTCTACTATCATCTGCAGTAATAGAAAGGGTTTGTGGATCCTCCTGTCCAAAATCTGATGAAATCTCAGCCAGATCAGGGTTGGCCAATGCGTCTTCCTGCCAGTGCCAAGGCGAGGCTGAGAGGTTCCTGTTTCCTGGGTGGAGATCTCTTGGAGTATCTGACATCAGAGTTCCATTTTCTGAACTAATTTCAAAAGTTGAAATGTGTCCAGACTGTTCAGTATTCATGGAAGGTCCGTTTTGTGAGTTGGTTTCATCTTCTTTTGGGACAGCATTGTCCTGTGCATCAGCACCAAGAGACAAATCTTCAAATGTGTTAATATGCTGGTTTGGATGAAGACTATCGGACTCCAATGCCGCTGGTGTTTCTTTAAAACTGGAATTGATATCTGGAATTGAATTACCAGCTTCAGACGAAATGTCGTCGGCTTCCAGAGCCTTTATCTCTTGATTGGTTATGGAAGAGACCTGGTCTTCCACTGAAGCACTTAAAGATATCTCAGATTCAGTCTCCACACTGAAAACATGCTGAGGATGATCATCTTCAACGTCATTTGTTACAGGTACTCTGGTCCCGCCCTCAGATGCATCCAGTGGCAATTGTGTAAGCTTCAACAGACACTCTGGATGAGTTTCAAGGGAATTATCAAGCATGGCATCTCTTCCGACTTCAAAGGCTTTACAAGCCTCAGATGCTTTCAACCCAATTTCATCAGCATTTGCTTTATTGGACTGAAGCTCCAAGTGATCTTCCGGAGGATTCTCATAACAAGAAAAACTGAAAGGTGGTTGTTCGAGCTCCAGATTTCCCAGACCTGCAGAATCTATTTCCGGTGTCATCTGGGAAAATGATACGTCTACTTTTACAGCAGACCCTTCAGCTTCAGGAGAAGATCTCTGGATATCAGTGCACAAATGACTAGTTTCTCCTTCCTCCGATGAGTGGTGCAAAACATTAGAATACTGAGCCGGAATCTCTGTCTGAGTCACATCTGTATTACTACAGTTCTGTGTCTGTACAAATCCCAGAAATCCAAGGTTGCTGCCAGACTTGTCCTCACTGTCTGCTTCCTTTGCTTCTGACTCCGTGGAAACAGGCGCATTTGTGTTCGTCTTGCAACAAAAATTCACAGAGGAGCTTAAACAAATCGATGGTCTTCCTTCTATATTGGGTAAAGACTTGTCATTAACCGTAACCTCCCGAGGATTTTCGAGTGTTTCATCATCGGCAATGGATTCCATCTCCCTCTCATTGTATTTTCTAGTGTCTCCGCTGTTTGGATATACCAGGGAAGGTATTGATAAGTCTTGTCGTGCGCTGCATGCTGTAACTTCGGTTTCCATAGCCGGAGACAGAGTCCCATGAACTCTTTCACAGTATGGCGAAGAATTGTTGAGGAACTTCTCCATGTAACCTGTCCTAGAGCTTGAGTTAATTGGATGTCCATTTAGCTGTCTTCTCTTCAGTTTCACATGGAATTCAGGATTTCTGTGTGCGTTCTCAACGTGCTCCAATAAGAAGAGCTGATGCAACCTGTAATATATATATATATATATATCCAAAAAGTGGATCACCAAATCAAAATGTTGATCATATGAACTTAGAAATAGTAATGACAGAGACAGAAGTGAATATAGAGCAGGAGTGGTTACTTGGCATGTGATGTTTGTGAATCCCCAGGTCTCTCTCTACTAGTTGTGTGTGATCCTTTCTTCTGTGGATGAAAAATAATTGATCGTACTTAATACCAAAATGACGGTGGCAGAGTGTAAAGTAAAGGCGGAACGTAGTAGATGAAAACCTTTGGTCTCTCATATCTGATGAGTGTTGATGTTGCTTCCACTGCTGATGCAGTAAGCGTCTTGAACAAAGATGGGTCAGAGTAACGCTTCAAGCATGATCCAGACCCAACAACATCAAACCTTAAAGAGAGCAGAAAAAAGATAAATTATAAAAGTAAGCCCAAGTTTCGTTATTTAGCGTGAAATGGTACCTGTCGAGAAGGAAGAGCTGCGGCGGAGCACGGCACTGCTCATATGAATCCATAAGACAATGAGGCAAGTTGCGAGGGGAAATCAGGTTTTCTTGTGTTTGCAGATTAGAATGCCATTCCGAGCCTGAAATCAGAATAAGATCCATATGAGGAAGGCCGTGCTCATATGAAGCTTTAACTACACGAGCAAGATGACTCGCCTGGATCATAGAAGAGTGTTGAATGATTGGTTTGAGACACAACTGAAGGAAACTCTGATTCGAGCTGCTGGATACGCATGGCCAAACCATGCCCTCTCGCTGCACTGCTCACTAGTTCTTGATGCAGGCAATGGAATACCTCCGCAGCAAACCTTATTATATATTATCAAAGAAGATTGTCTTTTATGCTAATTCCCAAACCATTGCGTTCAGGAATACAATTATACCAGGAAAAAAAAAAAAAAAAATCTGGATTTTAAGCAATTCCACACAATACATACTCCGTCGTCAATCATCAACGAACATAAATACTAAAATTCAACCCGATCCAAGTTTTGTCAACATTTAGAGAGTCTACAGCATCGGAATTCAATTCAACGAAACCTTCAACAACCTACTGATACGGAATTGGGGCACAATTCAAGCAAGAGAGACTTACTCGGCGAGGTCGCCAAGCTGGCGCAAAACGCCGACGAGACCAGCCATTGATGCAGCTTCGAGCAAAGCTTCAGGATCCTCCTTATCGGCGGCTAGGTACAGCTCCTTATCCGCCAAGCCGTACTCGTTCCGTATCTGGTATCTCGTCAGCGTCATTATGCTTCCAATCGATTACAAAACCCTAGCAGTTCTTATGTGCCTCTATCCTTTGACTTGGTTTCTCTCCGCCATTAAAGTAGCATCAGAAACTCCGGGACGAACCGCCAGACGCGTCCTCTCCCCAGAGAAGAAACAATTTTTACTAATGTTGTCGTTAACCAGAGAGAGATGATGAAATGTATATATATAACGGTCCGTGATTTTCCATCCAACGGTTATGAATTATGATCATCGTTTTACTGTGTGGACGCCGCATGTGATCATATAACCACGGGTTAGAAAAAACAAAAGTATTTTAATCAACCGGTAGTTAAAACCGTTGATTATAAGATTACACGAGCCTAATTACCGGTTCAAGCGACCAATCCCTAGTAATTGAACCAACCCATCTACTCTAATTCCATGTTTAGCTATCAACTTACAAAAATTCCTACTCATTTTATCTTGTATCGAAATATCTGTTGGCAACCAAAATAAAATAAAATATATGTAAAATCATTAAAGTGATATTTACGCTATGAACAAGAATTTGCGAGGAAGTGAGTTTAATCTAACTTTGTTTTTCTTCTTAAATCCATCGATATATTGTGACTTTTTTCTTTGTAAAAATTATGTTTTTGGATTTCGTAAGACGCCTACATGTTCCTATAACTAGCTCATTCACCCTTCTATACTGATAAAACCTTTTTCGTTTCTAGTGTTTTGACTCAAACGGAACAAATGTAGGAAAAATATAACTTTGTGATTTTCAGTAAATTAACAAATTTTGACGTTGGGTTCAGACTTTTGAGGTAAAATTGGTGGTAATACTTGGAAGTACAACTAATATCTCTAGCTTGAAGAGCAACAAACTTTGCTTAGAATCATAAAATATAAGCTTTAACTGGTAACCAATAAAAAAAGAATAAAAATGAAAAGGAAAAGAATGAAAAGAACAAAAGGAAAAAAATGAATAAAAATGAAAAATATATAAAGAAATAAATAAATATATTTTGTTCCTCCCCAATCAATTTTAATAAGGAATACATTTGTTCTATAATTTCTTATATAATAAGAAATAATAGTGAAATATTATTACCTAGCAAATGGTAAAATTTTTAAAGAATGAAGAGGAATTCATTATTCCCCTCTCATTCTCGTAGTCACCAGTTAAAGTCACAAAAAAACGCATCAGCTATAATTATTGTAATGCAATGATATTGTAGGAATATTGTCTTCTAGTGGCTGTGGTTGAGATCAGTTAGTGTATTGAACCTGCTTTTGATGGTTACAGCAACCTTCACCTAAGTTATTTTATTAGACACATTTTGTTTTTATAACGAACAGTTATCAATAGTCGGAATTATTTTAATTAAGACTAGATCGAATGGCCAAACTTCCCAACACCCAGAACAAAGTATTTTAACGGTCAACTACAGGATGTTTCGGTAAATGATTATCAGATTTTGGTAAGGAACAAAAATAGTAAAAATTCAAATGCCTAAATAAAATAGTATATAATAATAATTATTTTTTTGAGAAAAATATCAAATTTTGTCAACAGATACAAAGAAAGAAGAAAAGGAAGGCTTGCGACCTATGCAAAGTTATATTTTCATTCTAATAGCTTTTTAATCCTAAAAAAGTTCGATTATTAATATTATTTAAATTTTTTTGGTGTTGTGGTTGAAAAGCTTTACGAAAATAGGAGTATCACGTAGGCTTGCAAGGGAAGATGATATGATTGCTACATTTAACTTAGTCTCTACAAACACACATACTGTATAGAATAAAGTAGGGTTTAGGTAGAATGTCAAAGTTATCCTAATTAGAATAGTTCGTGCATGTGTCGTTAGAAAGTCAAAACTTTCATATGACAACCAACAACGGTAAACCTGGCAAGTTTTAAAATGGTGGGCCTGATTGACGTATATATAAGTCCAATAAAATAGACCCAAACTGTTGTAGCCCATTACTTGACCCAAAATTCCACTATAATGAATAGATGAACTAGCAAATACGCAGCGTATTAAAATGTGCCGATTATAGCCTTTTTATGTATTATAATGTGTTCTATCACCTATCGTGATTTATTTAATGTGGAGGGCAACTCATATGAACAAAATTGTCTAATACTAGTAGTTATTTTGTATATGGTTGTTTTGATACCACCCGTTTTCTATACCTTGCTATCTCTGTATTACTATATCAATCAGCAACATGAGATTATTGCCATTGGTAGAAAGATAGAGAAAGAAGAGTGAGGAAGTCGACCCCAAAGGCAGTCCAGGACCAATCAAAAACTGACAAATTCGACAAGGTACAGTTAACCAGAGATATGCAATTATATATACGTGGATATTATTATTTGGCCCTTCATAACTTTGCTACATGCAATGTTCCTGTGGTCCAACACACATTACTCTTTTCCCTTCTTCTCCTTCTTCACTGGTTCAAAGTGCAAACACGTAAACTGAATCTCACTCATATATCAAATAAACAAGATCAGAAACTTGTCTTAATTGGTTGTGTAACTTGAAAACTCAATTCCAAAAAACTTTAACCATTTCGGAAAGAGTGGAACCCGACAGTGTGCACGAGGGGTTAATACGGGAAAAGTCAATAGGTATCTGAACCTGGTGGGGTCAGAATCAGAATAGTAGTACAAATTAATTATTTTAGGTTCCAAAAGAGAATGTCCATATCCCGACAGTGTGCACGAGGGGTTTGGTTGGATCCAACTTGGCCTCTTTATTGCTCATTTAATGATACGTGGACTACACATTTCCTCCATTCAAACCAATATTCTCATATAAGCTTAACTATGATGAGTCCTCTTGCAAATTTCTTTACTTTATTATTCTGGCAAAGTTAATTTAACCCTTTATATGTGACTCTTCAGTTTCTACAATCAAAACACGCAGAAACAGAAACTACTAAAAATACATTTTTATACATTATGAAAAGAAGAAAATATATATATATATATATATATATATTTATTTTTCTAACACCAAAAGGGTATATCACTATACCGACTAAACGTTGCTAATTCAATTTTCTATTGGCTGGCTGTGCTCACTCACAACAACGATTGGACGAATTAAGTAGGAAGATTGAGACATATTCCGACTATTATTCACTACACTAGCGACAACAAATAAATGGTACAAGTGTATGCATCTGGTTCAGGCTCTAACTTCTAACTATAACTACGTTAATGCATACTTAGCTACTACTAACTTACCCGGATATCCCATCATGATCAGTGGATCGATATAAGAGCTTTCCAAACGAGTACTAAGTATTCAGAATTCATACAAGTGTATGTCTAGCAAAAAAAAAAATATATATATATAGAAAGATAAATAAAATATATAAAATACCTGAAAAAACTACATCTTGGGCATGGAGATTTGATGGAGTGAGTCGAAATTAGCATGGTAACCAAACCATATAATGTAAGATCGAATTTTATTTGAAAGAAATGCAAGGAATCTTTAGGAGCTAGCTGGGTCATAAGGTTATACTTGGGTCAAAACTAAACCTAGAAACAATGTCTGATACTATAATTTGAAGGGACAAAGTAAGAGAAAGGAGCTATGTTATTGCGATCATCACCGACAAGAGAAAAAAAAAACAAATAAATAAATAAATAAATAAGAACTTAAACAAGGCGACGATTGGGAAAAAGAAGCACATCAAATGACCCCTCCCTTGTACCGAGGACTTACGTTGACTATAAAAGGGACTGAAAACTAGACAGAAAGCTACACACAAACATAAAAATAAAATAAAAAGAAAGAAAGATGAAAGGCCACAATGCAGAGGTTTTGACCCCGGAATCGAAAAACCGTGGAACCATAGAGTTACTCTACAGAGCGTTGCAGCAAGGAGAGGCATCGACGGTGGCGAAACTGGTAGCGAGTGATGTGGAATGGTGGTTCCATGGGCCGCACCAATGCCAACACATGATGAGGCTTCTGACAGGGGAGCCACCGAGGCAGGTTTCGTTCAGGTTTGAGCCAAGCAGCGTAAAAGTAGTACACGGCTGCGTGATTGCAGAAGGATGGGAGGGTGCAAAGGTGTACTGGGTTCACGTGTGGAAGTTGAAAGACGGAGTGGTCACTGAGTTAAGGGAATATTTCAACACGTGGCTCACTGTTACGGATTACAGTCTTGGGGCTGTAGGATGGGACATGGGGCGTTGTACGGTGTGGGAGAGCGTGCCCAGGGACCTGTCATTGCCTAGCTTGCTCTTAGCTATTTAACTATACACTAAATTACTAGTAAATCCGTAACTCCACTGTTGTGTCCGGTGATGAGAACCCAAATGTTGTAAGCAGTGTGCTATATATATATACAACATCCAAAACCGACCCAGCTTAATTAGTTGAGTGCAAAATCCAACGATTCTCAGAAACCCTCGCGTTTTCTCCTCTAATAATTACGGGCTTGTTAAAATTATCCAAATAAAGGCCTTCTTTATGGGCCTTCGTTTTAGCCCAATAATAAAAGGCTTAAGTCATCGCTCTTTTGTCAAGGATTTATTTGTTGGGCTTCACCCTCTCACGGGCCCTTCCCCCAATTCACATTTTCCACACCGCTACTAATATTTCAAACAAAATAATGTGACATGTAGAATCGGACTATATCATAATGTTCAATTTCTATAAATTCATCCACTATCATGATCATCTAAAAGCTCACCAAAACTAAAATTATTCTAAATGTTTGATTTAATAAACTAATGGGACTAATGGGATGTGTTCCACTTAATACATACAATTATTCGAAATATTTGATTTAATGTAGGAGAAACAATTATCTACTAAATCATTGTATATTTTTCATTCTTATCTTTTAGAAAAATAATTAAAAACTAAGCTTTTAAGGATAAAAGATACCTGTATTTGATATACTATGTATAGATATTAGATGGATTAGTATGGGTAAAAGAGAACAGCTCAGATTAACTACAAAATAACAGATATATAATTGGCACTTTACATGAACTAATGGGTGCATTTGGAGACTAATTAAGCGTGACAATATATTAATCAAGTGCTTCAGACTGTATATTAATTACAAAATGTCCGATTTGCGTCACAACAGCCGGTCGCATATCTGTGTAAGTGGCCGATTTTGTGTGATACGTGTCTGCCATTTACATTCATATATATTTTAAACTAGCATCATCTAATTAGTCCATTCTAAAAATATAATCGACTGTT